CATAGGACATACTCGATCACATGCAACAATTCAAGGTCAATGCCTCCTACAAACCGGCCACTTTGATCATGCAAACATTGCTTGGAGCCCTCAAAATTTTCAAATTTGGGCATAAATCAAGGCTCCAAGCATCAATCACACTCACACAAGCATAAAAGTAAACTAATCCCCCCCACACTTAAGTTCGACATTGCCCTCAATGGCGTAAGATAGGGGTAGAACGACGTTACCGCTTTTCTTGATGAGTGAAGTTGGATTTGTTTTCGGGGTAGGAGATTTGGAGCTACAAGGAAAATATAAAAAACACAAACACACACACAAACACAATATGACTCGCTCAAGACGAGGTTATTACTTATTACACAACACAACACGATAGTAGTGGTAGTAGTAGTAGTAGTAGTAGTAGTAGTAGTAGTAGTAGTAGTAGTAGGATTTTATGGTCACACACACATAACGAAAGAAAAAATAAAACAAAAGAGTGCAGAGTTCCAAGTGGAGTAGTGGGGGCAAAAGGAATCGGCTTTGCCACATATCTCCCTCGTCGGCTACCTCACTAGGTTGAAGGCCTTGTCTCATCATCAGGAATTAGACCCTGGCGTCTAGTCATTTGCTCAAGGAGGTCCGTCTGCCGGTCTAGGCGGGAAGTCACTCCCCCAAAACGGGTCTCAAGGCGATCCATCCTCTGGACGAAGGGATCACCCGCTGGTGTGGGTGATGAAGCTGCTGGTGGTGGTGGTATGGGTGGCTGGAGCGCGGGATGGCGGCGGCGACCAGGTGCTTGAGCATGTGGCTACTCTGGGGGTGGAACCCCTAAATATGGCTCCACTGGAGCCGGGTCAACCGCTGGATGCATGGCTCTCGAAGGTCGGAGCCCGTCAAGGTACTCGATGCCCCTCTCCTGAAGTACTAGCCGCTGGTTATAAAGTGTGGCCACTAGGAAGGGCTCGGTCCTCCCAATGATGGAGCGTCGCTCCACATCCATTTCGAAGTGGCGGGCAATCCTCGTGATGATGCCCCCCATATGCATGGTATCCAACCTGTTCCGCCACAGACACCGGGCGAAAGAGGTGGCTATTAGGGATCCCAAATGGATCGGCTCTGCCGGATGAATAATGGAGAGAGAGCCATAAGCCCTCTGTTGGTCATCAGATGTCCCGAGTGCAGGATGGGGACGACCGATCGGGTGAGCAGAGTGTGGAGGATCCTCCAAGGGGTCCTCAGCTTCACCGCATTGGTGAGACTTGGCTCGTACTCCTCGATCTCGTGCTCGGAGCAGCAGAGGGCCCGAAAAGCGGCCTGATAGTAAAAATCGGTGGTGTACTTCCGCTCCATCATCGTCATATGCGTCGGGTCGAGCCCCATGACCTGGGCGAATGCGTCATAGGTCACCACTCGGGGCTGACCTCCCAACATAAACTCCACGTACGGGTGGCTCCTCTTGTCGCTCGGGACCACATGGGCAAACGAGGAGTAGAACTCCACGCACAACTCGTGGTAGATCTTCTAGTCCAATGTGAGCAGTCGCCGCTACTGGGGGTGACAGACGACCCCCGACATTGCGGCTTGGAACCTGAACATGTTGAACATGTCCAGGCCCAGCCCGCCAGTGTGGCCCGACCGGGCTGTCCCCCTGGTAGGCGAACTTGTCACCAAACCAAGGATGGTTCACCAGGTAACTGATGAACTCATGCTCCTCGTTAATCATCCTGCAAAAATTGGCAAACAAACACCATATGTGGAAATATTCGTTAAGCACAACTCATTGGAAGGAAAAAGAAATCCCCCCCCCCCCCGGCACTTACCTCCACTATAGATTGCCAAACATTTAAGCTCAATCCACCGTGACATGGTTGTGGGTATTTCACGGTTCATCAACAAAAAAGGATTCGAACCCCCAACCCATGCCACGACGGTTACCAACCAGCATTCAAACACCACCATACATAATCATTAAACAAATAGCACTTGGTGGGCAAAATGGACAAATAAAAGCAATTCGAATCACTAAATGCACACCAAGGCTCAACTAAGCTCATGCAACAACATTTTAACATTCAATCAACCTAGTTCGCCTAATTTCTCGCCCTAATTCTAGGTTCAAGTAGGACCTAGGAGGAAGTGAGGTGAGGGCGAGGAAGGCGAAAAATGGCTAAAAACCAGACCGGAGAGTGGTCACCGGAGCTTTGTCGGAAGCTCGCCGGAGCTTTGTCGGAAGCTCGCCGGAGACTCACCGCCGGCGACTTTGCCGGAAATAACTTGCCCCAAATCTCCCCAAAATTGAAGCACATGCCGGTTTTGATGAGGCGAGAATGGGTATCAATTGTTTTTGGGTTTTGCTCGCCGAAAATGGATGAAAATTGAAAAACCATCGAATTTTCGCGGTTTTTCGGCAAGAATTCAAATTTTCAGCGAGTTTTGGGTCGTGAAGTGAAGAGTCGCCGTTCACGCCCTTTTACAGGCGAAGCACAGCGTTCACAAACGCGTTGGCTTGTTCACAGTCATAGAGACCATGAACACTCAAGTCCGTCCGTGAACTGGGGATGGTCGATAGGTGGTTCACATGCAGAAGTGCCTGGCTCACAGACGCCTTTGCTTGTTCACAGTCTTGTAAGACTGTGAACACTCAAATCCGTTCATGAACTCGAGTGAAAACAAGGCACTTCTGATAAAATTTTGACTAGACCTGTTCCACCGTGCCTCCTAACAATCACAACACAACCTTAAAATGCAAAACCACAAAACTTGGCACAGGGATACAACTTGACCACTTGAACTCTTCACTCAACACAAAAACGAAAATAAGAGAAAGAAAACAAACCTCCATTGGTTTGCCTCCCAACAAGCGCTAAGTTAATGTCACTAGCTTGACGTTGCGGATCTATCATGCTTTGGAACACGATTCCACCGAGAGTGGATCTGCCACGTTCTCGGGGCGAGGCATGTAGCCTTCCAACTTAAGATCCATGGGGTGGCCTTCTTGGCCGAAAACCTTAGCTTTGCCCTTCTCCTTCTTTCGGGCCAAAGCTTGCTTCATCTTCTCCCTCCAAGCTTTCTTCTTCCTATCTTTGGGCATAGTACCCTCCTCAACTTCCTGCTTAACATCATCACAAGCAAAACAAGTAATAGTGGGTCTCGCCTTGAGAGGCTATCCTCCACTCACATTCAATTCATCTGACACCAATTCATTCACATCCTCATTCCTAACCTTAGGTTCAATTTCAAGAGTGATCCTCTGCTCACCATCTCTCAGAATCAAGGTAACCTCATTAACATCAATTAATGCCGTGGCGGTAGCAAGGAAGGGACCTCCTAGTATGAGTGGCATTTCCGTGTCCTCACTTATATCAAGGATCACAAAATCCGTCGGATAGCAAAGCTTGCCCACTTGTACTAGCATATCCTCCACAATGCACCTAGGATCAATTACTGAGAGGTCGGCTAATGTGACACTAAGCTTAGTGGTTTTGAGCTCACCTAGGTCTAGCCTTTTGAATAGCTTAGCTTATAGGGCATCACATTCACACTTGCTCCTAAATCCGCCAAGGCATTTTCTATGTGATGGTTACAAATGCTAAGAGGGATGGTGAAGCTACCTGGATCGGGCCTCTTCTTAGGCAACCGGTTGAGGATGAAGGCCTCGCACTCCTCTCCTAGAGTCACATTGGTGAGGTCTTCAAACTTCATTTCTTGGGGAGGAATCCTTTGAGGTACTTTGCGTACCTTGGCATGTGAGCCATAGCTTCAAGGAAGGGGATGTTGAGGAGGAGATTCCGGAGCATCTCAATGAAGCCCCCACACTTCGCTTCCAACCTCTCCTTGTACACCCTTGTGGGGAAAGGAAGAGGTGGCTTGTACTCAGCCATCGGAGATGCCGTTGGCGATGCCTTCCTTGCCACCTCTTTCTCTCCCTTTGAGGGCTCTTCATCTCCATCCTTGGGGTTGGAGTCTTTTTTCTCAATCACTTCCTTAGCAACAACTCCCGGAGTCACCTTCCCGCTCCTCAAGTAAATCCCATTGCAACCGGCTTGATCTTTGGGGTTGGCAATGGTTTGAGAGGGTAGGGCCCCCTTTGGTCTATCGGTGAGGATCCCGGGAAGATTGCCGATTTTCACCTCCAAATTTTGAAGGCTAGCTTGATGGCTTCGGAGTCCCGCCTCAATCGAGGTAAACTTGGTAGTTGCCACATCCATAAATTTCTCAATCTTCTCTAACTTCTGAGCACTCGTGCTCACAAAGGTATTTGATAGACTATTAATTGCACAAGTTTTTACCCCTAGTCTTGAGCCGTTTGAGATGTTGATTCTCGTGTTTTTGGTCGATTTCACGCTAGGTTGTGCTTGTTTGTGATATTTCAGGTCTTAGTACGTGAATGAAGATTTGGGAACGAGTTCGGGGTCGATTAGACGAAGATTGGACGTTTGGCGAGAAGCTGAGGAAGTCACACGGGCACGCCTAAAACCCACACGGCCGTGTAAGGGAACGCATGTGGCCTTGTGGAAATTCCAGGGAACTCACACGGGCATCCTAGAAATCCACACGGCCGTGTGGTTGTGGCCGTGCAGGATGGCTGAAGTCCACTTATCGAAACGCCGCATTTTGCACAACTCACACGGGCAGCTGGGAAAGCCACACTGGCGTGTGGCCTGCCCGTGTGGTCGGGAATTTCTGGGTTTTAACCCAAATTCGAGCTAAAGGAGATATATCGACTTTTTGGAGCAAAAACAGAGCCTAGAGAGAGAATGTGCGAAGAACACCCCCTAAGAGTGGTTTTGGAGCTGGGTTTCATCAATCAAGCTTGGAAATCATCCTTGGAGCGAAGATTGACATCCCAGAGCAGATTCTTCCCATCTTGATGAGTATGACTGCTTTGCTTGCTGTTTTCTTCTCTCTCTCTATAGAGTAGAACCCTCTCTCACTTGGGTATGAAGAACCCTAGTTCTTTGTGTTAGGGATCTTGATTGTAATGACTTGGGGTTGTTATACTGTTTGGTTTTAATCGAATGATGCATGATTCATTGAATCAATTGAAGTCTGATCATCTTTTCTTGATTTCTGCTGCAACCTGAGATAGATAGAATCTGATTAGATTGTGAGAGCTTCATCATTCAGTAGTGGTAGATTGGTTATACGAGAGTTAATCAATCTACTGCTTTGTACTGGAACCCAATTCCAGTAGTGGAGTTCTGTGCTTATTGCTTCAGCTTTCTACCCCGGTGAAGACTAGTCGTCTGCCGGGTAGTTGGACTGAGAGGGCTTGGTCAGCTTAAGAGATTCCAAGCTACTGTCGGATCTTTAGCAGTTTAATCAACAGTAAATCAACCCAGGGTAATTACAACTGAGACCTAACTAAGGAGCTAGGGGGACTCATTCCCGAGTGACTCTCCCTTTGCTTCAGAAAACCGAACCATTTCCTGCTTTCTTATTGCTTTTAGTTAAAACCACAATCAATCGACTTAGTTGGCTAGATAATAGATATTCACGGAGTAGGTAGTAGATCTAGACCCCGGGTTGATAATTAGAACTTGCCACTTTATTGCATTTCCGGACTGCGATTACACTTGGTCGCAGTTTGGTGTTGTGTTTTAGCGTGTCAGTATTCACAAGGTCTTCAAGTTTGGATAGCTTGTTGGGTTGTTGTTGTTGTTGAAACCCTTGTCCACCTTTTACTTGATAAGGTTGTTGGAAGTTCGAGACTTGAAATTGCGGCCTTTGTTGATGAAGGTTGGCCGAGGTTGGTAATTTCCCGTAGGGCCTTGGAACCCAGGGGGTCGCGGATTAGTCAGGGACGACCAAGAAAAGTTAGGATGATTTATCCACCCAGGGTTATAGGTATTGCTATACCGTTTGTTCCCCATAGCATTGGCAACGAAATTGACTTGTTCCTCCGGAGTGCTTGCTTCCTTCATTTCTTGACAATCCGCCAACTCATGGTTCGTTCTTGAACACCAATCGCACGACATCACGCTCTCTTCCCGTGCTTCTTATCCTCGAGGATTACCTCGATCAACTTATCCAGTTTTGCCTCAAGTGGAGCACTTGATCCCACACTTCTTACTCCTCTTTCATTGCTTCTCTGCCCGCTTCTCGTCAATCCCCAATCATAACCATTGAGGGCCATATCTTCTAACAATTGAGTAGGGATGGCAATGGGTCGGGTTGGGTTTTTCCAAACCCAAACCAATGGGTTTATCCGTGAAAAAAACCCGGGGTAAAACCCACTGGGTTTGAAAAACTCAAACCCAACCCAACCCGCTGGGTATCCGCGGGTTCATGGGTACCCACGGGTTTTTGTCTTAAAATATTTACAATAACAAGTTCCTATCAAAATTAAAGTCAAATATCAATCCTCAATACAAATTATCCATATTTAAAACAACATTCTAGGAAATTCAAGCAAATCACAAACTAACTATACAAATTGTTCAACACCAATCTAGAAAACTCAAGTAAATTGAAGCAAATCACAAATTATCCATAAATAACATGATTAATTGAAAGCTTCTTCCTTTCAATTAAGTTTCTTCATTTTCCACTAGCTAACGTCAATTTCATTCTAAACAATTAGAAAGAAAAAATTAGACATGTCTCCACAAACATAAATAAGATTAGTTGTTTAGAATATTAAATATACCGAGAAAATTAATTATATTGGTGTGGGCGGGTACCCATGGGTCGGGTTTACCTAAACCCAAACCCAACACGGCAAATAGTGAATGGGTTTAGACCCAAACCCAGCTTAAAACCCGTCAACATGGATTTTACCCGCGTTGGGCTGGGTGGATACCCGTGGGTTCGGGTTTTGTTGCCATCCCTACAATTGAGTCACTTGTGACGGGGTCATATTCATTAGCCTCCCTTGACAAAGAGAATCAATGAGGATCTTGTCTTCATGTATAAGCCCTCTGTAGAAAGTTTCAATCCGGAATTGTTCTTCGAACCCATGGTGAGGGCATTGAAGAAAATAAACGGAGAATCTCTCCCAAGCATCCCTCAAGGTTTCATCTTCATCTTGCTCGAAATGGGTGATCTTCTTTCTCCACTCGGCCGTCTTCGAAGGAGGGCAATAGCGGGTCATAAATTTGTTGAGAAGATCACCCCACAAGGTAATTGAACGAGGTGGTCGGTTGTTGAGCCATCTAAGTGCCTTCCCCGCAAGTGAGTAAGGGAAAAGCCTTAGTTTCAAAGCTTCCATTGGCACGCCATTAATCTTCAAACTCCCCGCGAGCTCAAGAAATCGTTGCACATGCTCCCTTGGTGATTCACTTGTGAGCCCATTAAACAAAGCATTGTTTTGAATAATTGTCATGAGGGCCGACTTAATCTCGAAATTGTTGGCCGCCACGGGAGGGTGTAGGATAGGCGACTGAATGTCGCCAATAGTGGGGCCATGTAATACCCCATTGTCCTCGGGGCTTCCTCCTCGGCCGCCTCCTCATTATGGTTGTGAACTTGGGCGGCTACTCTTTCTCTTTGGTTCTCTGCCATCTCAACTCCAATATCCACTTCTCCTTAAACTTCTTCTCCACTAACTCCGGGACACAATTGTTGTCCCCTCTCTTCACTTCTCCTTCTTGCTTCCACTAACTCCCTCTCCCGAGCTATGAGTCGAAGATTCCGGTTGATGTTCTCGTCAACCGGTACTAAGGGCGCCAGATTGCTCCAGGTCATGCATCTTCCTGCACACACTTATAGAAAAAAACCACGTCTAGCACAAGCAAAACACTCAAACAAACAAAGCTGAAAATTAAAAGCTAGATTGACACCAAACAACTTTTTCAAGATAACGGACCGAAATTCCCCGTTAACGGCGCCAAAAACTTGACTAGTCCCGAATATCACAATAAATTTCCACCTAAGGCCCAAGTATAAACCTTAGATGGGTGCAATATAGGGCAAGTATGTTTAAATATCAACCCGGGCCGACCCATGTACCCCAACTTCCGTTGTTTTGAGCATTATCTAGCGAATTGGTTTTTGGTTGAAAACTATGAGATTTCAGAACAAAGCAAGGGTAAATGCTTTCAAAGCTCTAGATGATAAGGATCACTCGGGTGTCGCTTCCCCCTAACTATTACCATGGCACGTGGACTCGAATGGGACATTATGGGCAAGGCAATCATGAACCGCTAGGAGGTGCAACTATGGTCGAGGACCATACTCTCAACTGCCAAACCAAGGGATAAATTATAGGCTACAAGAGTAGCCCTCTTGGTTAAGGCAATTAAGGGTTGACTTACCTTCTCCCTCCAACCAATGGTTGGATGACTTAATCATGATTAACCTAGTTTCTTAATTCAAGATAGAGGTTTTTCCTACATTAACCTAGGTAGGAGGCTTGTCAAGCCCAAGGAATCCCAACTCAATTGAGCCTCTTTTAGAAAGGGGGTTTCCTTCTAACCTAGGTTAGAATGGCCAATTAGATTGCTAGCACACACATGCACAATCATCATGAAAAATACCTCAATCATTTAATTAAACAATACCCATAAACAATCATTCAAGTCACACTACAACTACATGTCAAATAGTTAGGTTTTCACAACACCCAAGTGAAAAATAGTGCTACTTCATGCTAGGAAGGGAAGAACACAAGAAAAATAGGTAGAAACCATCATGGTGATGCCTCCAATCTCCTCTAAGCTTGTGTTGATCTTCTCTTGGGAAGATTCTTCCCAAATCACCACTTGGAGCAAACCCTAGCCTTCCTTCTTCCTTGGTTTGTCCTTTCTCTCTCTAAAATCTGAAGAAGAAGAAGACACTTCCTAACACATGGTCTCCCCTTCTCTCTTCCTTTCGGCTCACCCTTTATACCAGGATTGGGCTCAGTTCACGGCTGTGGACTCTTTAACGCGTCCGTGAACACAAGCGCGATGTCGAAACGTACCGCTTCGCCATCAGGAGTTCACGGTTTGGTCTCAATCTTCACGGTCTTGTTGACCGTGAACTCGCCTCGCGCCAGTAACTGCAGATTTCTCCCTAGACACATAGCGGTTCATGGTTATGGGCTTCAGTTCACGCCCATAGGGGGACCGTGAACTCCAATGCTCACCCGTGAACCTCTTTTGGATCACCCTCTTTGTCCGTTTTTTGCCTCTTTTCGTCCAACTTTCAACTCCGGGGCTGATTTCACCTGTTGGATCCTGAAACACACTAAAACGCACACAACCTAGCGTAAAACCACCCTTTTAGGAAATCAAATGCTACAAACGCCCAAGGGAAACGGGGATAAAATGTGTGCAATTAGGCCCGGATCATTTGGATAGTGTTGAAATTGCACATCTTTTGTATGCCAATGATACTATTGTTTATTGTGATGTTACAGTTGATCAAGTCCTCCATCTTCTAGAAACATTAGTGTGCTTTCATACGGTAACGGGATTCAAAATAAATAGCAGAAAAGTGTCATGTTTACGGTGGGAACGATTGAGAATCTAGAATACTTTGATAGTATGTTTCGTTGTTTTGGGAGGTTTCTCCCAAAAATTATCTCGGTATTCCCAGGGAGCTATTATGATGAATTCGATTTTGATATGGAATGGATTTGGCAAGCGATAAAATCCTAGGAGGCCCTAGTTTCATATGCATTGAGATCTTCTAATGCATAACTACTCACAATAACCATCCATGCCATATACGACAAAGACATTTAGGGGCTTTTCATTTATCAAACAAGAAGAGTAAAGTTGTTTAGATATGTTCAATTTATAGATGCATTAAAGTAATGATACGTTATTGTAAAAGGTAGTGAACCCGAAAAATATCATGCATACTAGGGCTCATTCTTATCATGCATCGATTTTTCATCTATTGGAACACCCTATTCCTTCCTCTTAGGGCACTCTCTACCGGTTCATGTGCCTCTTGCGATAGAGATTTGACTAGCTAATGTGTGCTTTTCCTTCATGCCATTACCTAATCAATGAATAACAAGGAAGTTATGATTGCAAATGGTTAATTGTGGGATTTTACGAACCATAACAGAATATAGTATTTATGATCTAACAATGAAACATTGGTACTACACGAAGCATAGATGGTTGATCAATCCCTCTATACTCGTGTAGCATCAATGGGGTATCCCTAGTTTCTTGACAACCTACCTAGGTAATACTAAGCATAATGCATATAGTAGCATCCAATAGAATTATAAGCATCGATGATAAAAGAGCATTCATACTATAGAAACATAAATGATCATCACATAAGCATCAAACTAAAAACATCCATACATAGGCAATAGCATTGAAAATCTAATAAACAAACACAAGCATGAGATGAAATCACAGCATTCATTCACATAACAATAAATAAGATCACATCATAATAGAATCAATTTCGACTAACTACATAGAGGAGAAGAAAGATACCATCATAGCTGATGATAACAAGTCCTTAGTTGCAAACCCCTCTACTTCGACTAGGCTAACCACTCATGTAGAGTGTTATAGAGAATTTGTGTGTTTGTGGAGCCTTATTCAGCTAATGAGTCATGCCCTCTATTTATAGGGGGAAATCTCGGCCTAAAAAATCCTAAACCGACTAGGAAAGAGTCTCCTAAACCTTGTGGGCTAAGTAAACTTCCTCCAGAATGAGTTAGGATTGGTGGAAGTAGGGCTTCGGTTGGAACCTCTAATCTTTTTCTTTGTGCGTCGGGCATCCTGGTCCATCAAATTTTTCTCCTAAATATTTTGACGTGTCTTGAGATTTTTCCCATAGTGGCAGTTGGTCCTGTTGCTTGGGACGCCGCTCGTTCCTTTGTCCAAATAGGCAGAGTCTTCTTCCTATGGGCTTGTCTTGAGATAATGAATCAACTTCTAGTTGACTTCACCATCATTGGACCTTTTCTTTCTCACGAAAACTCCTTAAGTTTCTCTTTAGAGCTCATTTGGTCCTCCTGATTTCTTTAGTGCTTGTTATTATTATCAGTAGGTTGCTTTGTACCTTTAAAACCATAAAAACATACCAAGAAGGCATCAAAGAGTACAAGAACATATCTTAGGTCTATTAACGCTCATAGATTAAATAAATGTGATTTAGACAAGAAATACCATTGAAATGACTAAAGATGCTTTGATAGAAGGGGAAAATATATCAAGAATGAGAGTGACTAACACTATAAATAAAAGATCATCATAAATACCCCACACTTGAAATTTGCTTGTCCCCAAGCAAACACTATTCATAACCCTATAACTCAATGAATCATAGCCATCATTACTTAACCCCAATCTTAGGTAGTGGATCATAAAAGGTCAACAATAGCATGATAGAATCCTATCCACATCAGTATGAAAGGACATCATACCATATAATCCAAGCATCAACAATCAATCATGCATCAGAGTCTCAAAATCTAAGGGTGAAGATTTGAATGCTTGCTACTGATTCGGGCCTAAATGCACACATTTTATCCTCGTTTCCCTTGGACGTTTGTGGCATTTGTGCTCCTAAAAGAGTGGTTTTATGCTAGGTTTCTTGTGTTTTAGTGTGTTGGAAGAAACCAGCCCTGGAGTCGAAAGTTGGAAGAAAAGGAGCGAAAACCGGGCAAAGAGGGAGATTCATGCCAAGATCACGGTTTCCCCTTGGAGTCCACGGTCTGCTAAGGCCGTGAACTGGAGCCAAAAACCGTGAACCTTGAGGCGATCAGCGAAGTTCCAGAGGTTACTGGCACCAAGGGAGTTTACGGTATCTAAGACCGTGAACTGGAGCGGTAAGTCGTGAATTTCGTAAGTGAAGTGGTGCATTTCGACGCAACGCTCCGAGTTCACGGATGCGTTGAGGTGTTCACGGTCGTGAACTGAAGCCGTGAACTGAGCCCGATCTCGGTATAAAACGTGATATGAAAGGAAGAGAGAGAGGAGAGAGTGTGAGAAAGTGTCTCCTTCTTCAGATTCCAGAGAGAGAAAGGACGCACCAAAGAAGAAGAGAGGCCATGGTTTGCTCCAAGTGGTGAATTGGGAAGAATCTCCCAGAGAGAAGATCAACACAAGATCAAAGGAGAGTGGAGGCATCACCATGATGGTATCTACTTATTTCTTTTGTGTTCTTCCCCTTTCTAGCATGGAGTAGTTTCCTTTTTCACTTGGGTGTTGTGAAACCCTAACTATTTACCATGTAGTTGTATGAATTGAATGATTGTTTATGGGTGTTTTTAATTTAATGATTGAGGTATTTTTCATTTTGATTGTGCATGTTTGTGCTTTGTTAGAATAAAATTATGGTTCATGCAAAAGCATCCCCTTGAGTTGCAATGGCTTCTGCCTCTCCTGAAAGCTGAGTTTCTAACATTATATAATTTTATGAGGTTAGAATGTCATGGGATTTCCCTTTGAATGTTTTTTTAAGAAGTGCGGGGGGCTTGATGTGATATCGAGTGACAAAATCCTAGGGGATGCCTAGGGTCGTATTCCACAAGGTCTTCTAATACTCACACAAGTCATCTATGACACGCGAAAATAAGAAAAACTTTTTGGGGTTTTATTCAAGTAGAAAACAAAGAAAAGTAAAGCAAGGAAAGTAAAATTGTTTAGGTATTTTTCAATTTAGAGATGCATAGAAGTAAACATTAGTTATCGTAGAAGAGAGTAAACTCGAGTACTATCATGCATATTAGGACTCAACAACAACATGCATCGATGATTTGTCTATTGTGACACTCTATGCTTTCCACTAAAGCCATTCTCTACCCGTGCATGCGCCTCTTATGATAGAGATTTAACTGGCTAATGCATGCTTTCGCTTCATGCCATCGCCTAATTAATTAAGAAACAGGAAGTTAGGATATCATATCACTAATTGTGGGCTTCTAACCATAACCATAGTCTATGGCATCGGTGATCTAACGATCAAATATTGATACTACTCGAGGTATAAAGAAGTACAATGAATTTAGTAGCATACAATAGAATCACAAGAATCAACGATAAAGAAGTATTCACACTATTTAAAGATCAATGAACATCACATAAATATTCAAACTAAAAGCGTCCATACATATGCAATGTGCATCGAGATTTACATACACAAACACAAACATGAGATGAAATCATAGCATTCATTCACATAACAATAATCAAGTTCACATCTTCATACAATCAATTTTGACTAGGATACCTAGAAGAGAAGGAAGGTACCACCATTGATGATGATAGCATCTCCTTAGTTGCAGAATCTCTACAAAGACTAGGGCATCACTCACTCAGAGTGTACAGAGAATTTGTATGTTTGGGAAATCTTACTAAGCTACTGGGTCATGCCCTCTATTTAGTATTTATAGGGGAGGATCTCAACCTAAAACATCATAAACCGACCACGAAAGAGTCTTTTAAACCTTGTGGGCTCAGTCAACTTCTCCCACAAGGATTAAGGTGTGGTGGCGGTAGCGCTTGAAGATCATATACCTCAGCTCATGTGGAGGGTCAATCAAATTAAGGGGTTTCATAAGCTTTATTTGTGCCCTTATGAACACATCTTCAAGTTGGCAATCAATTCAACAGGTGGAATTTTTACTTGTACTAAAGAGGAACTAGCATCACCTTGTAGGAATTTCCCACTAAAGCTCAACTAGTATCTCTTCCAGAACCCGATTTAGTGGAATGAAAAGATGCCTCACACATTGGGCTTAACGCACACTTTATTTCTCAACATATCTTTGGAAATTTTTCTAATTATGTCTTGATGGGTAGCATTTTTGCATTTCTCTAAATATATAGTTCATCTTTTTTAAAACAGGAGACTCTTTTTGAATAATCAGAAATCTTTGAATTGATCAAACAATATGACATTCAAATACATCAAAGGGTCATTACATCCCATTTACTGTCGCATGCTTCATATACATTACAGTATCCTCCCAAGATCAAGCTAAGTGATGATAACTAGACTCAATGATTCAAAGTAAGATGAGAAGTAATCATGCTTGTAGGGAATAACTAAGCCATTAGATGAAGAAAAAAAACATATCTTAGTTCTTTCAAAAACTTTAAAGAACATATCATAACCATTTTAGCATTGAGTTTTTTTTTAAAAATTTAATGACTAAACATATAGCATGTGGTGAGCTTATCAAGGTAAAGCATATCAATCATTCCCATCCCATGCTTTAAAATGAAGTCATCAATGGACTAAAAGATAGTGAGCCGTGGTAAAATAGTAAAAGATAACACCATGCAATAGAATCACAAGCATAGATTATAAAGAAGCATTCATACTACATAAACATCAATGACTATTGCATAAGCATCAAAACTAAAAGCACCCACATGTAGGCAATAGACACCGAGATTTACATAGACAAACACAAGCATGAGATGAAATCATAGCATATTCATTCACATAACAAAATCAAAGTTCACATCTTCATGCAATCATTTTCGACTAGGCTTCATAGAAGAATATTAAGGTACCACCATTGATGATAACTGCATCTCCTTAGTTGTAGATTCTCCTACGAAGACTGGTCTATCACTCACGCTGAGTGTACATAGAATTTGTGTTTTTTTTAGCATTACTTTTTTTTGGTAGAAATTTGTAGCCTTACTAAGATAATGGATCAAGCCCTCAGGATAAGATCTCAACCTAAATCGTCCTAAAATAACTAGAAAAGAGTCTCCTAAACCTTGTGTTCTAAGTAAAATTCTCCCACAAGGATTAGGATTTGTGGCGGTAGTGTGACAGTTGGAACCGCCGCTCTTTTTTTTTAGGTTGGTTGGGATCCTTTGACATTGGACGACTCCTCCTTGAAATTTGTGAGCATCTTGATGTATCCTTCATAGAGGTAGTTGGACACATTGTTGGGCCTCCACTTGTTCTTTCTTCAGATTGGGTGAGTCTTCCTCCTATGTGTTTGTCATGTGATTATATAACAACCTATTATACTTCTCCTTCGTTGGGCCACTTATTTCTCACGAAAGCTCCTTATTCTTTATTGTACAGATACTTTGGTTCTCCAAAGTTTTCCAATGCTTGATCCAATTATTCTTAGGTTGCTTTGTACCTTCAAAACCATCAAAACAGGTGCCAAATATTTCACCGAAGGCTTAGATTGAGATACCACAATGATGGTGGCCGAGTGCTTCAAATATGGGGCAAGGCCACATCAAGGTTGATTTTCCACTATGGGGAAGAGAACAAGCAATGACAGCAACCTGGAGTTGCATTGACGATGACAAGGACGATTATTAGGACATCCATGGAAAAAGGATGTGTGCTTAATGGCTATTGACGATTTGTCCCTCGACAATCACAGCAGGCCATCGGAGGTAATTAAAACTTCTGATTTTTGTGACAGTGATGATTATCCTTTAACTACCACTATTAGGAGCATTCAATGTTAATTTTCAGCAGTTACAATTACATATAGCAAACTGAAAGAGGAATGCAGCGAGGCTAAGAATAAAAATGACAGCTTGCACCAACAGATTGAAGAATACAAACTTAAGTGCAATGATGTAACTAACAAAGTGGATACATTAGAAACTGAAAAAGTTAAATCACTCGCACATTTAAGAGAATTCAAACGAAAGAATGATGGTGGTTCTAGCACTTAACTTAGATCTTGTTCGAGGGCTCCCTAAGATTGAAAAAAATAGAATTCTTTTGTGATGCTTGCGCCAAAGGGAAGCACACTAAGTCAGGTTTTAAAAGCAAACTTGTGATTTCCACTACTAAACCTCTTAAGCTGCTTCACCTAGACTTGTTTAATCCAACTAATGTGGTAAGCTATGGAGGTAAGAGCTATATGTTTGTTATAGTAGATGATATTCTCAATTCACTTGGGTTCTTTTCTTGGCTAGAAAGGACGAATGCTTACCAAGAAACTATATATCGAGAAACAACGTAGGATAGTTGGGATTAGAAGCTATCACAATGGTGAGTTCATCTCTTATAGATTTTATTCTTTCTGCATATACCAGGGGATACATCATAACGTCTCTGCCCCTAGGACTCCTTAACAAAACGAAGTAGTAGAACGGAAAAATAAGACTCTAATTTAAATATTCTGAACCATGTTAAATAATAATCTTCCCAAATACTTATGGGCTGAAGCTGTGAACACTGCTTGCTATAACATAAATAGAGCCCTAATTTGGTCTAGGATACTTCCATCCATTTGGATGTAGATGGTTTGCGTTAAACACTAAAAACAGTCTTGGTAAGTTTGATGTCAAGTCCCATGAGGCAGTGTTTCTTGGCTACTCTAATGTGAGTAGTGCCTATAAAGTTTTTAACCAAAGGACCCTCAAAGGTGCGGTTTTGCCACACAAACCGCACCCCCCAAGTGCGGTTTGTGTGTCAATTATTTTTCGAAACCAGACAAGCAGCCATGCAGATTCACAGACGTGGGGCTGCATGGAAGATGAAAAACGCACCTCTAAGGTCCGGTTTTCATTGATGATTTTGCCTATAAAAGGTAGCCGGGAAATCTTCTCTTCACACCTCTCCTTCTCCCTTTTCAATTTTCTATTGTAGCTCCATATTTCTCTAGTGTTTTTGCGGTTAACCTTAACTCGTAAGTTTTTTTTTTGTATTACTTTTTATTGTGAATTGTGATTTGTAATTTTTATGATATTAGTTGAACTACTGTTTTTTTTTTTTTTTTGCAGATGGCATTCTAAAAGTTCACGCTTGGGTTACGGTGGAATGGTTACACGGAAGAGAGCGGAAAGGGGGTCAACTATGTCGGTGGCAATTTTCAGAAAATAAAGGTCGCTACCACACAGATGCTTGAAGACCTCTATCAAATGTGTACTAACGTTACTTGCATGTAAGGGTTTTTCTTATAACTAAATTAATTAAATTAAATTATTTAACTTCAAGCAGAATTTTATTATCATAAAAATACATTTCATATAATTAACATAATAAAATTCGAAATCAATAATAATTTAAAGAGATACATACATATTATCATAAAACAAACATCCTAAATTAATTAACATAATAACATTCTAAATGAATAATAATTTAAATAGATACATACATATTATCGTAAAAAAACATACTAAATTAATTAACATAAATAACATTGTAAATGAATAATAATTTAAAGAGAAACATACATATTCAAATGTTTGAAATTAATAAAATTCATTTTGTACACATAAAAATAAATAGTATTGGTTGTTTGGTAAATAATTTAATCATATTGGTTGTTTCCAATAATTTAATCGAATACAGAGCAACACTCGTTAGACTCTTAGAAGAGGTATACATCTTCTTAGAAACACAGTCTTTTTGACAGAAAAAGGGGGGATCCGAGGATCTCTTAATACCCGATTTTCCCAGGGAATGGGAGGATATGATAATCGCTTAAAACCCCATTTCCTTAGACCGCACCTCGGCGCAGCGGTCCTCGATCCGTGGCAAGGATCGCTGACCTGGCAAGCGGTCCGCCACTGGATCACATCTTCATCCTGCGGTCCCAAAGGCCGCTGCCCACCAAACACAGAACGCACCTCCAAGGTGCGGTTTATACATAAAACGCACCTGGAAGGTGCGGTCTATTAAAAATGGTGTTATTAGTGTAAATTTTTTTCGGCTGGGTGCTAGTTTTGTAATTTTTTTTAAAGGTGCTTTATTGGAAAAATCCCTGGAAATAGCAACATCTTTACTTAAACTGGAGTTGCTGCCCGTAATGATAATTAAACAGAAATTTCCAGGTGCGGTCTATTAAAAATGGTGTTATTAGTGTAAATTTTTTCGGCTGGGTGCTAGTTTTGTAATTTTTTTAAAGGTGCTTTATTGGAAAAATCCCTGGAAATAGCAACATCTTTACTTAAACTGGAGTTGCTGCCCGTAATGATAATTAAACAGAAATTTCAACAGACTAAAATGTGGACAAGGCAGAAACACAAGAACTCCATCCACCACTTCACAGAACCAAAAGACATCCTCCCACATTGGTAATAGGTAAGCTATACAAAGGTATGACCACTCGATCAAAGGCTTCATCTATTCACACTGCGTTTGTCTCATTGATTGAATCTAAATCCGTAGCACAGGCTTTGTTAGATGATTTATGGTTAGATTCCACGCACGAGAAAATTAGCCAGTTTGAAGAAGCAAACGTTTGGGAACTTATTCTTAAACCAGCTTATGTAAATGTCATAGAAACCAAATGGATTTATAAAAACAAATCAAATGACATAGGAGAGATTTTCTTAAACAAATCCTGCATTGTAGCTCAAGCTTACTGCAAAGAGGAAGGCATAGATTTCAAGGAGTCTTTTGCCCCCGTAGCTAGATTAGAGGGTATCATAATGTTGTGTTCCTTTTCTAGTTCAAATGGTTTTAAACTTTTTCAAATGGACGTGAAAAGCACCTTTCTAAACGGTGACTTAAAAGAGGACATCTACGTGTCTCAACCTCAAGTTTTTGAAGGCTTCAAATTTCTAAATCATATTTACAAATTAAATAAGGTTCTTTATAGTATGAAACAAGCTCCTAGAGCTTAGTACGATAAACTGAGCAATGTATTAATTAGTAATGATTTACACAGAGTTTCAAAGGAATTTTTATTAGTCAAAGCAAGTATCTTAGTAACATGCTAAAGTAATTTGATCTAGGCAATCTGAAACCGGCTTCTACTCTCATGGTTACCAATGTGAAATTAGATAAGGATGAATCTAGAATTAGCATAAGTAAAAAGCTTTATAGAGGCATGATTGGCTCTTTGCTATACTTGACAGCCAACCGATCAAACATTATATTTGTCGTGTGTGTGCGCCCGCTCGGTTTAATTCCTAGCCTAGATAGAAATATGTCACTAGAAGGAGTATAGTATACTCTAAGACTACAACAGTCTGACCCATATGTGTACATTAGCTTAGTGAAAGATAAGAAATTAGGGGGGAAATAGTGAAATGATAAAATGATGTGAAAAGTTGTGTACAAAATCCTCCATGGCAAAAAAATTACCCGCTACGATGCAACTTTATGTATTTCTATTCGTACTTTTCCTTGCTTCTCTTGAATAATGTTGTCCATATGTATGCATTTTAAGTTTCATCCTTCATCGTATTACAGAATACTCTTTTCTTAGCCTCGTTTTACACATCACTACAAAACACACTACCAAAATATATAATTTCAATGCAATGTTTAACAATTAGGCCATAAAAAATTGGTGGTCTAATATGTTTAGTATGTTTAACAAATATGCAAACGCAATGTTTAACAAATACACATGTTCCAGCCACATTCAGCTGTCCAGAAACAATTTGGTGGTCTAATATTGATAGTATCCCACTGTATATGTATCCATTGGAATTGTTGCAATTAGTCTTCCACTAGAGGAAGTTGGAACCCTGTCCTATGGTTGAGTTTTGTTTCACTACTTGTCTCAACTTTGGACACAAAAGGCAACTATTTTGATTTTCAGCCATGAACCAGACAGCTGGTGAGACAGGTACAAGCTTACAAGGTAGAGTTTGAGGTATGGCCATTGGTCATTAGTATAGGAAATGCGTGATGAGGACACTAAGAAAAGTGAGCATATAGCCCCCAATATAGGATACCAAGATTATGCTTACTATCACATAATTCATGTCCTTGTTTGCAACCATTATTCCCTTATTACGCAATTGGTGCATATCCATTTGATAGTGCTCTAGTGTCACCGACAATTCCCCTGAAATCCGATTCTCTGATAGCAATTATCAAACGAGTTACTTTTTGTCATTATTAATTACGCAAAACATTGAAGTACAAACGTAAATTTTTTTATCTTAGGTTTGTACGAGATACATCAATGAAAATATATTTTGTGCCCCAATTGTACTTTAATCATTTCCTACTGATAATTTTTTTTTTATATATTTGGACTCCAATATTGTCGATTTTAGACAAAACTTATATTATGATTTATTCATCGGATGTTTTGTTTGATTAGGACATTCGTTTCATCTGTGCCTTCACGTAATTTTTGGCCTAATAGCCTACCACCAACATGAGGTTTTTATAGACTTGCATGTTATTAGTGTGAATAAGAGATTTAAGATCTATAACTAAAAAATTCTCGAATAACTTCAATTCTTAAAATCAAATAGTTTATCATAACGAGTAATACCATAGAATTTTTGACAAAAAAAGTAATACCATAGAATTGGGCACTTTTAAAACCTTAGACTTCATATATGGATGAATACAACCAATTGTAAGCATTCTACACCCTACCTATATCTACTACAAATATATAACAGTTTTTCAACATTTCAAATTTCATCTAACGAGAGCAAAAGTAAGAAGGGTAGATTTGTCTTTATAATTATTTGGTTTATTCGTAGAAAAAAATATACATCAAACTTGAGATTTGAACTATGTTCTCTTTAAACAATGACATGAATCATTATCAATTACAAATAAACAAATTTATTGTATCTTTTTAAACTAAAAACATGCAGAAACCTAACTCTTATAAACATATGAATGTTCCACTACGATTAACTAGCACACTAACTCTTCCGTAAGTATTTCTTTGGTGTTTGATATTTTTATTTTTCGTATTTTTATTAGTTAATTCAATTTTAACAATTAATTTAACTACTAGGTAGAAATATATATTTCAAATATTTTAGAAATCTTAGGATGTACATCATAAATATTAGTAATATAATAAAGCCTTTCCAAGTAAATATTTCATGGAACACATGACACACAAGGCTTAGATGATTATAGTATAAAGTTTCTAACAAATAAGACAAACTCTATTTGATGATATTAAATGTAAAACCAATAACAATAAAATCCATTGATTATACTAATTATTATAAAAAAAATTGGGAATACCATGTCCTCAACTCCTTATATGTGCTTAATCCAGTGTTTTCTCCAACAGAAAAAAAAATTGAGAGGAGCTCTCTCCTCTCTCCTTGAGTTTTGGTCGACGGTTCTCCTGCCATTAGTCGAGCTATGTCAACTGGCCGGAGCTGCTGTCCTCACTGTGATATCAAAGGTGTTTTGTTTGGCCCTTGCCAACCAAGGGGTGCAAGAGCCTCGAAGAGCCAATCCTCTCAGGGATCCTCGCAGGAAAGCGGCGGAGAGGGACTTGACGGCGAAGTGTGTGGCCGTTCATAAGAAGCGAAGCCAGAATATAGAGCCGGCCGATATTATTCCTGGGAAGCAGCTGTTAGTGGGTAAGAGGCCCGCTCCCCATAAACGGTTAAGGGATCAGGCCGATCTCCTTTCCCTTGGTAGGGATGCCCCGAAACAGAAACGTGCCTGTGTTATCAGACGACATATGTGGTGCTTCCGTTTGCCATCATCGGACGATATAGAAAATGAACTGTGGGAGAAACCTGTCACATCGCCTATGGTCCGCCCGGGAAAAAACCATACGAAAGTTATGGATCCTCTGTCAACCCATTTTCCTTGTGAACTTAGACCCTGGGAGAGGGCGAGTTCCGAGCTTAGATCCCGTGATGGGGCGAGCTTGGCTCCGGTGGGAGAAGGGAATGCGATGGCGGCGGTGGCTGGCCAGGTCCGGCGGCAGATTGGTCACTGGAAACCGGTGTTCTATTGGCTGGTCCGTCCCCGGAGCCGTAAGCCGAGAGGAATGCCAGCTGGCCTACGAGTCTATCGCGAGAACGTTGGCTCCACGCCCGATTGTATCGGGATCCAGGATCTTCTGTTACACGGTATTTGTTGGCCGGTTGGATTATCTACCAGGTCGTTAGAACCTTTTAAAAGTGGCAGCTTCCCACTCCAATTTGAACTCTCTGTGCCATTGGGGTATGCATCCAGGTTTGCCTTTATAAAGAACCCACTTGCCATTATCCCCCACCAATTGAAGTGTGGAAAGGAAAGGCGGACTCTGAGAAGGTTAGCAGCCATCCCCAACGCAAGGAATTGTTCTGGTAAGTGGACGCTATCGAGCGTGGAAATTATTGTTCATATATGGAGGGATGGTTTTTGCACCATGAAACTCTATTTCTTATTCTCGAGCTATCCTTGGGTACCTATTAGGCCTCCCCTTGGTAATATAGACGCTGGTGACATTGATTTCCTGTCTTTGTTTCAGTCAATCACCATGGCGCATATTACAAGAGACCAGGTTGTGGAATTTTCGCTAGTGGAGGTACAGTCTGATAGGGCTTGTGCAGCTAAGATGCTGATCGGCCGCGTCTTCTCGGAGGAGAGGTTAACGGTAGTGGAACTGCGTTCGGCGATCAACAACCCTTGGCAGGGCCATGGTAGAATCAAAGTTCGGGAGGTCTCGTATGGGTTATACGAGTTTACTTTGCCTTCCAAGGCTGCTAAAAACTGGGTGCTACAACGCACTCCCTGGGTTTTGAAGGATAAAATCCTTCACCTCCGCACTTGGGTGCCAAATATCACTTCTCGAATCTTCGAGGAGATGGTCGTTGCTCCATTCCGAGTTCAAATGTGGGAGGTGCCAGAAGACTGCTGCACTCAACAATTTGGGCACAAGATGGCGAGCTCCACCCTAGGCCGCGTTCTTGAAGCGGGTGTTTTCACATGTAATGATAATGTCAATACCTTCATTAAGGTTAAGGCGCTTATCGATTTCTCAAAACCTCTTCGCTCCCAAACCATGGCCACCAATGAAGAGACGGGGGAGTTCTGGATCAGGTTCAAATACGAGCACCTTCCCAGTTTTTGCTATAATTGTGGCCGCGTGGGACACTTTCGCCAAGATTGCTCTTTTGACCCTTCGACTATGAAGGAGAGATTTGGTCCGCACATGACGACCAAGAAGATGGGGCGGTAGATTTTTGAGGAGATGGGGAATGATCAACATTTCCAAGGACAACCAAAATCATTTTGGATCAATAGGAATGTTCGCAACATGAAGGGGGATGAAGCCAATCCAGATCGAAGGCAGCCAAACAGTCAGGGGAGGCATCCTGGTTCAGCTGATCCCCGCGTGCACAACACACAAGTGACGGGATGCGAACCTGGCTAAGAAACCAATATCGGAGAATAGTCCGCTGTGGATGGGATCCTCGGACAACCCATTTGTCACGACCGAGTCTCGGACCAGCTCGGGCAAGAATCCCCTTCAATTCCCGATTCCAAAGGGTACGAAAATCTCCATTGGGAAACTGGCTCGTCGTGGGAAAGGGAAGCAAGAAAATAGTGCTTGCCCTATGGAGATTGACGGGAATCAAATCCTGACCCATGAGCCTCGTCGGCGGGGAACCATGGGTACAACTCGAAGGGCCGATAAGAGTGGTCTTGCGGCGAAGCCGAGTGGGACAACCGTTCCTGCTTGTCTTGGAAAGGGGCAACTGCGTGCCTCCACTGTGCATGCCGACGAGATGGAAGTAGCTCGGCGGCGGCGGCTAATCCTTGCAGAAGAGTCGGAGGAGGAATTCGTTATGCAACCGGTGCCGCCTCCTGGGTCAGTGAAGACTGGGCGTGCAAACCGAAAAAATAACTCGGGCTGCCCTGCGGTGACAAAATCGGACAAGCCCCAAAAAACCTTGGGCTTGGGCCTGCTAGATGAAGGGGACAGACCTGGGGACTCTCCTCTTCCAGACCCGAAAAAGAGAGGGGGGTTAGGCCCAAACTGCGGGAGCCGAAACCAGTGGGCAGGCCCAAGAAAGAGACGGCAGTGGGCCTGAGCAAGCGACCCATCAACCTTCCTAAAGATGGCACGGGTAATTCCTTACCCACTCAAGTTGTCATGGCTGATATTCATTTTAAGGAAAACGTAGGTGTGGAGGAAGCAGGCAGGGAGGACACGCCAAATTTGGATGCTGTTGATCGGCCTGAAGACCTCCTGGAATCGGAGGAGACACTCTCTGAAGGTGAGGCCCAATCCTTCGAGATTAGGCGTCGTTCACCTATGATTGAAGGAAGCTTAAAAAGACTTTCCCGATCTTCTAAGGTCATCCAGGTGGTACAAGCTTTTGAGCAGGGGTTGGTGATGGATGACAATGAGGGGATGCTTGACTCTGGGGACAAGCAGGAGCTGGGAGGTGAAATTTCTCAAGCTATTCCCATTAATGAATATGGGAGCGATTTACCTAACCCAGGTTTGGGCACTAAGAAACGTCAGTTTCAAGAGGTTACTAGGGAGTTGGCGGATGATCCAACCCCAAAGAGACAATTTGTGGAAGAGAAAGATGAATTGAGTAAGGTGGAGGAAGCCAGCCTGGAGTGGCCCTAGCCAGTTAAATGAGGCTTTTGGCCTGGAATGTGAGAGGAATTGGGCCATCCCTCACATTTCAAACAGCTGTAGGATTAGTTCATTCCAATAAACCGGATCTTGTGTTCTTCTCGGAGACACGATCGAGCCGGCGTGTAGTTACCCGTCGTATGCGGGGGTTAGGTTTTGATTCTTCTTGCTGCTTCTTTGTTGATGCAATTGAGGCATCTGGATGCTTAGTAGTTGCTTGGTCCCCCGAAGTTGAAGCTTCGGTGTTTTTTCATTCAAATTATTGTATTTGCATTCAAGTTAATGAAGAGGATTTCTCTTATGTGGTGGTTTTCGTTTACATTAGCTGTAATCTTGCTCTTCGTGCTACCCAATTGGCCGAGTTACAAGAGATTTGTGAAAACATCCAACACCCTTACACTATCATTGGTGATTTTAACACTACGCTTCATGAGAATGAGAAGGATGGTGGGCTTCCCTGGAATGCGACCCAATCTCTTAATTTGCGTGATTTTGTCCAGAACCTTGGCCTCCATGACCCAGGGTACCAGGGTGATCAATTCACTTGGACAAACAGACGAATGGGGAGTGATTGTATCCGTGAACGTTTAGATCGTGCTCTTTGCTCCCAACCTTGGATCGATCGTTTCCCGGACACCTTGGTAAAACATTTTACAGACCAAGGCTCGGACCATCGAACTCTCCTCCTTTCCGACAAGGCCTATACCCGTAACAGCCGACCCCTCTTCCGGTTTGATGCCCGTTGGGCTGATAATCCTGAAGTTAGGGCTATGGTTAATTATGTTTGGAAGGAGGAAGTCCAAGGGACCCCCATGTTTCGCCTTTGGGAGAGACTCAAACGGCTTCGCCACCTGCTATATGATTGGAGTAGGGCGGGCACTACGAATTGCCTTCGAAATATCAAAACTCTCCAGGCGGAAATTGAACGAGTCAAGTTGATTCATCCAATTGATTGGAATGCGGTTAAAAATCTCGAGATTGAGCTTAATCGTCAATGGGAAGCTGAGGAAATTTACTGGCAACAAAAATCCAGGGTCCGATGGTTGAAGAAGGGGGATCAAAACTCATCCTATTTCCATACAGTTACCCGTGCTAGGAGAAAGCGGAATTTTGTTGTTGGTCTCCGTAGTGATACTAGTGAGTGGGTCACTGAGGAGCCTGGTAAAGCAGCCATTGCCACTGACTTTTACCAATCTCTCTTCACCTCTGAACAACAAGTCCCTAATATGGCGGAGCGAGTTGACAGTCTCCCCATCTCTCACAGTATTACACCTGCAATGAACACTGCCTTAACGGCCGAAGTCTGTCCTAGTGAAGTCCGGCAAACTGTGTTCTCCATGGGATCGAAACAAGCCCCGGGATCTGATGGTTTTACGGGGAAATTCTTTAAGGCTTTCTGGGATGTTGTTGGGGATTCGGTGATTGCAGCAGTCGTTTCCTTCTTTGAGACGAGTCGGATGCTTAAAAGTTTCAATCACACTTGGCTCACCCTAATTCCCAAAGTGGATAATGTGGAGACTATGCGACAATTACGCCCAATCAGTCTGTGCCAATTTGTTTACAAAATTATAACCAAAATCATGGCTGAACATCTCGCGTGCTTCCTGCCTCAGATCATCTCAGAGGGGCAAAATGGTTTTATCCGTGATAGGCAGATAATTGATAATATCCTCCTGGGGCATGAATTGATGCACTACCTGAAAATCAAAACACGAGGCAAGAGAGGGTACATGGCTCTAAAGGTTGACATGGAAAAGGCCTATGATAGAGTCGAATGGTCCTTTCTCCTCGCAGTTATGAATAAGATGGGGTTTAGCTCAATTTGGCAGGGTTGGATTCTTGAGTGCCTCCGATCATCCTCTTTCTCTGTGCTTATGAATGGTACTCCGTCCGGTTATTTTAAACCGTCTAGGGGGCTCAGACAGGGGGACCCGTTGTCCCCCCTGTTATTTGTTATATGCACTGAGGGATTTACGGCTCTCTTAAGAAAGGCAATTACGGAAAACAAGCTTCAGGGGGTTAAAGTGGCTCATCGTGCCCCCAGAGTCTCTCATTTGTTCTTCGCTGATGATTCTTACTTGTTCCTGAGGGGGACTCTTCAGGAATGTGAGAATCTGATTGTGGTTTTGAATGAGTACGAGGAATTGAGTGGTCAACTAGTGAACCTGGATAAATCGACAGTTTGTTTTAGCAAAAACATTGTGCTGCCTGATCAGGAATTCCTGGCGGCTGTTCTGGGGGTTGGAGCAGTGGGCGTACATGATAAATATCTGGGACTTCCTACGCTGTTTGCTCGATCGAAAATGGCTACGTTTCGTTACTTGGAGGAGAAGTTATTGGAGAGACTACAAGGTTGGAAACAGAAGACGTTATCCTGGGCGGCCAAGGAGACCCTCATTAAATCTATTGCCTTGGGTCTCCCCCTACATGTCATGTCTTGCTTCAAGTTGCCACTTTCGTTGTGCCGTCTCCTGGACAAACATGTGGCTCGTTTCTGGTGGGGGGCGACTGAGGAGCATTTGAAGATTCGTTGGGTCTCCTGGCGTCATATGTGTAGAAGTAAACATGAGGGGGGATGGGGTTTCGTAGGTTTGAGCAGTTCAATCAGGCTCTGTTAGCCAAAATTGGATGGCGTATCCTTACTGATCCCCAATCTCTTCTGGCCCAAGTGTACAAAGGAAAGTATTTCCCTAACGGGACTTTTCTCGATGCTACCGCCCGTTCCCGGCCTTCCTGGGGGTGGTAGAGTATCCTCTATGGGCGGCAATTGTTGAAAAAGGGCTTGCGATGGCAAATCGGGAATGGCCAAACGGCCTCTCTCTTAAAATCCAAGTGGATCCCTCAACTTCAGCTGGATCCCTTGCAGTATAACCCCTGTGTTTTGCCTGAAGAGGGAGATCCTTTAGTCGCTGAGGTTATTTGTTCTGGGGAAGGTCGTTGGTGCAATCAAAAACTTGCGCAATGGTTTGATCCTCCTACTTGTAGAGCCATTAAAACCATCCCTCTCCCTCGTCTGAATATGGATGATAGGTTGATCTGGCATGCGACAGCGGATGGGGTATTCTCGGTCAAGTCTGCCTATCATCTGGCTATTACCCTAGATATGCGGAGGGGTGGGTGGAAGTCTTCTGTCAGCTGGATGGATAAGACGAGTTGGATTCGTCTCTGGGAGGCAAACATTCCCCCTAAATTGAAGGTGTTTGTTTGGCAAATCCTCTCCCGGGCTCTCCCGACCACTGATGCTCTCATTGAACGTAATGTTCCTGTTCATCCTCGCTGCCCGGTTTGCTGGGATAGTTCAGAAACTTTGGAGCATCTGTTCCTTTCTTGTCCGGTGGCCCGGGCCCTCTGGGATTACTCGGGGTTGGACTATCTGGTTGATCAATCAACCAACGGTGTTTATGGCAGTGGTTGCCATTCTCTGGCGGATCTGGCGGTCTCGTAATTGGGTGGTTTTTTAGGGAAAACAATTTGGGATCCAAGTGTTGATGCGTCAGTTCATTCAGCAATATGAGGAATGGATTCGATTGCCTGCCCGGTCCATCGCGCAAGGCCTTCCTCCTAGCACAGATCCAGTGAACACTGAAGGGGATCTGCGTATGATCTGTCGGTGGGACGGGGCCACTAGGAGGGGATATCACTCGGCTGGGGGAATGGTTCTTGTTTATCCTACAGGTGGGATCGGTTTGGCTAAAGGGGTACAATTCCCAGTTATGGATGACCCGATGGTTGTGGAGCTTTTGGTGCTTAGAGAGGCCGTGATTTGGTGTCGCGGGCTGGGGCTTACTGAGGTGAGGTTTGAAGGTGATGCCAAAGTCATTATTGATAAGCTCAATCGGGGGGATCTTGGAGATAACAGGATGGGTGCTATTCTTGAAGAAATTTATAATTGTCTCCAGGCTCAGTCAGGTTATAGTGTTCGGTTTGTAGGTCGGCGTAGTAATAGGGTAGCCCATTTGGTGGCTAGAAAAGCCCTTTCTCTGTACTCCACCATTAGCCGTTCCTTTGATTTTCAGGCCTGGCTGAATTCCAGAGTGTAACTGTCTTTTTTGTGAATCAATATATGATTATCTTTTGTAAAAAAAAAAATATATATATATGTGCTTAATCCGTTACTTATAAGTATATTATCTTTTCACTTGGTTGGTAAAATAATCAAAATTTAGAGGGAATTTTATGATTTAAACATAAATTTTATGATTATAAAATAAATTACATCAGTCTAAATCATTAACTCATCCAAAATAGTTTAATTATAATTTCATTGTAAAAATAACCCCACCAATAGCGAGGAACATAGCTAGTTTAAATAAAAGAGAAAAAATGCAGATTATCATTCCAAAATAAAATACAGTGCATTCCTCAGGTGGTGGCGATATTGATCTGTGTAATACAAATTGATAAGACATCATTGGTAAGTGCTACAAGATCATCTCGTACATTGGAACGCATAATTATGGACTCAAATCTCTTAACATGAAGGTGTTTTCTTTTGGATGGGTCCAAAAGCAAACCATTTCGGAATCGGAATGCAATGGGCTGATGATCACATCCAGTTATCCAGCCCATGAGAAACATTAAAGATAAATATAACGGGCCTTTTCGTATAAACTCCAACGGGTCAGCTGTGCTAGGCCTAATTTATTGGTGAAAATTTGGGCTCATTCTTTCGAGTGCAGATCTGGTGACTAGGGGGTGCTTAGTCAATTGGCTAAGCCCACCTCAATCCTTGGATCAATCTAATGGTATAGATAATGGAAGGACTAATTTATTAATAAGAAGGGCAATCATGGAATTAGAAAAAATTCAATAATTTTTTTTTCCACCTTCTCTTCTGCGCTGCCAGCCACGGGAGATATAGAAAGACGAAGGCGACGATGGAAAAGAGGCGACTGACGGCGACGATGGAGAGAGAGAAAGGAGACCTCGACCACGACGGCGACGATGGAAAGAGGGAAAGGAGATCGCGACGGAGGCGACAGTGTTGAAGAGAGAGAAAACCAGATATGGTCTTCATCATCGGAAAACAGAGGAGAGAGAGGCAATGGCGGAGAGAGAGCGTCGGCGACAATGGAGGAGAGAGAGGCGGCGCGACGATGGAGAGAGTGAGAGAGAGGTTGCGATGGCAGTAGAGTGAGTCAGCGGCGGCAGCGGTGGAGAGAGAGTCGACGACGGTGGAGAGAGAGGGAAGAACAGTGGTTTGTAATGCAAGTGTTGTCGGTTTGTATTGTTAGTAATTTTGTACATAATGTCAGTGTTATTTGTATGGTTTGTATGTTTTGTAAAAATGACAAAGCTTACAAACATTACAAAACAACTCGCCAAACATTACAAAATAACAAAACTTACAAAGATTACAAAACAACTCGACAAACATTACAAAATAACAAAGCTTACAAACATTACAAAACAACTCGACAAACATTACAAAATAACAAAGCTTACAAACATTACAAAACATACTAACAGTACAAATCATAACATAAAGTATACAAACTAGACAAACAAACATTACAAATTATAATATATACAAAATAGTCATATAAACATTACAAACTGGAATGATAAAATTACGAAATCGTCGCCGCCAACAAATTGGTGATGTCGGTGTCTCTCTCCTCCTCAACCGCCGCTGCCTCTCTCTCCTCCGCGGTCGTCGTCGCTCTCGTCTTCTCTTGTCGTCGTTGTTCCTCGCGCGCCGTCGTCGTTGTTCCTCGCCGCCACCGCTGTCTCTCTCTCTTCTCCTCTACCGCCGCCACTCTCTCTCCTCTACGGTCGCCATCGCCTCTCTCTCTTCTCCTCTACCTCCGCCTCTCTCTCTCTCCCCCCGAACACAGAACGCCATCGACCTTAATCTCTCACTGCCGTCGTCCCTGGCCGCCGTCATCTCTGTGGATCCATCTCCGCGTGCGACAAACATGTGAGGGAAGGACTCTTTTTCTTTTTTTTTTTTAATTACAAAATTAAAATGTATAATTACTATGTTGTCCTTCCTTAAAATGAATTAATTGTAGCCTTAGGATTTTAATGAGCATAGAAGGCTGAGGTTGACTTAGCCAAGTGACTAAGGGTATGCCTAGTCACCTGATCTTAGCCCCATTCTTTCTGAAACCCACACAAACCGGCCTAAGTTCTGGTCCTTAAGGCCTCTTTTTTAAGGAAGAACTTAAAGCCTTGTGATTGGCTAATTCAAGATAAGGTAGTTAGTAGGAGTTATTAGTTAAAAAGTTGTTAGGGGTATTAAGGAGAATACAATTAAATTAAAACATGTCTATTATTTTCAAAAACCCTAAGCGACGGTTTATTTTTGGTTTTCGTCGGGTCTGTTTATTTTTCCGCTGTGGGTCTGTTCCAACTTTTCCCGGCGTCCCTGCTTCTCCGTCAAACACGAGTCCGTCGTCCCTGAAGCAATCATCTTGAAGACGCTCGTCCGGTCGAGTTTTCCGTCGACGCTGTTCGAGTTCTCCCTCTCTCTCGTCCGGTCGAGTTCGCCCTCTCTCTCCGTCGTCGCTGTTCGAGTTCTCCATCTCTCTCGTCCGGTCGAGTTCGCCCTCTCTCTCGTCCGGTCGAGTTCTCCCTCTCTCTCGTTTCAACTCTCAGTCTCTCGTCGGCGGCCACGTGTTAAGGTATTTTTTTGTCTTCGATTTTTTTGGCCGCTATTTTGAGGGTTTTTGGCGTTGCATGTTGCATGGGATTAGGGTTTTGGCGATGCATGAGATTAGGGTTTTGTCGTTGTATAGGAGGAGTAGGGGTTGTACAATGGTAGGTCCATTTTTAATTTATTTGGTTTCTGTTATTAATAATTTTGTGGACGTTTACAGATTTTTTCTGTCGATTGTCACTCGTTATCAACCTTTTGGCATCTATTATTAATCATTCCGTGGACATTTGGAAACCGCAATGTGTCTATATTATTAATTAATACGTGCTTGTTTTCAACTTTTTTGTTCTATATTATTAATCAATTTGTCATGCAAGTCAATGTGTTGTGTGTTCATTGTTAATCAATCTGTGCACGTCAAATTAATTTCGAATTTGGGAAATATTGTTCGTCGCGTCGATGCATGGGATTAGTCGGTGCACAATAGTATTTATTTTTAATTTTTTTGTGTCCATTATTAATCAATTTCTGCTCATTATGAACCTTTTGTATATATATTATTAATCATTCGGTGGGCGTTTACAAGCTGTTTTGGTCAACATTGTTAATCAATATGTTCTCGCTCTCAACCTTTTGCTTTTTATGATTAATGAATCTGTGCTGTTATGTAAATTATTTAATTGCATTGGTAATTTTTTTTTTGTAATGTTCTTTGCCAACGTGATAATTTTGTGAACACCATAATCAATTCTTGTCGTGTTATGTTTTTTTAGTATTGGTCGTTATCAACACTACTAAGTTATGTTCGTTATTAACATTTTCTTTTGTATTGATCGTTATTAAAAAATGGGTTATTAATCATTTCGTGGACTTTCTTTATAATTTTTTACAGTGGTCCACAATATAATATGGCACGTACGAAGAATACTTCGCTTAAGTCTGCACCGTTGAGTAAGCCTATGAAGAAAAAGGCAGATGCACCTATAGCTGATGACAATCGCTTACCAATCAGGTGCAGTGTGTCTCAGGTCCGCAAAATCGTTAAGAATATTAGCCCAAGTCGTGCGGCTATGCTTCGAAGTTATGGGTTCGGCTTCGTTCTTAACTTGCAGATGCGTAGTATTGACCAGGATTATTTGCGCTTGGTAAATATTAATTTTGATAATGAGTGAACGAACAACTAGCATCTTTAATTGAATTTATTTCCTGTTGTGTTTTCAACTTTATCCTTAGTCATTATCCATAAATTTGTTTCAGTATTAATTGTGAGCACCTGTCCTTGTAACATTTTGTAGGTCAGTCTATGTCGTTCCAGATGCCTGGCGGGGTACGTTTGTATCTTACTGAGGATGACGTCGAACGCGTGTATGGCTTTCCAAAGGGTACCAATATTGTTGATCTTGACATCTTCGACCAGCGCAATACAAAGGAATGGGCGTTGGCTCTTGGCATATCCACAGTCGGCCCAAATATGATTGACCTAATGCAGTTGAAGAATGACATGAGGAACACAACCGATGATGAATCTTGGGTGCAGATTGTCAAGTTATTAGAACACGATTGTTAACGACCATTGATTATCAGTGTTTTTAGAACACGATTATTAACTTTTTCTCCCAATTCATTAATATAATTTCGATGATTTATTAGAACACGATTAGAATTTTGATGCGTTAGATTATCAGAAGTTTATTTAACAGTGTTTCATTAACGACCATAGATTATCAAATTAGTAGAACTCAATTATTAACTTTTTCCCCCAATTCATTAATATTTTTTAAACCTATTGTCAATTGTCGTCAACATAATTATTAACTTACCCATGTTGTCAATATTAAAATCACGAATGTCCATGACAGGTATAGCACTACCATCATTCGTCCGTTAACACAATTATTAACTCTATTTACACTACATAGATTATCAGAAGTTTATTTAACATTGTTTCAATAACGACCATAGCTTATCAAATTAGTAGAACACCATTATTAACTTTTTCCCCCAATTCATTATTATTTTTTAAACCTATTGTCAATTTTTTTGATAGAAAACACAATAATTAAAACCTATTGATCCACTGTAATTATTAATAGGCTAGATAGAAAATGTTAATAACTCTATTTACACTACATAGTTAATAACTGGTATTATTAATTCTATATCATATCATTAGTAAGAAAATACATCCCATATATGACCACTACAGTATTATAATATTTATCAATTTTTATTGGTAATATTATCAATAACATATTCATCATTAGTAATAATTATGAATATTATAACCTTCTTTATCTATCTTTTTCTAAAAAATACGATAGTCTTCGCAAAAACAATAACTGACTACAAGTGCCACATAATAATAATAATACTGTGTTCACCAATAGAACTCTATTTGGTGAACAACGCATAGTCCAAACACCTCTACCAACCGAGTCCAACAAACAATGTACTTCTACACTAATGTTGGTTTTTTAGACACCTCATGTATGGTTAAACCTTCTGCTTCTTGGCAGCCTTCTTTTCCTTGTCCTTCTTTGTCTTATTCATTTCCTTCGCCCTCTTCTCCCTGGCAATTGCTTGTTTACTCTTCAACCTTTTCCTCTTCCGGGTCAGATCACAAGTTGACATCACAAGATACTTCATTCAGATCTGCAACGTTGACAAATTAACAAAACTATTACCTTTAATTATTAACAACTACCCACTTCATTATTAATCTTTATTCTCCGATTATTAAATAAACAATTACAAGGTACCTCATTCAGATCTGCAACCTTGAAAAATTAACAAAACTATTACCTTTAATTATTAACAAAACTATTAAAACAACGAACATTTTTACGTACAAAGTGGATTATTAATTTAAACACTTCGATTATTAATAAATTGGTATTATCAGTTAACAAGTATTATTAATAAATTGGTATTATCGGTTAATACTCGTTTATGAAGATATTGATAATATGTTTAAAAATAGTAATGACCTGATTACATGCAACGTTGATTATTAATTAAAACACCACAAATATTAACAGTTAACGAAGGCATTATTATTAATCCCACACCAAGTTATTAACTTAAATTGTTAACAACTCTGGTAAGTATTATTCAAAATTGGTATTATCGGTTAATACTCGTTTATGAAGATATTGATAATATGTTTAAAAATAGTAATGACCTGATTACATGCAACGTTGATTATTAATTAAAACACCACAAATATGAACAGTCAACGAAGGCATTATTATTAATCCCACACCAAGTTATTAACTTAAATTGTTAACAACACTGGTCTGTTTTATTAATAAATTGGTATTATCGGTTAATACTCATTTATGAAGATATTGATAATATGTTTAAAAATAGTAATGACCTGATTACATGCAACGTTGATTATTAATTAAAACACCACAAATATTAACAGTTAACGAAGGCATTATTATTAATCTCACACCAAGTTATTAACTTAAATTGTTAACAACTCTGGTCTGTTTTATTAATAAATTGGTATTATCGGTTAATACTCGTTTATGAAGATATTGATAATATGTTTAAAAATAGTAATGACCTGATTACATGCAACGTTGATTATTAATTAAAACACCACAAATATTAACAGTCAACGAAGGCATTATTATTAATCCCACACCAAGTTATTAACTTAAATTGTTAACAACACTGGTCTGTTTTATTAATAAATTGGTTTTATCGGTTAATACTCGTTTATGAAGATATTGATAATATGTTTAAAAATAGTAATGACCTGATTACATGCAAAGTTGATTATTAATTAAAACACCACAAATATTAACAGTTAACGAAGGCATTATTATTAATCCCACACCAAGTTATTAACTTAAATTGTTAACAACTCTGGTCTGTTTTATTAATCAACGATGCAGCCAAAGATACGTTAGCAAAACAAAGTCCCAAAAACTTACCAAAAATAACGTCTCTTGGCCTTGACGATCCCATGGAAAACGAGACTAGAAGGAGAGACGACAACCCCGACGACGTCGGGAAAGCAGATGCGAAGGAGATCGTCGCCGACCTTCTTTGCGACGAGAAGGTGACAGCCGAGACGTCACCGGCCTTCTTTGAGACGACGACGACAGACGAAAAACAAGAGAACGGGACGACGACGCCGGAAAGCAAGCGCCGCACAGCAAACGAGAAAACGAAGACGAATGGGTTTAGGGTTGGGAGGAGTTTCTTTTTTCTCTCGTTCCTTTATTAATGATGACATTTAATTACTTTTTATATTCCTGTCTTACCCTTTAACGTATTAGGTAGGTAGTTAACCAATCATTAGTAATCACTCTCTCTCTCCTTCTCCTATTGGCTGAAAGGGGTTTAAGCCTGATCCAACCCGCACACAAACCTGGAAGCCACGTGTTAGAATGGTGTTCGATAAACAGCGTAGCATCTCTGGTCAAAACTACATCGGCAGCAGAGGATCTCCTCTCCCCAGTCGAACCAAAACTTCCCACCCATCTTGCGTATTCGGACCAGTTCTTCTCAACCCACGCGCTTCAAGCAATCGCCAATCGGCCACGTACCGTTGTTCCGATCTCCACTGAGGAGGGAGATCGTTCAGAAATCCGGCCAACGCTTCGGTGAAGGACATGGGCGATCAAATAGCAAAGGGAGAAGAATTCGAGAGGAAGGCTGAGAAGAAGATCAGCGGCTGGAGCGTATTTGGGTCCAAGCACGAAGATGCCGCTGAGTTGTACGCTAAATCTGCCAACCATTTCAAACTCGCCAAATCATGTATGTCGCCGGCCACCAGCTACCCCTCCTCCTCTCCCAACTCTCTGTCAGTTTCTTTATTTTGTTGCTAAATCTCGTGGTGGTTATTATCTGCAGGGGATAGAGCGGGTTCTGTTTTTGTTAAGCTCTCTAATTGCCATCTCAAGGTAGAATAACTGAACACGTCGGAATCAATGGCTTTCTCTTAGATCTTTGGTTTAGGGTTAATCAACCCCGCCGCAGTGGGTTCTGTGACTTCTAACTGTGTTTACACTTCACAGTCGGACAGCGATCATGAAGCTGCCAGTGCTCTCGTGGATGCTGCAATTTGCTACAAGAAAACATCAACCGAAGGTTAGATTATAATGAACAAGTTTCCCCCTCTCTAGCTTAAAGTTTCAATTTATAATGCCGTTTATTTGCGATCCCAACTGTGAAATTCTTGGGGGTTTTGATTCAATTGGGCAGCCGCCATATCATGTTTGGAGCAAGCAGTGGGCATTTTCCTGAACATGGGCAGGTATAACATGGCTGCCAAGAATTGCAAGGTAATTCTTATGCTTGGCCCGAATTCTCCCGCTTGCATTTTGCTTTCAAGATAACGTTAATGGAGTTTGGTTGACTTTGTGGTTTAGGAAATTGGGGAGTTATACGAGCAGGAGGAGAAGATTGAGAAGGCTATAGCGTATCTTGAGCGAGCAGCTGAGTGTTATGAACATCAAGAAGCAAGCTCCTCTGCAAACCAGTGCAAGCAGAAGGTTGCACAATTTTCTGCTCAACTTGAACAGTAAGTTGAATTTGTGAAACTTGGTTGTTTAGCTATAATGATCTGCTGAAGAGAATCCGTGTACCTCAAATTGACCATGGCTTGTTTTTCCCTTGTACTGGCATTTCCATTTTTGCATTTATTTGTTAGTAAGAGTTTCACACTTCATCTAAGTCACAAGAATATAGCGTAAATGTCACCTGTTCTTGTCTTGTTCTGCTTTGGTATAGGTATCAGAAAGCAATTCAGGTGTACGAAGAGATTGCGAGATACTCCATCAACAGCAACTTACTGAAATATGGCGTAAGAGGGCATCTTCTTAATGCTGGTCTTTGCCAGCTTTGTCGAGGGGATGTTGTTGCCATAACCAATGCATTAGAGCGATATGAGGTTTAACACCACCTAGAATCGTTGTGTGTACTCATGTTAAGGGCTGTTTTATGCTCACTATGCATACCCCCTAAACTTGTGTTATTTCCTCAAATAGAATGGTCAAACAATTTCATTTTTTATGCAGGATCTAGACCCAACTTTCTCCAGAACTCGGGAGTTTAGATTCTTATCAGTAAGTTACCTTGACTATCCGGTTAAGAACTGTGTTTAGATTATCTGCATCTTGCTCACAACCCTGAGAAGAACTTCTGCCACTAAATAATTTCAGGATTTAGCCACTGCAATGGATGAGGAGGATGTAGACAAGTTTACAAGCATTGTGAAGGAGTTTGATAGCATGAGCAAGCTGGTACATCTCCTTGTCAGAAAAATGACCGCTAATTCATTTTCATGGTCTATGTTTGACTGTGTGTCCCTAGTTTTAGCAAGAAGAAACTGATTTGCGTACTTTTGGGAGATAATCATCACTCCCTTAGGATGACTTTGTTTCAAGTTTGTGACAACTGATATTAGAATCCTGCATTTTGTAGGATTCTTGGAAAGTGACCCTGCTGTTGAAAGTAAAGCAAACTCTGAAGGACAAGGAGCTGGAGGAGGATGATTTGACATAAATTCCTCGGTTCAACATCATATTGGTTTGGCAGATGCTGTACATGTAATAGCACATCAGGGAGAGCTAGAACAATAATGCATTGCCGCCTCAGGAGTTATGTACTATCAGCAACAATAAATAAGGTTCTATCCAGTTCTTCATAGTGTCTTCGTGTAGAAATATGTGGTTGCAGGTTGGTAGGTGAGGGGATATTCAGAGTTCACGACCACGAGCTTCCGGACTCCGGTGGTGAATCAGATTGAGATTTAAAATGATTTTGTTCAAAATTCAATTGGTTGATGGACTTGGAATTATCTATACGGCAGCATGGATGATAGAATCCACCATGGAATACTTTTTTACTAATGTTTGGAAGTTGTGTTACTTTACTCAATTTTTTTCCATAAGGATTGTTTCTATGATACAATCATAAATTATCATTCGAAATGTGTGACTATCATATCTCAATTTTTAGATGAGATTGTTGAGTTGATAATAGGGGTGTATATATCGGTTCCGTTCAAATTAAATTAAATTACTTTGATTCGGAATTTCAGACAATCGAATATGCGAGGTTAGCTTGTATCTTCTCATTTTCAAATTATTTGTCACCTCTGATGCAAACAATAAATATACAATTCTATGCATCAAATGATAAAATCAAATATTTTGACACATAAATCATAAAACATTAACATGATTAAAATCTTCAAATCTCAAGACAAGTACAAACATCAAAATCCACCATTTGGAGTGCAACTATTGTTGTTTGGTTTGGAATTCAGAAGTTTTGTTAAGTCGAAATGACCTGATTTTTTAAATATGCCTTTTTCCTTCTAAATTCCGAAATGAATAACATTAAATCGATTTTGGTTTGATTAGGATCGGTTTTACCGAACCAGATGCCACCACTAGTTGAGATGATTTTATTTCAACTTTTAACTAATGTGACATACACAATCACACATACCAAACGACAAATGCATCAAATTCTTCAATACATGCATAATATTATGTATGTCTTCATCCCAATAGATTTATTTAATAATTGCAACTTCCAAATGACCTAAGAATCACCCAAATGTTGTCGAACTGTCGTTGTCTTTGGTCGGTTACATTCACTATCCATCGAAATGCTTCCTTTTTTTTGGGATTAAGCATTGTATATGCATTTTAGCTGACATTTATAAAAACAACTATTGGATCAAATGAAATGGAATTACTAAAAGGGGTCGCCTAAATGAGGGATTTCGGCACAATCCCTCATTTTATAATATTTCAGCGCAATCCCTCATTTTGTCGGATTTTGGCTAAATCCTTTGTTTGGGTGGTAGATAAACAATGAGGGAATACAACGATGTGTAATTTCAAAAATCAGGTATGGCTGGATTTCTAAATAGTTTCCTCCCCTAGTGATGGTAATGTATCCAGAATAGATCGAGTAGTGCAATACCAACAAGCCCGACCCATTTACTTTTGGGCCTCACAATCGTCATTTTTATTCAAATCGGAATCATAGAGTGGTTTCAACAAAAACCCCAAAATCTGGAAAATTACGGTTCTTATTTCTGCTCGTGATATTTGGTCGATCTCATTGATAAAGCGTTCAAATTTTGTTTGATTCCCTCCAAAGTCTGGTAGATTAGTTTAGTTCGTTGTTGCTCCTAATACATGGTCGACCATATGTTTGCAAGGTTGACCTCCTGTGATTGCTATCGAAACTTTGTCAATTCATGCAATGTGTGTTGCTGTTCGAAATCAGGGTCGACCGCAACTTCATTCTTTCCCAAATTTTTGTGGTTGGGTTTGTTTTCCAATTGTGATTATTCGGTCAACCTCTTCCTTCTCAGCGAACATCTACGCAAAAGCAGCCTTATTTCCTTCTCAGCGAACATCTACGCAAAAGCAGCCTTATTTAACATCCTACCCCTCATATTTTCATTTTCTTCTTATATCATGGAGGGCAATAAAGGTAAATTACACTTTATACATACAAATTTAATTAACAAAATCCATCATAAAATCCATCAAACAAACAATGGTGTTTATCAAATCCATAATGAACCCAAAATCCTCATATATCCCATGTTTTTCAAAACCCAAATTATACCAAAATTTTCATTTTTCAAATTCATGAAGCAACCGACCCCTTAGATGGATTTTTAAAATCCATTGGACCTCACAAATTTTGATCCCAATATAATCCAACATGCATGAGTTACACATCTCATAATCCAACACCACTTTAGTACCAAGAACTTCAAGTATAAAATCTTAATCAAAATCCCAAGAATAAACTACCACTGCATATTGATCGATTATTTTATCTAAATGACTATGGTTTGAAAGTCACCATAAACATAGTAACTTCCGAGCGTGCAAAACTGGATATCATGTTCATGTACTGTACTATGGTGCAATAAGACAACTCAGACGTCCAATAAGAAATCGGCAACCTTTTGGTGGGTATAAACCTAGGTAACCAGTTCGCGGAGCAGGAACGAGAGCGCTAATTATTCAAGAACTCAATATTCAGAGCGCAGCAAGAGCGTGATATTATATTATTGGAATTAATTAATTTAGTCAATTTTTTAGAAGAAATTGAATCAAGCAAGAAGATTCCAAGTGGAATAGCTATATCTTAGTATAGATATAAAACTTGCTAGATTGAACAAGCAAAACTAAAAATGTTAAGTGATCAAAATTGCGTGTAGCAACTAAATGTTGGCTTTAGAGTCCGTTAGCAGCAACGTTCTTAGTCAAAGACTCAAACTCAAAGTGCAACGAGTGACATATTTTTGCTCATTTACCAAAACAGACAGCCCAGCCCTTGACAATTATGGAATTAGCCCTCTCCTACTCTTCCTCTCCTTTCCGTCTTTGCAACTCCCCTATCTTCAAAGCATTGGAAATCCACGCTTTCTTTTCATTATCAATTGCCTCCTTTGTTGGTGTTGCTCTGCTCGCTCTTTCATATCACCTTCCCTTCCCCTAGGTTTTGTTGTCAATCGCTTCCCCTCTTCTCTGCCATCACCCGCCGGGAATTGTCTCAGGTGTTCTCCCTCCAGTCTCAATATAACAACCCCTCTCCAAATTCCAATCTAAATTAATTTAATCAGATCAAGTAAATCGCTTCTCTGTTTCTTGATTTCTTTTATTAATTATCTCTCTGTTTATGCGCGCGGTGAAGGAAGGGGGTTTACCGTATTAGTTTGTTTATGCATGTGATGTGACTCCAATTTTTTTGATTTACTCCATGCCCACAAGAAGCGAGATGTCGCTCCAACCACCAGCCTGGGGTGGTTGCGCCTCCAGCGCTGACAGATAAAGCTGAGGTATGTTGTGTGATTGCAGCAGCGAGACGGTGGAAGATAACTAAGAAGAATTCACGCTCTAGAAAATGTAATTCGCGCTCCCACTAAATTTAGTTCGCGAATTATTGAAGCTCTGCTGAAAGATCACGTTTTTGCGCGCTCGAGCGGGATCGGCAGGCATAGAGACGCGAATTAGGTAGCCTAAGTATAAACAAGTAGTTTCTCTGCCAACAAAAAATGATTGTTAACGATAACCAGACAAAAGATGCTCAGTCACCTTTCCACACTATTTTCGACTCGTTGCTCGCTTTTTTCCTTCCTAAATCGTCACTCACACCAGTCGAACTCTTCTATATCAGAAATCCATCAGCTTCAACCTTCTTCCTGTCATCTTCTTTCCCGCAAATCTCCTATGATTTTTCCTATCCATGGCGTCGTTTTCTCTTGCCTCCAAGCTCCCCTTACTACGCTCCGACCATCCGGACGACTTACTCGGAAGTCAGCCGTTTTCTGCTGCTGTGAAGGCAGTTTATAGTGGTCCTTCTTCCAAGCTCTTCAACTTGAACTGCCAGGTCAACATTCATTCTTTCACATCTTACCGCGACGCGCGATTCTCCGCGAGCAATGTTCCACGCGCCACCGCAGAGATAGTGGTGGATAGCGCGACAGAAAAGGGGGAAGGGAGTGGGGGGAGGCTTCTCAGAGTTGGACTGGTATGCGGCGGTCCATCTGCAGAGCGTGGGATTTCTCTCAACTCTGTTAGATCAGTTCTAGATCACATACATGTAATCTTTTGAATATGCCCACCATGTGTTTGAAACTTTGTGTTAATCACTTGTTGGGAAAGAAAGTCTGTTATGTTAGTTACTATGAACTGTTCTTCTTACCCACCATCTGTTCGACAGGGAGATGATCTGCAAGTGAATTGCTACTACATTGACCGTGACCTCAATGCGTTTGCTGTAGCCCCTGCCCAGGTTTGTTTCTTCTTCTGCTGTCTTCTTATAGAAACTATGATTCTTATGAATCGTGTCAACGATTATAGATTGACAGTCAATTTGCTACTTTGACCATAGCACGGCCGTACTTATCATGATGAATACAACTATTGACTCTAATTTTGTCCTTACTCTCCAGGTATACTCAAACACACCAGCCAATTTCGACTTTAACCTTGAATGGTGAGAACTTTTCTGTTGCTCCTGATTTCTTCTTTCAGTCGATAACTGCAGGAAACTTAAAGCTGCTTAAATTGTCTTGCTTTTACAGCCTTGCCCATCGTTTTCTGTCTCTGTCTAAATTCGTAGAGCACCTTGCTGCAGCTGTTGACATAGTATTCCCAGTTATTCATGGTCAGTTTGGCGAAGATGGTGGCATACAGGTATAACAAATAATGATCCCCTTTTGTCAGTATCGCACCAAAGCAGATTACAGCTTATGAGACTATAATTTTTATTTGCGTTGCTGTCTGAATGATTCAGGAATTGCTGGAGAAATACAATATTCCTTGTGTGGCTACAGGATCAAGTGAGTGTCGTCGTACATTCGACAAGGTATAGGGAAACTCCAATATCTTTCAAATCTCAAGACTTCTAATACATTGTGATGTGAGGATATGAGGGACGTGGGTATCTGTTGAAGTATAAGTAAAAATGTTAACCTACATAGGAAACTTGTTAAGCTGGTTGAGTTCAGAGATTGCATATTCAATGCCAAATCATTCGAAATTTTTCGAGGTGTATTATTCTATGTTTCAAGCTTTTGTCACATGTTCTTACAACTTATCCTTTGAATTATTGGCAGTATGAAGCCTCCTTGGAACTTAGAAAACAAGGGTTTGTTACGGTACCAAACATTTTAGTTCAGGTATTGCTCTAAACTTGCTGAAATTCAGTGTGTCCTTTGCTCCTTCACGATTTAATACTGGTGCTTGAATATGAATTGGCAATTAGGGAAGTGAACCCAACGAATCTGAAGTAGCTAAATGGTTCACAAGCAACCAGCTTGACACCAAATCAGGGAAAGTAGTGGTAAGGCAGTCTTCACTCATGTTGGCTTAACCAGAGCGGAACCCATGTTTCAAGATTGCTAAGCCCAAACAATTCACATTTTGCAGGTGAAGCCAGTCAGAGCAGGATCAAGCATTGGTGTTACAGTTGCTTATGGCGTTGTCGACGCATTGCAGAAGGCTAAGGATATAAAATTAGAGGTAACCTGAACTTTATCTCGTAATGGCTAAGCATCTTCGAAAGAAACGAGGCATGATGCTCATCTAACACAGTCACATGCTTGTTGGAACATTTGTGGAGCACTCACCCTCATCTAACAAAGTCTCTTACTTCTTCCGCAGGTAGCTTATCACACTCCCCCTCGTTTTCCCATTGAGGTAACAAGAACTATCCGTGAGGGAGCATCTTGGCTTTTTAGACAACTTGGCCTTCGTGATTTTGCTCGAATTGATGGTTGGTTTCTGCCATCATCTACAAACTCGTTCTTTGGCACAACAGATGGGAATTTTGGAAGGTCTGATATGGGAACAGTACTGTTTACAGAGATAAATCTGGTCAGTAGTTTCCCCTAGATTTTCCCACTGACACTGCCATGCGCTCTTCTGGATACGCCAAATTGACTTGTGTTTAATTTTTACATTAGTGGAATGGAGCAGACAAGCTTCTTATTTCATCAAGCTTCAAAGGTTGGATTCTCTCATTCAAACATCCTGAGGAGCATCGTTCACCATGCATGCTCAAGGTTTCCCAATCTTGAATCATACGTCGATATTTCCAGTCATTTGTCAAGAAGAACAAATTCCAAACTGCTCACTGAAGACTCGGATGAAAAAAAAGGCATTCGTAAAGTTTTTGTCATTTTTGGAGGAAATTCATCAGAGCGTCAAGTGTCTGTCATAAGTGGAACAAACGATTGCCTTAACTTGCAAGGCTTTGATGATGTTAGTTCCAATAATGATGGCTATAAATTGGGTACTCTATGTGCTAGTTGACCAATGTCTAACATTTTTGAGATTTTCTTCCCCAATACAGCTTGAAGTTATTCCTTGCCTCCTTGCACCCTCAGATGGCCGGTCTTCTAATGCTGGATCACGGACAGTTTGGTCATTGTCGTGAGTAGAAATCTTAAAAGCACTTGGTGTCTTGTTTTGGAAAGCTGTTGCTAGTACTATGCATATGAACTTACAACGCGCCTCTTTTTGCTACAGTTATTCTCTTGTCCTGAGACACACCGTAGAAGAGGTTCTTGATGCTTGCACTGAAGCAACTGACCCATCTAGGGCTTCATTAACATCTCAGTTGCGCAAGCAAGTGATGGGTGATTTGATGGAAGGACTTGAGAAGCACCGCTGGTTTAATGGGTTTGATATTACTGATGAAAAACCTGTAAAGTTCTCTCTTCAGGAGTGGATTAAGCATGCCAAAGAAGTGCAAGCAACGGTAATCCTTACAGGTCCGTGTTTTCTTGGCCATGTATACTGGTTTTTTTTTTGCTTTAAAATGTTCCTGAAGCTTGTAATGCACAATTCCTAGTTCACGGAGACATTGGTGAAGATGGTACACTTCAATCCTTGCTGCAAGCAGAAGGAATTCCATATACAGGTATGCCCTTATTACCCTGGACCAGCAAATTACATTTCTTATGATAGTAAGTAATTCATTGACATTTCCTTTGGCTACATGAATTAAGGTCCTGGGATACTGGCATCAAAGATTTGTATGGATAAAGTGGCTACATCTTTGGCTGTTAGTCATGTATGGTAACAAACCAAGTTTTGTAAGTTGTTTCAAAACACTTCTATGCTTATTCTGGAGTCTCATATGCTCTATAACTTAACAGCTTTCCGATTTTGGAGTTCTCACCATAAACAAAGACGTGAGAACAAAAGAAGAATTACTGAAGAATCCCTCATTGAAGATTTGGAATCAGCTGACCTCAAAGCTTCAGTGTGGAACATTGTGTGTCAAACCAACAAGAGATGGATGCTCAAATGGCGTAGCAAGAATCCAGTGCATTTCTCAACCACTTATCATTGTTTCTATTTATATTTTCGATGATTCAAATAAGTATACGACGGTTCATTTATTTTATTCTGCAGTTGTTCCGAGGACCTTGCAGTTTATGTAGCAGCATTGGAAGAATGTCTCCCACGGATTCCACCCAACAGTTTTTCAAAGGTAATATACCGAACAGTGCAACTTATTTTACTTCCATTTGTTCACTAATAAGTAATATCTTGCTTACATATGGAATGTTTTAGGCACACAGACCGATTGAAATGCCAAATCCTCCTCCAAAGAAGTTGATCTTTGAGCCATTTATCGAGACGGATGAAATCATTGTCTCTTCTAAGTCCGCAGACGGGCTATTGTGGGAAGGAGAGAGCCGATGGGTGGAAATAACAGTTGGTGTAGTGGGGAAACGTGGTTGCATGCAGTCACTTTCTCCGAGCATTACTGTCAAGGAAGGTGGTGATATTTTATCACTGGAAGAGAAGTTTCAGGGTTTGGATTTGGTTTGCCGGAGAAGTTTACTGATGAGGACATCAACAAGGCTTGGCTTATATCATTTATCATGTGTTCATTCTCTTGAGGTAGCTTATAACATTATGATTTGTCTCTGTAGGTGGAACCGACATTAATCTTACTCCTCCACCACCATCGATTGTCAGGTATGTTAGTTGTTGAAACAGCATCAAGTTCTTGTGTGAGCTCTGTATGTGGCATAGCTTTTCAAAAACCCTTGTGTCTCTCTGTCTGCTGTTTGCTTTAGTGAGGAAGCATTGGAGAAAAGTAAGCAGCGCATTGAGCTGGTAGCAAACACACTGGAGTTGGAGGGGTTTTCCAGAATTGATGCCTTTCTTAACGTTGACAGTGGAGAGGTACCCATTTCTAAACCGTGAAAAAAAAGATGATAAAGGAGCGAACTTTCATGACTGGTTGATATGAATTGATTGCAGGTGTTGGTTATAGAGGTGAACACTATACCTGGAATGACTCATTCCACTGTATTGATTCATCAGGTAAGTTTATGATGAACATACCAAATTGACAATTTTCTACACATCTGTATTTTTTCCTATGTAAATGCAAGCTGCAGAACCCTTCAAGATGATCTGCTAACATTCGGCGTTGTGCTGTATCATATATGCATTTGCGTGGCAGGCATTGGCAGAGCAGCCTCCGGTGTACCCTCATCTGTTCTTCCGTAGGTTGCTCGATTTGGCATCCGATAGAACCATTTAGGTGCATTCAAATAGCTTCTTGGTGGACTTGTTTGGCCGACATATGGCAGAAGAGAAGAGACATTCGTGCGTGCCTTCTGTAGCCTAGTTGTGGCGATTTGTTGGATGTTTGTTGCATTTGGACCATCGTGATTTCCTGCAATAAAGTGTTGTTCATTTGTCAAAGCTTTCTTTTTTCCTTACCTCATTAAGACCTGCCTATTTGAGAGTTTATTGATTGGTAGCATTAGCATGCAACAGTAGAAATGTTTAGTTACCAATATTTTTTGGTTGCCTAAATAACAAGGGAAAAAAACAACGTTGATGAGTGAGCATGGGCTGGGCCGAGATGTATCCGGGCTGTGTCTTGCTATCTGCTCATCTGTCAAGTATGGGCCTCATTCAGATTAAGAAAAGTTGGACTAGGCTTATTGGAACTGATCCCCAAATTTGTTTATTCGAGTTGATTTGGCAGGTACCCACGAGACAAAAGGGTAAAACTGAAAGGCACAAAAGAAAGAAAGTGACTCCTGCCAATCAAGAGTCCAAAGCAAGATCTAGAAGGTGTTAAAATTTGAACGATACGGTCTGACCCTTCTTCTTCTCGACCGCTGGTTGCGAAGAATTAACCAAAAGGCTAGCCATGGTCCTGGTCATGCCGCCGCCAGCAGCGACATATATGTTTGACTATTTTTCTTTGCTATTTTCATAGCTTTGAAAATTACAGAGAGACGAGTTTCGAGAAGAGGAATATCATTCTCCTTCCCTCTCCGCGGGCAGAAGTAATTAAAATTGTTTTATTTTTGGAAGATAGGAGGGTGGCGTGCTGCTGAATAGCGACACAAGCTCAGACAGCGGCAGCAGCTCAGACGGCAACGGTCAGGTTAGAAGTTTTGAACTCTTGCAGTGCCTGCCACTTGGAGAGGCGAGATCGGCTTGGGGCCAGCCAAATTTGTAGCATATTGTGTTTCTTGACGCCGACCAAAGTCCCCGCCCCTTCCAAGTGCCAACCAACGACCGCTGCCGCTCCAAGGTACTTGTTTTTTAGCTGCTGGGTTCCATTTTTCGTTATGCCTTTGAAGCTTAGGTTAGGAATTCAGCTGAATGATTCTCTTCTTTGGATCAAAATATGCTTGTTTTGAAGTTCTTTGCTTTCTGGACCTAGGATTAGCCAGACCTTCTCAACCCACCTTCTAGGTTTAGCTCGAGGAAGCGCCTGCTGCTCTAATTCTGTGTTTGTCCCGTTCAAACATTTCCTCTCTAGAGAAGCATATCTTGATTTCTGGTCTGGTAGCTGTCCAGAATTTTAGGCTTTATGCAGAATATTGTCCATAAGTTTCGCCACCTGTCTTCATTACAGAGTTTTTTGTCAATCTCTGCTTGTTCAGAACAGAATTGACTACTTGTACTTCTACTTGTACATGGATATTCGGTTGTGCTAGCTTCAACCTGAATTCAGTTCTACTGGAAACCATTTAGCTATTATTTATGTTCACTCTTGTGCTTGCTTTTGATCCCTGAACCTAACAAGTGTTGCGGTTGCTATTCGGAACAATAGGTATTTGGACAGCTGATGCTGGTTTCTGAGCCATCATCCAAGTCTGAATTCCCTGCAAAAATGGCATAGAAGATGACGCATTTCAGCTTTATTTAGGATTCTTAGGCATCACCAAAGGGCAAGCAGGATTCCATCACAATAGTCTAACCAGAATCACCTCCTAATCAAAGCTTCTCCACCTGAAATGGTGTCCCACGATGATGGAGAAGACTTGTGTGGATTCGAGCAACAACCATCAACAAATCTGGCAGACAATAACTCCAGCAGTCCAATTGCTGCTGGTCTCGACATATCAACTTCCAGAAAAATACTTCTCAAAGGGGCCAGCACCTCTTCCACTTCCAGCACAGGAGAAGGCAAACTACGCATATCGAAAGTCGTCCCCAGCAGGCTACAAATACTGAAACTCTCTTCACCTACCGGTTTAAGCTCTCCATCGGCCAAATTCAAGCAGATCGTCGAGGGAAGAGACGAAATGTCCCGTACTGTTCCTTCATCAACCACTCAACGGTTCAGGGAACGCTTGCAGAGAACCCTCTCCAGAAAAATCAACTGGGAGTCAATGTGTGCCATGTTCAAGACTTGGATCAAGAGCCCACTCAACATGGTACTCCTTCTATGGATAACATGTGTTGCAGCTTCGGGAGCTTTACTCTTCCTGGTAATGACCGGAATGCTCAACCACGCCATACCGAAGAAATCGCAGCGAGACATCTGGTTCGAGGTCAACAACCAGATCCTCAACGCCTTGTTCACCCTCATGTGCCTCTACCAGCACCCGAAACGTTTCTACCACCTCGTCCTCCTCTGCAGATGGAAGCCACCAAAGGACATAACCACGCTCCGAAACGCCTACTGCAAAAATGGTACGTACAAGCCCAACGAATGGGCTCACATGTTGGTCGTTATATCCTTGCTCCATCTCAATTGCTTTGCCCAGTACGCTCTCTGTGGGCTCAACTTGGGATATAGAAGATCCGCTAGGCCCGCCATCGGCGTTGCTATCTGCCTCTCAGTCGCTATAGCTGCACCTGCTATCGCCAGCGTCTACTGCATCCTTAGCCCCCTCGGCAAGGAATACGAGGACCCTGGAATGGACGATGATGTGGAATCTCAGAGTCGGCGATTGTCGTCGGAGAAGAGATTCTCGTTTGCATTGAGAAGCGAGCTCGCCGATTGTGCAGAGAATGCCCCGAATTGGAAGGGTGGGCTGTTTGACATATGGGATGACATTTCAGTAGCCTACCTATCACTCTTCTGCACATGTTGTGCATTTGGGTGGAACATGGAGAGGCTAGGGTTTGGCAACATGTATGTCCACATCGCGACGTTTATACTCTTCTGCTCGGCCCCATTTTGGATCTTCAACCTGGCTGCCGTGAACATCGACAACGACACTGCGAGGAGTGCTATGGGGTTGATTGGGGTTGTGCTTTGCTTGTTCGGTTTGCTGTACGGTGGGTTTTGGAGGATTCAGATGAGGAAGAGGTTCAATTTGCCCGCGGCAGAGCAGGACGTGTGCTGTGGGAAGCCAAAGGTTGCAGATTGTGCGCAGTGGCTGTGCTGCTGCTGGTGCTCTCTGGCGCAAGAGGTCAGGACCGCTGATTTCTATGACGTGGTGGAGAACAAGTTTTACAGTAAACAGGGGAATGAACTACCGGCGATGTCGCCTCTGGGGCGTGAAGGTAGGAACCCGTCTCCTACGCTGATCCATTCTCCAGTTTTTACCATATAGCTTCACTCGGCTCCTTCACCATCTTCCTCCTCAATTTGCATCTTTCACACTTTGAATTTGAAACTCATAGTTAAAGGCTTGTCGTAACACCTAATGGGACAGTTCTAAGGCCTCACCGCAACTACGGATTCGGAACGCCTCATCGTTGATCATCAGCAGTGATGCTTCTGGCGCCCAGCATAAGGAGCGCTTGTCATGACAACACCAGCAGGTCATATGTGATAGAACACTTTGTATTACTGATGTCTTGGGCACGTGTTTGTATCCATTTCGTGAGATTCAATTTTGGAAGGCAAACTGCTGAAAACACTTTTGGTATTGGACCCTGACAATTAAGGCACCAAGTAGTATATCAATGAATGAGTATTTGGTCATTATTATATATATGGAATAACTTTAGTTTTTCAAATGATTATATTTCTAGGATTTTTTGGTTGGTGAAGTATGTAAATTCTTATGCTTGTGGAGTTCTTCCCATGCTTAATTTTGTGTTGACGGACAACCATGGTTTAGCTTTGTGATTTGTTCTGAAATTTGTTTTTTGTGGTCTGCAGATACATGGCACTTTTCTGGGTTGACAGATAACTATGATGATTTAGCTTTGGGAAAAGTTGAATAGTTTTGTGCTTATGAAACATATATAAGATGTTTCAACGGTATAAAACAGCTCTGTAGGGTACTGAACTAGTTGACTTGATGTCCATGGAACTTGTAGCCGGTGTAGGCTGGCTGACTCTGTGAGTCTGTGTTATATGCAATTTAGATACACTAAATTTTAACCGTGCTCCATTGATTCTAGTTACAATTTAAGATAGACATCCACCAAAATTCACCCAACCAGCCATAAAACATAAACACACTGACCAGCCAAAACTGTAAGCCATACCTGGTGTGGTTTTGCCAATGAAGAATGAGCAATACGTCTCAATACACTAACAATTATTACGTTGACAAACTCGCTATTTCTCAATTTTCAAGATCGGTCTCATGTGTCCCTCCTTGCAAGATTTCCCCATCGATTTTCAAACTCGCCATCTATGGTCAATTTTGAATCCTCCTCCTTAGTCACATACACGGGCCTCATTATGTAGAGCAGACAATCACCAAGTCAAAGGTAGAAGAAAGGAGCGGATACAAGGAATCATATGGCCATAGAGCTGAATTGAGAGACAACGACAACATAAACTAAAGAGATAAATACAAACCAAGCTAATCGTTATCAATTACTATTTCATGGAGATAAATCCTTCCCTACCACCCACTCAATTATTAGTAATGAAGGCCAGAGCAAACACCGTAGAGCAGTAGCGAAGGATAAATGCAAAAACTAAATTACATCAACGGAGAAGCAGCCACGAGACCTTCTCGAAAAAAAAAAAGATACGCTGGAACTGAACCAAGGGGGAGGAGGAGGTGTTGTCCATGCGGAATGTCAGTCTTCAAATAAAAAGCGGCAGAGCTCTGGAACAACAGGGCGCGCGCGATTGGAGGAAGAACAATTATGGACTGCATGGGAGACACATGGTAACAACGGCGGAGTCGTTCTTCAATTCCAATCACTCAATTTTAACTCCTCGTTTCGGTGCTTTAGAGAGGAATGACAGAGTGAGGGCGCGATGGAGACGGAGCAAATAAGATGTCGTCGTCGGAAAACAGTCTGGCTGGCGAAAGAGGATGAAGAAAAAAGATACCCTGGTCAGTTGGGTGGTTGCAAGGCTTAGTTGGTTGATAGGCTACTGGTTTGAGCGAAACCCAATTCCGCCACATGGTCAGCCACGTGGACTAATCATAAACAGCGGTGCCCTACTTTTAATAGCTGCACAGTAGTATTGGCCTTTATTTGAAGTCTGTGGGCTCGGAAGACATGGACTGGTTTGGAGTTGTAAGTAACATTATGGGTCGTAGTATAAGTGAGGCCCAAGGACTTGACCAGAAGGAAAATGCCAATACTAAGGTGCCACAGTAAAGAATGCGACACCAGTGACGCTGAATATGATTGGGACACATGGAAGTGCTGTGGCGGGCCTGGTTTATTTATTTTGAACCCATGACCCTTCACAATTCAGAATTGTCCAAACCGAAATCCTATCCAGCAGACGGAATTACTTATGTTTCCCACCGTCGTTTTCTATTTGATTTCCTTTCTATTAATTAATTTTAAATTGATTTAATTTTAACTGCATTTTAGTTTTATCATGAAACAAAAAAATGAACGTAAAGAAAATCCAAGGAGCGTCTTCGTCGAGCTCTCAGTCCAAACTGCTACGGCGAGAATTCTGTGAGAACACCAAACTGCTCTAGCGACCTCCACCTTCTCTTGTCAGGACTCCATACCCTACACTAAACTCCTTCGTCGTATCCCCCCTCCTCCATTCATCGCGTGCAAAAAAACAACGAATCCCTAGTAGCGGGAGGCCCTTTGTCTCTGTCTAAGTGGTCTGCGTTGTCCCCTCGCTCTGCACCCTTCCTGTTGACGAAGCGGAATTCGAAGTTCTATGTTGCCTAGAGACATTGCCTAACAAATCCGAAGGATTCTGGTAATTCAATTGGTTTGTTTTTTGAGAAACTAGGACAATAATTAGTCTCTTTTTGGTCCCGGATTAGGTCTAGCTTCCTGACAATTCATCATGGACGGCATATCTTGGTGATGAACTGATGATCGAACGGGCGAGGAAGGAAACAAAACGTTGGACGTAGAACAAAACTAAGTAGCTCAATCAAAATTTCATTTAATAAATGAAAAAGAATCAAACGTTGGACGGCGAAGGGGTTCTCCGTTAATGTGGGAGAGGTGGTTTGAGTCACTTCAAATCAGACACCAAAATTGGGTTGGATTTAATAATCCAATCAGTACCACATCAGTCCACGTGGACGAATTAAAAACTGCGTCATCGGTACCGCACTTTTATAGCGGCACGATAGTATTGACCGAAGGAAGATCAACTTGAAATTCTTTCTACCTTCATTGTCTTCTTCGCTGAGCTGCTCTGTATCCAATTTAGCTCAACTTAAGTAACAAACTTGGGTTAGGTTACTAGAGTCTTACAATTAATAATTGGAATATTATTTAACCACAATTCAAAAATGCCAAAAGCTAAACTGGGGCAAAGCCCAGCAAAAGGCGGATTCTTTCGGCTTAGCTGGTTGAAACTTGAATACCAACCGCCACGGGAAGAATCCACTCGTCTCCGACCTTCATATAATCACACTTCATGAAAATGAATAGAGCAAACACATTTCACCTATTACACATTAATTAACTGGCAGCGAAGAAAAAGATGAAAACAGGTAACCCAATATGGAAATAATAAAAAAATACGTACACTTAATTAGAGTTCAAAAAACAAGGAAATAAAATAATGTAAACACATGTGGAGCAGCCGCCGAATTGATAATCAGATGGCGAGAACAAGGCCAGGCAGAGACCGCTTGTAAAGATCAGCCGGCCGGCTCCTCCACAGCGTCAGCCTCTCCCTCTCCCTCTCCGGCGACGGCGTACGCCGATGTCCATGACCGGCGGTCACCGGTGGCCGACCGGTAACGTCCTTGACGGTGAGCCACGTGTTGAAATACTCCCTGAACTGAGTGATGACGAGCAGGCCATGATCCTCCCTCAGCGTCCACACGTGCACCCAGTACACCTCGCCTTCCCATCCTTCCGCGATCACGCAGTCCCCGATCGCCTCGACGCTACGTGGCTCGAACCGGAAATTCGTAGACGAGGATTGGTCCGACGTGGCCGCCAGCTGCCCCGTCAGCATCCGCATCATGTAGTCGCACCCCGGTGGGCCGTGGAACCACCACTCCAGGTCGCTGGCGATGACCTGCTGGCACTCCTCGGGCAGAAACGACGCCGCATGGGCTAGGGCCTTGTAGAGCGACCTGACTATGGATTTGGTCCGGGCGGCTCTGGCTTCACATGATTCCGCCGGGTCGTGTCCCAGCAACGACGACGACTCGGCGGCAGCGGCCTGCTGCTTGTTGTTTTCGTCGGAGGTGAAGAGGATTCTCCGGGAGCTTAGTTTGGAGAAGAGGGAGGAGAGGGAAGAGCCGAATGCTTTAAAAGAGATTGATGTTTCTCTTGGGAAGTACATTTCTTTCCTTTTTCTTGGGCGAGAGAATGAATATATTTCTCTCTCTTCTTAATCTCTCTAATTAACTCTTTCTTTTTTTCCTGAATGTTACTACGGCAGCATGAACATCTATATATATAAGCCCGAGAAGGCAGGAGAGAGGAGTGATGCCAGCCAGCAAGGTTGTCAATCCGTCGGTCGATCTAGATCAAGGTTGTCAAACCGGTTTATGCTAGTGTGCCTGTTTAGCAAGTGGAATGGTTCGACCGGTGGCACATACCGGTTTGTGCCGGTTCATGCCGGTCAATATTACAAATAAAATTATAAATACTCATTTTAAACATGACATTTAACGTCAATACCTAAACATTTATACTTGATTCCAACAAATAACACCAAAATTTAACATTTATACTCATAAAATAAATAATAAAATAATTTTTAACAATTAAAGTCACTAAAATAATGTTATTTTACTTAAAGATTCGTATATTGATCATGCCGGTCATACCGGTGATGTCACGCCGGTTTTATGACCGGTACAGGTTGAACCAGGTAAAACCGGTGGCACGCCGGCCGGCGTGACAACCCTGATCTAGATTCTAGACCTGATCGAGCTAGTGAGTCAAGAGTTAATGGATCACCCGTTTTAACCCTATTTAATGCGGTTTAACTCGGAAATATGAAAAAGTAATTATATTATACTTATCTTGAATGCAACATAGAAAAAATACAACACTACTTAAACTCCAACACACTTAAAGAACATCAACTTAAATTCAACATAATAAAAATTCAACGACACTTAGGAACGAGAGCTCGCTGACCAGCTCGGATGGGCCAACCGCCCGAGTTTTTCCGGGTTTGACCATATTTTTTCGAATTTGACAATTTCCGGACTAACCCATAAATGGACTGTTCTAACCCGTTTTCAGGAATGAATCCGGGCCAACCCGGGTCGATCCGCGGGTTGACAACCTTACTAGCTAGGTGGTATAAAGGGTTAATAGCTGGGAGTGGCCCCCAGATTACAGGGACGTTTTTTTGGATTGGAATTTTGGCTCAGGAAATAGGATTAATGACAAATCCAAACTTTGTTTTTTGTACGAGGGTGTAACGCGGGACGAATGTTACATATTACAAAATTGGAAATTAAGATCAATGAGTTGGAATTTTGAACTTTTTTTAATTAGACTAAATTCGGCTGATTAACTCAAATAATTAATCTTTATGGGTCTTTCAGTCTTGCGGGGATATTTTTCTAATACTAAGATGATTCCAATGATCGGCTGTCGTATTTATATGGCAGCATACTACTACTGCTGCAGATCCATTGTAATAGAAAAAAAAAAAAAACATTGAATTGTAGTTAGTGATGTAGTGAAAGCAGTTTACGCGCGTTTGTTACTGACAACAAACTAAACTTCATGCCAAAGACCCTATAGTCAAGTCAACTACTACGTGACGTGAGTGTCTACTGGCCGGGTTAACGCGGTTTCATTACCGACGGGGAGACCGGCCCGTAGAATTCCGGCCAGGGGCTCGGCTTCTGTTCTATGTGCTTTGGCGTCGTGCGTCGATTGTCAGGTACGAAAAGAGACGAACCATTTCGACGCAGCAACCGACGCGGCCGGGAAGAAGACGCAGCCACACTTCCCCACAAGAGAAGCTCCCATAAATGGAGAAGGCCAACTGTGCTTCATGTTATTTTGGACGCCACATTGGACACTACTCTTTCTGACATTCAACTTTTTTCTCAAACTATTGAGAGCTATTAGCAATGATGGATTTAAGGGTGTTGCGGGACGCCTTAAAATTTGGAAAAATGATTATCTAACTTCTGATAGTAATTTATGTATGAGTTAAAAAAAATATTTAAGTGATAGCGAGACACCCTTAAAATTTGGAAAAAATGATTATCCAACCTCCGATAGTAGTTTGTGTATGAGCACAAATACTATTCAAGTGACAGTCTATGTGATTTGAACTTGGGACACTGCTACTATTAGTGAACATACTTTCAATTAGACTAAAAATCATTTGTTGTTGTGTTTTAGATCCAAATATAGTAGTAAAATGTTATTCTTTTCAACAAATATTTTCAAAACCTAATGATTTAACTCAAATACTTGCTACCTTTGTCTAGTAGGATATGTCGAGAGAGGTTTATTGAGCACACGACACCAAATGTATTTTTATCATTTTTCATTATACGAAACACGTATTAACTTTCATTTTAACTTTTACTAGTTGTATATTTACATATTTAATAATTAGTTCATTTAATTTCTAATTTATAATTAAAATTAATTTTTGAGAAAGGACACCCCTATGTACAATTTTTGAATCTGCCACTGCCTGTTGGTCCTTGATATGATACCAGCGGTTATCGAGAGTTCTTCCTTTCAAATCTCGACAACTCCCATTTGTTAAGCATATGATATCCGGACATGTGCTAACTTGAAGCCCATGCACGTTGGCTTTGGTTTGAGGGAGCATGTAAATATGGAGTATAAGATCTATTATATATTGAACCTCTTCCAACAACTCGAGTTATTGGAACCAACTAGTTCTTGACAGTTTCTAGGAACAAATAGCAATACATCATTTCAATTGCTCGCTCTATATTATATTTCAATTATCAGTTTCGTAAGTCAAGCAAAATTTGCTCTGATTGATATTGCTTGTCGTTGTATATGATTTGGTTGCAGAAAATAATCTTCAATCAAGACAACCTCAATGTAATCATTGAAGACGTTTTCAAAGAACTATAGAAGAAACATAAGAAACGGCTAGAAGATTATGACGTGGTAGAGCAAAGATTACTCACCTTTGAATCGAGACGTAAACAATATGCCAAACTTGGTTAACGAAAAGTTATGCGTTCTTTCAAATGTGTACTCCATTATCTATCTTGGCATGTGTTTGTCTTGCAGGTACTCTAATTATGGAATCTCTCTGTTCTGGTCGATAGCTTTGATCAAGCTGGAAAGTCACTTAGAGGTAGTTTGAAGACAATGGGCCTTCCTAAGTCAAAATAGCAACTTGGCCTCTAATTGACGCTGACCCAAATCTAAACTTAAGCCCAAAGATAAAGAATTAAGGAGAATAGAACTCGAAACATCTTCATTTTATTGTCTTCTCATCTCCTCACTGCAATTCTTCATATTATCTGTATTCAACTAATGTGAAACTTGGTGCCTTGTGTTCAACCATCTTGGGTGGTCATATTCTATCGGGTCCTCACTGAGCACTGTTGGCGACGCTCGATCCTGGGTCTCTCTTTTCGGTCAAGCAGAGGACAACAAACTAGATTACTTTGAACCTGAGTTGGTCAATGGTTTGTTGTGCATCCCTAAATCTGCAATGAAGGAGGGGGTGAAGCAGCTTGAGCACAGTCTAGTTGGTCGATTTCTGCGCGCACCGCCATCAATTGCTTTGATTCGTTCCTAGGCAAACTGGCTCTGGGGTTGCGATGGAGAGATCAGAGTTTCTGAGTTTGAGGATTGCCTCTTTCTTTTCCAGATCCCATCAGAGGTTGTGTCGCGTTGTGTTTTTGAGGGGGGTCAATGGCACTATCGCAACAATATGATTTGCTTGCGTAATTGGGTTCTAGGGATTCAGGATCTCAAAATTGACAACTCGGCAGTTACTATTTGCATTATGCTTTCGAGTTTTGCCAGCAGAATTATCTTCGAATGAAGGGCTAGGTTGGATAGCAAGTTTGATTGGGCGCCCGCTCTGTATGGATCAACCAACGGGTTTCAGGCAACATGTGGGAGCTGCAAAGATATGTATCGAAATCAGCACCAAAAATCCATGGATTGATCAAATTAGTATCACCCCTGATGGTATGCAGGAGTTGTTCATCCAGATAGAATACTTATAGCATCGTATTTGCACGTGTTTTCACTCGGGTTTCCTGTCCATTTTGGCTCGAATTGATTGTTCCTTGGCCTATTTTAAGCTAGGTTGTGTTGTTTTGTCGTATTTCAAGTCCTAGCAAGTAAAGAGGTGCATAGGCGCAAGTTTCAGGTCATTTGGAGGTCAGATGGCGAATCACAGAAGGAATTACGGGCAGCCCCTGCTAAATTACGACCGTAATTTGTCAGGGCATGCCCGTAAAACAATTGCCGAGCCTTTTCCCCAGAATTTCCTCTTGGTGCTAAAACTACGGGCAAGACCCCCAAGAATTACGACCGTAATTCCCAAATTACTGGCGGTAATTGGGAAATTACGGGCGTATCTCCTCCTCCTTCAGCTTAATTGAAACGTGCGTTTTGGGGCGAATTACGGGCAGGACGTGATTACGGCCGTAATTCATCCCGTAATTCGCCCAGAGTCGGGTTTTTGAAGCCAGAATCGAGCCAAGGAAGGGGGAATCGAATTTCTTGAGCAAAAACAGAGCCCTAGAGAGAGAAAGGACGAAGAACTCACCCTAGAAGCCATCTTGGAGCTGGGTTTCATCAAATCAAGCTTGGAGATCGTCCTAGGAGTGGAAATCATCATCCCGGAGCAGATTTTCCTCATCTTTATGAGTATGACTACTCCTATTACTGTTTTCCTCTCTCTCTATGGAGTAGAACCCCTCTCTCACTTGGGGATGAAGAACCCTAGTTCTATGTGTTAGGAATTGATTGTAATGACTTGGGATGAGATTACTGTTTGATTTTAATAGAATGATGCATGCTTATTGAGTCAATTGAAGTCTGATAAACTTTTCCTGATTCCTGCTGCAATCTGAGATAGATAGAATCTGATTAGGTTGCTAGAGTCTCATCATTCGATAGTAGGAGATTGGCTATACGAGAGTTAGCCAGTTTACTGCTTTGTACTGGAATCCAATTCAAGTAGTGGAGTTCTGTTCTTACTGCTTCAGCTGTCTATCCCGGTGAAGACTAGTCGTCTGCTGGGTAGTTAGACTGAGAGGGCTTGGTCAGCTTAAGAGATTCCAAGCTACTGTCGGATCTTCCGCAGTCTAATCAACAGTAAATCAACCCAGGGAAATACAATTGAAACCTAACTAAGGAGCTAGGGGGACTCATTCCCGAGTGACTCATTCCTGCTTAAGAAAACCGAATAATTTCCTGTTTTATTTCTGCTTTTGCTTTTAAACAACAATCACTTACTTTAGTTGGCTAGATAACAGAGAATCACTGAGTAAGCAGTAGATCTAGACCCCGGGTTGATAATATAACTTGCCTGTTAATGCATTCCTGGTCTGCGATTACACTTGGTCGCAGATTGGTGTTGTGTTTTGGCGTGTCAAGTTTTTGGCGCCGTTGCCGGGGAACTCTCTAGGTTATTGGGGAAACGTGAGAATTTGTTACTCTAGCTTTTTATTTACTGCATTTTATCTCTTCCACCTGTGTGCCTTCACGGGTTGCTTCTGCTGATTGTGTGCAGGTAGTGCATGACCCGTAGCCAGTCGGGAGATCTACTACCACTAGACCAGGAGCTTGAACGAACCTGCAGAAACTTCAAGCGGGCTCTAAAGGCGCGACTGGCTGCGGAGGAGGCGCTATCACAGCTGCAGTTAGAAGAAGAGGAAGAAGAGATGGCTGATCCACAGGGCCATGCTGTGATCGATCCCGAGGAGCAGACCATGGGACATTACTGGACCGTTAGGGCTGCAGACATGAGGTCACCTATTCAACACCCTCATGTCCCAGCCAATAATTTTGAGGTGAGCACCTCAGTAATCACCATGCTGCGCGGTTCGGTGATGTTCCGTGGCAAAGAGGGGGAGTGCCCCCGATCACATCTCAGGCGATTCCACGAGCTCATTGATGGAATCAAGATCAATGGGGTACCCGCAGATGCCATCCAGCTGAGGTACTTCCCATTCACCCTGGAGGGGCAGGCCAAGGAGTGGCTAGACACTCGACCTCCAGGCTCCATCACCACGTTCGCCAACCTGGCGGACAAGTTCCTCACCCTCTACCATCCTCCATCCAAGACAGCTGACTTGCAGAAGCAGATCACCCACTTCACCCAGGATGAAGATGAGACCATCCAGGATGCTTGGGAGAGATACAACAGTCTCTTCCTTAGGTGTCCCAATCATGGTTTCAACGATGCTTTCAAGGTGGGAACCTTCTATCATGCCCTCTTCCCGGAGGACAAGCAGCTGATTGATTCGGTCTGTGGCGGGAACATGCTGACCAAAACACCGCCACAGCTGAATCAACTCTTTGAGGAGATGGCGGAGAACGGGTACGATTGGGGCACTGCCAGGAGATCGAGACGAGCACCAGGACGGGGTGTGCATGCTGTAGGCACCCAGTCATCTGATTTGGTGCAGGTGGTATCGAAGCTGGTGTCAGCTATCGATCGTTCTGGTTTGATTGCAGGTACAGGACAGCCGCAGGCGATGCTCTGCCAGTGGTGCGAGAGCACCCATCACATTATGGAAGACTGCCAAGCGATGAAGGAATCGACAACACCCCAGGAGCAGGTGAACTTCATCAACAATGTTAGGCGCAACGACCCCTACAGTAACACCTACAATGAGGGGTGGCGCCAGCATCCTAACTTCTCCTGGGGTGGGGCAAATTCCAGACCACCAGTTCCCCAGGGACCACCGGGCTTCCAGAGGCCACCATATCAGCCCAGACAGGGGCAATTCTAGCAGCCACAGCAGTCTCTCTACCAGCCCATGCAGGGGCATGCTGCTCCATCACAGCCGCGACCTTTCCAGCAGCCAGGTGCAGCCCCTGCCGCCCTAGTGCAGAATGATCAGATGGCTGAACTGCGGGAATTGGTGGGTTCTCTCACCAGTTCTAGTGCTCAGAAATTCAATACTATAGAGCAGTTCATGGAAAAGGCATCGGGAAAATTCCTGGCTCTTGAAGCTGGCTAGAGGAACACACAGGCTGTCTTGCAGGATATCCAAACCCAGCTGGGGAGTGTGGCTCAAGCAGTGGCACAAAGGGCTCCTGGTACTTTGCCCGGTCAGACCATTCCTCACTCTCAGAACCCGAATGAGCACTGCAATGCCATCATGACCAGGAGTGGCAAGATGACTGTTGATCCACCTGCTCGGGCACAAGAGAGAGAGGCCCCTGCCTCGGCATCTCCAGCAGCTGAAGAAGAAGTAGAGAAGGAGGTTGAGGTGCCTGCACCTAAACCGCAACCAGTAGTGAAGGAGTATATCCCTAAACTCCCCTTCCCTACTCGGTTGCACAAAGACAGGCTGGAGGCAGAGTTCGAGAACTTCATGGCCATGCTTAGGAAGCTGAATGTCCAAGTGCCTTTCCTGGAGGCACTATCTCAAATGCCTAAGTATGCGAAGTTCCTGAAGGATCTTCTCTCCAAGAAGCAGAAGCTGAGCGAGCTGGCCACTGTGGAGCTCAGCGAGGAGTGCTCGGCCATTCTGCAGAACAAGCTTCCGCAGAAACAGAAGGACCCAGGTAGTTTTACTATCCCGTGCTCTATAGAGAATTTGCATGTAGAGAGGTCCTTGGCGGATTTAGGTGCTAGTATAAATGTTATGCCATATAAACTGTTTAAGAAACTACGCCTAGGTGAACCCCGTGCTACTAGGATGAGCCTTCAATTAGCCGACCGATCTGTAGTGCATCCTAGGGGCATAGTGGAAGACCTTCTGGTTAAGGTTGGCAAATTCAATTATCCTGTTGATTTTGTGATCTTGGACATAAATGAGGATGTGAATGTGCCATTGATACTAGGAAGGCCTTTCCTGGCCACCGCCAAGGCTCTCATAGATGTGCATGATGGGACCTTAGTTCTGAGGGATGGTGAGGAGCGAATAACATTTTCAATTTCTAATACACATCCTGCTTCCTCGCCTTTGCATGCTGTATCTCACCAGGAGCACGAGTCTGTCGTGTATCCTTCTGTGTTGCCTATTTTGCATGATCCGCCTCCCATACCTTCGCCGCCACTCCCATCCACTCCGTCATCGAAGGAACAAATCAGGGAGGAGTGGCGGCCGAAACAGCAGGCAGCTAAGCCTGCTCGAAAGAAGGCCGGAGACCACTATGAGCTGGTCCCGCCCCTACCTTGGCCATCCGAGTATTCACTCGCTTGTATCCTGCCGGATGGCCAAGTTGAGTTGGCAAATGCAGGTGGCCATATTCGTCGTGTGCATGGCCATCATTTGAAGCTGTACCTCAAGAGCGAGGTGGATCCGCTCTTGAAGGCACCTGCTCCTTCACCTCACTGAGCATCCACCGACTGGCGTCCAACTAAAAGACGGTAAAGAAGCGCTTGTGGGGAGGCAACCCCACCTCGGTTTGCATTTCTATCCTTTTTTCCTTTTAATTTTTGTCGTTTTCGAGTCATTGAGTCTGTTTGGAGTCTTTCTGGAATGTTTCTCGTGCCCCGGATGGTCTATTTTGGTCTATGTTGGTGTATTTTTTGAACCGGGGCACGATTGTGTTTGGTTGTTCGAAATTGCAGCTCAAAAACTGGAGAAAAAGGGCCCTCGGCGATGAAATTACGGGCATGGGGGGCCAAATTACGGTCGTAATTACCCTGCCCCCTGCCCGTAATTAAGCCAGAACAGAAAAGCAGCCTCGGCAGTAAAATTACGGGCAAGGGGGGAAGAATTACGGCCGTAATTCTTATTACCCCTGCCCGTAATTCGATCAGAGGGGGAGATTGCTCTCGGCCATAAAATTACGGGCAAGGCCAGGGGTAATTACGGCCGTAATCCTGCCCGTAATTACCCCCGAGACCAGTTTAAAAAGTGCTCGGCCGCGTTCCCCCCTCTCTCTCCCCCATTTTTTTTTCAGACCAAATTCTCTCTCCTCTCACCGGAAACTCGAACCACTCTCTTCTCCGGTGGTTTTCGGCCATATCTCACTCACCGGAGGTCCAAATTAAATTCCGAGACCACCCCCGTGCTCCTCTCGTCGGCGCCCACAAGTCTATACCACTGGGGTTGAGTTTCGTGGTGGTTTGGGTCGCCGGAAAACCGCGACCCTTCGGTGTTCCTCCGGCCCGATCTCTCTCCTCCGACCTCCAATCGAGAAGCCGCGACCACCACCGTGTTCCTGGTACCCAGAACCTCATTCCCCAAAGTTTTGGGTCAGTTTGGCTCTGGTGAAGTCGCCGGCGACGACACTCCGGCGAGCCTTCCGGCGAGCTCCCCGGCGATTTTCGTGTTCTCTCGCTTTTCCCTCACCTTCCCCACGATATCTTCTTGTGCCTCCAGGTGTGCTTCTCTATTTTTACTTGTCATTTGTGGAGGATTGATATTGTGGGTTTAGTGAGGAAGTTGGGGGATTGGTTTGTGCTTTGATTAATTCGGTAGGCCTCCTGTATTGCTTGCTGTGTTTGTTCATTCTTTGGTTGGCCTACCGAGTATATATGAGTTGTGGTTGCCCCGCTTGGAGCCTAATTTTCTGTCCGGATGTATGATCCGAGGGCTCCAAGTGCGTTTGAGTTTGTGTGAATGGTGAATGGTGAATGGTTCTGATTGATTGTGAATGTTTTTCCCTTCCTGGGGCCTAGTCCACTGTCCGAACTTATGATTCGAGGGCCCCGGGTGAGGATGATTGTGACCTCACCATTGACGAATTTCCATGTATGTTGTTGGGTTTCTGCTGTTTTGTGGCTGCAGGAAGATGAACACTTACTTGGCCATGCTCGACGCCGACCAGAGGAAGACTCTGAAGGACATCCAACGCCGCAAAGTCGTTAAGCACCATTACCTCGATTGGAGGGTTTTCGAGGAGCTGGGTGCTCGCGAGGCAATGGAGGCTGCCATCCGCGCTTACTCTTGGCGCCGCCTCCTTTGCCTCGCTGAGCCGATCTATCAGGAGCTCCTCTGGGAGTTCTACTCCACCTTCGAGCATTTCCGGACCCACGCGGGCTCACACGGCAACGCCATCCAGTTCAGACTCGGAGGGGAGTTTTACTCCCTGAGCTATGATGACTTTGGTCGGGCACTGGGGCTCCTTCCACCTTTCGCCTATCACCTGGAGATCGAAGAGCCCGACAGTCCCATCTTTCGGGACCAGCAGTTCTTCGAGAGGATCTGCCTCCCGGAGTTCTCCGGCGCTGTTTTCACACCGGGCTACACCACGGCCACTCAGCTACGCCCAGAGTGGCGCATCATCAACCAGCTGTTGGGGAAGTCTTACGCCCCCAGCGAGGGCTCCACTAGTCATCTTCAGCTCCGCACCTTGCATTGCCTGCACTCCATGAGCCACGAGGTGGACAACCTCCATCTGTCCTCCCTCATCGCCAGGACTGTCGTCAAGGCTTCTCGGTGTGGTCGACCCCTGGCGTGTGGGCCGGTGGTCACTGCCCTGGCACGGTACTACAACATCAACCTCTCCAGGTTCACTCTCATACAGGAGGCAAAGCCCTTCTCCAGGGACACCCTACGGCGCCAGCTGATACTACAGCGCGAGGGGGACGTGACCTGGATCCGGGGCCTTCCTCGCCCTGTTCCTCGTGCACCCGAGGGTGAGGAACTCCCCGAGGCGAGTGCTGCTGCGGCCAGTCGGGCCAATCGTCGTCGGCGGAACACTCCTTCTGCGCCTGGCGCCTCCACCTCTGCTGCCGGCCCATCTGCTGCCGCACCCACCACTTACATTGCCGAGCAGCTGGCGGCCCTTTCCCGCCAGAATGAGCAGATCCTTCTTGGCCAGGAGCACCTCAACGCCCGCCTCGACCGTGAGCGCGAAGGTCGCCGCCGCATCATTTCAGCTCAGCATTACATGATGAGCTACTGGGACATGGATCCTGCTGCTGTTAGCTACCCTTGGGAGGCGTCCCCAGGGCATGAGGACCACTACCCGCCCCCGACCGGCGATGGAGGGGATGAGTACTGATCTGGTTTTGCCAGCCCATCGAGTTGGGGCTTGGCTTTTGTCTATCTTTCCAGACTTAGACTCCGTATTGTGTTTGGTTTTTATTTCTTGTTCCGTATTGTGTGGATTGTTGACTTGGAACTATGTTTTATTTCACCCAATGTGTGTGTTCTGTTAGTTCTAGCTCTGTGCCCGTCGGACTGGTCCGCCATCCAGTCAACGTTCCTGAACACTGTTTCACGGTAACATCGTTCCCCTTCCCTCGGCTTCATTGAGGACACTGTCGCATTTAAGTGTGGGGGGGGGGGTTCTTTGTATTTATTGGAACGTATATATGGGTGCTTGGAGCCTAGTCCGCTGTCCGGATCTTACGATTTGAGGGCTCCAAGTACTGCTGTTTGATCATATTGGCACTGTGTTTTGATTGATGAATTGAACGGTTTTTGGATTAATGCATGAGAACTTGTTGGTGACTAGGAAAACCTATGATGAGGGCTGAGATGTGCAGTAGAACAATGTAGGGGTTCAGTTTTTCAACTGTTTGCTTACCAACTGTGACTTGATCTGATCACTTGTCTTGACAGTCGTTTATGCATCTAGTTCAGGGTATCAGAATGTGAGATAGAGCATATAGGTAGCCATGTGAGATTTGAGCCTGCTCGTTTCTTTCTTGTGCGATAGATCCCTCTTCCATGATGTGTAGCATTCACGTTGTCATTAGCTAAGATAATGGGGGCATAGGATTAGCCCACGCCCAAAACTGACTGTCCTGATGTGTCATATCCCCTAGTCAGCCCCTTTGAGCCGTGTGTTATCCTTTCTTTTGGTCTATAACGAAAAAAATCACCCTTGTTTCATCTTTTAGAAGGTTCCACAGAGTGGTTGTTACATATTCTCTGCTGTTTCTGCTAAAGTTTATGTGAGTGTTGGAGGCAGTGCTTGAAAGTTGGGCAGATGTTTGAAATATGTGCAGAAGTGGTGGCTCTCTTAAGAAATGAAAAGATAAATGAAAGAAAAACAAAGAAAAATTGAAAGCAAAAGAGAGCCACTACCAAAAATCTGAATAACGCCCATTAAGTAGTGTTTCTTAGCAGTCTGGCTTGGAAATGCTGATGTTTATGCCTCCTTCGCTCTTGTGCTCTTGAGATGTTGAGTATTGCAGAATAGCAGAAAGGGAATACCGGTTTGTTTGACTGTGATTGTGTGGGTTTGGAAATGTGGAACCTTGTGCTATGAATACTTCCACCACCTAAAAGGCCTTTTCCCCATGTCCAAGACCCTAGCCAGTCATTTGAACCTGTGTCTAAGACCTCCTGATTAGTTAGTGGTGACACCCCATATGTGAACTCTAGCATTTAGAGGCTGCCATCATGGTGAAGAGATGTTAGGGATTGAGAGAAATAACATGCGCATTTTTCGCATCAAATTGTCCTGACCCCACTGGTCGAGAGTGAGTGATTCATTTTCATATGCTATATACTCTTGTACCCCGGTGAGGACCTAGATTGCTCGGTCTCTATTCTGATATTTTGAGTTGGATGCATGAGTTGAGTGTTTTGAGTAAGTGGTTGAGTCAAGTCTAGGTTGGTTGGTGAACAGAAGGGAGACTCTTCCTTTACTCGATTTTGCTGCACTCGAATGTCCTTTGTGTTGGTTGTCTAGGTTGCTATTGAGGTTGTTCATGTATTGATGTTTGAAAACCAGTACGATTCACGTGTTCTGTGCCTTTATGACTTGTCCCCAATGTTTGTTGATTGAAATATGTGAGCTTACCTTGTGTCTGACTTGGTTTGCTTGGGGACAAGCAAACGGTTAAGTGTGGAGGAATTTGATAGCATCGTATTTGCACGTGTTTTCACTCGGGTTTCCTGTCCATTTTGGCTCGAATTGATTGTTCCTTGGCCTATTTTACGCTAGGTTGTGTTGTTTTGTCGTATTTCAGGTCCTAGCAAGTAAAGAGGTGCATAGGCGCAAGTTTCAGGTCATTTGGAGGTCAGATGGCGAATCACAGAAGGAATTACGGGCAGCCCCTGCCAAATTACGACCGTAATTTGTCAGGGCATGCCCGTAAAACAATTGCCGAGCCTTTTCCCCAGAATTTCCTCTCGCTGCTAAAACTACGGGCAAGACCCCCAAGAATTACGACCGTAATTCCCAAATTACTGGCGGTAATTGGGAAATTACGGGCGTATCTCCTCCTCCTTCAGCTTAATTGAAACGTGCGTTTTGGGGCGAATTACGGGCAGGACGTGATTATGGCCGTAATTCAGCCCGTAATTCGCCCAGAGTCGGGTTTTTGAAGCCAGAATCGAGCCAAGGAAGGGGGAATCGAATTTCTTGAACAAAAACAGAGCCCTAGAGAGAGAAAGGACAAAGAACTCACCCTAGAAGCCATCTTGGAGCTGGGTTTCATCAAATCAAGCTTGGAGATCGTCCTAGGAGTGGAAATCATCATCCCGGAGCAGATTTTCCTCATCTTTATGAGTATGACTACTCCTATTACTGTTTTCCTCTCTCTCTATGGAGTAGAACCCCTCTCTCACTTGGGGATGAAGAACCCTAGTTCTATGTGTTAGGAATTGATTGTAATGACTTGGGATGAGATTACTGTTTGATTTTAATCGAATGATGCATGCTTATTGAGTCAATTGAAGTCTGATAAACTTTTCCTGATTCCTGCTGCAATCTGAGATAGATAGAATCTGATTAGGTTGCTAGAGTCTCATCATTCGATAGTAGGAGATTGGCTATACGAGAGTTAGCCAGTTTACTGCTTTGTACTGGAATCCAATTCCAGTAGTGGAGTTCTGTTCTTACTGCTTCAGCTGTCTATCCCGGTGAAGACTAGTCGTCTGCTGGGTAGTTAGACTGAGAGGGCTTGGTCAGCTTAAGAGATTCCAAGCTACTGTCGGATCTTCCACAGTCTAATCAACAGTAAATCAACCCAGGGAAATACAATTGAAACCTAACTAAGGAGCTAGGGGGACTCATTCCCGAGTGACTCTTTCCTGCTTAAGAAAAACGAATAATTTCCTGTTTTATTTCTGCTTTTGCTTTTAAACAACAATCACTTACTTTAGTTGGCTAGATAACAGAGAATCACTGAGTAAGCAGTAGATCTAGACCCCGGGTTGATAATATAACTTGCCTGTTAGTGCATTCCCGGTCTGCGATTACACTTGGTCGCAGATTGGTGTTGTATTTTGGCGTGTCAAATACTGTTATCTTCCACCTGTCTGTCAATCCTGTTGTGTATTTGGGCATGATTGTTCTGCTCCCTGTGGTGAGAATGTTAAGAAGATTTGGCGAAAGAAATTGATTACCACTGTTGATATGGCCAGTTCGTCGAAGTATGTAGATTAGGAGGGTTCAGTTCGCTTGACTATGTAACCAGTGATTGGATCTCCTCCAATCACTCCTAGTGCTTTCCCATCTCAGGAGGATTTTAGTTTGGTTGTCAATGGCGTGAAACCTTCTTTCCCGGTGATATCTGCTCTAGTAACTTTGACAAATTCCTTTGCAGCAATATGTGCAAAGAATATCCAGCTGCAGAATCATCCGCCACTTCGTCGTGAAGGGTTACGTAGTCAGAATGGGGTTCAAAAGGCCCCTCTTTGCAACTATGAATGTTTTAGTATGGAATATGAGAGGCTTTAATAGCTCCACGAAGCACGATTATGTGCTAGAGTATATACATAAGTATAAGGTTCAAGTGTTGGCACTGCTGGAAACTAGAGTTAAGAAGAGCAATGCTAAGAAGATACAAGATAAGTTTATTTTATTATTAAGGATAACTATAATGCTCATGCCCTTGGTATAATTTGGATTTCCAGGCAAACAGATGTGAAATCGAGGGTTCTCCATTGTGACACATGTTGGTTTCCATCTTGGCAACATAGCAGTTTTTCTTTACTGCGCTTTATGGCTTTAATGATGAGACTAAACGATTGAGTACTTATGCCTGAATGAGGAAATGACAGGTGAAGGGGTTTTCATGGATAGTTTGTGGTGATTTTAATGCTATCTTAAGTCCATTGTAGTCTTCTAACAGTGTGTCCATTTTGCCTAATATGCATAATTTCCGTTCTTGGATTGATTTGATGGAGTTAAAGTATCACCAATATACATGTCCTTTATGTACTTGGTCTAACCAGCAACAATCCCACCCTATTGCTAAGAAGATGGATCGTATGTTGGTGAATAATGAATGGCTGAGTTCTCTTCTGGATTAAGTGGTGGAATTCCTAGCACCCTCTTTCTCCGACCATTGTGGTATTCTCATTCGTCCTATGGAGCAAAGGAAGTCTTTTCCCAAATCCTTCCGGTTTTATGAGATGTGGATGCAATATGAGACATATAATGACTTGTTGACTATGATTTGGAGTCATCCAGGCCAAGGATATATCCTCCAGCATGTTCTTAACATATTGAAGAAGCTGAAAACAGAACTAAAGCCCCTCAACCATGAGGAATTCTCGGATATATCAGATCGTGTGAAGGAGTCTGATCAGACTATGAAAGAAAAGCAAGTAAATGCGTTGCAAAATTCTTTTGAGGAGTCTTTTGAAGCTAAAAACAAGCTATAGCTCTTTACCAGAATTACAAGTGTGCCAAAGAAAGCTTTTACCGCCAAAAAACTCTGGGAGATTTGAATTCTTCATTTTTCCATAGAAGTGTCAAGGTGAGAAGGTCAAGAAAGCAAATCGAATGACTTGTTCTAGATTCGGGGGAAGTAATGGCTGATGTTAGAGCAAATTGCACAAGAATTTGTTTCTTTCTATCAAGCACTCTATGGAACGAAGAATGAGGAGAATTCAGCGACATTGAATTTAGTCTTACCTTTTATTTGATTTCATCTTTCAGAAACTGATCGTCTCTCTTTGTGAAGAAGTTTCTGATAGTGAAATCAAGGAAGCTTTATTTTCTATGGATGCTCACAAGGAACCTGGTCCAGATGTTCGGCCATCAAGTTTCTTTCATCTAGTTGGGGTATTCTAGGACTTGATATAGTTGTTGGTATTAAAGACTTCTTTCGATCAGGCCACCTGCCAAAAGGTATCAATGTTGCTTCCCTAACTCTGGCTCCCAAAGTACCGAATGCAAATAGATTGCTTGCTTTTCACCCGATTGCTAGCATCAATATCATTTAAAAAATCATTGCAAAGTTTCTGGCGTAAAGACTTCAGCAAGTTTTATCTATTGTCATTAGTATGAATCAATCAGCATTTATTAAAGGATGTAGCATTTTAGATAACATACTGATCGATGACACAGGAAATGGTGTAATGATATTCTAAGCGCAATATCTCATCTAGAGTTGTAGTCAAGATTGATTTCCATAAGGCGTTCGATTCTGTTGACTAGGACTATTTGTTCTTTGTAATGGAAGGGATGCACTTCCCTCCAGCATTTCTTCAATGGATTGAAGTCTGTCTTTCATCCGCCTACTTCAGTGTGACTATCCATGGCTCTTTTTTTGGCTTTTTTTCTTGCTTAGAAGGGTGTGAGACAGGGAGATCCATTATCTCTCTATCTGTTCACCATTGCTCTTGAACCGCTATCATGTATGCTTGATTTTGCTGCTCAAACTTTTTCTATCCCCTATCGTCCTCAATGCAAGGCTATCAAGTTAACCCATTTTAGTTTGGCGGATGACCTTTCGATACTTACTGAAGGTTTGGCTGCGGCGCTTTTGAAGGTAAAGCCGATTTTTTTCTGAATTTTATAAGCTTTCAGGATTGTGGTGTAACCCCAATAAGTGTGAGGTTTTCTTTGGCGGATCACCTGGTAGGTAACATTATCTTTATTCTTTCATTCTTTTTAACTTCAAATTCATTCATGAAAATAATATCGTACCCACTAATATTTAATTTATTCATAGGGTTGAGTGTATTTGGTGATGGAGATAATAACGATTGGAAAAAAGGAAGAGGTTGTTAGATGGTGGAGAAATAAATTTAAATATTGGAGAAAAACAATGAATATATGATAATGTTTATGGGTTGGATAAGATAAAGTATACTAAGTGAAAAGTCATTATATCAAATAATTTTTATTATTGTTCTGCTATTAATGAAATGTATCCAACCAAAGATTTGAAACCCAGATGTAGTATCTGTTACATACATGGGACTAGGAGCACCTCCTTCTCTAGTCATGGTTACAAATGATTTTCAGTCAAAATTATTGTGTGCTTAATAATAATAATAATAATAATAATAATAATAATAATAATAATAATAATAATAATAATAATAATGAGCCTTCAGTTTGAGAAAGACAATGATATTATGTCCGCAATCATTTGGTTGACAATCAGTCAACACTGCGTCGTTAAAATTGAAGGATTACAAACCTCTAATAATCAGCCCTACATTGTGGTAAACAAAATGCAGACATATTTTAAGCTTAAACAAATAAAGCAACTTAGCAGTCCATTTCGAATACATAGTTTCCCCTATCATATTCCCCAAATGGCTAAACTCCGCTTCACCATCAGCAACACAAAAGAAAAGTATACGCGGATATACCCACCAGACAAATTGGGTAAGATGATATGCAATTACATATTTACATTTCATACTAGGTGGCGATGTCGCGCCTTGTCGCGGAGTGGAGATAGCATATGAGTATGTATTATGTGGTCCGTTATCGTGTTTTGTTAGTATTATTAGTCTAAAATTAATTTTGTTAGCAGTTTTGTTAGTAATATTGACTGAGAATAGATATATGACGGTCAACAACCAATTTTATTTTTTTTTTGAAAATTTTGGCTAGTAAATGATATTTACCTAAACCCAAGGAGACCCATTGATTATGGGTAGGGTATGGGTGACCGCCATATATGGATATTTACTTCCATAATCTAAATTTGTATGAATTGGGTATTAATACCCATTTATTCGAGGATGTTTTAGTTACACATACAAAAATTAGACCTATTTATAGAACTAAAAAAGATTAGGTACCAAAATGTAATACACAAAATATCTATTAAGTTTAGGTGCCAAAAAATAAATTTTGGTTATAAATCTAAAGATATGTTAAGTTTAGGTATCGAACTATATTTTGCATACTTAAAGCTTAATTCCTTTTATGGTGATGTATTTAAGATTATAATTATTTATTTTTTTATAGAAAAATGAAAACTATTTATTTGATATGTGTAGATACCTAGCGAAACATTTCATGTATAATTGTTGAAAATTCTAGCCCGGGAGAAAAAGAAAGACTCTAGAGAGAAGCAAAAAGAATACAAACTGAAACTCGCTTGAAATTTCACGCCTTCAAATTCAATAGTGGAAAATGACGAATTTATAATAAGTAATAACCATATATATTTATTTGTAATTAGACTCGACATTGAGTTGAAAAGTTAGTGGTTCATGGTTCAATTATTAATTCTCTAGACTGTTGGTGAGTCGTGTATGGACCCGTTCTGGATACCAAAACATAATTGTTCAATGATTTTACATTAAAATTAATTTTGGTGTGTCAAAATGTAAAATATACAATATAGTGACTAAATTGTGATTTAAATAAATTTGGGGTATCAAAATGTGAATAGTTACACAACAGTAACAATACTCCACGTTTATATATATTAATTAATTTGATATGTGTAGATACCTATCGAAACATTCCATGTATAATTGTTGAAAATTCTAGCCCGGGAGAAAAAGAAAGACTCTAGAGAGAAGCAAAAGGAATACAAACTGAAACTCGCTTAAAATTTCACGCCTTCAAATTCAATAGTGGAAAATGACGAATTTCTAATAAGTAATAACCACATATATTTATTTTTAATTAGACTCGACATTGAGCTGAAAAGTTAGTGGTTCATGGTTCAATTATTAATTCTCTAGACTGTTAGTGAGTCACGTATGACCCGTTCTAGATACCAAAACATAATTGTTCAATAATTTTACATTAAAATTAATTTTGGTGTGTCAAAATGTAAAATGTACATTATAGTGACTAAATTGTGATTTAAATAAATTTGGGGTATCAAAATGTGAATAATTAGGCAACAGTAACCAAGCTTTATATATTTATTTTTAATTAGACTCGACATTGAGTTGAAAATTTAGTGGTTCATGGTTCAATTATTAATTCTCTAGACTGTTGGTGAGTCGTGTATGGACCCGTCCTAGATACCAAAACATAATTGTTCAATGATTTTACATTAAAATTAGTTTTAGTGTGTCAAAATGTAAAATGTACATTATAGTGACTAAATTGGGATTTAAATAAATTTGGGGTATCAAAATGTGAATAGTTACGCAACAGTAACAATACTCCAGGTTTATATGTATTAATTAATTTGATATGTGTAGATACCTATCGAAACATTCCATGTATAATTGTTGAAAATTCTAGCCCGGAAGAAAAAGAAAGACTCTAGAGAGAAGTAAAAGGAATACAAACTGAAAATCGCTTAAAATTTCACTCCTTCAAATTCAATAGTGGAAAATGACGAATTTCTAATAAGTAATAACCATATATATTTATTTTTAATTAGACTCGACATTGAGCTGAAAAGTTAGTGGTTCATGGTTCAATTATTAATTCTCTAGACTGTTGGTGAGTCGTGTATGGACCCGTTCTAGATACCAAAACATAATTGTTCAATAATTTTACATTAAAATTAATTTTGGTGTGTCAAAATGTAAAATGTACATTATAGTGACTAAATTGTGATTTAAATAAATATGGGGTATCAAAATGTGAATAATTAGGCAACAGTAACCAAGCTTTATATATTTATTTTTAATTAGACTCGACATTGAGTTGAAAAGTTAGTGGTTCATGGTTCAATTATTAATTCTCTAGACTGTTGGTGAGTCGTGTATGGACCCGTTCTAGATACCAAAACATAATTGTTCAATGATTTTACATTAAAATTAATTTTGGTGTGTCAAAATGTAAAATGTACATTATAGTGACTAAATTGTGATTTAAATAAATTTGGGGTATCAAAATGTGAATAGTTACGCAACAGTAACAATACTCTAGGTTTATATATATTAATTAATTTGATATGTGTAGATACCTATCGAAACATTCCATGTATAATTGTTGAAAATTCTAGCCCGGGAGAAAAAGAAAGACTCTAGAGAGAAGCAAAAGGAATACAAACTGAAAATCGCTTAAAATTTCACGCCTTCAAATTCAATAGTGGAAAATGACGAATTTCTAATAAGTAATAACCATATATATTTATTTTTAATTAGACTCGACATTGAGCTGAAAAGTTAGTGGTTCATGGATCAATTATTAATTCTCTAGACTGTTGGTGAGTCGTGTATGGACCCGTTCTAGATACCAAAACATAATTGTTCAATAATTTTACATTAAAATTAATTTTGGTGTGTCAAAATGTAATATGTACATTATAGTGACTAAATTGTGATTTAAATATATTTGGGATGTAAAATGTGAATAATTAGGCAATAGTAACCATGCTTTACATTTATATATATATTAATAAGCTGAGGGCCGAACTCTGTCTTATTGGTGAAGATCGCATCAAACATGGCACTAGTGATAAACACAAGTATATCATAATATTTCATTCTAAACAAAGGCTATGGATGATTAAATCGAGTTCCACAACAACAATAAAATCAGTTCGAATAACTATCTTCATGAACTTCATTTCCCATACCAATTTGCAAAGATATACTCAATGTAGTTCAAAGCTATAGTTTAAGTTCGAAAGTTTACATTTTTACGCCAAATATAGTATTTTTCATGAATAGTCTTTTTGGTATCATAAGTTTAATATCAGCTCTTTAGAGTATTTATAAGCGTATTAAAAATTTCGACAACTATCTCTTACATTATTTTTAAGAGCTTCTAACGTACATGTTAATCTAACATGTTGGGCAGTCGTTAGATTGGTTAAACGGGTTGGTGAGTCGTTGGGCTGGTTAAGCGGTTTTTCCAAGTAAAACACCTAAAGTGATCATCAAGAGATTGAAGTTTGAAATTAATCATATCGCTTATGACGTGTGTGGTGATGACGGCTTAAATGCAAATTTTGAAATTGAGCGCTAATATAATTTTAAATTCATGATCAAGAACCTTTGAGTGGTTTGATGTCGAGAAATATTTAAGGTTTAACTATAAGTTATGATTTATGCTAATGAGTAGTTTCAACTAGTGATCTATATTTATGAACTTCTTGTTATGAGTTAGACTTTAATCAAAGAATTTTTCAAAGTTTCTAGCTAGTATGTATGCACACTAACATTTTACAGTTATTGAAAGTGTTTTTTTTGTTATTTTTGAATAGTTATTTAAAATTTTATAATATTTATATCTAACACAAAATGGGTGGCGGTGGAAAGATTTAAGATAATTTCCATCCCCAACTACACTCACTGTTTCATCTAGCGGGTCGACCCGATTTGATTCTAACCCGGTGAGAAAAAGCGATGTTACACTCGCGGAGTTGATCGATAGCAAAATTTTCGTATTGAAGGTCACACTGTTTCATTTTTTTCTTTGGTTTGAGAAATGTGTCTATTTTCCATTTTTCACCGCGTCTAACCCTGTATATTTTGGAATTATAAGTTGAACATTGAAATGTTGATGTTATATGAGTGTGTTTGAATTTTCACTATATGTTGAATTCAAGTACGAACTGTTATTTTGGTGTAATTTTACATGTTATTCCCCATATGTTAGTTGAGATTTGATATAATTTATTTATAAATGAACAACATAATAACATTTTCATATATCTAGGCTCAACCGGTTAAAACGATTATAGTATTAACTCTCAACTCACTTGCAGTGGCGGAGGCAGCCCTATTGGGCATTGTCCCGGGACAGGGGTAAATTTTGGGAGGAACAAAAATACTTCATATATGTTTATACGAAGGATGGAACACAACACTATTGTACTTCGTTACTATATCACAACTCATTATTTATCATAAATTGACAATGAATTAATTATTATACAATAAACGAAATCTCAATTGGAATAGATCTCTTTTCTTGATATGCTTATTCGATTATTTGCAAGCAATCTTGAAGCAGTCAAGTGGCAGCGCCGATTTCACTAGTTTTGATGGCAAGTGTCGATAAAATATTTTCAGCTTTGAGCTATCGGAAGAACGAACTTTGAAGTCGAACTCACGACCAGTTTGCTAATGGTTGTTTAGTGAGATCCATTGAAAATGACTTACTTAAGTGTGTAGACAAAGAATGTAATGTGTGTTTCTTCCGAATATGAAAACTCGTCATGGTTGTTTATGAAAATACCGATTGTAATAGTAGTTATTTTTTATATCTGAAAATAAATTATTTAGATATTATTAATTTAATTATATTCATTAAATATTTACATATTCATAATACGAAAAGAGGACAGAGGTAGTTTCAAATCCTGCCTCCGCCACTGCTCACTTACTCGACCGAGAAAAACGAGCTAAACTGGATTGGCAACCTTGCTATCCAGTGGCAATCATTTCTCCTCCAAACTTAGCTTTGAATGCCCTGATAAACTTGTCATCCTCCCCTCCAACTACGCCCAATATAATAAGCCACCCAGAAACTTGCCAGCTATGGTTTCACAGGTAGTACCGTGCGACCTTTCACCAACCTCTACCTCGAATAATTGTACATAGGCCCCAATAATAAATCATACAAATCACATCCACACGAGCACACTCTAGCGCGCGATCGACCAGTAGTACTCTCTTTTTTCTGATCTACAAAATATATAAAGCCAAAACAAGGATTGGATTTGCAGGGATTTGAATTTCCAGGCCTTAGAGGATTTTTCGGAAGGGCAAAATAATAAATTCACCCCAATTAATCTAAACTCTGCGTTTCATGTCTTCCCTTCCGCTGGAGCTTAAATGCAATGCACTGGGCCAACCTTGGGGCCGAAGATTGGGCCCAATCTCCCCTGGCTCAAGCAGTTGTACTTCACTGCGCAAACACGTGACATGCACCACAATTTAGCACAATTAAGTAAACTCTGCTTTGCAATTAAATCACTCTCCAATCTCCGTGTCGTCTTCATGAATTAACATAGTCACGCTATTTCTGCTTTTGTCCATGTACCTATCGGCCACATTAGCCTCTATATAGGATCACCTATTATCTTTGTTGTTCAGGTACTCTGACATCAGCCATGCCCCACCCCTGAAGAACGAAATTGCTCCTTGATACTCTGCAAAAAAACGAGCTGTAATTGCCATTCACCCGCGTCAGAGTTTGATGGTTGAGAGTTTGGGCCTTGGGGTGCCATAACTTTATGCTTTGTCTCAATCTCCATAGAGGATGGATGTGGTGGCTGGTAGTTTATCCTTTCATCTCCAAAGATTAATCCATTCCCTTTTTTAATATATTTTATACATGTAAGTTAAACCACGTGTGCATGGTCTAGGAAAAGGTTGTATAGGAGATTTGTACTTGACACCAGGTTTTCAACTCACGGGTCGATCTGGATTGACCAGACCCAACGAGAAAAATGAGCACCTCATATTCGTGGGCCAACTCGCAACAAGCAGGTTCACAAGTGGAGGCCAAACGGCGTCATTTTTTTATTTGGTTTGCGAATTGCCCATTTTTTTTCCGTTTCCTCTTTGTCCAACCTTCCTTTTGCAATTGTCAGTTTAACATTTGAATGTTGATGTTATATGAATGTGTTTGAATTTTCACTATATATAGGAGTACTAATGGTTATTGTGGTACAATATTATAAGTATTATTTTTTTGTTGAATAAAATTATATGTTATTATTCATATGTTAGATGAGATTTGATATAATTTATTAATATATGACAAATATAATAACTTTTTCACACATATGAGCTAAACTGAATTAAACTGATTGAACCATTGACCTCAACCCTTCCCCACTTACTCGACAAAGCCAACAAGATAAATCGGTTTAACAACCTTCCTTAACAAAAATCAAAGGGATATGTAAAACTGAAGAAGAGAAAAAGAACATTTCATTTTCCCACACTCATTCAGTTAATGGGAGAATTGCAACTCAAACTGGGTTTCCATATAACGCAATAATGAGTATTTTCTTGGAATAAATTGGGATGAATCGCCAAACATACTTTGTTTTAGGAGTGTTCAAATGGTTACCATGATTATTACCAAACTAAATAAGGCTAAATTTCATTAACCATGGAATACAATATCATAACCAAACCATCCAAACTAATACAACAACCAAATTAACCAAACTAAAGTTTAATCGGTTTGGTTAATTGGTTAACCAGATTAACCAATATAAAATCATATTATCATTAAGTGAGAAAATTTTCGGTTAATTTATTAATTCACAATTTATATATTGAATAAAACATAACAATCAACACATAGTTATAGTTGACCCTTAACATAAATACATGCAACTAAGAAATTATCTTACGGTTAGTATAAAAGTATTCACCTAACAAAAATTTATCACAATGGTATGGGTTAATGAATTGTTGTGTTTGTTTGAATTGACTTAGTCTTTTAGCAATTTTCATAGGCTGAAAATGACCTTGCTTTCAAGTTTTCATCCAACATAATGTATGAGATTTATCTAAATTAGGCGTTCATATGGTGTGGTCTACACTCTACATATACAAATATACATTATATGAACAATATCAAACTTTATATTTTATGAGTCTAAAAGAATGAAAGTTTAATTCTTGAGTGGTTATTCAAAGTATTAAGTATGTGTAGATATTAGATATATGGCTAATTATTTATCTGGTTGATTTGGTTTGGCTGGTTAGGAGTGTCCGAAACAAAACCAAACCACCTAAACCAAATAAGGTAAGAACTTTAACCAAACCAAACCAATTATCCAAATTAACCAAACCAAATTATCCAAATAGTACTGGTTAAAACGATTACCATGGTAACCACACCATTTGAACACCCCTACTTTGTTTACTTTAATCACTCTATTTTGACTTGGATTTTTTTTTATCATGAATGAAGATAAACTATGATTTAGAACAAGTTTTGCTTTAGGATAAACACATACTAAAGATGTTGGCCTTCAATTCTTTTTGAAGCTTGCATTATTGTTACTTTCACAACCGGTTTGTTAGTTTAAGTTGATTTGTATCTTTTGTCATGCCTTGCAACAATATATGAATGGGCTTGACTTTCACATTATTGGGTATGCATGCTCAACTTGCATTGGAAATTTTGGGAGATGATTTGTGATTATGATGTTGACAGTTGATAAACAATTACGTGGGACGATTGGAATTTACAATATATTACTTTGTGGCCACTAAAATTATTGTTTTAAATCCTATAACTTCAAATTCATTGCATATTTTGTTTACTTTAAGCACTCTAGTTCGATTTGGATTTCTTATTATTAATCAGGATAAACTATGGATTAGAACAAGTTTAGGATTAACACATACTAAATATGTTGGCCTTCAATTCATTTTGAAGTTTGCATTATTATTACTTTCACAGCCGGTTTCTAAGTTTAGTTTGCTTTGTATCTTTTTCTTTCATTGTTAAGGATCATGATGTTGGTATTAGGGGGAGCAACTCTAATGTTCAATTATGTGGACTTTTTAAGTAGTGAAACTTTCTCTTCTTTGAAATTTTGTACTTATTGTTCATTTGTATTTCTTTTTTTTTTTTCTTATTATATTGCTAGCATGAAACTTTCTCTTCTTTGAAATTTTGTACTTATTGTTCATTTTTATTTCTTTTTTTTTCTTATTATATTGCTAGCACGATTATTTTCATAAATTGTGGGTAAATTTTTCCGGCCAAGGGCCGGGTTCGGTGCTAGTTCATTATTAGGTTAACGTGATTGGAGAGCCACCGGCCTCTTACCTGACGAATACATGTATGTGTTCTTCTTTGTTTCTTGTGGTCACTTCTCATCCTAATCTCATTTGGTCCAAGTCGACGACCATACCTTCCGCCATTGACAAAGACCCGTTCGAATTCAATGGCCCTTCAATGTTTCCAGAACTCACTTCAAGTCTCTTCGCAGGGTCATCAAAACTTTGCTGGGGCATGCAGCAATGGGTGCTTGTGGTGTATATGCATGCACCCAACGATTAATAATATCATATATATAAGTATCTGTATCGGGATAATATAAGCCTTTTTGATACATAAAATATAAAGATTTAGGGTTAATTGCACTAGATATATTGATTTCGTTACATGCTAATCACTTAAATTTTTTAGTTACAACTAAACCATACAAGTCGACTTCGGTTGGACCGTTATATTTTCCATCCTTCAACATAATGGCAGGTATAAAAATGAATTTTCTACCTCAATTTACACAATTCCATTTTCCCTCCATTCTTCCAACTTCATTTCGCGGTATTACTAGAAGTGCTCTTGTTTAATTATCTTATGTCCTTCTTTATTTTTTCTTCAAAATTTAAAATTGTTCACTACAAAAAAAAAACCAACCTATGGAGGCAAATAATTAGAGGCAATTGTTGTAGTGGTCTCTATAGGTGTCAAAACATAGCCCGACCCGATTAACCCACCCGATCAACCCGACCCGCAACCCGACCGCAACCCTAATTGACTAAAAGTCAACAACCCGTAACCCGCCCGACCCGCAACCCGATTGACCCGTAACCCAGCTAACCCGCAACCCGACTGACCCGCAACCCGATTAACCCGAACCCGATTGACCCGCAACCCGACTGACCCTCAACCCAATTAGCCCGAACCCGATTGACCCGAACCCAACTAACCCGTAACCCGACCGACTCAACCCAAATTTCATATAATCCACTTGAATAATTATAAAAATATACAATACATAGTTTTTCAAAATAAAGTTTTTCATTCTAAACTTAAGTAAAATTATTTTTTCATTTCGTATAAGAAATTTAATAAATATGAAACTCACTTGATATTACGTATGTTAAGAAAATTACCAAAATTGAAACATGAAGGTCACTTGAGATCATGACAATATTAATATAATATATAAATTAAAATTTTGGTTAATTTAACTATTCAATAAAATTATCAATTAAATATAAATAAAGTAAAGTAATGTATTTGGTAATTTGATGTTTTTAAAAGAAGACGAAAATTTTGGTGTATTCAAGTTTTTGGGAAGAGAAAGAAGAGGGAAATTCAGTTCTTTGAATTTTTTAGAAAAGAAACAAGTGGGAATTTTTGTGGTTTTGATATGTGGGAAGAGAAAGAAGTGGGAAAGTTTGATTTTTTTGATTATGAAAGAGAAATAAGGAGGGAAACTTTTGACTTTTCAACTTTTTGTAGAAACAAAGAAGAGGGTAATTTGTTTCTTTCAATTTTATGGAAGAGAAAGAAGAGGGAAAATTGAGTTTTTCTAATGTATGGAAGGAGAAAGAAGGAGGGAAATTTTAGTATTTTGTGAAAAGAAAGAAGGAAACAAATTTGGTGTTTTCAATTTTTTGGTTTTTCATAATTTTAGCTTTTCAAATATGAATCTTTAACTTTTATATGGAGGGCATGACTAGTTAAAATTATTCTTATATGCTTTGAAGGCTAATATGTATATATGTATGTAATTCTTTATGGGCTAATAAATGAATTAACCATTAGTTACAACAATTTATACTAAACTTGATAAGTAATCTTTGACGATTCGTTGTTTAGGATATAAAGTATATGGTTAGGGTATAAGGTATAAGGTACATATGGTTTAGGGTGTATATGGTTAGGGTATAAGATATTGATGGTTTTGACGGTTCAAAGTTTTTTATTAACATATGTTCACTTGAAGTCATTTGAAGTCTTTAACGGCAGGAGATCCCTTTTTAATTTATGTTTATGGTACGTGGTTAGGATACAAGGTATGTGGTGTAAAGTATAGGATATATGGTTAGGGTATAACAATTAGCAAATATCACTTTTTATCTATGTTTTGAAAATCAAAGTATGAATTTCACTTTTAAATTAACTATATTAGCAAAATCACAACTCAAGGACATATGATTATGGTATAGGTTATGTGGTTAGTGTATAATGTATTGATGGTTTAGGGTATACAATCAACAACATATACTAACTTAATATTGTTGATTGAGGGTAAGGCTAAGTGTATAGGATATATGCTATTAAGTAAGTTATGATTGAAGTGACAATAATTTTACTAAATTTGATAGCTAAACTTTAATGGTTTAATTTTTAGGATAATTCGAACAATTTTACAAATAACTCGTTTGGCAACAGTTTACTGAAGTTATTTGGGCAATGAGTTATTTTGAAATAACTCCTTTTATCACTATGCTTTTGTCAATTACCACACGTCAAATACCAGATTTGCATGGTTATACTAAACGAGATACTTTAATTTAATTACTATTGATTAATACTAAAATATCAAATAAACAATTAACGGTGTCTTTTGGTTGCAAATATTGATATCACCATTACTATTAGCTATAATACTTTACCAATTATGATTAATTACATAACAAGTTTGCAAGTCATACAAATTGATTAAAAAGTTTGACTAGTTTTTTTCAAAAAAATAAAGTATATATATACGAGGTAAAAATAAATTGGTTAAAAAGTTGAGAAAATATTTTAAATTAGTGTAATAAAATGTGTAAGTTGGTAATGAGTAATGAGTTAAGTTACTTGATGCGCTGGCCCGAACAACCCGAAACCCGACCAGCCCGCAACCCGCCCGACCCAAAACCCGATGAACCCGCAACTCGATTTGCCCGCAACCCAATTGAACCCGAACCCGATGAACCCGCAACCCGACTAACCCGCAACCCTTTTGAACCCGAACCTGATGAACCCGAACCCGATGAACCCACAACCCGACTAACCCGCAACCCGTTTGAACCCGAACCTGATTGAACCCAGCCCGAACCCGCCCGATTGACACCTATAGTGGTCTCTATAGCTAAGCTTTAGCGCCAAATATATTATTTGTCTCGCTAGGTGAAATTATTTTGTCTCTACATGTAAATATAATAGTCTTTATAGAGACAAATTTAATAGTTTTAGATGCAAAATATAAATGCTACTTATACATATACAGTATAGATGCAAATCTAACAATATTTAGAGACAAATAAAAATGTCTCTTATAATTATGTCATATTGGAGACAGATCTAATAATTTTTAGAGACAAATATAAATCTAACTTATAGTTATATCATAGGAAGACAGTTTTAATAGTTTTAGAGACAAATATAAATATGACTTATACCCATATCATATATTTACTATTTAGAGACAAATAAATATGCTTCTAAAACACTAATTTGAATTGGTTGTGTTGTGTAGGTTTAAGTAATTTGAATTTGAATTGATGTGGCCCAAAGTTTCTCCATTCCACCCAAAAAAATTTTCTCTTAATTATTTAGTTGTTAAAAAAATAAATTTAAGAAGTTTTATTTGTAATAGGTGTCCCTGACCAATTTTATTATCCTTAAATAACGCTCATTTTGTTTAAACTTTTTGGGTCTAATTGAATTAGAATTTTGGCTTCCATCCAATAAAAAAACTATTTAAACTTATGTGGAATGTGAAATGCAATCCTTATTCTTTTTTTTTCGTTTATGATATTCACATAATTGCCACCTCAGTAGGGAACGTTTTTTTGGGCTCCTCTTATAGATTGTTTAAATTAATCTATTATGAATGAATATGTATATCTATTGTGTTGTATGTGTTGAAACGAACATTTTAGTAGAAAAGAGTTCCAGCGTAAAGAGTTTTTCTTTAGATGAGTTCTACGCACCTAAACTTTAGGTGATGATCATAGCAAAATAGATAAGCATATTGATATTAAATAACAAGAGATGGTTTGAACTCGATGAGTGAAGAAGAATTAAGAAACATATTTTTCGGGCGAAGGACAAAGCGAGAAGGGAAAGGAAAGATTCCCCTTCTTATCCCATCTCTTACAAAATTTTGAGTTAGAGAGAGAAATCTTATTGTCAACGACACATGGGGATCACTGCACCAGCAGGCATACTAAGAATGAATGTTTAATGATGGCGATTTCATACCAGGCTCAACAAAAAAATGTCAATTAGGGGGGGGGGGGGGGTCCTAAACAAAAAGGAGTCCAGAATCCCTTTGTAGAGTGTATGAGGAGAGTTTATGCAATGTAATCGGCCGAAGGGAGTGGATCCAACGATTAGTGGTTTGCTCATGTGGTGTCGTAGCAGCAAAATCGAGCGACAAAGAGAGTAAAATAATGAGGGAATTCCATATTAAGTTTTATCATACCTTTGTTACTAGTTTTCTGCTAAGGAAAGACTTCCAGATAATACTCAATTTTTTCGACTGAAGTTTGGAGCCAAAGCCTCCCATGTCCAACTCTATAAATAAGTTTACAAGAAGATCGGCAGCCACAGAGCAAGAGAAGATTTTCTAAGGGCCATTGTGATTGGGTTTATTCAACCCCTTTTTTATAAAAAAAAAATATTTGTTCTTGTGGAGAGGAAGGAAGTGAAAGAAAAATGGTATGGTGTCAATTAAGGTTGAAACCTTCAATTTGATACCCACTATTAAGTTAAAGAACGGAAAATATAACAGTGCAGCTGAAAGTAGCATTATGTGGTTTCGTTGAAACTAAAAAAACATAATTGATAAGTATGCAAGTAGAAACCAATACTTACGTGGTATCCAGTGCAGTTAACCCTAAATATGTACATCTTACTTTCCAAATAATTAGTTCTCTACTATTTTAACCAATTATATCTCTTTTGTTTTAACTCAAATTTTAAAGAAATAATTCTCTTCATTTCCCTTTAAGTGCATCTTATTTAATTTGTGGGTCAAATGGATGCGCTGATCTTTATACTTACCTTTGTTTTAGTTCTTGTTTTTGGTTTAGAAAGAACCCTAGCCCTTTAACCACCCTATCGCCGAGGAAAATCCCACTTTTGTTGTTGTCTGTATGTAGGATGGGGCAACGAAGAGTGAGTCGCACTCGGCAAGAGGAATGACTATGATGAACCAAGACGGGAGGGCCCTCATGGCTAAGAGGTGCACTTTGCTTATATTGATAATCCTATGGCTGTCGAGCTGCTTGTGATCCGGGAGGCTATTCTCAAGTGTACGGAGAATGGGTTTATGGAGACAAGGCTTGAAGGGGACGCCAAAGTGGTCATTGATAAAATAAATCAGGTTGATACCCGCGATAATCGGATGGGGGCCATCCTCGATCGAGGAGGTTGTGTGTATTTTTGCTACTCACACTGGACTTAATATGCAATTTGTAGGTCGGAGTAGCCCATTTGGTGGCTATAAAGGCCTTTTCTTTGTACACGACTACGTGTCGTTTGTTTGATTTCTGACATGGCTAAATTCCAGGATGTAATGATTTTTTGTTCCAATCAATATAATAATTATCTTTTCTCAAACAAATAAAACTCAAAATAATTGAACCGTGTCTCATTTAACTCCCATCTTTAAAAAAAAAACAGTAGAAGAACAGATTAATTATCATCTATACAATAATATACATTTTGATATATTTTTTTGATAAAAATTAATGGAACCTTCAAAACACGTCTTTGCTTTCATAATACTATCATCGTACTACCCCATGTTCAACAACATCATAACATTATATCTATGGTGAAAATATAATATCATATGGTTCATGACGCATATATTTTGTATCCAAATATATCAAAATGGGTTTTACTTTGTAGAGTACAATTATTCTAATTTTCTAAGCAAAGATTTTGAAAATCGGAGGTCAAACAAACTGATATAGTTCATTCAAGAGTTGTGAGAATAATTTGAAAAAGCCATTAGTTACAACCTTGAAATCCACATTATTCACCTTTATTTTAAATGTTTAGGCCATCTATCCTTGATCATTTGGCTTGATATATGTCCTTATTTGGTCTATTTTGTGCTAAATTGTGCTTGATTTAGTATAATTCAGATCTTAGCAAGTGAATATGGTGAAGGAACGATTATCAACCATTTGGAGCCGAAATTGGGACAAAGACAACAAGTTACCGTGACATTACATAAGAGGCCATTGGATTCAACAAGTTTCCAGGAGCTAATCCACATGTTGTGGGGCTTGCAAAAGTCACAGTTTCAACTGTGACATTTACAGAAGAGACTGTGACTTGTGTAAGTGATGCGATGCGTTTCAGGTAGACATCATAGATTATTGTTGAATGTCACAACCTTGACGTAAAGCCGTGACTTGCACAATTCTGGCTATAAAATTATATATGCACTCATTGTTGAAAGGAAGATGAATTTTAGAGAGAAGCGAGAGCTACAACCTTATAGAGAGAGAAAGTGACAACAAGAAACCCTATGTGGTGATTGGAGGCTTCCAACCTCAATTGGAGGCAAGATTCATCATCAAGGAGTAATGTTTGGAGCTCAAGAAGAAGAACCCAATACCTTGAGTTTGTGTATTCATCTTTTTCCCTCAGTATGGAGTAGACTCCATTCTCACTTGGATGTGTAGATTTTTAGCCATGTATGTTAGGGCTTGATATTGAATGACTCCTATGCATGTTACACTCTTGATTATATATTAAATTGAGGTATTATTCATGAAATTTATTGGATCTTTATCACACTCTTCAATTTGAGCTATTGACCTAAGGTAGAGAATATCCAATTAGGTTTATTAAAGCGTATTCAATTCATCATTGTGGGTCACTTGAACGAGTGTGATATAGGTCTACAATGTCGTATTGGATCAATATCCTTTAGTGGGACTCGAATTGCACGCCTTTGGTATTTTATACTGGTTGTGGAAACTCTCCCTCTAAGTAATTCATTTAAGTGGGCATGGATAACTCGAATATGGAGTCCAAACTAGTTTAGCGTTCTCCATGGTATCAAATTGGAGTGAGCAAGGTAGGAGAAGTCAATATCAGCCTAACTTATGGCCAGACAGAAGGAAACCTGAGTGATCTTCACATAATTGAATTTCAATCAATCTTTTTTTGAATTGCATGTTATTTGTTAAATCTAAACTACACTTTATTAGCTAGATAACGATTAGTTCATTTAGTAGTAGTAGACTTAGCAACCAGGTGGATAAATTACTTACTTACATTATACTACACACTATCGATGATTATTCTTGGCCATTAGTTGGGAGAGTAATTGGTAGCGGGTCACCAGGTTAGTTGGTAATAAAGAGGTTATGCAGTTTTGCATAACTATTGGTAATGTACATAATCTTCAACCATGGAAGAGGAGGTTTGATGTGTTATCAACATTGATCAATTGAACACTACCCGAACCTATATCATTTAGGGAATCAATGGTATGTTGTTCATCCAGTTGAGTAATCACTTGACACAACATATCGATCAATCGGTTCAATCACTTGGATGTTTTGGTTCATTAGTGATCCTTGTGACATAAGGATTCCTAGTCTTACTCTAAATAGTTAACCTTCCTTCTATCGCCTCTATAGACATCTCATTCATATGCATGAAGTGAGATCAATTAGACCCTTGTTCTATTGACTATGAACCTGAGATCATACAAATTAACTTGTACCTAGTGGCACATCAAAGCGACCCAAGTCAACATAGAACACAAACACTTGATCATCTTATTTTTTGAATATTTTTTGAAGGGCGAATCTATTTTCATAGATTATCACGATGAGAGCCAAGTTTTGAAACTCTTATTCTTATTATAGATCCATTATTCAAGTCAATGGCTAGATTAATAAGGTGAGTGGTTTATGATGCAATAAATTCTACGCTTTACGAGTTATAAAGAATGTATTTAATGTGAAGTTGCATGCCAATAATTAAGGTTGTGAATGTTTGAGACTCTCCATGTTTGTGTGAGATTATGCATTCTAAGTAATTGTGGAAATAACATGTTTTACTTAAGTATGTCTTACCTATTAAATGCATGCTCTCATTTGGGTTATTGATTAGAGGCATTTACCTATGAGCTTTCAATATCTACTTTAAAGCAGTTAAGCTTATGTCTTACTATTAAAGGATTTATGACCTTTAAGAACGAGTATTACTAGTACTTCACCGTATATATAATTTAGGGTGAAAAGGTTAAGAGGTATTTCACTTACGTAGTCTCTCGCCCTAGTTAAAGTTTAAAGGAAGGGCACTGATAACGATGTATTTGCACGTGTTTGCACCCTTATTTCTTATCCGTTTGCGGCTCCTAGTCGTGTATCTTTCGCCTATTTTACGTTGGGTTGTGTTATTTTGTCACATTTCAGGTCCCAAGCGTCGAAGGAAAGGCTAGGCACGAGTTTCAGGTCATTTGGAGGTCGTTCGGTGAAGCTGGGGCAAAAACACGGGCAGCCCTGTTAAAAACACGGTTGTGTTCCCCAGGCCGTGTTTTTATTGGCGAGGGCGTGTCGTGATGGCTGCTTAGGAGTCCAAAACACGGGCGCCATTGGACCAAAACACGTTCCTGTCACTTCATGGGCACGACCGTGTTTTGGGAGCGACGCGGGCATGTTTGTCACAAGTGAAGCAAAACACGGCCTTGTCCTCGACCATGTTTTGCCCAATCTCAGGTTAAAAGGAGATTTCAGTCAAAGAGAAGGGGAATCCGATTTTGAGAGCTAGAGAGCAGAAAACCTAGAGAGAGAAAGTGACGAACAGAACTTCCAAGTGCCCTAAATCGATCTTCAAGAGCATTGGAGATCGGTGGAAGCTTGGAGGAGTGCCGATTGATTACCAGAAGCAGATCCTCATCCTTCACAGATTTTCGCATCTGAAGCAGATTTTCCTTCACTCTCTATGGAGTAAACTCCCTCTCTCACCTAGTATGAAGAAACCTAGATTTGTATGTTAGGGATGGTTGTATGAACCTAAGTACAAATTATTTGATATTGATTATATTCATTTGAGGCATGGTTTTCTAAATTGCATGAATCCTGATCAAATTCTTGTTATTCCTGCTTTGACCTAGAATGAGAATATCTGCATAGGTTGATAGAGCACCCTTGATTGAAGGTAGTGAATTGGTTAGTCGAGGAGTCAATTCACTATTCTGTACTTGATTTATTCCAATAGAGGAGGTTTGGTACGTTAGGGACTCAGTCTGTTTACTTCGGTGGAGGTTAGTCGCCCGCTACAGACTGTCTAATAACCTCCCGCAGTATAACTATCATTGAATCTGAATTTGGCAAATTACAACTTCGCTTAACTGCAGTCTAGGGGGAACCATATCTGGGTGACATCACTCAAACTTGGAACACAACATTTACTGCTTTTGCTTGCTAGTTTAGTTGGAACGTCTCTACAGTTGAACCGCTAAATAATAAGAATATCACGGAGTAGTCATTACACCTAGGATCCAGGTTGACATTTAGAACTAAACCCTCTATACTATGCATTAGTAGGTGGTTAAACTTTGCCACTTTCTAGTGTGACAGTACAAGCGAGTCAAGTTTTTGGCGCCGTTGCCGGGGACGACTAGGTTATTGAAGAAACGTGATTTCTGTTACTTTAGCATTTCTTTTCCGCATTGATTTTTTTGCTTTGTCCCACTTGTGCCTTCACGAGTTTGCTTGCTTGGATTGTGTGCAGGTAGTGTATGACCCGTAGTCAATCAGGAGACTTACTACCATTAGAATCGGGCTAGAACGCACTTGTCGCCAGTTTAGGAGAGAACAACGAGCAATACTAGCTACGGAGGAAGTGCACGTCGACGGCCATCTGAGCAGCGACTCTGAAGAGGAGTACAAAATGGGCGACTAGCACAACAGGGTGAACCTGAACTTGGGACAGAACCAACCCCTGGGGATGCCCATGCAGGTTCCCCTAGTGAATCAGGTTCTGGCCATAACCCAGTTCCCCAGCCAGATGGGGCTCAGCATCCACTACCCCCGCCGAGTCCTACTATGGAGTACTACTACACTCCACGGGTCGCCGACATCCGCCTCGTCATCCTGTATCCGCCCATTCCATCAAATAACTTTGAGATCAAGCCATGTTGGATTCAAATGATCACATCCTCCATCGAGTTCCATGGCCTCAAGGATGAAGAGGCGAGGGTGCACCTTTCCCGGTTCTTGCAGCTTACCAATGGGTTCAAACTTAATGGTGTACCAGATGATGCGATCCGTCTTACTGTGCATCACGTCATGGGACGATCTGGCCGACAAGTTTGTGCATAGGTACGACCCGGCCTCGAAGACCACGGAGATTCAGTGGGAGATCACTCATTTACGCCAGGAGCTAGATGAGTCATTACGTGATGCCTGGGAGCGGTACTCGGGATTTTTCTGGCAGTGTCCCCATCACGATTTTAGTGATGCATTCACAGTGGGGAACTTCTACAGTGTTCTATCACCAGAAAGCCAGAGGGTGATCGAGTGTCTATGCTCAGAAGTGGACATTTTTACCAAGACTCCACCCGAGCTGAATCAGATGATCAATACTTTGGCTGCTAGAGATCATTCTTGGGGGCAGCACTAGAAGCAGGAACTCCCGGGATTGAGGTGTGCATTCTATGGAAGCTAGATCTGGGCTAGACCGAGAGGTGGCCAAGCTGGTCCAGACATTAAAGCAGCCCAACAGTCTCATTACGGGCAGAGGGTTGGCTGTCAATTCAGTTGCACAGTGCAAGTGGTGTGAGAGCTCAAATTATTTGGTGGAAGACTGCCAGACTATCAAGTGGTCAGAATGTTGATGATTCATTTGGTCTACATATATTAGAGATTTTTTTTATGAGATGCTTGGCTGAGGATTTGGTGTTTGGCCATCAGACTGGGGCGGTTTCCTATAGAAAGCTTGCAAAAAGTCAAAAGCGGAAGAGCAAGAGGTCGTACATTTGTTGTGATATGGACTTGGTTTATAAATCTTATGTGGAAAGAGCGCTGTAATCAAGTTTCTGGAGGGCACAGTAGACCTGGGCAAGCGATTTTTAGATAGTTTCGAGATGATTTGATACTCTATTCATTAGTTAATATGATACTTAGGTAGGAATTGATTTGTACTCCTCATTGGAGGAGATTATTGTAAGTATTGCATGTTGGTCTATAGTTGTTGTCCTGTCCCTGGTTTTTTTTTTTTTTATCGCCTTGACTTGTATGTCAAGAGAGCTCAATAGATATACCCCATACGTGTTATTTCAAATTATGGATTTTCGCGTTATTTGTAAATAACATATGGCTCACAATTCCTTATTCGCTAAATGGGCATCCAAACAAATTATTTTAGTCCTATGATTAATTATGAGTTATTAGTGACAAAATAACTCATAGAAACAACCCACGACCCTCAGAGAGAAAAGGAAAAGAAATGTCGACCATATTATCAATTAAGAAAAAATACATACATTTAGTTAAAATTGAAACAAAGAAAATGATCATTAGATGGCCAGGACAAGGCCAGGCAAAGAGCGTTTGTAAAGATCCGCCGGCTGGCTCCTCCATAAAGTAATCCTCTCCGGCGACGGGGTCCGCCGATGGTCACTACCGGCCGGCAATGGATACCCGCCGCCAGTGACGTATTTGACGGTGAGCCACGTGTTGAAATACTCCCTGAACTGAGTGATGACGACCAGACCATGATCCTCCCTCACCGTCCACACGTGCACCCAGTACACATTGCCTTCCCACCCTTCGGCGATCACGCAGTCCCCGACCGCCTCGATGCTACGTGGCTCGAACCGGATGACAGACTGGTCCGGCGCCAGCTGCCCCGTCAGCATCCTCATCATGTAGTCGCACCCCGGCGGGCCGTGGAACCACCACTCCAGGTCGCTGGCGATGACCTCCTGGCAATCCTCCGGATCGTTGTCACCGGCGGTGGGACCGCAGTGGCTGGCTAGGCCGTTGTAGAGTGACCTGAATATGGGTTTGATCCGGGCGGCTCTGGCTAGCGATGATTCCGCTTGGTCGTGCTCCGATGGCTCATCTTCGACGGCGGCCGGCTTCCTCCGGGAGCTTAGTTTGGAGTAGAGGGATGAGAGGGAGGAGCCGAATGTTCTAAAAGAGATTGACATTTTTTTTATCGCTCTTCTGTGTGGTTCAATGAATCTTTTTTTTTTTATCTCTGTTCCTCAATTTTTCTTGCTCTAGCTCTGTCTAGTTCTTCTTCTGATGGTAATTACCAGGGCAGCAAAACTCTTATTTATAGCTGGGGGGTGGGACCCTTCAGACAATGATATAGTTACAACGACGTTTCTCTGGATTTGGAGTTAGGGTTAGTGACAAATCAGACATCGGTTAAAGAACTCCTTTAACAACAATTTAGCCTTGCAATTTTTATCAGCATAGTTTGAACTTCATTAAATATGCCTCTTAAGCATTGTTCTTTCTTTATACTTTGTGGGGTTTGGATGGAGATAATAACTAACAAATAATTAATTTTTAAATATTTCACTAAGATAAGTTATGTGGGCGGTGAGTTATTTACAAAATAACTTTAAAACATGTTATTTGAAATAACTGTTATCTTATGTTATTTCGAAATAATTCGTTTTTACTCCTTTTTGTTATTATTCAAATACCTCATGTGAATGGTTGAGCCAAACGAGATTTTTGACTATATTACTGTTGAAATATCACGTGAATAATTAATGAGTGATTGAGTCAATAAATTACACATTGACAATTAATCCATCCAAACGACCCTTATACATGTGTCGTGAAATAGGAGTAATGGTTGTATTAAGAATCTATTAGTTGATGGGTTGTATATGGTATATTGGTAATGAATTTGACGTTGTATCTCACACAAATTCAGGTCGGGCAACCTGCATAGATACGAGATGAGACAAGCCAATTAATTCTGACGTGTTATTTCAAGAAAAGCAATGCAATAATTTTAGTCTTTGGTGAGATTTTTTATGGGCATTATATTGTTGTTGTTCGCTGCTTTCCTCATCCGGTGTTGCCCCTTATTCTGATGCCACTCTTCAGGCCTTGCAAGATAAGCATCCTGTTGCCCCATCTCCCTCATTACCGACTTCGCCTATGGATCATCATCCTCTTGTTGCCTCTTCAGCCGTTGTTTTGGATAAGATTAGGAGCTTTCCTCGTGGTACATCTTGCAGGAGGGATGGTTTTCGAGCTCAACATCTTATGGATTGTTTGGGTGCTGCTGATGTGGCTATCTTGGATGATTTGGTAGCCTCTATTACTCGAGTGACTAATCTTTTCCTTGAGGGTTGATGTCCGCAGCCCCTTGGTGAGTAGATTGCTAGCGCTCCTCTCACGCCACTTGTTAAACCAGGAGGTGGTATCCGTCCTATAGCTGTTGGCACTGTTTGGAGACGTACGTCTTTTTTCTAAGGCTGGCGCTTGTCTTGTTGGCCCTACTTTATCTGGTTATTTTGCTGGTCTTCAGTTTGGGGTTGGGGTTTCTGGTGAAGCAAAGGCTATTTTGCATGCCTTGAACCGGTTTGTTGAGGCCCACGGTGGTGACGTAGGTCTTTCTATGTTGTTGGTCGATTTCCAGAATGCTAACAATTTAGTTGATCGTGGGGCCATGCTTCAGGAAGTTCGTCGTCATTGTATGGTCCTGTCCCGCTGGGTAGAGTTCTGTTACCTTAGCCATGCCCGACTGTATTATGGGATGCATAATGGTCTTGCCGGGAAGTTCAGCAGGGAGACCCTTTGGGCCCTTTGCTTTTTGCTTTGGTGTTGCATCCTTTAGTGTGCAAGATCAGAGACTCTTTTGATTTGAGTATGCAGGCTTGGTATTTGGATGATGGCAATGTTGTGGGGGACACTTTGGTTGTTGGGAAGGTCTTGGACATGATTATGGTTGAGGGCCCTCGAGTTGGCCTTCACCTAAATGTGGGTAAGACAGAGGTTTTTTAGCCTAGTGAGGATCCTAGGAGTCGGCTTCCAGGTGTTTTCCCTGCCTCTATCGCTCGACCTCCACACGATCTCACCGTTCTGGGTGGTCCTGTCATTTCTTCTCCTAATTTTAGCAGTGAGCTTGTGGCTAAGAGAGTTACTAAGACCATTGAGCTAATGCACTTGGTTGCTAGGATTGATGACCCACAGTGTGAGTTGCTTTTGCTTCGGGCCTGTACTGGTATTTCTAAACTCTACTTTGCATTGCTTACTTGCTCCCCTCATATTTTTGGGCCGGCCCAGCTAGCTTTTGACACAGCACTTCGGTTTAGTTATAACTTATTGTCACTGCTTCTAGACCCGGGTTTGGTGATTGGCAGTGGCGGCTTGCCGCCTTCCCATTTCATTTGGGCAGGCTTGGGGTTTATGCTGCTGGAGATGTCTTGCATTATGCTTGTTTGGCATCTCGTTTGCAGTCTGTGGAGTTGCAAGCTAAACAAATAAGTCCTTCTAGATTCTATCTCTTGGCCCTACTTTTGATGACGCCCTACACACCTTTAACGAGTTTACAGGTTCTGATCTCTTACATGACTCTAGTGGAGTTGTTGCCCCAAAACTTTTGAAGAAATTGGCAGATATATATTTCGCCAAGGTTGTTACTACTTCAGATTCTGTTTTCTCATTGACTACGCATCAGGTGGCTTTGTGGAAGTCTCAGCAGAGTGCACACTCTTCTGATTGGTTGCGTGTTGTTCCTATTGCTGGGCTGGGCTAGACTATGAATGGGAGGACATATCGTAGTGTGCTTAGCTATCGACTGGGTGTCCCGTTGTTTTCGGTATCTAACCCCTGTCTGCTTGTTCCCTTGTCTTTCCTGGTGATGTCTTTGGGGATCATGTTGTGTCCTGTGCTGGTTCTGTGGGCATTAAGCATCGGCACAACCTCGTTCTTGGCACCTTATTGGACATCTATTACATGTCTGGGATTTCTGCAGTTAGGGAGGTTAATATCGGTTTGGTTGATGGACATGGCAGACCCCTTCGTCCTGCAGATTTGCTGCTTTATTCCTGGGACAGGGGGCGAGATGTGTGTGTAGATTTGAATGGATCTTCACCTCTCACTCATACTGGGATGACTGGTTTTGTGCCTGTCCGAGTTGTTGGATGCTGCTCAGCGAAAGTGTGCCAAGTACCGAGACTTGTTTATTGCGGTTGGTTACGGTTTCTTGCCCTTATCTTTTTCTTCGTTGGGAGAGTTGGATACAGATTTCGTGGCTTTGCTTAAGAGGATCCATAAATTCTCCATGTCTCGGGATGCAGGGGCTTGGCCGGCCGCGTACATTTTTACTAGACTTAGTTTTTCTATAGCTAAGGGAGTGGGAGCCCAGATTGTATCTCGCCTACCCACTAATTTTTTGTAAATCTTTTTTTGTTATGTTTCCACTCATATTAATAGATTGAATCCCTCTATAATATATAGTAGTACTTCAGGAGATTTTGAGCATTTCAAATTCCTTGCATTCTCCTTAATTGTAGCTAGGGGTAAATTTATAAGTTCAACTTAGAACTTAAATATCTTCTTATGAGAAAAAAAGTCATTACAAAGATTTGAACTTGAGTCCTTCAAATTGATAGTCAATATCCCTAACCAACTGGACTACAACAATGTTTATGTATTATTTGAATTAAAGAGAGAAAATACTGAAATACTGAAATATCTCAAAATCATAGGACTATCCAACGCAACAATCAATCATCAAATTAATTAATAACTGTAATTATTCACAAAGTGAATAATCATGATATACTTAGTTTTATGAATCAACTAAGTGAGTTCCTCTAATCACACAATTCTTCACCAAGAATCAAATAGTACATTTTGAGTTTATGTATGTCTTACAATTTTTACATTTATTAGGTTACATGACTTTGTAGTTTGTAGGAATACAAGGATTGTGTACAAAAGTGCTATACAAAATTTTATTTCAAAACATAAAATTTGACATTTGTGATCTATGGTTTTGTAACGAGACATTTTCAATGCTATAAGTGAATGACCAAAAATCATTGGCTAACAATTTCCCTAATGCTTGACAATTATAAACATAGAATTGAAAGACTAAATACCATTGACAAATGAGCCAATTATCATTGGCTAATTTAGTAAAAAATGGTATGTGTATGTACATTGGAAATTCTATGGTACGCTCGATGGATTGAGGGTTATTTCATATCCTTAGTTAAATAACATTATCTAAACCATAGATTAATCACGTAACTAAACCCTATATCATAATTCTCTAAATCCTAATATAGTGCATATGGTATGTTGTATACATCTTGGCGAATCAGAATCATTGATTATGTTCATATGTGATATTAGGGTTTATGTTCTATAGATTTAGGGTATATGATTTAATTATTTGAAACTTAATCTCCCTTTTCAAATTTCCTGCAATGAGAGGGAAATTAGGAAGGATATTTTCGTCTTCACAATTATATGTATTTTTTATTTATTTACAGAAAAAGATAGACATATTGAGATTTGAACTATGGTCTCTTCAAACAAAGAGGAAGTTTAAAATCAATCAGACTATGTAGATATGTTGTATTTTTTAAAATTAAAAATATACACAAAACTTAAATATGAAATCACATAACTTTTCAACAGTTAGCTAGCCCAATCAATATTTTGTAAGTACTTATTTGGTGTTTTGATACTTCAATTTTGATATTTTTTATTGTAATTATAGTTTAATACTTAATTTAAAATTTTATCCATCTTATAAATAGACGATCACCATAAATTTGCAACCAAAAAATTGTTGGTTTGAATATTTCATATCAAAATATAATATTGAATATGTAGAAGCGATATAGAATTCTTAAATTACCATTAATTTTCAGAACTATAGTGAAGCAATCATATCTTTGTGCAAACTATAGGGGACTGGTTCTCTGAACATTTTTATCCGATTAAATTCTAAGTTTTGAAACTCTTCCTAGGGGTGTACGTGGGTCGATTCGTTTGGGTTTAAATATTTTAATCACCTAACTCATATACCACGATTTTGAAAACACTAAATACAAACTCACCCAAATAATTTAGAATTTTAACGGTTTGTGTCCTCCATACCAAATGAACCAATTTACATGTCGCTTAACTAAGGACAATCTCATTGTCCAATCCCATCATTCTTATGTCAATCCATAAAAGTAACTCATATTCGCGTTTGTTAACACATGTTTCACATTGTCATTATTATGACCGGTAACTTCGCTGCAACTGATTCGGTATTGCTCATAATATTGCCTCCAAACTGATAAACATATCGGGCCAGCAGTTTTATGACAAAACTCAAAGTGAAGACAACTCATCGTCTGGTGGAATTTTGGCGCTGGCTGGTGTCCATTAATCTAATTGCAAGCATAATGATTGCTAAAATTAAGCTTTCACGCAACACACTGGGAGTTGGGGGTGTGAACTTGAAGTAAAAGTTGATATTGAGTTTGGGAAGGGAAGTGGTGAGTGGAAGAAATATTGGTAGCAGGTAAAGTTCATGGTTCGGTTTCTTTTAGTAAATTGCTTTGATTTATTTTAGTAAGAGGTATAATATCATGGTTATGTGGGATCAAATGAACCAAAAATGAGATTGGGTGATGGGAATTCCAACTTAGAAGGAGTGGATTATATTTTGATAAACTCAAGTTCATGATTAACTGAAAGAATATTTAGATATAGACTTTTGGTATTGAGATGTTCATAGTGAGTTTAAAACTGATCCAAGGCCATGGATTGATATTGGTTAGCTGATTGTGATTTTGAGGAAGGTGTATAAAAAGTCATGGTAGAGAAGAGGCAGTTGGTCAGGGTAGTGATTGAACCAAGTAGGGTATTGAAAGACATAAAAGCAAAATCGGAGCAATTGAAGAGAGAGAAGTGGTAGATGATCAGGATATTAATGAAAATGGAGAGGGTATTGAAGGGCATGGAACTGAACTGGATCAAGTGAAGGCATAGAAGGAGGAGAAGAGCATATTGATGGAATTGAAGATGAGTGTTGGTTTTACGAGCTTATTAAAACTGCCCCAAGGAAGATGAGTTGGCCAAATACAAGAAAGAGGACTGAGGAGTTGGAGATCGAGCTGACAAGAAACTCAATTGAAAGAGAAATCCAGGTTCATGGAGAGAAGGTCCATCAAAGTAGCATAAATGGAGTTGCAGAAGGAGGATTAAAAATTGAATTTTGATTTAAAACATATACGTCAAGAGATTGAAGATGGAGGGGATAAAAAGTCGGATGTATAACGAAGAGTGAAAACTATTGGATCTTTAGGTGTTATGGTTGTTGCAACTACCACAACCTATGTTTATGTTAAAACGAGTAATCATTGATTGATTTACTAAAGTTAAGGTCGATTCACTTATCAAACTACTGAAACCTGTAGATAAGGAGTGTCTAATTTTGTGCCTCATTACTTTGATCGAGTCTATTAGTATATTGGATGTAACTCTAATTTTGTCATTTGCTCTCAAGTTTTAATTGTCTCCTTTTAGTTGAGTTGTTAGCATATGATTTACTTGAATCAACAACTCTTCATTTCTGTTTTTTTTATAAATCCATTTCTTTTTTATTAGTGGCATGTTATTCATAGAGGAGAGCTTTCAACCATTTATGTGGGATTGTGAGGTTTCATTTCAGTTTTAAAATAATTATGGATCGTGTGGGAATTCCAATGAGCTTTTATATTATATATTTCTAGACAATCAATTAACCAATATCATTTTAATGTGGCTCAATTATCATTATGAAAATGTAATTAATGATACATTTTTATATTCTTAAATGAGGAGGGTATTTCCCTGAATGTTCGACCTATATATTCATTTTTTATGTAGCATCTTGATTGAATGATTTTCAATAAATATAAACGAATTAATAGACTTAAACATAACATTAAAATATAAATATTAAAATATGAACATTCCGGCCAACGGACCGGGTTATAAGCTAGTAATTAAGTATGATTAATTGATAGTTGTAGTCCGTATACTTTTTTAAAGTTTCACTAAGTTGAAAATATGATTTACAAAAAGTCAAAAGTGAAGTTATACATGGACATTTCTCTACCACTTGAGTTACGTTATTGGAATTCGTGGAATTGAATTCCTTATTAAAGGCAACATATTATAGCTAGAGACATCAATCGTCAAAACAAAAACAAAAATACAGAAAACTAAAGCTAGTGACATAGTGAAACAAGTCCAGGCGCGTTTTTGTTATAGATAACTACAAATTGAAGTTCATATGCCAAAACCCCATATTTGTTACTTACTACTGACCAAATGACAACATTTCCATTGTCAGGTGCCAAAAGACCCCATTTGGCCATTTCGACCCCGCCACCGATGCTGGAATGGGAAACTTTTGACGTTATTTCGGACGGACATCACATTCACACATTGGACAGTAGTGCAGATCTTTCTTTAATTGCCTCTATTCATTATTGGTTGATTAAGGTTAATTTGCACTCGCCGCCCGCGCGCCAGCTTTGTTTGGAACATACAAATGCTCGAAATATACGTATAGACATTTAGAGTTCATTATTTCAAGTCTTACTATTACAATAAGACGAGGGCCAGGCACCAAAATCATTTGAGGTGGGGATGAGAAACCAAAGAAATGGCGCTACAGTTGCTAGCAGCCATCACACTCCTTTTTCATATCAATTCCAAATGACAAATTAAACAAACAAAAACGAAGGACTGCTATTTAGATCTCGACCATTCCAACGAAGATGGACTGATCATTTTTAATGGTTTATTTATATTAACTAGCAAAAGCCGTCTCGCTACTGCTTCACGTATCAGAAAAATAAATATTATAAAGAGTAATAGTTTTAATGTTGACCTAAAAGTGAAAGTAATCTTATTTCATTCTTAATCATTCTTTTCATAGGTTTGTTATTTACAATAGCATATGGTTGATGAACTTGCATAAGGTAGAAGGGTCGTCAAATAGATTATTTATGTTTAAACTTCTTTCATGATGCCAATGTTTCAATTTGTATGGCTAGCAGTTGATCCTGTTGTAACTTTCGCAGAATGAAGTAGCTTCTCTGGATCTTTTCAATAAGTATTAAAAAAAATTGTTAAGTGTTTTGCTGAAAAACTATCAAAATTACTTTCTAATGTAAGAGGTAATGAAAAATGCATAAAAAAGATTTCTAACATAAAATATGAATACAAATTCTAAATATAAAAAATATTTAAAATGGATAATGTTAGATTTATTTCATAATAAATAATACTATTTTCAATTTATTTTTTTATAATGATATAAATGAAAGAAAATTATGTTTTCTAGAAAAAGAATAATATATGGTAACTACTTTGTATTCTCAAATTGGAGCTACTGCTTTAAAGTTACGAAAAACTTCAGTTTTTTTAAAAGTGAAACTTTAGAAGTGTTTGGCTTGCTTTAAAATTTTGAAACGTAAAACTTCTAAAATTCGGGCCAAATATAATTGTACTCTTTTGTTCTATTTTTTTGTTAGAGGTAGTCGTTGTTCTCATTTATGAAATTTTTGGACTGATTGCAGGTTTAAGGAGGTTTAACTCGCATTGATAAGATCAATTTAGGTTGTATACCCATGGATTTGGGTTCAATTGTCTTTCTCAAACAAAAGAAAAAAAACAAAATGAAAAAACTAAAGCTAAGACTTGCTACTGACTCAAAACTCGTCAACTTTAGTTTCAACTCGCTTTGACCTGGTTGGACCGAGTTTTGTACAAATTCAGACCTGACATAACACGCCAATTATAAAAATAAATAAAAATCGCTCCCGTCAAAAACATTTAAAATTGAGTTTAAGTCGCTTTGGTCGGGTCAAATTAGGTTGTATACTCATGCGTTTGGCCTCAATTGTCATTCTAAACCAAAAGAAAAAAGATAACAAATACTAAAGCAGATAAAACTCGCTCATGACCCCAACAAAGAGAAAAAAGTGAAAGGAAAACACTAAAGCGAACGAAACTCGATCCTGATACAAAACTCGCCAACATTGAGTAGATATGGTATGGATTGTCGGTAGCGGCATTGGGTTCAATTGTGATCATGCTCAACAAAAAGGAAAAAGAGAAAGAAAACACTAAAGAGGATGAAACTCGATCACGATAGAAAACTCGTTGTAGCGGCCTTGAGAAACGATGCTGGGGAACAACTTAGGATTTCGCCGACAATATTTCGAGATGGGCTGTAGAATGGTGGGCAAAAGCGATGATTTGTGTTCAAGTTAGGATAACCATGTGTTTGGGTTCAATTGTGATCATGCTCAACAAAAAGGAAAAAAAAGAAAGAAAAAAAAGACTAAAGATGATGAAATTCGGTCCCGATACAACACTCGTGGTAGCGGCCTTGGGAAACGGTGGTGGGGAACAACTTAGGATTCCGCCGACAATATTTCGAGATGGCCTGCAAAATGGTGCAAAGAAGATGATTTGTAAAAATAGTCATAGACGAAAACCTAGCGAACAATAACTAAACACAAAGGTTGTAGAATGGAGAGTGAGGTAAAAGAAGGGCTTGGAATTTTCCCACTTACACTTGAAGGAGTGTGATAGCCACTAATGTTAGGCTTTATATATGAATTATCATACCCATGTGTTTGGGTTCAATTGTGATCACGCTCAACAAAATTAAAAAAAAAACAATAAAGAGGATAAAACTCGGCTCCGATACAAAACTCGTGGTAGCAGCCTTGGGAAATGGTGGTAGGGAGCAACTTAGGATTTCGCCGACAGTATTTTGAGATGACTGCAAAATGGTATGCAAAAGTGTGCAAAAGCGATGATTTGTGCAAAAAGTCATAGAAGAAAACCTAGCGAACAATAACTGAACACAAAGGCGATGATTTGTGCAAAAAGCCATAGACGAAAACCAAGCGTAACAATAACAAAACACAAAAGGCGATGATTTATGCAAAAAGTCATAGACAAAAACCTAGCGAACAATAACTAAACACAAAGGTTGTAGAATGTAGAGTGGGGTAAAACTTAAAAGGAGTTGTAACTTCCCCACTTACACTTGGAGGAATGTGAGAGCCACTAATAAATAGTAACTCACACTCTAAACTGTTATATATTAATATCTTCCTTCGTAGTCTTCTAGGCATCTTTTTCTATCATTCCCTTTAATTTCCCTTATATTTTGCACCGCACATTGGTGCGTTACTAATTAAACAGAGGCTGCGAGATTAGCAGGTTTGGGACGATATATAATCGAGCAATTAACACTGGTGTTAATTAAGTGGGAGGGATGAAAGGAAAGGATACGAGGCTGTTAATATTTTAGAGTCAAGAAAATTATGGGGAGAAAATTTCGGTCATAAAATATCATGATTTATGTGTTTCCACTTCCCCGATGTGTTTTTTTTTTACAAAAATAATCATATATTGATCAAAAAATAAACAATTACATCCTGGAACACAGCCAGGCCCGGAAGTCAAAGAAACGACTCATAGTCGGGTACAAAGAAAGGGCCTTCCTAGCTACCAAATGAGCTACCCTATTGTTTCGCCGACCTACAAACCGAAAACTAAATCCTGCATGAGCCACCATCAAGTTGCCAACCTCTTCCAGGATGGTCCCCATTCGACTATCTCTAGTGTCACCCTGACGGATCTTGTCAATAACCAGCTGGGCATCACCTTCAAAGCGCACGACAGAAAAACCATGCCCAAGGCACCATAAGATAGCCTCCCTGGGTGTCAGAAGCTCCACAACAGCTGGATCATCTATCCCAGGGCAATGAATCCCTTTCATTAGGAGAATCTCCCGGGCCAGATTGAAGAGAACCATCCCTCCCGCCGAATGCGAACCAACCTTTACCGCCCCATCCCACATGCAAATTGCCGAAGCCGGAACCCCCACATTGGCCAGGTCAATCCTAGGGGAAGGCTGGGGGGCAGGGTCCTTAAGGAGACTAGCCCATTCCTGCACCTGTTGGCGGAATTGGCGCATCAAGGGCGCTATCCCAAATTATTTACCTTCAAAAACCACCCAGTTGCGATCTCCAAATCCTCCATAAGACCGCAATCACTTCCATAAACTGAGGCTTCCGGTCAATCATAGCCAAGAGCTTCTTCAAAAAGAGTGGGAAGGTATGCCGAGGCAATCCCTCCACGAAGTGAGCCAATCCAGACTGATCCCAAATGGCACGCGCAACTATACAATCCATAAACAAATGTTCCATCGTTTCAGCACTGGCCCAACAAACAGGACACCGTGGATGAACCTCGACCTCCTTTTCAATTAGAGCCTCTGTCGTAGGCAGAATTCTGTGACAAATCTGCCACACGAACACTTTCATTTTTGGAGGTATATCCGCTTCCCACAACCGGATCCAACTTGGTCGATCCATCCAACTAACCGTGGGTTTCCACTTCCCCCGCGGCTGATCTAGAGTGACCGCTAAATGATATGCGGACTTAACCGTGAACACACCATCAGTAGTCCCATGCCAGACCATACGATCCTCTAAATCCTGACGAGGTAACGGGATTGCCCTTATAGCCTTGCAGGTCATGGGATCAAACCATTGCCGGAGCTTATCCTCGCACCACCTACCCTCATCATGTTGAATTACCTCTGCCACCCTCAGCTCCACCCCTTCCTCCATCACACGAGGGTTAAACCTGGGAGGTAGCGGGTGCAAATTAGGGATCCAACTAGATGTTAAGAGAGCAGCCTGACGCGTTCATTATCTTTTTGTATTTCACTTAATTAATTGACTCCTACTGGCAACAGTTGCGGCTCTAAATTTATCTACTGTTCCAAGATAGGGCACAATGCCAAATTACAATCAAGTAAGCAGTCAATAATGATACTGTAGAAAAGGGTATACCCTTCAACGAGTTAAGCTATAATACTTTCTGACCTAATACCAGTAGAAAATTCGAACTATTAGAAAAAATGATATTTGTGTCTCAACCTTTTTTTTAGTGTATTGACCTTTCTTTGACCGTTAATTATTAACAGAAATTCTAATCACCGGTGATATGGCATCTGACGTGGAATGGTCGTATGTGGTGAGGGGGTTGTCAGCCGTAGGAAAATGTAACAAGTGACCAAGCGCCACCCTCTTGGTCTCCAGGTTGAGGAAAGGGATTAGATCCAAGCCACCCACGTGACTCTCTCGACCTATCAACTAAGGAATGGTTACAAATCACCCTCAAATCGGAGTTCGGACGGCCACCCATAACCAAACCCTAGGTGCTTATACGAAATAAGAGGTTTGCCCTACGTTAACCTAGATAGGATGCAATGAATTGCTTAGGAAAACCTAGCTTTTTGAGCCTCTTTCAAAGAAAGGAAGGGGGTTTCCCTCTACCTAGGTTAGAATAACAATTAGATTGATAGACTTTTACACAACACAACACAATTATTCATGAATAATACCTCCACATTCACATTAAAACACAACCACATACAAATCATTCAATCCATACAAGCATTCACATAATTATAGCTAGGGCTTACAAACACCCATGTGAAAGAGGGTACTACTCCATGCTAGGAGAAGGAAAAACACAAGGGAGAAGAAGGAAAACCATCAAAATGATGCTAGCCTTGCTCCTTGAGTTGAAGAGATCCTCTTTTGAGGAAGGAATTCCCAAATCCTTGCTTGAAAATGAAACGCTAGCTTCTCCTCTTCTTTGGTTTGGCACTTTTTTACTCTAGAAATCAAAAGAAGAAGAAGTTTCTCACACTATGTCTCTCCCTTTTATCCTTAAGCTCAACCTCCTTTAAATACCCAGATCGGGCTCAGTTCACGGTCATAGTTCACGGCCGTGAACTGCAAGCCAAGACCGTGAACTCAAGTACAAATGCACCGCTTTACTAATCTCTGTTCGCGGGCTACGACCTGAGTTCACAGTCTTATGACCATGAACTGGCCTCAGTTTAGTGAGACTGAAATTTCCTCTGGACGCCTGGTGGTTCGGGTAGCGCCTCCAGTTCACAGTCTTAGTGATCGTGAACTCACAGCCCAAACCGCGAATTACAACTGTTTCCACCGTTTAACTTGATTTTTTGCCCTTTCGTCCAACTTTTGACTCTGGGGTTGGTTCCACCTGCCAAAGTCTGAAAAACACCAAAACAAGGAAAAACCTGGCATAAAAACAAACCTCCCGGAGTAAAAATGCTTCAAACGACTAAGCAAACCGGGGGTAAAAAGTGTATAATTGAGTCTGAATCACTCCCCCACACTTAGGCGTTTTCTTGTCCCCAAAACAAAATATTTTCAACGTAGGTGATATCTCAACCTAACAAGATAACTTGGGGACAAATAAAAAGGCACAAAGCAGTGAATCTCAATGACTATTGGGCATTCAAAACATGAACCGCCTCAAATAATACCGAAATCCAACACAAATGAAATTCAATTGCATTAAGGATGGGCAAATGACTAATTGTCACTTTCTCACTCTAGAAATAAGAAGAAGAAGAAGAAGAAGTTTCTCATACTAGGTCTTCTCCTTTTCTCCTTCAGCTCAACCTCCTTTAAATACCCAGATCGGGCTCAGTTCATGGTAAAAAGTGTATAATTGAGTCCGAATCACTCTTCCTCACTTAGGCGGTTGCTTGTCTCAAAAACAAACTATTTTCAACCTAGGTAATATCTCAACCTAACAAGATAACTTAGGGGCAAATAAAAAGGCACGAAGCGGTGAATATCAATGACTATTGGGCATCAACACATGAACCGCCTCGAACAATACCGAAATCCAACACAAATGACATTCAATTGCATTAAGGATGGACAAATGAAAAGTTCTCAACCTGTTCACAAATCTTGTCGCATACCTCTGGATGGTGAGAACTCGTTCGTTAATCCCCCATTCCACTGAATACACATCTTGGCCGTCAAAATGCATTGCATGGTGAGCTCTGTGAACTGCTCTGGTAGTGCAACGACCTGGAGAGTATCCCGGACAAAGCTCCATCGAATGCGATTGTAGGCTTTGGCCAGGTCCACCTTGATTGTCATCCATCCCTTGCGTCCTGATTTTGCTCGCATTGAATGGACTACTTCCTGCAAAACGCAAATGTTGTCAGTAATATGCCTTCCCGACACAAAACTCGTCTGAGTCTCATGCACCAGTTTAGGCATCAGGGGCTTGAGGCGCTCCGCCAGGCACTTCATAATTATCTTATAACCCACGTTGCGTAAACTAATCGGATGGAACTGCTAAATCTGTACTGGTCGAGCAATCTTCGATATGATGAAAATAATTGTCTCATTTAGCTCATTTATGCTTCCTGGATCCGACTAACACCTATGCGCAAACTCAAGAACCGACGGAGCCACTAGGTCCCAGAATTTTTGATAGAACAATGGGTTTAGCCCGTCTGTACCCGGCGCTTTCATTGGTCCCATAGTGCACACTGCCAACCTCATCTCTTCTTGGGTAAAAATGATACCCAACGCATCCACCTCCTGCATAGGGAGCCTCGGGAAGCTATGCGGAAGCTGTAAAAGTTCCGAGCCCTCATCGGTGAACAACACTCCATAATAAGTGCACGCCATTGCATGAGTTCCGTCTGATCTTCAACCCACTCCCCCTGCTGGTTTTTTAGCACCATGATTGGATTTTGTTTCCTTCCACGAAGAGTTCGGACATGAAAATATTTCGTATTCTTGTGACCCGAAGCTATCCACTCAAGTCTCGACTTCTGATACCACATGATCTTCTCCCGAAGCAATACTTTCTCTAGTTCGCGTGTAGAGATGTCAAGTTGTGGTGGTTTGAGCCCCCTCCCCATCTTGCTTCCAAGGTCTTAGTCGTCTTCATCAACTTGTCCTTCATCCTCATAATATTTGCGAATGTCTCATTATTCCACTGGCTCACATCAAGGGCAAAGGATTTCGAGCTACTCCTCAGGTCTGTACCCTTCAACCAAGTTGTCTTAGTCACGTCTGCAAATTCTGGTTTATACTTTAGTTATTGCTTTCCATTTAATTTATACAAAAATTTTTTTTTGTTATTTTCTGTTGCTTAATTTTAATTGTTAAATCTAGAGTTGTACCATTCATTATGAGATGATAATATACTTAACTTTATTAGTCGATCGATAATTTTTATACTCATTTTATCGCATCACTTCCTTTTTTATTTGACAAAAATGAAAAATACATCTCCACTAAAACTTGTTCATCCCCTTGTCCCTTTTAGTTCAGATTTTTCGTTTCTTTTTCTGTCTGTTGAGTGTCACTAGGAAATAGAATCCCCAACCCATAGCAGTTCTTTGCTTTCTGCTCCACCCTCCGATTCTCGGCAGCAAGCCGACGATTCTAATTCTTATTCAAACTTCCACATTGACGCTTGCTCCAGCCTTCCAACTTTCCATTTCAGCTTTGTTTTCCCATCTTAAGTTAATTAGTGTTGATTTTACGTCTTGCAACTGCAAGACGCAAAATTACCCTTTTCATATATGAAGTTAATCAAGAACGATCGGAATTGGCCATAAAATGTAATTAAGAAATCTTATAACTGTAAAAGACAATAAAATTGTGAACTTTATGAATAATATATTTATATTCATGTTTAATTCATTTATTTATTCTTTATTTTTAACATATTTTTATCGGTCGACTTATCCAATAATCTTGGGTTCGCCACTAGAGACGAGATTGGATGACATCTGGTTTCAATCGTGACAGGATTGGGTTTGATCCGATTTTAAACCGAAAACTGGGTTGACATTAATCCCCTCTCAAATGCTGTCGTTTGAATAAAAATTGGGGGAAAATAAAAATAAAAATCAAAGCAAATGAGAAGAAGGATCTCTGCTTCCTCTAATACTCAACCGTCCCTCGTTTTTCTCAATGTGCCTCTCTTCTTCTTTCTCGATCTTCTTTGATCTGCATTTCTCCTCCTGGGAATGCCTCCCTTGTTGCACGCAAAATTGCAAACCCACCATTCAACTATCAAAACAAAAATGTTGGCTACAGCCTCTATTTCTGCTTTCTGGTACTCTAAATCGATCTCTGGTACTGGGGAATGGAGAGGCGAGAATCGAAAGATAGAGTGGTTGAGATCGTCATCATCGACTGCTGTCTCTGAGGCTGCCTTCGGCCTCCTTGCCGCCATAATCGTCGCGTGCAAGGGACTTGGAGAGCTCCTTGCTTCTTTTCTCACCGTTGCTCGCATAGAGATCGTTGAACTTCAACGGCGTTTGTCGCCTAGTGCTGCAAAGAGGGAAATGGGACGGATTAGGGAGCGATGAGAAGGGATTTTGGGTAGTGGGAGTGGAGTTTGAGGGAGGGATAGAGGTGATGTTCTTGAGGGTAGAAGGAGATCAGGAGGTGTTAGTAATTAGTCTAATATATTTTGTTCCAACAATATTCACTTATTTTTTGGGTTAATTGCATGGTTGGTCACCGAGATTACAAAAGACGTTCAAGTTTGGTCACTCAAAATATTTAAATTCATTGGTGGTACTTTAGTTTATCGAAACCGTTCACGTTTGGTCACTCTCCGTCCAACTCCGTTAACTTTTGCTTACGTGGAGGTCAACTCTAAAAGTTGACCGTTAAATGTGTGACGTGGCCATTTAAAAATAATTAATTTAACAAAATTAAATTTTTTAAAATTGTCATCTCATTTTCACATCATTACCACTTTATTTAAAATAAATAAAAAACTAATTTCTTCTAATTAGGAACTGTTTCCATCTCATTTGCACATCATTTCCACATCATTATTTAAAGTCGAGCAATCATGATGGAATGACAAAATTAAAAGTTCAAGCTTTCAGCTCTGGAATTCACCATTCGATGAAACCAAAGCAATAGATCCTGCTCAACACAACGCTCATCAAATGGAAAAGATCCAGTTCCTCCAATGGTCCAAAAGGAACCCCCAATAGATCCATTCGATGATCTTCGCCGTCGTTGCCGCTTCCATTGCTGCTGATTGCTGAAACTCTCACCACTCTTTTCATCCTTGATTTCATGGATTTGGCGAAATAATAATTGGAATTAGGTTCAAAACCCCAGAAAAACCCATGAAATTAATTCAAGATTTGTTGGAGTTTGGGGCAAAAAGGGCGAACCTTTTCTTGGAGCAATGGCACCGGCCGGAGGAGGAGCTGCATCTGATGTCATCCATGGAGCTGCACTTCCTCTTGAGGGAGGAAGAAGACAAGGGAGGCTTCCGTGAGAAGGGTGGGTGAACTAAAACCCTGAAAGACGACATAGATCTCTACATACTTTTGGTATCCCCCATCAGGGAAGAAATGAACGAGGTAGCAGCGGCGGAGATGGAAGGTGAATTCGAGAAAATGATGGTGGAAGACGGGACCAAATCGTTCCTCTCCTTCGCCACCGCGAACGCTTTCTAATGGTGGTTGGTCGGCAGGGGAGGCAACAGGTGAATCGGAGTCGGCTGGTATACCTTGAACTCCGAGCCACCGGAAACAGAGAAATACCTTTGCTTCGCCGTCGGAGGAACAATCATCGGAGCAGAGTAAGATGACGGCCCGGGCTGATCCTTAACGATCTTCTTCTCCGACGGATGAATGACTCTGACGGCGGCGGCGGAGGTAGAAGCAGAAGCGGGAATGGGGGCTCTTCTGAATCTGGCTTGGCCGGTTCGATTCGGCTTGCGAGGAGAGGAATCACCTTCCTGAACTTATAAACAGCCAAATCCGTAACCGCCTGGATGTTCCGATCATCGACGACGGTGGAGGAAGAAGAGGAGCCGGAAGCAGAAGCCTCCTCCTGGTAGAACTGCTACTGGTTGAGCAGCTTGATTACCTCCTCCACGCTCTCGATCCCCCTCACCACTCCTGTAGCTTGGCCGTGAATCCGCCGTCAGTGGAGTAACCCATCAGCTCCACAACACAACAAATGGAAGCGGCAGCGACGGGGGGTATGCTGCCGGCGGGTATTGATATTGGGGTTTAGTAGAATTAGGGATTTTATTTATTTTAAATAAAAGGTACAATGAGGTGGAAATGAGATGTCAATTTTGAAAATTTTAATTTTATTTAATTTATTATTTTAAATGCCACGTCACACATTTAACAGTCAACTTTTAGAGTTGACCGCCACATAAGCAAAAATTAACGGAGTTGGACGGAGAGTGATCAAACGTGAACGATTTCGGTAAACTGAAGTACCACCAATGGATTTAAATATTTTGAGTGACCAAACTTGAACGTTTTTTGTAATCTCAATGACCAACCATGCAATTAACCCAAATAGATAATAGAAAATATGTCCATATTTGTCACAAAGATAACAATTTTTGCTATATAGATGTATTTTTATCTTTATTTTATTATCTTTTAATGTGTGGAATAACATTTGACTATAAACAATTTGTAGAATACCAACTCTCTTTCTACTTTTGCCCTCACTCTTTTTTTTTCTCCATGTCCATAAGGAGAAAGTGTATCAATCAAACTTTTCTATAAATAATAAGACTAATTACCATAGCATCAACTTGGATTGGATTTATACTTGCGTCTCTACAACCATATTTTAGTGTCTGTGTTAATGGGATATGAAAGGGTTCTTTAGTTCAAAGAAGTGAGTGAGGCAGTGTGACCCTCTCCCACCTTACCTCTTCACAATTGCAATGGAAGTTCTTACTGGTATGCTAAATAGAACGTCTCTACAAGGGATGATCCCCTATCATCCTTTTTGTAGCAATGTTTCCTTAAATCACCTCTGTGTTGCTAACGATCTATTGATTTTTACAGTAGGATAAGGAAGAGCGATAAAGATAGTGAAACAGGTCCTAGATCATTTCTATTGGCAATCTGGGTTGAACTGTAATCTTGGGAAGTGTTCTATCTTTTTTGGTGGTGAGTCAATCAATTATAAGCAGAATGCTATTGATTTATCTAGATTTGCAGAGGATACTCTCTATATACACTATCTGGAGTTGCCCCTTATATCTGGAAAGTTGACTTATAGAGAATGTGAAGATCTAACAACAACAATAACAAAAAAAATTAGATCTTGGCATGCTAAGAAGTTGTCGTATGCTGGGAGTTTGTAGATGATTATGCTTTGTGGAATGGTAATCCATTGCACAAGTATTCGATCAAGCTCATTTGGAACACTTACGTCCCCATTACAGTGAGGTCGATTGGTACAGGTTGGTTAGGGGCCAAAGTAATGTCCCTAAGTTTAGTTTCATTTCCTGGCTTGTCATCTTAGATGCCATTATTACTAAGAGCAAGTTATTGAGATGGGGAAAGATTAATGAGGACTGTTGTGCTCTCTGTCATAGTGACAATGGAATGCAAGACCTCTTATTTTTCAGTTGTGGTTTTGTCATACAAGTAGTAACTGGAGTCCTAAGAGTCTAGCTGGTGTGTAGATCTTCCTAGGAGGAGTCACTTGACTCTGTTTGTCGAGCCGTCGGGAATGCGCAGGGGGTTTCGATTGGTGTTAGGTGGTGCATGCTGATTACTTATATTTTGCAGGAAAGGTGTAGGCGCTATCATAATGGGACGGAATGTGATGTTCAAACTCTGCAAGAATTAATGAGGCAGGATTTGTGAATGTTGAGAATCATGTTGTGGTGTTACTAGTAGTATAGTAGATTATAGTGGGAGTTTATAGCTTTTTTATGCTATACTTTTCTGCAGGGTGGCCACAACGGCAACTCTTTCGTTGTACTGGTTCTCGAATTGCAAATTGCAAATCGTTTTTACTTAATAGTAAAATGGTAACTAATTCAAAGGAAAAAAATGGATGAAAATGTAAAAGTATTAAATGAAAAATGGGTAAATGGCACATTTGATCACTGAGATTACTAGATTGAGTCATGTTTAGTCACTAAAAAAATTTAATATCAATTTAGGTCACTCGAATTACTGAAACAGGTCACAGTTAGTCACTTTCCCGTTAGTTTTCGTCCAACTTCATTAATGGAGTTGGACGGAAACTAACGGGAGAGTGACTAAATATGACATGTGTTAGTAATTCGAGTGCTTAAATGTGACACGTTTCAGTAATTCGAGTGACTGGAGTTGGACGGTGGCTAATGGGAGAGTGACAAAATGTGACTTGTGTAGTAATTCGAGTGACCAAAATTTATATTAAATTTTTCTATTGACTAAACATGACACAATTTAGTAATATCAGTGACCAAATGTGGCATTTACCCGGAAATAAAAATTTAAAGGAGGAAGGATCAATGCTAAGAAAGTTGAAATAAAACATAAGGGGTTAATTGCATGATTGATCACTGAAATTACAAAAAACGTTCATGTTTGGTCACTGGAAATATTTAAATCCAATCTTGGTAATTCAAATTAGTTAAATGGTTCAAGTTTGGTCACTCTCCGTCCATTTCCGTTAACTCTAACTTATGTGGCAGTCAACTTTCATAGTTGACCGTTAAATAAGTGACATGGCAATTAAAAAATTATTAAAAATAAAAATTTATATTTCCACCTCATTATTACATTCATAAAAAAATTATAAAAAAACTAATTTTTTTCTACACACCCCAAAACCTAATTTTCTTTCTGCAAGCGCGTCGACTCGTCGCTCCACTCCGCCTTCGACCTCAACGCCTGCTTCGATTCCGGGCCGGCGTTCCCTCGCTGGTGGTCTATGGAGTTCTAGAGGCGGATCGATTCCATGCTCCGCTCTGCCATCGCCTGGAGCGACGGAACCCTCTCCGAGATCCGCTCCCGTCACTACTCCGACCTATCCATCAATCTCGCCGCTGAGAGGTAACAAAAGACGGTTTCTTTAAACCTTAGAAAATTGAATTTTCAATCAACAAAGAGGCCATTATTATTAATGAGATTTCCCCCATTCCTCTGTTGTTGCTGCTGAAGATTGTTGTTATGAAACTGTTGCTGCTTCTGTTGCTGCTGCTCGAGATTGTTGATCAAGAAGCAGGAATTGTTGTTCATGAAACCAGCTCAGGCGACACCGGGAATAAACCCATTCTCCACCACCGGCCATTCCTAGGACCCGTAGAACTGCGCTTGTATCGTCATTACCGGAAGAAAAGGAAAACAGAGCACCCCCAATGAATCAAGACGAACCCTTGTTTTTCCCTCTTTTCCTTTTCCGCCACCCGTTGGAGCGAATTTCGCCTCAACTCCAAAAACAAGAATCCGATGGAAATTTCAACAGGGGCCTCGAAATCGAGTATAGAAACCGAAAATCGAAAGCTTCTGCGGAGGATATGTACGTGTTGATGATGGTAGACACAGAGTGAGAGAAGAGAGAGCGAGGGAGAGGTGGGAGAAGTGATGGAAGGGAAAGAGATTTTGGTATTTATATATATGTGTGTGTTTATATAGGGTATTGGGGGTGTGTAGAAAAGAAATTAGTTTTTTTATGAATGTAATAATGAGGTGAAAAATATAAAAGTTTATTTTTAATAATTTTTTAATTGCCACATTTCAGTGACCAATCATTATGCAATTAACCCGTCCCTTTAAATCACATGAAGTCCTCATTCAAAAGTCTTATAGAGGACTTACAATATCCGACCTGCCGGATTCGAACCAGCGACCTAAGGATTAGCTGTTTGCTTTTTGCCGACTACAGTCCTCCGCTCTACCAACTGAGCTAAGGTCGGATGACAATCAAGTTGGACGCAACCTTAGATATCTTATTGTGCATTAGCTGTCGGGCTGTTGTCAGTTCCCGGGCAGACGCTGGCTGGCTCCGTCGAAGCAAATTAGTTAATTGTTGCTTCAAGCGGAAATGGTCATGATAATTTCCTATTGGGCTTGGTCAGGACGTGATAGGTATCATTCAGCCCAAGTTTTATGTTCTTCATGGAAGGAACCCAATGGGCTCTACCTGTTCTAATATTGCTTTCGTTTTCAACCGATCGCATCAAAATGAGTCGGACGAAAAGCAAACAGTTGGTAAGAAAAGGTCAACTCTCAGCTGATCTTATCCTAGTTAGGTTCGGTAGGCAGGTAACCATTTTCTATGTCGGTCATGTGTGTAAACTTTGAATTGAGTTGATTTGAAGTGACATCCATACACAAAGATATGTTGCACGCATTTTCATTAATTATCAGGCTTGAATTGTGAACGCCGAAGGTAAAATGGCAGGATTGAAATAATAATGAAAGAATGTAGTAGTGTTATAAGAACAATACCAGATCAATGATTGAATCAGTAGAATTATTAAATCAATCACAATAATGGCTCTATTCATTTGTTCCGAGAGTAAGTGATGGACGAATGAATGTTAATGATTTGATTAATTTGATGGTCACTATTTTTACCATAGAAAAAAAAAAGAACTTTAATGTAAATTAAGATTACCCATTTACCCATGATGAATTACTTTGTTCAATTTATCTGATCAATTACAAAGTGATAAATGTGTTAGTAATAAATTCATTTCTAAAGTAGTGTATTATATATTTCTTTTAAATTGTATCCCATGAACAGTTTGATTAATAGTTAAACAACGATTTTATAAAGACTACCCACTAAATCATAATCCAGCAAATCACAATACATACATAGTAGTAATCATATGTCTGGCTTCTCTTGTATCCACAAACGTCCGTCAGTCACAGGCGATATTCCCGGCGGCGAACAATCGCCAACGGAATAACATTGATCAAAGTATTTGGATGCCTCATCCGACACGTCCACAACGCCGCCGCCATCCACGGAGCTCGGCCACCAATCAGGAATATCACCGTTGGCAGCAGCAGCAGCAGAAATACAATCATTATTATAATTAGTACACCATAGAGCTGGATCATAATAGTCACTTCCCCCGCAGTAGTAGTCCAATCCCAGCGGCGGCTGATGCTGGGATTCAGGCCAAGCTAAAACGGGCGGCGGAGGAGGCGGTTGCGCTAGCACTGCCGGTGAAGTGGTTGACCACACGGGCCCAGGTATTGGCAACGTGTCCATCGCCGAATAGCAATAGCTAGTAGAAGGGTAGTTACTACTACCGCCGCCGCTAGGTGGGGCGGCGGCGGCGGCCGCATGATGATGATGACCAGCCGATGATGAAGAACGGTGATGTTGCAAGGCGAGGGCGACTTCCCTTCTTGCTTCCGCCATGTTTATGAATCGATAGTTGTTTGCGGCTGTGGCAGACGACGACTTCCTACAACTCCGAGACCTGCTGCCGCCGCTCTTCTTCTGGGTCTGCAGAGGATCCATAATATTAGTACTCATGGTTTTCTAATGATATCATTATTGGTCTCCATTTCATTTTTTACACCATCGAAAAATATCTGGATTGCAATAATAATAACAGTAGATGTTGTAGATAATGTTGATAGAGTTTGGTTGGGACTTGGGACTTGGGAGGGGGCCGGGGGAGTTATATGGAAAGGAAAGTGACAGTTGTTGATAGGGGAAAGAGATGAAAGTAGGATAGTGGGTAATGGATGGTTCCATTAGCTTGTAAGCTGACACGTGTGTCCGATGACTGTACTTGTTTCTAACACTTGGTTGCCTATCTAGCTTCATCCAGCAGGTGCAACTACGGGTAGTGATGGCAATTTCAACCCGCCTAGCGAGTATTATTCGATCTGACCCGTAATGGTGTGGGTATTACCCGACCCGCAGTAGCGTAGGCGGGGCATGAGTATCTACTTCCGACTCTCCTTGCCCCGTCCCGCTCCGCCCCATTCTAGACTCATTTTATCTCAATTTCTTACAATATCAATACATATTTCTCCTATTTTGACTTTTCTTCAACTAGTTAGAGTCGATCTTTCAACTTGTTAGGCTCAATTATCCATTCTATTATCAATATTTTTCATTCTTAAAGTGTTTTTCCCTACGTTTTGTTGTAAAAAGTAAAATTTACTTGTATTTTTTTTGAACAACATGTAAGAGTGGGTCGACCCACCCCGCCCCGTACCCGCACGGGTTTTACCCGCCCCGCCCCGTAGTAGCGTGGGGGCGGGGCATGGGAATTGAGGTACCCGCCCCGCCCCATTGCCATTAGGGCTGCAAATGAGCCAAGGTGAGCCGAGTTTTACCCCAGCTTGAGTTTGACTCATTAACAAATGAGCTGAGGTCAAGCCCGAGCCATTTATTAACGAGCTGAGTCGAGTTCGAGCTAGGCTTGTTTACTAAATTTTTAGATCGTATTTGATACATTCATTTTGTATGTCGTGCATGGTACATGTGATTGATGTAGCGATAAAAAAATAATCAAATGTTCAACATTAATTAATCTTATTTTATAATTTTATTGTTTAGTTAATAAATTTTAACTAGTTCAAATCATGTTATATCATAGTATCGAAACAATTTTGTACATAATTTCTTTATAGAATTAAAAATAAGGCATATATTTTCTTACATGTTCAACATGTTAAACTTCACAAGATGTGAGATTTATAATTTAACAATCCTATGAATTATGAAAGTCCAAATTAGATCGATTAGTCCATAAGTCGGTGATCAAGTTGGCCCTCAAACCACAATGTCGAGACATCTCATGAGCCTTAAATGAGCCAAATCATGAGTTAAGCTCAACAAGCCACCGAATCGAGCTAGCTCGCGAGCTTCACGAGCTAAACAAAGCTAAGCTCAAGCTTGGCTCGTTAGTAAACGAATCGAGTTTCGAACGAGTTTTTCCCGATTCGAGCCTCAAGTTGCTCGCGAGTAGCTTGGCTCATTTGCAGCCCTAACTGCCATCACTAACTACGGGTGGGCATTGGGTGCGATTCGGATCTCACCGCACTATAATGATATAAACCGCACCGCTTGTCAATAAAATCGTACCATAAGTTGGATCGCAATATAGTCAATGCGGTGAAATCGAGCCACATTAATGAACAATTTGGTATGATTTAGAGGGAATCACATGTTTCACCGCAATGTAATATGATCTATGCTTTTCTATTTCTCCTAAAACCCTCTATGATTATTTTCATTGCTCGTCTATGCGCTCTCTCTCCCTACAATTCTCCTTCCTATACTTCCTTTCTTCTTTTTTCTGATGATATGTAGGAGATTTTGCATAGAAGAAGTGAGTTTATCATGATATTTTACCACATTGATATACGAATGATAGCTGGTGGTAAAATGTGATAAATGATGGCTAGTGATTGAGTGAGGAGGATACTAATACAATATGCTCTCTTAAGCAAACAAAATTCAAGCACAAAACGAGCAGATTACTAGACTTCGTAAGTCCCAAAGGAAATGGGACATGTTCCGGTGGATTTCTATACACAATTTATAGGAAGTCTGAATTGTGAGACGAGAGAGTATCTTGTCCTTTTGTACATAACCTTTTTGGGCTCTTGTGTAGATTGGTGGAGCGTGGAGAAGGCTTTGCTGTTTCTTTTTTATTTAATGCTTGTCAGCCTGTGTTTCTTCCACTTCTAGGGAGGTTACACATATAGTAACGGTCGGACTTGGGAATTGTTTCAGCTACATAGTAACATTTTGGGGTGTGGGGGATTATATATCTTGAGATGCAACAATGGTGGCGACACACAAAAATTGTGGTAGTGAATTTGTGCTTGAAGAGTTCTAGCTCTTCCGTGGATTAGTCCTTGTTTTCTAGGGATACCATGTAAATCGTATGTTTGTCTTTCTCTTCTTATTTGTGATTGTCTTTCATGGTATCAGAGCCTGTGACAATGGAATCAGAAAAACCAGTCGTCCGTCTCAGCTCCACAAACTACGCTTTGTGGGAGTTCCAGTTCCGGGTATTTGTGGAAATTCGTGGTCTTCTTGGCGTGCTTGATAACACTACTCCCAAGGTACCAGAAACTGACAAAGCTCAAGCCATCTCCACGTGGAGTCAGAATGATGCTCGAATTGATCTTGGCTTCTAGGATCGGTGGAGGCATCAACATGTTTAAGCCTTTGTTTGTTTCCGACGGCTAATCAGAAGTGGAGGCATCTAGCCTCTACATATTCGACGGTCAATACAACTTGCCAATTCAAGATTCAGCTCTCGTTGGCTCGGGTGGAGCTAGGCGATAGCTCCATCACTGAATATTTTAATATGTCTCAAGAACTATGGACTAAACAAGATCTCGTAACAGCGGCGCTGGGACCACAATATGTTCCAACTTAAGCCTTTCTTGAAAGACAACAAACTCGTCTATTGCAATTCCTCATGCGCTTACGACCAGAGTCCGAAGATCCACGTTGCTGAATAAAGACAATCTCAGTTTTTATGAAACCCGACTTTGTACTCAATCGAAGCTTGATATCCGGCCAAGTGAAGGGGAAGCCGTGGTCAGCGCCTCTACTTTGGAATCAGCGGCGTTTTTAGTGAATAGACCTCAGTTCTAGCAGTATGTTCCTATCTCTGAAATCATTTGTCAGCATTGCCACAAGAAAGGCTATCTGCAGAAGCATTGTAGACGTCGTAATTTGTGCGTATATTGTAAACGATAAGGTCATGTTATATTGGACTGTCGGATAAGCAAAGATTGAGGCTAGGACTGGTGCACAATCAGGTGGGTCTAAGAATGCTGGGATTTCGTTTGGAGCTGGAGGAAATTGGTCAGCTGGAATTTTGGTCGGTGTTGTCCTGGTGATCGTCCTGCCTATGTTACAACCCACTCTGGAGCAAATGGGACTGGCAGCAGCTCGACTTTGTCAACCATTGTTGTAGAACAAATGGTCAACGCCGCTCTCCAAAAGTCGCTTCCAATAGCGATTAGTGCAGCTTTTGCTACTCTCCAGGGATCAGGTACAAATTTTCCGTGGTTATTAGACTCTACGTGTTTTAATCACATGACATCTAACGAGAGTAGTCTTAAATTTAGTATCCGTTAAAAACATGGCACTTCAACTAGGCAATGGTGCTAAGTTGAAAGTTGATGGGATTGGTTCTGCAGCTAATTCAAAGTTATCGTTGTCTCAAAATTTTCACGTTCCTGCGCTTGTGCCTAACCTGGTTTATGTTGGTTAGCTTACTGAGAAAGGTTGTTCTGTGTTATTTGCACCATCTGAATGTTTCATACAAGATTGATACGGGGAGGCAGATATGAAGGGGAAGTAAAAGAGGAAGAGTTTTTCATCTCAAGGAGCTTAATGAAAATCCAATATCATCCATCGTCAGTAGTCATCTCAGTAAGATTGTCAATAGTCTGCGTCAGTCATTGTTGTCTGATACTTCTATGCCTTTCAGTTTTTTAGTCAATATGACATTTTGTGGGGTCTTTGGCATTCTTGTTTGGGTCATCCAAATAATGATCATCTTTGCTCGGTAAAAATACTGTTGGTCTTTCATTTATTGCACTAGTTGTGTTGAAGCAAAAACTGCAAGTGGTCTCTAGACGTGGGTATCGCTATTTTGCCTTTTTATTGAACATGCTACTCGTTGTACCTGGATCTACTTTTAGCGTTTGAAATCTGAGCTTCGTTCAATTGCCATTGAATTTTTAAAAATGATTCAAACTCAGTTTGGTCGAACTGTGAAAATCGTATCAGATCCCGATGGTGAGTTCAGCTCTACTCCTTTGCATGATATAAATTGTTCCATGGGTATTTTGAGTTAGATGTCATGTCTTGGAGTTTCACAACAGAATCTTCTCGTGGAACGCAAAAATCGTCATGTAGTCGAGCTTATGCGTGCCCTCATTCTTGACTCTCATGTTCCTGGTAATTTTTTGCCGGAGGTAGTGGCTACTGCACTTCGACTGATCAACTATCAAATCACACATGTTTTTCATTTTGCATCATACCAGTCCCTACTTCGCTTTGTATTCCATACCTCCTGATTATTCGCGTCTTAGAGTCTTCGGTTGTTTGTGCTTTGTTCTTCTCCCGAAGCGTGAACGTACTAAGTTATCGTCTAAGAAAGCTAGATGTGTCTTCCTGGGGTATAGTGATGTGCATAATGGGTATCTGTGTTTTGATCCTACTTTACATCGTATGCCATTGCTGCCACGATTGAATTCGTTGAGCATGTCATGTATGACTCTTCTGAATCGTCTACAAAGTATTTTCATTTCTCTACTAAGTCCTTGCCTATGTTCGATGATGTTGATAGTGATGATTCCACTCTTCCTCCCGAAGATCCTCCTACTCCTCCTCTCCGTCACGGTTTTCCTCCCACTGATCACCCCTCACCAGTCACGCCTGGATCTTTTTCAGCAACCAGCTCATCCAGTTTGTCTCCTTCTTCTCTTGGCAGTCCTCCCTCTACACATCCGACTGATCCTCCTAATCTTCGATGCTCACCTCACTCGATCCGAGGTAGTCCTCCAGCTCGATTTCAAGACTATGTGGCTCATGGCGTGGAATCATTGATTGTCCCAGTTTGATACAAACAAGCACAGGAAGATTCATTTTGGGATCATGAAACGTGAGTTAGCTGCTCTTCGTGAGAATAACATGTGGACATTGGTACCTTGTCCTCCTCCTTAGACTTTAGTTGTGGGTTGTCGATGTGGGTGTATATAGTTAAAATGAATCCTTATGGTACAGTTGATCGTCACAAGGCTGGGCTTGTTGCACAGGATTTTACCCAGGAGTATGGTATTGATTACACCTAAACCTTTGCTCCTCTAGCAAAGATGTCTACCGTCCGCAACTTAATTACTTGCAGTTGCTGCTCAACAGGATTGGCCGCTTTATTAGAAGGATGTCAAGAATGTCTTTCTCCATGGGGATTTAGAGGAGGTCATTTATATGGAGCGTTCTCCTGGTTATACTCTTGGAACTTCTGATCAAGTCTCTAGGCTATAATAGTCTTTGTATGGTCTTAAATAGGCACCTAGGGCATGGTTTGAGAAGTTTCAGTCTACCATCACTAGTTTGGGTTTCAAGCAGAGTATGAAAGATCCCTCTTTGTTCACTTGGTCCATGTCCGCTGGGATTGTTGCTTTACTGCTTTATGTTGATGATATGATCATTACCGAGACTGATTAAACAGGTATATAACGTCTTAAAGAGGATCTTCATGCCTCTTTTAGCCTACAGGATCTTGGAGATTTCTTATTTCCTCGGCCTTGAGGTTACTCGCAGCTCTCAAGGTGTCTTACTCAGTTAGGATAAGTACATTAGTGATCTTCTTGAGGATAATAATTTTGCGGATTTTAAACATGTTGCTACATCGATGGAACTCAATTTAAAACTGGGTCGTGACTCTGGTACCCATCCTATTGACGACACTTCCTACCATAGTATCGTCGGCAATCTCATTTACCTGTCGGCTACTCGTCTTGACATATCATATGTCGTCCAACTTGTGAGTCAGTTTATGTCTACTCCACGTACTGATCATCTTGCATCAGTTCATCGGATCTTCTCTATCTCCAGGGTACTCAAGATGTTGGTATGTTTTTTCCTTCGACAGGACCGGTTGGTTTACGTGCTTACTCTTAATCTAATTTTGTCAGGTGTGCTGATACTCAACGGTCTACTACTAATTGGTGTATTCAGTATGGTGTTGCATTCATTTCGTGGTGTTGCAAGAAGTAGGATAAGGTGTGCAAGTCTTCCACTAAGGCTAAGTATCGTTCCATGTCTGATATTGCTTCTGAGCTCGTGTAACTTTGTAGACTTTTGGTTGATATCCGCGGGGAATGTCCTCTTCCTATGGATCTTTTTGTTGACAATATATTGCGCAGTAATCCTGTTTTGCATGATCGTACTAACATATCGAGATCAACATTCATTATATTCAAGACTTGTTTTGGAATTGCGAGATTACTATGCGTAACTTATACTTACTTGTCTAGCAAATTGATGCTCACTAATCCGCATCAATTTGGGGGGAGGCTGTTAGACGATCGAGTATCTTGTTCTTTTGTACATAGAGTTTTTTGGGCTTTTGTGTAGTTTGGTGGAGTGTGGAGAAGGCTTGGTCGTTTCCTTTTATTCCAGGCTTAATTGCCTGTGTTTCTTCCACTTCTATGGAGGTTACACATATAGTAATGGTTGTGGGGACTTGGGGAATTGTTTTAGGTACGGAGTAATGTATTAGGGTGTGGGGGATTATATATCTTGAGGTGTAACATTGGTGGCGACACACAAAGTGTGATAATGAATTTGTGCTCGAAGAGTTCTAGTTCTTCCGTGGATTTGTCTTGGTTTTCCAGGGTACCACATACATCGTGTGTTTGTCTTTCTCTTCTTCTCTGTGATTTTCTTTCATGAATATGGGAGTGGAACAATAGCTTTTGGAACTTTTCTAAATATGCTTCATCATAAGCTCAATGAATTTGCGTGTGATTTTCGATTGCAAGTTAGTCACTGAAATTACTAAAAAGATTCATGTGTAATCACTAAAAATATTTAATTCCATTTGTGGTCACTAAGATTAATTATATATTTCAAGTTTGGTCAATCTCCATCAAACTCTGTTAACTTTATGTCTTTATAAGATGTGGCATTCAACTCTTAAAGTCTACCGTTTAATGTGTAACATAGCAATTAAAAAGTAAAAAAATAAAAAATCGAATCATTTAAAATTAACACCTCATTTTCAAAAATATTAGAAAATTAAATTAAATTCCTATTAATCTCCTAAATAGTAAACACCTAGTCCTTGTTGCGTCAAGGGATTGAAGGGTTTGGCTCATTGGCTATTGAATCAACCATTTTCCCCATCGTCGTCGGGATGATTGAAATAGAATTCACTTGCACAGCAACGAAAAGGAGTTAATGTAGATCTTAGAACGACATTGAACGATTTCAAAACGGCCGAAGAAGGTCAAGTCGCATGAAGGCGATAATTCAACCCCGATCAACAATCAACTAATAGGGTTGGTAGTGAATTAAAGCGGAAATGCATCTCGGGTTACTATGAACGCTCCGTCGACGAGCAGCTAAGGATGATCCCAGAAGACGGGAAATGGAATGGCTGCAGCTACTGCATCTAGGTATCATAGAGTTCAATTTGGAACTTACGATGAGCAGCATCAGATGAACCAGCACAACTTTTCACAGGACCAAAATCTGAGGTCATTACTTTTGGTAAACCTTAATATCTCAACCTCAATGAAGCTCTCAATCAGTCTATAGGTAAAATGGTCTTTGATGGAACCAATCACACTATGTGGAGTAGATATGTTGCTATGGGTCTTAAGATGAAATATAAGCTTGGGTCATCGATCGTAGTATACCAATCCTTCTATTGATTGATGAGAAGTATCTGCTGAGGGAGCTTGTAACATAGTTTTATTGTCTTAGATCTTGAATTCCGTGCATAAGGATCTTAATAGGTCTGTGATGAATCACGTCAATGACAAAGTATCATGGGATGAGTTGAAAAGAAGTTATGGTAAGCCTTATGCAATTAGACTTACAAACCTAAAGTATGATATTCATAAGCAAAAGTAGGGGAATCTCACAATTAATCATAACCATAAACTGATTAAATTACCGTGGGTAGAGCATGTGCAGTTCAGTCCCATAGTTCTCTGTAACCGTGTTCTAGAAAACCCCAATCCTTGTGATTTTTTTGTGGCTTACATTGAACGACAGGAAGCAGACTATTTGATAAGGTTTTTGTGGCATGTCAACCCTAATTATGAGATCATCAAGAACTAGCTGCTATCAGAGAAACCTCTGCCAACTGTTTCAGAAGTAGTAGACGACCTTCTCTTGTATGAACAAAAAATGAAGGCATAATCTAATACTAGTGGAAGGAAGTCTCATAGTGTAGCACTGTTGCTAAGATTGGACATGAAGGGAAAGCAAAGACACAGGGAAAGAAACATTGTGTTTATTGAAAGAAGTATGATCATAATGTGGATGAATGCAGGAGTGTAAACAAGAAAAGCGAGATGGAAGATGGAGGTATCCCAAGAGGAACTTACAGAAATATCGTTGGATTTGCAAGTTATGTTTCACAAAATGGATCATTGAAGCAAGCTTTACCAGTTCCAATGATACTTTTGGAAGTAGCCCTGTAATTTCATCTAAAAATGTTATGGTTTTTACACGTAGGAAAATGAACAGGCTGGGGTACATGATGCATGTTGGTGTTAATACTGTTAACTCACAACCACTTCTCCATCCATAGCTCATAATGCCCATTCAGTTCCCAGTTCCTGCCTCCATACCCCAACTATGCAGATAAATTTAGACGTTTAACCTTTTCTCCCCAAACTATTCCAACTGTAGATAGTCTATGGAACCTAGATACTGGTGCCTATGACCATATCTCTTTTTCTTTAACTCTTTTAATAGAACATAGAGAAGTTCATAATACATTTTTTCATCTTTCCTAATACCACCAAGGTCCTAGTCACTCATATTAGAACAGTTAGATTACCTGCAGGGCTTCACTTATAAAACATCATTCTTGTTCCTAGCTTTGCTTTCAACCTTATTTATGTTAGCAAGCTCACTCATGACCACCCTTTAGTCTGACACTTTCGCTCCAGTTTGTGCCAAATTTAGGACCAATTAAGCTTGAAGACGATTGGTTTAGCAAGAAAACATTGAGGTTGTTATCATCTATCCTTCACCTCACCACAAAGAAACCAGAAGCCAGAACCACACATCTCAGCAGCCACCATCTTCAACTTTAGTCACCAGAAGTTGATATTTGGCATTGGAAATTAGGACATGCCAATAGAGACAAGATTTCATTGTTATAGAAAACTGATTCTACTGTAACTCACTCTTAAGTCTATCACTATGATGTATGTCATTATTCTAAACATAAACGTTTACCTTTCTCATCAGCACAAGTGTTGCAAAATGTGACTTTGAATTACTACATGTTGACATATGGGGGCCCTTATTTGTTCTTTATTAGGATGGTTATTCCTATTTCTTGACTGTTGTTTGTGATTACTCGAGGGCACTATAGGTGTTGCCTATGAAACACAAAGATAAGACAAGGGAACTCTTGCAAGGATTCTTTAATTTAGTTCAAAATCAGTTTAATGTTGCTGTTAACGTCATTAGAAGTGACCAGGGTAAAGAATTTCACATGCATGAGTTCTTTCAGGAAAGGGGTATAGAAGATCAAACGCCCTGTGTAGAGGTGATCACTGGAATCCGTGCAGGTTATTGTCAGAGGTTAGCACGTATCAAAAACTATCCCATCCTAGGCCAAGTTTAACCTAGAACGACACTGTCGTATAGTGGTAATCATGGTCATATTGTACTCGGGTCCTGGTACCCTAGCATACTTCCCACCTAGTTGCTAATTAGTTAATCGGTTTTTGGGGTTTTGAGTGGAGGATATGACGAAACACTAGTATAAAGATTGATCAAAGCTAAAAGCAGGTACTTCGGGGAACTATCCCTTCCCCTAGGTTAGGGTCATCATGCATATCTAGATACATAGCGTCATGAAATGTGGTAAGTGAGCTCTTTTCCGTGGGATTTCGTGGTTATCCACACGCCTTCGAGTACGCCTCCCCAAAACCCATGCTCCAGTCACCTCTATCTAGGCTATCGTATCTGGGGCATTAAGCTTATGGCTAATTTCAATGGACATTATCCACCGTCCACACCGAGGTTTCCACCTGGGTTTCGTCTAGAAGGCTACCTATAGCAGGGGTTTGGTCACCTCGACCATTATAGGCCCCCATTCACATATCTAACCTAAACTCATCAGATGGCGCATACCCATCTAATCCTTGAACTCTGTACCCAGCGCGGTAACATAAAATAGGCTAAGAAGGAAGAATAGGGCAATTACCCAAGCGTCATCATTTAGGAAAGAGTAGCATTAAAACCAACTAGACAAACACATTCATTCATTCAAACCCTAAAATATCCATATATACATAGTAAACCCTAAAACTAGGATTTGGGGTTTAGAACCCCTAGTACCTTAGAGGACTACTACATATAGGAGGAAAGAAGATACATGGTAGAAACAGAAGAAGACTCGAGGTTGAAGAAGATGCCTCCTTGATCCTAACTCCTCCTTCTTCTCCATCTTTCAGCTTCTCTCTCTTCTCTCTCCAGAACCAGAAAGTTTCTCTCCAAATCAGCTCCCTTGAAAAGTTGAAGGGGCCTTGTATTTATAGGCATTCTACAATCGGGAAAGTTTGCAGTCTGAGGGAAGGAGATCGCAAGAGGGATCTTTGGTCTCTAGACCGTGATCTCAAACGCAATCGTCGAGGCCTTCAGGAAGGGGAAGATCGTGGGCTGACTTCGGGGTCGTGATCCACGAGTCAAGGATGCGATCTTCCTCATGGGAAATTGAACATTGGCCGTGATGCGACTGGGAGACTCTCTGCTTCTCCAAGGCCCCTTCCACGCGAAGTTCGCGCCCTGGGCCTCCAAGATCGCGGTCGTGATCTATGGCTTCTAGGTCGCCATCTTCAGCTGGTCTTCGTGGCTTGTGATCCCGACCGTGATCTTCGGCTTCTAAGCCACGATCTTCAATTCATGAGCCTCCTCTACACTTGTGACCTTGTTTTGTACCTAATTCGCATATATCGACTAATACGCCCTAAAATTACATCGAAATCAAATAGGAACACAATAGGGGTGTATTTGAATATTTTCAAGCATTTAAGCACATGAATTGGTACAAAACACACCTAGATATGTAGGGTAAATAACACCAAGTTTAGAGTTACCAAGAGACACTAGAACAAAATTCAAGAGTTGAACATAAGCACCAACACATTCTTAATGTGGCTAGGTCTCTTAGATTTCAATCATGCATGCCTCACTTATTGCCGTGACTAAACTTTACAAGCTATTTATCTTATTAACAGAAATTCCTACCCTGGTATTAAATGACAGGTCACCCTATGAAATGTTGCATTATTAGCCTCCCTTCTTAGGGCATTTGAGGGTGTTTGGCAATTTGTGTTATGCTAGTACTTTGAGTAATCAACGAACTAAATTTGCTCCTCATGCCAGACAATGAGTCTTCTAGGCTTTCCTGTAGGGGGTAAAAGACTACAAACTTCTTGATTTGGAAGATAAGTGACGTGTGAATGTTTCACGCGTCGGGATTTTGTAGACGAGAAACTAAGAAAAACTGAAAGAACTGGTTTATTATTTTTTGGTGAATAAAACGTAGAGGTAAAGTACATATTTATAGGAAAAGTCCCATAAACCCTCTCCCTCTCAAACAAAGAAATCCAATCCTAGACCAACTCCTAGCCGATTACTTCCTTAACAAGAAATAATAATAACAAAAAATAACCAAAAGAATATCCAAATAAACAATAATAATAATAACCGAAATTAGTTAATGACCCAGACGGTCAGAAAACGTGCTCTCATCAATCCTCCCCCCTTCAAGCAATCTCGTCCCGAGGTCGCGAAGTCTCCTCGACCCATTCCTCCATTCCACCACCGAAATCCCCGATCAGAGCAAACACCTGGTTGTTAGCACAACGATGGCCAATGGTAAATCGCTCATCGCAATTGTAGCAGAGACCATCACGACTGGAGTCAAGTGCCTAAAGACTAGCCTCCCAGCTGGCGGCAGAGCTCGATTTTGCAGCGCAGGAGGGTGTAGAGGCCTAGGACCTAGGGTGGCGACTACCTCGTGCGGCACCGTGATAGGCACGCGTGGTCCCCTCGATGCCCCACGCTCGAGTCGAATCTCTTCCTCACGCATCTTCACGAGATGATACGCTTCGCCAGTATTTCGAGGCTCAAATGCACGAATATAAGCCGAAATTTCAAGTTTGAGCCCGCCCATGTAGCTTCCCATTACGACTTCCTTACTCCACCCACGGCAGTGGTTGAGAAGCTTCTCGAACGTCTGCTGATAGTCCTCTACCGTACCAGTCTGTTTGATCTTGGCTAAAGCTTCGTGCCCAGCGGCCTTCTCTGATTCTCCATAGAGCTTCCAAAATTTGGCTCGAAATCCTCCTAGTTCATTTCCATCTCATCCTGCCAGAACTCCTCCTCAATCCACATGATCCACTGGTTGGCATCGCCCTCCATGTGGAACGAAGCCAGCGCAACCTTCTGCTCCTCGGGAATTTCCTGGTATTTGAAGTATTTCTCCACCCGAGCTAGCCACCCGGAAGGAATTCTATTGATTTGTAGGGACCTCGATCTGTTCCAATAATCCCCACCAATTCAGCGCGGGTTATGGAGCCTCCTCTTCCTGCCCGCTGAACTTGGGAAATTCCATAGTCGGGGTCGGCCCGAAAGAGTGCGGCAACCGCTTCATCCCCTACGCGGGTGCTCCCCTCTCGTCAAACCCGAGATTCGACCCACTCGATCCGTTGGTGGCTCCGATCGGTCGGTTCGGCCAAGTCCCACCAGAGTCCCCGCCACCACTCCTCGGCCACCTCCAAGCCTCCTCTCGAGCCTCACACACCAGGTCCAGGCGGCTGACTGGTTCTCCCTTGCTCCCTAGATTGCCCCTCGCCCACACCGATCCTCCTCGTTCCTTGCCTGGCATTCGTCCCGACTTGGCCTGCATCTCCTAGAACCCGTCGTGCCCCGTGCTGTCCTCTCCTCTTGCACGGCTGCGGCGTTCATCGAACCTCCCCATTGGCTTTCCCTCATCATCTCTATAAGCCAAGTTTCCCCAGGCCATCCCGCTCAGAAAAATGGCCTCATCAGGCCCGCGGGGTCCTGATCGTCCCTTCGCGGCGCTCGACCCGTGCGGCGGCGGCACACTCAGGGTCCCGCTGTGATCTCCTCCCTTCGATGAGTCCGGCTCCCCTGCCGTGCCCTTCAGCTTCTCTTCCGGGGATATTTGATCAATCTTCCTTTGATTTCCTGGCTTCTCCCGATCAGTACCATCGGCGTCGGTCTTTTCTCATCCTCCGCTTCTCGCAAGCTCCCTGAATTCCCAGCGCATTATGTCCATGAATATCTCCATCTCGCGCCTCATCTCCCCACTTATGGACTCAGATTCATGCACAAGCTTCCTTGCCACAGATTCCGATTCCTGCTTGACCTTCTGCTGCAACTCCCTTCGCCCCTAGCGAACCTCGATCTGGAGTAGGTTCCGCGAATCCTTGAGTTGGCCAATATCTGCTAGGATCACGCTGTGGTCATACCCAATGGTACAAAGCTGTTGATTGTGCTCGGCAAGACGATCCAGGACCTCCCGAATATGCGTCCCTGTGGCGTCGTCGTGTTGTTCTTCTTTGGCGGCATGGTACTCGGCTCCTGGGTTCTTTTGAAACCAGGCTCTGATACCAATTGACGCGTGAACGTTCACGTGCCGGGATTTCATAGACGAGAAACTAAGAAAAACTGAAAGAACCGGTTTATTATTTTCTGGTGAATAAAACTTAGAGGTCATGTACATATTTATAGGACAAGTCCCATAAACCCTTTCCCTCTTAAACAAGGAAACCCAATCCGAGACCAACTCCTAACTGATTATTTCCTTAACAAGAAATAATAATAACACAAAATAACCAAAAGAATATCCAAATAAACAATAATAATAATAACCAAAATTAGTTAATGACCCAGACAGTCAGAAAACGTGCACTCATCAATAAGAAAGTGTTTATATCTAGAGTTGTAGTCTTTTATGAGTTGATCCTTCCTTTTAGGCATTCTTATGACTCCCCAATAGTACCTTATTCTCCACCTCCTTCTCCACCTTCCTTCTCTTTAGCCTCTCCAATCACTCTTCCTCTACCTCCTTCTCCAGAACAGTCTTAGTTGAAAAGGGGGTTACAGATTTAGAAGTACCTGAAGCTGAGGCTGAGGTGATAACCTCACCTGTCATTGATCAACATTGCGAGCAGGATTGTGAATTTCTCCCTCAACCTGAGTTTGGCCACCACTAAGATGATCTCCCTGACATCCTGATTTCAATGCAAGGCTAAATGATAGTGAATTTGATCCTCAATTGCAATTTGGTACTTTTGGTGCTACTACCACATCATATCCCATAGTCATGAATTTTGATCACCTGAATGTAGCTAATAGAGCATATGATCTAAGTGTCTTGTCTGACATTGAACCTATTTTGTACTATGAAGCTATTAAGTCCATGGGATGGAACATGGCAGTACAAGACAAACTAGGTGCATTGGATGCTCATCAGACTTGGGACATTGTGGACGTTCCAGAAGGTAAACATATCATTGGATTCAAATGGGTATTCTAATTCAAATTGAATCCAAATGGATTAATAGAAAGATACAAAGCCAGGCTTGTTGCAAATGAATTGATTTCCTGGATACCTTTTCCCCATAGTCAAGATCAATTTTGTAAAATCCTTGTTAACAAGTTCCCTTGGGATTAGAGTGGCCTCCTTCTGGTTGTAAGAGGATGGCATGTAGGCTGAAGAAGTCACTATATGGACTCAAGAAGGTAAAGGCAATGGTATGCTAAGTTAGTCGCGTTCTTGTTGAAGAGTGGTTTTTCTCAATCCATGTGAGATTACTCCATGTTTTCCAAACAGGTGCATGGAAGAATGATTGTACTGCTTGTATATGTAGATGACATTATGGAAGGTGATGCACAAAAGGACATAGAACAAGTCAAGAAGTTACTAAGAAAGGAATTCAAAATCAAGTTGCTTAGACCTTTGAAGTATTTCTTGGGATTGGAAGTTAATAGAACTACAACTAGACTTAGTGTATTCCAGAGAAAATACGGTATGGATTTGTTGGCAGATACTGGATTCTAGAAACATTGATACAAAGGGTTTTCAAACACCTTCAGTCCCAAAGGTCAAACTCAGTGCAACACAAAGAACCTTGTTAAAGGATCCAGAACAGTATATGAGGCTGGTGGGAAGACTACACTATATTACAATTACAATACCGAAGATTAAGTTGGTGTGACCGTAGATTTCCACCAAGGACCAATAAAGTGCCACACACCATCTTGGAATTCCACGGTCTGAAACCCAATTCCACGACCGTGGATTCTAAACGTGGATTTCATCATCGAGTCTACTTAGCTGCCGAGACTTTTGCCACTCATCCGGTTTTTCAAGTTCTAAAATAGAAAGAGAGAGCCCTAAAGAGAGAAATTGACAAAGAGTAACCTTAGGAAGGGATTGGAGCGATCTAAGGACATTGGAGCTCGATCTTTCACCCTCGGAATGCCGATTTCCAGTCTGGAGAAAAATCTCATCCTTCACATGATGTTTTCTCCTTCGAGCCTGTGTTTTCTCTTCTCTCCATGGAGTAATTTCTCTTCTCATCCGAATATGAAGAACCATAGTCCTGTATGTTAGGGATGGTTGTATGAACCCGATTTTTTGGAGACTTGATATATTTAATTGAGGCATTATTGAGAATTGCATGAGTCCTAATCAAATTCTTGTTAATCATGCTTTAACCTAGAACGATAGTCTCTGCATAGGTTAAAATATCAATCTTAATTGGAAGTAGTGAATCGATTACTTTAGTCGAGGAATCGATTCTTTACTCTATAATGGAATTGAAAACTATTAGTGGAAGTTTGGTGTGTTAGTGCCTCAGTTAGCTTATATTGGTGGAGGTTAGTCACCTACTGGTATTCAAACTGAGAGGGTCTAGAATTCTTTAGTTGAGATTCCCAACTTGTTAATAACCTTCCGCAGTATATGTGTCAATTGAAATGAACTTGAGAAATTACAATATGAACTGACTGCAGACTAGAGGGACACATACCTGGGTGATCTTTCTCATACTTGAAACCAGAAAATTTACTGCTTTATATTTACTTCGCTTTTAGACTAGTCCACATACCACAATAAAAATCCCAATTAAGGACCAAGTATAAACCTTAACCGAGTGCAATATAGGGCAAGTATGTTTAAATATCAAACCAAGCAGAACCATATACCCCTACTTTGATTGTTTGAAACATTATCTAGCAATTGGTTTTTTGGCGGAAACAACGATCTATAACAAAAGCGTTTGGAAAATTAAATGGATTGGACACTTATTGAGAAGGCTTCACCCGGGTGTTGCTCACCCTATCTAGCAATAATGATTTGTCGGATCAAATGCATAGGTGTGGTAAAGGCGGTTGTAAATCGTTGGGAAGTGCAACTAATGAACAAACGCCACTCGCTTGTTCAATAGGCCAAGGGATTTTGATTCAAGAAATCAAGGTAGGTCTCTTAGCCTATCAACTAAGGGTTTCCTAGACTTCACCCTCGAATTGGAGTTCGGACAACCAAATTACAACCAAACCTAGGTGCTAATACGAATTAAGAGGTTTTCCCTAATTTACCTTAGTAGGAGACAAAAATTGCCCAGGAAATCCAGCTTTTACAAGCCTCTACTCAAAGGAGATTCCCCTCTACCTAGGTGAAAAGAGCACAAGACATTGAGATGCACAAACACAATCAATCTTCTTGAAATTACCTCATAACTTTGAATTAAGACACACCCACACACTAATAATTCAATCCATACAAACATTCACATCATTGTAGTTAGGGTTTACACACACCCAAGTGAAAAGAGAGACTACACCATTCTAGGTAAGGAGAAAACACAAGGGACAAGAAGGAAAACGATCTTGGAGATGCTAGCCTTGCTCCTGGTGGTGTAGAGGTCCTCCTTTTGGGAAGAAATTCCCAAAATTGCTTCGAGATGAAACCCTAACCTCTTCTCTTCTTTGGTTTGTTAGTTTCTCTCTCTAGAAAGCTAAAGAAGAAGAAGTTTCTTACACTAGGTCTCTCCCATTTTTCCTTAAGCTCAGCCCTCCTTTTATACACAGGTCGAAGTCAGTTCACGGTCCCAGTTCATGGTCGTGAACATCCTTCATGGACCGTGATGTATAGCAAATCTACACCGTTTCACTAAGTCTGTTCACGGTCTGGGGCTTGAGGTCACGATCTTGCGACAATGAACAGGTTGAGCTCCAGTGAGATGCGTAAACTGTTCTGGAACTTCGATGCTTCACTGTCTAAGCTCTCTTTTGAGGGTCCGTAAGACCGTGAAAACTGAGCTTCCGCCGTGATCCTCAACTTCTTCCACCCTTTGACTCTTTTTTGGTCATTTTTGTCCCACTTTCGATTCCAGGGTCAGTTTCACCTGCCAGTATCTGAAACATACTAAAACAAAGTGCAACCTAGCATAAAAACACACACCTCACGGAGTACAAATGCATCAAACGTCTAAGGAAAATGGGGATAAACTGTGTACAATTTGACCCGAATCACTCCCCCACACTTAGACGTTTGCTTGACCCCAAGCAAACCATTTCCAAACAAGGTGATATCTCAACCTAACAAGATAACTTGGGGACATATCAAAAGGCTCAAAGTGGCGAATCTCAATGGCTATTAGGCATCAACACATGAACCAATACAAGCAACACCAGCATCCCCCACAAACGATAGTCGAATGCATTAAGAATGTGCAAACGAAAATTTCTCACCCTATTCATAAATCAATGCAAGTCTCGACAAGACTACTCACCAACCACAACTAATCGTGCATAGAGTTCAAGTCCATGGAACAAACGAATGGGCGCCATAGGTCCTCACTGGGATAAGATATGAACATGCAAAATGTGAATGAATAACTCACTCTCCACCAGTGGGGTCGGGACCATTCGGTGCAAAAGATGTGCACAATCATAAACAATCAGTCCTATCGTCACTTCACCACGACAGAAACCTCTAAATGCTAGAGTTCACAAGATGGTTGTCATCACTAGCTTGTCCAGAGCTCTCAGACACGGGTTGAAATGACTGGCAATTGTCTTGGACATGGGGAAAAGGCCTTTTGGGTGGTGGCAAACATAGCATGAGGTCCTACATCTTCAACCTAAAACCAAAGCTTCAATGGATTCGACTAAGAACCTTTCCTAAAATCATCGGCCACTAGCATCGGTCAAAAACCACACTTCTCTTCTTCCAAACCATTACCAAACAAAACTACATTCAAGCACACTTCCTCGGCTAATCTTGCTATCCACAATTCAAGCATAGTAGTGAAGGAGGTCAACAAACAATTTGGGTTTTTCAATGGCTAGACTGCCAAGAAACCCTTTCTTGAGCAAACACTTAGACTTTGAAGCAACTCTCTACTTTTATTTACCCCATTTTATTACCTCTTTTTCTTTTCTTTTTTTCTTTCTACTTTTCATTCCTATTTTTTTCTTTTTTCGAGGGGGTACTAGAGAGTTAAACGCTTGCCACCTTAACACTTAACAAACAATGCTCTCTATTAAGAACTTCCTCCAACACTCTCTTTCCATTCCTAGCAGGAGTCGTGCAAAATCCGCCTATGTAGAACCTCAATGGAGCTCAAAAGTGAAACAACGGGACATAAGGACGACTCACAAGGGTTTAGACAGGAAGCAAGGATAAGAGGTTGTTCTATCAATCACCATTAAGCTCACAAGAAACAAGCTCCTATCATGAGAACAACCCCCAAAATCACATGGCTCAAAGGGGTTGCCTAAGGGATAAGATGTTTCGAGACTATCAACTTTTGGGCGTGGACTAAACCTATGCATCCATCTTACTTACTAGTGAAAATGATGAATGTTGCTTGCCATGGTAAGAGGGATCTATAAACACAAGAAGAAGAAAATTGGCACAAAACTCACTAGCTACCTAATCACCCAATCGTCTATTCCAATTTCACAAAATTCTATGCAAGGCAATTGTGATCAAAGAGTAACCAAGTCATGACATCCGTTCATTTAAGCACACATGAGAACTAAACCTTTGCACACACCTAATGCGATTCTCAGTCATAATTATAGGACACATTCAATCACATGCAATCGATTCAAGGTTAATGCCAATAAACACGAGATTCACCGGCAAATCGGCCACTTTGATCATGCAATGCTTGGAGCCCTCAAATTTGAAAATTTGGGCATAACTCAGGGTTCCAAGCACTCAACCACAAACACAAGCACAATAATAAACTACCCCCCCCCCCCCCCCCCCCCCCACATACACACTCACACTTAAGCTCGGCAATTCCATCAATGGCGTTAAATGGGGGGTATAGCGATGTTACCGTAAAGCTTGGCAAGTGAAAGTGGGACAGTTTCAAGGGTAGGAGATTTAAGCTTCAAAAGAGGAGAAGTAAGCACAAGCAAGACTCACAAATGTTCCAAAGAGGAGAAGTATTACACATAACAATATTCCACATCACGATAAAAAGGAAGAAAAGCTCACAAATGTGCTAGTTCACACACTAAAGAAAAGAAAAATAACAGAGTTCAGAGTTTCAAGTAGAGAAGTGGGGCGAAAGAAATTAGCTCTGCCACATATCTCATTCGGTCGACTATCTCTCATTGGTCCAGGGTCAGTCCTTCTCTTCGTTATCTAGCATGACACCCTGCTTGCGAGCAATTCGCACTAGAAGGTCGGTGGATCAGTCTAGTCGGGTGTTAAATCCCATGACCTGCTCCTCAAGATGTGTGACTCGGTCCACAAGCTGAACTCCGGATGAGGAACCAGCTTCGGCTGATAATGATGGTGGTGGTGGTGCGGCACGACGGCGGCGACCTGGAGTTTGAGTGGGCGGGTGCTCGGGAGGGAGAACCCATAGTGGTGTGAAAAGACCCTTAATGTATTGATATGGTCCAAAGACCCGAATTAAGTTCATAGATTCCAAGGTTTCCTCTCCGAACCACAATGAACGACCTTCTTTGGTGCATCACTTGAGGTCAATGTTCAAATGCCGAGCAATCCGGGTGATGTAGGGCCTTAATGACATGATCGTGTTCCGAAGATTGCCTCAGACTTTGCTGAAGGATGCTGCCAGGACGGAACCGAGGTGGAGGCGATGATTTGGGTCCACCATTGAAGTAAACGCGAGGAGGGCTCTCTTAGTAATCTTGTTTGTCGACATGTAGCTCGGGAAGATGGAATGGGCAAGAATCGTGGTGATGATGAGCCATTGAGGTAGGAGAGTGGTTGCCATAGTGCGTGTAGGATCAAACTTAGTTTCCCTGTTCTTCAGAAGGAAATATCTCTTGAAAGCCCTTCGGAAGTCGAAACTTTGTAATGAGTCCACCTCTAACTCTACCCCTAGCTCCTCATAAATGCCCATTGCTTGGGAAAGCTCATCAAAACTCATCAAACCTCATCAAACCCTTAATCCCACCAAGGTGAAATTGCGTTTGATGTCTAGACACATCTTTGTTCTGATGGATGAAAAAAGTTGTGAAGAACCCAACACAAAGCTCCGCGTAAGTGTCGTCTTCAATCTCAAGGAGCCAATGCCAATGAGTGTAAGCCACTGCTTCCCTCATCGCATCCCCGCAGTTCAGATCATCGAATTGTCCAAAATCAAGCTGCCAATGGGGCCCCGTTGGAGCCTATCTCCAGAATTTCAATCTCCCACAAGGTGGGGCATCCATGTTAACATTTCAAGAAGGCTTTTCACAATATTGGATTTCAACCATTTCAGCTCATTTGCAGACAAAGCTCATTGAGACATGGTTCTGGGTGATTCATGGTTCTTCCAAATAAAAACATCGAACACAAACCATGCCTCGATGGCTACCAATCATCATTCACAGAAGTGTATCAAGTCATTCTTCCTTATACTGCACTTGGTGGGAATTCTCAATTCAAAGCACAAAATCATGCTAAATTTTCCCCACCAAGGCTCAATTAACTTAGCATACACTTCATCCATCATTCAATCAACCTAATTCGACATTCCCCTCGCCCAATTTCATCATGCATGCAAAAAATTTCCAATTCTCCTCAACTAAGAACTCTAACCCGATTCTCCAAAATTGACAATAGAAAAGTTCAAAATAGAACTAGGGTAGAAGAGGAAGGTGAGGAGAGGGCGAGGGTGTCAAAACCGGCCTAAAATGGCTCGTTGGAGCTCGCCAGAATCTCGTCGGAGCCTCAACAGAAATCGTCCACCCCCGAAAAATATGAACCAAATCTCCTCAAAACTTCTGCGAAAGTTCTCCCGAGCGTGGGGATAATGGGTCTGAGAATTCCGCCGAGGGGGTGGCTTGAAGTGAAGAATAAGGTTCATGTCCTTATATAGCCCAATCCTGAGGTTCACGGACGGAGGCGTCTATTTAGGGTCTCTAAGATCGTGAACATAACTCCTAGACTATGATGTTAGGCTAAACGATGTGTTTCAAAAACTTGTCGAACTTCCCTTGTTGACAGTCTCGTCCCAATTATCACGGTCGCTAAGACCGTGATAATGAGGCAAAATCGAGAATTGAGTGAAAACATGGAATTTCCAAAATTTCAAAACTCGACCTAATCAACCGTGCCCCTAATTCAAACACACTCAAAATCCAATCATTAAGACACAACATGCTGGCACGTTGATAACCATTCAACCACTTAAACTCTTCACTCAAGCACAAAAAGAGAAAATAAGGACAAGAAAACAAACAGACGTTGGGTAAGCCTCCCAACAAGTCCTAAGCTAGCGTGACTATGTTGACATTGCGGATCTATAATGCTTGAGAGCATGAAGCCTCCAAGAGCGGATCCACCATGGTCTCGGGCTGAGGTTTGTCACCTCCAAACTTATGCTCCAAAGGATGGCCCTCTTGGCCAACTGCCTTCGCTTTACCCTTATCCTTTTTTTGGGCATAAGAGCGATTCATCTTTTCTCTCCACGCTTTCTTCTTCTTTACTTCGGGTTTGATACCATCCTCAATTTCCTGTTTCACATTATCACAAGGAACACAAGTAATAGTGGGGTTCGCCTTGAGAGGGTCGTATCCACTTCCAATCATACCATTCGATTCCATTTCCTTCGCATCATCATTCTTAGCCTTAGGATCAATTGAGAGAGTAAGTTGCTCCTCTCCATCTCTCAAAATCAAGGTTCCCTCATTAACATCGATTAAGGCCTTGGATGTGGCAAGGAAGTGGCGTCCTAGAAAGAGTGGCATATCTGCATCTTCACTGGTATAAAGGATAACAAAATCCGTCGGATAGTAGAATTTGCCAACTCTCACTAGGACGTCCTCCACAATACCTGTAGGACTAATGACAGAGCGATCGGCCAATGTGACACTAAGCCTAGTAGTCTCTAGCTTACCTAGATTAAACTTCCACATTAATGCTTGCTTCTAAGTCCTCCAAGGAGTTTTCTATATGATGTGTTTCGATGCATACAGGTACAGTGAAACCACCTGGATCTTGTTGCTTCTTGGGAAACTTGTTGAGAATGAAGGCGGAGCACTCCTCTCCCAAGGTTACATTGGCGAGGTATACACATTTTGGCTTCTTGGTGAGAGGCCCCTTGAGGTACTTGGCATACCTTGGCATGTGTGCCATCGCTTCCAAGAACGGAATTATGATGCAGAGCTTCTTGAGCATCTCCATGTACCGGTCACATTTTGCCTCCAATTGGTCCTTTTGCATCCTCTTGGGGAAAGGAAGAGGAGGCTTCTGTTCAACCCCTTGTGGTGGCACCGACGACACCGTCTTAGTCTCTTCTTCCTCTCCTTCCATGTCTCATTGCTTTTCGGCTATTGGAGGAGTCTTCTCTTCTTTGATTTCATCTCTTACAAAAACCTCTGGGGCCATCTTCCCACTCCTTAAAAGAATAGCATTACAACCGGAGTTTTGGTCTTTAGGGTTGGCAATCATTTGAGAGGGTAGGGCTCCCCTTTGTCTCTCAGTGAGGATTTCGATAAGGTTGCCAATTTGAGCCTCCAAGTTTCGCTTGGTGGCTTCTCAAACCCGCTTCAACCAAAGAAAACTTTGTTGTTGTCACATTCATAATTTTTCAATCTTCTCGAAATTTTGAGTGCTCGTGCTCACAAAGGTGGCCACGAAGTCTTCATGCTTTTCAAACTTATCGGGTTGTTGTTAGAACCAAAGCAGTCAAAATCGGGATTTTAACTAAAATCGAAAACTGAGGTAAAATCGGAATCCTAAAATCGAATCGTAAAATCGTAGGATTTTAAGTTCCATATGGAAACTAACATATAATCATATTAAGAAGGTAAAACATTTAATAACACAAACGCACATAAAATTTAAAATGATAATTCTCAAAATTATTGTTCCATAATCATCATTTAATTGTTATTTAATGCATAACTCAAAATAGTTTACGAGGAAAGGATAGATCTCATGGGGCTTAGCTCTTGTTTTTCATCTTGTGTCTAGGTAGTTTAACTCAAAATAGTACTTTGACCCGGTTAATTTCAACATCGTCTGCAAATCATGATTTAAAACTAAGAATAAAAGAACTCCAATTGAATAATTAATGCTAGTGGTTGATAAAAATATAATTATTAATTGTTAATAATGATGTTAATTCTTACGTACGTACAATATTAGGGCAACTATTTTACCGATCAGTTCAACCGGACGAAGAAAAAGGGATTGACCGAGCCCTAATTTAATTATTTTTTTTTCAAATGTTTTTTAATAGAAAAAATATATGAGAAGATGCCCATCATTGCCCTTTCCGCCGAAGCAATTCCACTTTTTTTTTAAATTTGCTCAAACTGTCATTTTATTTTCATACGATTTAAATCTCGATTTTGGTACGATTTTAATCCCAATTTTAAACGATTTTAAGGTCCACCGATTTTATAGTAAAATCAGGATCGGAATCCCTAAGTAAAATCTTAAAATCCTACGATTTTACGATCAAAATCCCAATTTTGACTGCTTTGGTTAGAACCCTTGACCACCTTGACTTTGGAACGGTTGTTGGAAGTTCGAGCCTTGGAATAGCGGTCTTTGCTGAATGAAGAGAGGTCTTGTTTGATAATTTCCCGTCGGTCCTTGGAAATTGGGGAGTCTTGGATTGTCTTGAGAAGAACAAGCAAAGTTGGGATGATTGCGCCACCCCAGGTTAAAAGAGTTCTTATAGTGGTTGTTGCCCCTAGCATTGGCGATGAAGCTCACTTGTTCCTCGAGAGTGCTTGATTCCTTCATCAATTGGCACTCTGAAATCTCATGGTTGGTACTTAAACACCAATCACATGCCATTAACGACATCTTCCCTTGCTTATTGTCTTCAAGGAGGGCGCCAACCAATCGATCGATCTTTGCTTCAAGTGGAGGATTCGACTCCATAGAACGTACTCCTCTTTCCACTTCTCGTCAAATCCCAATAATACCCTTTCGTCAGCATTTCTTCAAGCAATTGGGTCACCTAAGGTGTAGTCATATTCATCAATTTCCCTTGACATAGAGAGTCAATGAGGATCTTGTTATCTCGGAGGAGACCGCCGCAGAAGGTCTCATTCCAAAATTGCTCTTCGAAATCGTGATGTGGGCATTGGAGGAAATAATTGGAGAACCTCTCCCATGCGTCGCTCAATGTTTCATCCGTCTCTTGAACAAAATGGGTGATCTTTTTGCACCACTCCGCCATCTTGAAAGGTGGACAATATCGGGTCATGAACTTGTTGAGCAAGTCGTCCCATAAGGTGATCGAGAATAGTGGTCTATTGTTGAGCCACCGGAGCGCATTCCCTGCAAGAGAGTAATGGAATAGCCTCAACTTCAAAGCTTCTTCGGGAACCCCATTTATCTTTAAACATTCCGCAAGCTCAATGAACCTCTGGATATGCTCCCTTACAGAGTTATCTTTAAGACAATGGAATTGTTCATTGTTCTTCATCATTGTGACGAGTCTGAGCTTGATCTCGAAATTGTTAGCGGCCACGAGTGGATGTAAAATGGTAGGTTGGATATCCGCCACCCTTGGGGCCATGTAGTAGCCCATGGTCCTCGGTTCTTCTTCAACTCCCGCTTGAGCATTTTAATTGGCCACCATCTTGGCTTCACTTCCTTCTAACTCTGATTCAAACTCTTCCTCAACTTCAACTTCCACTGTGATAACGATGTAATTGCACCTATTTGCACCCCTAGTTCTTATCCGTTTGAGGGGCATAGTCGTGTATTTTTGGCCTATTTTACGTCGGGTTGTGCTACTTTGTCATATTTCAGGTCCCAGGCGTCAAAGGAAAGGCTAAGCACGAGTTTCGGGGCATTCGGAAGTCATTCGGTGGAGCTGGAGCCAAAACACGGGCACACCTAAATCAGAACACGGCCGTGTTCCTAGGCCGTGCTTTTACTGCTGAGAGCTGATTTGAGTTTGGCAAACACGAGCTGAAAACACGGGCAGGGCTGAGAAATTACACGGCCGTGTCCACCAAAGCACGGCCGTGTCCACCCAAAAGCACTGCCGTGTTTCTCCCAACAGGCTGGCCGTGTAATTAACCCTAGCCAAATCACGGGCGGGCTGGAGCAAAGCACGGCCGTGCCCTCGACCGTGCTTTGCCCAGTGATGCCTTTTTAAGCAGATTTCAGCCAAAAGAGAAGGGGATTCGAGTTTTAGAGGGACAGAGCGATTCCTAGAGAGAGAAAGCGACGAACAAGAGTCTCCAAGTGCCCTAGCTTGATCTTCATCACCATTGGAGCTTGGCTTGAGCTTGGAGAAGTGCTGATTAACGTCCAGGAGCAGGAATCCATCCTTCACAGTATGAATTCCGCGTCTGATTCTGCTTTTGCTTCTTTCTCCATGGAGTAGTTCTCCCATTCATCTGGGTATGGAGAACCCTAGATTTGTATGTTAGGTTTGATTGTATGAACCCAAGTACTGATTCTATGAGTTGATTATATTCAATTGAGGTTTGAATGATTGAATGGCATGAATCCTGATCAAATTCCTGTTGTTTCTGCTTTAACCTAGAATGAGAATATCTGGCTAGGTTGATAGAGCATCCTTGATTGAAGGTAGGGAGTTGGTGACTTTAGTCGAGGAGCCAACTCACTATTCTGTACCGAATTCACTTCGGTAGTGGAGGTTTTGTTCGTTAGGGCCTCAATCTGTTTACTCCGGTGGAGGTTAGTCGCCCGCTAGATACTCAGATTGAGAGGGTCTGAAGACCTTTAGTCGAGACTTCAGGCTGTTTAAGAACCTTTCGCAGTATAACTATCATAGAAACTGAACTTGGTAATTGCAATCCGGCTTAACTGCAGTCTAGGGGGAACCATATCCGGGTGACCTCTCTTAACCTGAATACAACCGTTTCGTTGCTTTGCTTGTTTGTTAGTTTAGACTTGCATTAAAGTTTCATTGCTAGATAACAAGAATTCACCGAGTAGTCATCGAATCTAGGACCCGGGTTGACATTTAAACCTCCTGACTGGCTACGGGTCATGCACTACCTGCACACACCCAAGAAAGCAAACCCGTGAAGGCACACCAGGGGAATCCTCAGCAGGCTCCCCCGGTGAATCAGGTCCTGGGGAACAACCCCATACCCCAGGATCATGGGGTTCATCATCATCCACCGCCGCCAGGTCCCACCTTGGAGTACTACCACACTCCATGGATTGTTGACATCCGCCTGGTCATCCTCTACCCACATATGTCAGCAAACAACTTCGAAATCAAGCCATGCTGGATTCAGCTCATTACATCCTCTATCCAGTTCCATGGCTTGAAGGATGAGGAGGCCAGGGTACATCTTTCCCGTTTTTTGCAGCTGACGAACGGGTTCAAGCTGAATAGTGTCCCCGATGATGCAATCCGCCTTCACCTTTTTTCCCCATTCTCTGGAGGGGAATGCTAAGAGGTGGTTGGAGACCCAGCCCCCATTGTCCATCACCTCTTGGGACGATCTGGCTGACAAATTCGTGCACAGGTACTATCCGGCATCGAAGACTACAGAGATCCAGCAGGAGATCACTCACTTCCGCCAAGAGCCAGATGAGTCACTTCGTGATGCATGGGAGCGGTACATGGGATATTTCTGGCAGTGCCCCCACCATGGTTTCAGTGATGCATTCACAGTGGGGAACTTCTATAGTGCCCTCTCTCCGGACAGCCAGAGGGTGATTGAGTCTTTATGCCCAGGAGGGGATATTCTTACTAAGACTCCACCCGAGCTGAACCAGATGATTAATACCTTGGCTGCCAGAGATCATTCTTGGGGACAGAGTAGCAGAGGCAGACATTCCCAGGACCGTGGTGTGCACGCCATGGAGACCAGATCCGGGCTCGAGCAGCAGGTAGCTGAGCTAGTGTAGACATTGAAGCAACCCAACAGTCTTATTCCGGGCAGAGGTTTGGCTACACCTCCAGTAGCTCAATGTCAGTGGTGTGAGAGCTCAAATCACCTAGTGGAGGACTGCCAGGCTATGAGGGAGTCTACTACTCCCCAAGAGCAGTTGGACTTCATCGCCAATGCTCGGCGCCTCGACCCGTACAGCAACACATATAATGAGGGGTGGCGCCAGCATCCCAATTTCGCTTGGAGCAGCAACACCACTAAACCACCTGGTTTCCCAGCACCAGCCGGTGGTTTTCAGCAGAGGCAGCCCTTCCAGGCTCGACAGGGGCCAGCCCCACAGCAGCAGCCCTACCAGCCTAGGCAGGGGCAACCATTCCAACAGCCCCAGCGCCAGTTTGCCGAGCCAGCAGCAGCTCCAGCTCCAGATGACCGGATGACAAAGCTGGAAAATATTCTAGCTTCATTCATGACTAGCACTCAGGCAACTATCACGAGGTTGGACCAGAGCGTAGCCTCAGTGGAGGCAAGTCAGAGGAACCAAGGTGCCATTTTGCAAGATCTGCAGCATTAGGTGGGTATCTTGGCCCGCCAAAACACTACTAGGGCACCGGGGACTCTGCCTGCCACCACTATTCCGAATCCTCGTGATCCTCACCAGCACCAGCAGCTGGATGCCATTTTTACTAGGAGCGGTAAGACCATATCTGATGATCCTGTCCCGGCCAGACAGGAGGAACCACTACCTGCTTCAGCACTTCCAGCCGACGATGCAGAAGTGCGGGTGGAGAAGGAAGCCCCTGCTCCCAAGCCACAACCAGTGGTTAAGGAGCATGTACCTCAGCTTCCCTTCCCCACTCGCCTACACAAAGACAAGTTGGAGATTGAGTTTGCCAATTTTATTGCAATGTTGAAGCAGCTCAACATCAGCATACCTTTTGTGGAGGCACTGTTGAAGATGCCCAAGTACGCGAAGTTCATGAAAGATCTCCTCACCAACAAGAAGAAACTTGGGGATCTTTCGACAGTGATGCTCAGTGAGGAGTGTTCTTCTATCCTGCAGAATAAGCTGCCCGAAAAGCGCAAGGATCCAGGGAGTTTTACTATCCCTCTTACTATTGGCAGCATGCATGTAGGCAAGTCCTTGGCGGACCTAGGCACTAGCATAAATGTGATGCCATATAAGTTGTAAAAAAAGCTAGACCTAGGTGAACTTAGCCCTACTAGGATGAGCATTCAGCTAGCTGATCGTTCTATTGTGCATCCTAGGGGGATCATAGAGGATCTGCTATTTAATGTAGGTGCATTCACTTATCCTGTTGATTTTGTTATTCTTGATATACATGAGGATGTGGATGTGCCTTTGATTCTGGGTAGACCATTTCTTGCCACCGCCAAGGCACTTATTGATGTGCATGATGGTAAACTGATCCTGCGTGCTGGAATGAACAGGCTACTTTTTCTGTGACTGAATTCGATCACTGTGTTATGATTGTTGTCACACCTGTGCATGCCATTTCTGATCCGGTACACGAGCCTGTCGTGTCTCCTTCTGCACCTCTCATTTTGCAACACCCTCCTATCATTCCTTCGCCGCCACTCCATCTAGTCTCGCCTCCGAACAAAAAGATTGAGGAGGAGTGGCGGCCGAAGCAGCAGGTTGCTAAGCTTGCACGGAAGAAGGGTGGAGACCACTATGAGCTGGTTCCACCTCCTGCACCACGACCACCCTGGCCGTCTGGGTACTCACTCACCTGCATCTTGCCAGATGGCCAGGTCGAGCTGACCGATGATGGTGGTCGCATCCGTCGGGTGCATGGCCACAACCTGAAGCTGTACCTCAAGAGCGACGTGGATCCGCTCTTGGAGGCACCTGTTCCTTCACCTCCCTAAGTATCCACCATGGGCGTCCAGCTAAAAGACGGTAAAGAAGCGCTTGTGGGGAGGCAACCCCACCACGGTTTGACTTTCTTTCTTGTGTTTTGAGTCGGATTGTAAACCGGTTTGGTTTTGGTTTGTTTTCTTTTGTTTTGGATGATGTATTATTGGGCTGACCATTGGACCTAACATATTGTGTTTGAGCTCTTTGGTTTCCTTTAGCTGTGCTTGTCTTGACTGGTCCTCTCTCCGGTCCGCTTCACTCCGACTGGTAACATCGTTCCCCTTCCTTCCCTCTTCTCCATTGAGGGCAATGTCGATCTTAAGTGTCGGGGGGATGTTTATCTTTTGACTGCATTAGATCTGTTTGTGTGCTTGGAGCCTAGTCCACTGTCCAAATTTTTAAATTTGAGGGCTCCAAGTATGTATTCCTTGCAATTGCCTGCTCAGTATGCTTTGAATTGACAGTCTTTATAGTAATATGCAACCTAGGGAGGTAGTGTAGCACTATGGAGGATGTTGATGCATTTAAGAAGTCTCATTTCTTCTTCACATTGTGTTGGTTGATTGAGTGAATTAGTGATCTTAGGACCCTTGAATTGTGTGGTGTTGTGGACTCTCTACCTGTCATGGACTCTTGTTTCATGTTTTGAGTTTAACAGGTGCTCGAAAATGTGCTTTAAAATAACGTCTCCCGTGCGAATAGGGCGAAAGTGTGTAAGGGGAGACGGGAATTCGTTCCCAATTTCCACCTACTACCTCCAGCCCCCTTACATGTCTTTCCCCCGCACGAGGCTCGAGACATCCGCTCCTGGCATGGCCGGTAAGAGCCGGGATCCCGCAAAACCTCTGCTAGGTGGGAGCCCCCATTTTCTGAAAGCAGGTTGGGACCCTTGAAAAAAAAGAAAAGGAAAAAATAACAGAAAACAAGCAAAACAGAAAGAAAAGGGGTTCCAACCATCTTCAAGAAGAAAATAGAGCACCTTGAGAAATGTGAGTCCATGATCCTTTGTTTTTGAGAATCTCTTCATCCACGATTCATTTGTCCTCTGTTCACTATTTGCCATGATGCCGACTCGATACTAGTGCTCTCGCCGAAGAAGCTATGAGGTTGACTTCGTAAGCTGCTAAATCATCTAGGAAGTCCTCTACCTACCATCTGGGTTGTTTGTTGCTATAGAGGTCTGGAGAGTTGCATTGGTTTGAGTTAGGTTTGCTTGGGGACAAGCAAACGGTTAAGTGTGGGGGAATTTGATAACGATGTAATTGCACCTATTTGCACCCCTAGTTCTTATCCGTTTGAGGGGCATAGTCATGTATTTTTGGCCTATTTTACGTCGGGTTGTGCTACTTTGTCATATTTCAGGTCCCAGGCTTCAAAGGAAAGGCTAAGCACGAGTTTCGGGGCATTCGGAAGTCATTCGGTGGAGCTGGAGCCAAAACACGGGCACACCTAAATAAGAACACGGCCGTGTTCCTAGGCCGTGCTTTTACTGCCGAGAGCTGATTTGAGTTTGGCAAACACGTGCTGAAAACACGGGCAGGGCTGAGAAATTACACGGCCGTGTCCACCAAAGCACGGCCGTGTCCACCCAAAAGCACGACCGTGTTTCTCCCAATAGGATGCCCGTGTAATTAACCCTAGCCAAAGCACGGGCGGGCTGGAGCAAAGCACGGCCGTGCCCTCGACCGTGCTTTGCCCAGTGATGCCTTTTTAAGCAGATTTCAGCCAAAAGAGAAGGGGATTCGAGTTTTAGAGAGACAGAGCGATTCCTAGAGAGAGAAAGCGACGAACAAGAGTCTCCAAGTGCCTTAGCTTGATCTTCATCACCATTGGAGCTTGGATTGAGCTTGGAGAAGTGTCGATTAACGTCCAGGAGCAGGAATCCATCCTTCACAGTATGAATTCCGCGTCTGATTCTGCTTTTGCTTCTTTCTCCATGGAGTAGTTCTCCCATTCATCTGGGTATGGAGAACCCTAGATTTGTATGTTAGGTTTGATTGTATGAACCCAAGTACTGATTCTATGAGTTTATTATATTCAATTGAGGTTTGAATGATTGAATGGCATGAATCCTGATCAAATTCCTATTGTTTCTGCTTTAACCTAGAATGAGAATATCTGCCTAGGTTGATAGAGCATCCTTGATTGAAGGTAGGGAGTTGGTGACTTTAGTCGAGGAGCCAACTCACTATTCTGTACCGAATTCACTTCAGTAGTGGAGGTTTTGTTCGTTAGGGCCTCAATCTGTTTACTCCGGTGGAGGTTAGTCTCCCGCTAGAGACTCAGATTGAGAGGGTCTGAAGACCTTTAGTCGAGACTTCAGGCTGTTTAAGAACCTTCCGCAGTATAACTATCATAGAAACTAAACTTGGTAATTGCAATCCGGCTTAACTGCAGTCTAGGGGGAACCATATCCGGGTGACCTCTCTTAACCTGAATACAACCGTTTAGTTGCTTTGCTTGTTTGTTAGTTTAGACTTGCATCAAAGTTTCATTGCTAGATAACAAGAATTCACCGAGTAGTCATCAAATCTAGGACCCGGGTTGACATTTAAACCCAAACCCGCTATACTACACTTTAGGAATTGGTTTCACTTGGCCAATTCCTAGAGTGACAGTAGAAGTGAGTCACACTGCGAGACCAACTTTTGGTTGTCCCCTCCCCTATATCCTTCATCTTGCTTCCGCTAGTTCCCTCTCACGACCCAAGAGTCGGAGAGGGCGATTTAGATTCTCGACTAGTGGTGCCAAAGGTGTCTGATTACTCCGGGTCATGCACCTTCCTGCACACAGTCAAAAGAACCACAACTCGTCTAACACAAGCAAGATTCACACACACAAGAAAAAAGTAAAGCTAGATTAACACCAAACAATCTTTCCAAAATAACGGACCAATTGTCCCCGTCAACGACGCCAAAAACTTTACTCGTCCCGAATACCACTATAAAAAACCCAATTAAGGCCCAAGTATAAACCTTAATCGTGTGCAATAAAGGGCAAGTATATTTAAATGTCAACCCGAGCCAAACCATATACCCCTACTTCGATTGTTTGAAACATTATATTGCAACTGGTTTTTGGTGGAAACAACGATCTATAATTAAAACGTTTGGAAAAGTAAATGGATTGGACACTAATTGAGAAGGCTTCACCTGGTTGTTGCTCCCCCTAGCTAGCAATAATGAATAGTCGGATCGTATACATAGGTGTAGTAAAGGAGGTTGTAAACCGCTGGGAAGTGAAACTAGTGAACAAACGTCACTCGCTCGGTCAATAGGCCAAGGGATTCCTATTGAAGCTACCAAGGTAGCTCTCTTGGCCTATCAACTAAGGGTTGCCTAGACCTCTGTTAGACATACTGAACTTAATCGTAAATAACGGAGACAACAGATTAACGTAGTATCCCTGATTATCTCAGGACTAATCCACGGGAAAGCTTTGATGCTCTCCAAGCTGATAATCGTATTAACGGCAAAGTCGGCTTAAGATACATGGTTGGACATGAGACCCTTATATATCACCTAGGGAACCCGCCAAACCCTAGAAGACACCGAACACACATGTCCTACTATATGGGCCGAATGCCCAATGAGCTACTCCACATAACACCATATATACAAACGTGACCCTCGCATGCAGCAGTATGCTCAACAGTCTCCCCCAAATTGATGTCGGTCACGAAGCATCAATTTGTAAGAGAGGTACCAATGACGGCTCATTGTGAAAGTCTTGGTAAAGATGTCAGCAAACTGGTCCCCAGAAGGAAGATACTGCAAGCGAATCACCCCATCACGAACAAGGTCACAGATGTAATGAATGTGAACTTCAATGTGTTTGGTAAGGTCATGGAGAACTGGATTGGTGGCGATCTGTATGACACTAGTATTGTCAACATGGAGCACCATAGGAGAAGGACAAGAGATACCAAGCTCAAGGAGAAGGCGTTGGAGCCACTCGAGATTAGAGCCAACATCCGATATAGCTCGGTATTCCGCCTCGGTGGAGGACTTTGACACCTTGGCCTGTTTCTTACACCGCGAGAATTTTAAAGCATCACCAAACTGCACACACCAACCAGTCGTGGACTGTCGAGTATAAGCACAGCCTGCATAATCAGAATAAGCCTGTAAGCATAAATCACTAGAGGAAGGAAGAAATAACCCAACGTCCCTAGTGCCCTGTAGGTATTGCAAAATGCGATGAACGACAACCAAATGATCCACCTGTGGAGCCGACATGTACTGGCTAACAACTTGGACAGCATACGCTATATCAGGACGCGTAGCCACGAAGTAAATTAGACTTACAACTATGCTTCGATAAGAAGCAGCATCCTTGAGAAAATCACCAGAATCCTGGCGCAATTTCACATTGAGCTCAATGGGTGTCTTCACCGGTGTGAAGTCACCAAACCGATGTTCCTCAAGAAGATCATGAATATATTTCCGTTGGCACAAGAGAATACCAGGAGACGTAAGACAAATCTTAATGCCAAGGAAATATGTAATGGCGCCTAGCTCCTTCAATGCAAAATGATATCTCAACTGATCCTTGAAGTGTGCGATGCCGACAGCATCGTCGCCTGTGATGATCATATCATCGACGTATAAGCGAAGAACCACAAAGCCCGCTTCTAACGACCTCAAGAACATAGAAGGATCATTGAGACTCTGTTGAAGACAGAAATCAAGAATAGTTTGCTAGAACTTGTCAAACCATGCTCGCGAGGCCTGCTTCAATCCGTACAAAGAATGATGTAGCAAACAGACCTTGCCCGAGGAAGCTTGAGGATGTCCTGGAGGCAACTCCATATACACAACATCCTTCAAATCACCATGAAGGAAGGCGTTTTTAATGTCAAGCTGAAATAGAGGCCAGTCTCGAACAGCAGCAAATGCCAACAGAGTACGAACAGTTTGCAGCTTAGCAACTGGAGCGAAAGTCTCATCATAATTAACCCTATACTCCTGCTAGAACCCCTGAGCTACAACATGAGCCTTAAAACTCTCCAGGCTGCTATCAGGAAGGAATTTCAAATTGTAGACCCAACGACTACCCACTACCGGAACATGAAAAGGAGGATGATCAACGACTGACCACGTTCCATTATCCTCAAGTTCCACCATCTCCTCATTCATAGCACCGTCCCACTCCGCTTTCCCTTTAGCCTAGGAATAGCGAGTGGGAATGGGAATATCAGTGACGCCATGAGCAAGAAATTCATCAAACCAAACTGGGGGCAACCCAGGGTGGAACGTAGGGAACAACAAGGAGGTTCTGGTGGAGTAGCCGGAGGTGGTGAGGTCGGCGGGATAGAGTGGCCGGATGAATAGGAAGACGAGGAACCAGAGGAGGAGCTTGGCAGCGATGGCGCAGGAGGTGTGTCGGGAGGCATATCAGGAGAGGGAGAGTAAGATTAGTTGCGTCATCATCATCAAACAAGGGCAAATTAGTCTACGAGAACAACATGGAAACTAACTTAGAGGACTCGGAATAAAAACATGACTTTTTCAAAGAAGACCACATGACAAGAGATACAAACACAACCAAGAACAATATCATAGCAGAGATAACCTTTGTGAACGTCACTATAACCAAGCATATCACAACGAACTTTTTTAGACTTGCTTGTGACGTTCACGACGAGGAAGAAGGATGAAGCACAAACAATCAAAGACACGAAGACGGGAGTACGGAGGGCGAGAGGAATAAAGAGCATAGTAAGGGCTGACATTGTTGAGAACATGAGTGATTTGATAGTTGATTAAACGGACAGCCGTAGCTACAGCCTCTGGCCAGAAACGAGATGGGACGTGGGAAGCAATAAGAAGTGCACGAGTCAACTCAATAGTGTGCTGATTCTTCTGAAACAAAATATCATGGGAGCGGTAGTATGCCAGAAGAGGACCCGAGCTAAACTCATCCCCAGGATCGGATCTAAGGATGCGAACTGTCTTGCCAAACTAAGTCTTAATCATTGTCAGAAATTCGATGGCAATGTCATGCAGGTCGGACTTAAGTCTCAATAAATAAACCCAGGTGAATCTAGTCGCATGATCACAAACAGGGCAAGGTATTTGTAGCCATGAAGGGAAAGAACGAGTGAAGGACCCCAGAGGTCAGTATGAACTATGTGAAATGAATCAGAAATAACAGTAAAACTAGAAGGGAACGAAATGCTTTTAGGCTTTCCTTTACACAAGTCGAACACTATTGAACAAGAGAAGCAACGATGGTTTTATTTCCCAATAAATTTTGTTTAAACATGGACAATAACCGAGTGGAATTTGGGTGTCCTAATAGGCTATGCCAAAGGTTCCATAGTTCAGTAGCTTGACTAAAAAACACACAAGGATATGAAGACACACTAGACACATGCGAGAGACTCGACAAAGCAGACACAAAAGGACTCGATTTAATCGTAAGCTCCTCCAACTTAAATGTTCGCCCTTGTTTACTTCCCCTTCCTATCAGCCTCCCCGTCGTCAGATCCTGCACAACACAACCAGTAGGTGTGAACAAGACAAAGCAGTTCGCGTTAGTAAGCTGGCCAACGGAAACAAGATTAGGTTGTAACTTCTGAACATATAACACATCAGTCATCTGAACAATAGACTGGTTAACATTTCCGACACCATGGACTTAAAGATGGGCACCATAAGCGACTTGCAAATGTAGATTATTAACTGGAGAGATAATATCAAACACTTGAGAGTCACTAGACATATGATTGAAACAAGCCGAATCCAGCAACCAAGGTTTAGATATACCTAAGGCCCGAAGATAAGCAAAGGTGGAGTTGATGGCAATAGGTAGTGAATTTTGCAAGGCCTGAGAAACCAGTTGCTCGACGCTGGCAGTGGAGAGCGAGCTGCCTGCGAAGTCAACTGGCTACATAGCAAAAGCCGGCTGACCAGCTGGAAGCCCTGCGTCGCGAGGTAGATGATCCCCGCGCCCCGGAGCCTACTCGAAGCGGATGGGAATGAGGCATGCTGCTTGATTCTTCTTTAGTGTACGAAAATCACTAATGATATGTCCTGCCCTTTTGCAATATACACAAAAGTTACGTTTGCGACAAAGCTTCAGAACATGACCTTTTTCATCACATTAGATGCACTTGAGTTCTCTAGTGGGGGCCCATCTCTGGAACTGAGCATGATTGACGGCATAAGCTGAATCAGATGAAGAGTCGATGCTGAAAACAGTCTCCCATGCGCCTGGTCGCACATCCAATTTCTCTTGGGTACGAAGCCGGGTTTCCTCTTGGATGAGACGGTCGATAACGCCATCGAACTTAAGATTGTCGCGACTGAGGAGATTAGTCCTCAGTGAGCGCATTCAGCATGTGCTTCAGCCGTTTGAGCAGTCGGACAAAGGGAAGCAAGGAGCAAGTCTTGCTCGGGCCACAAGTGCACGAAGATGTTGTAGTAGGATGCCACATCAAGATCCCCTTGCTTGAGCAGTCCCAAATAATTTTCCCGCATGGTGTGGGTTGCTGCTACACATCAAGATGAGTGCCAGAGAGGATTATCACCAGGAAGCAGAGTGCAGTAGAGCCACTGGTGGGGTTATTTGGCAAGCAATCACAACAACGGTAGGTCCTTGGTGGTTGTGCTATTTCAGTGACTACGAGTATCCGGACCGACTACTGGGCCCAACTTGACATCGCTGGGCCAGGGAAATTATGTTGTGGGCCCCAGTATTGGGCCGAATGTGGGAGTGGATGTAGAAGTAGAGTGGAGTTCCTGTTTTACAGATAGTTTGCAGGGAGGGCACGAAGTCAAAATGTGCATGAAAATTGTCCTTTCTTGTGCACCTGTATGTGGCTTGCATGAGGAATTTTTTATGGAGGAAGAAGATTGGTGGGTGTTCTCCATGAGGGAAAGGAGGAAGGAGTGAGAGCTAGTATTGTTGGATTTGATTAAGTTGATGAGCGTAATTGGAAACATAGTAAACAATGTCGACGAACATTCACTCTCTTCTGTCGTCAAGACGGGGAGAAGGTTCTTTTTCATTGATGCAGGTTGACACGACGCCTGAACTAGGGTATGAAGTTCATTCAAGGGAGTAGTATTGATGCATTATAGCATCATTTTGTTCATGGGTTAGATTAGTGATCGCTGCTTCTATCAAGTTTTAAATTTATAAAGTCTAAGCGCACAGAAGAGGCACTCGGGGTAACTTCCTCGCCCTAGCCCAGGTCTATCATGAAAATGTCTAAACATGTTGGGTTAAGCGAATATTTTGAGTGAGCTCTTTTCTGTGGGCCTTCGCGATAATCCACACGCTTCCGAGTACGCCCTACCTATCCCATTTTCACCTTGGTATAGGCTCACGATCTGGGGCTTTAAGAACTTAGCTCCTTTCAATCTGTACTACCCACCGTCCACACTGAAGTTTCATCACATGTTCCATCTACGAAGGCGTTTTTGTGGTTGTCCACCGCAAGACCTTATTCATTCATCTAACTCTAATTTTTCAGATGGCGCATACCTGTCTAACTCTAAAACTCCATACCCCGCGTAAAAGATCAAGTAGGCTAGTAGAGAAGATTAGGACGACTTACCCAAGCACAATTAAAGATAGATGAAGCATTAAAGTCAACTAGACAAACACATTCATTCAAAACCCTAATATATTCGTTCATCTACATAAGAGCCCTAAAACTAGAGTTTGGGGATTTAAACCTCTAGTACTTTAGCAGATTACCCCATGAAGGGGGTGGGGGAGAAAAGATATACAAAGAGGGGAGAAATCATGAAGAAAGGGGTCTTCAAGTGATGGAAGTCCTCCTCCTCTTCTTATCATTCCTTCAGCTTCTCTCTCTAATCTCTCTCTAGAATCAGAAATCTTCCAAAATCCATCTTCTAAAGGGGGAGGATTCCCCTATTTATAAAATTTAGGAGGCAGACAAGTTCACGGCCTAGCAGGGGAAATTCGCCATCGTGATCTTCCCATTCGAGCCCACGATCTTCAGGCATCGCAGTTTTGGTCTTCATCTTCGGGGAGTTCGCGAGCTAACTTCACGGTCGCGATCCGTGAGTCAAGGCCGAGAACTTCCTCGCGATCACTGAAGATGGTGACCGTGATTCGACCGTCTAAACTTTATGTTTGTCTTGCTTGGCTTCCTCACGAAGTTCACGCCCAAGGGTTCCATCTTCGCGGCCCCGAGCTAGGGTCCTTAGGTCGTGATCATCTCTCCTTCTTTGCGGTATGTTGTCTCCTCCTAGATCTTTCCCTTCCAGACTGTGATCATCAGCTTCCTTCCCATTTCACTACACTCGTGCCATTTTTCGTGCCTAATTCACATGTAGCGTCTAAAGTACCCTATAATCACGACCTAATCAAATAAGAACAAAATAGTATGAAATTGATGATATTCTTCCGATTATGCACATGAATTAGCAAAAAAAAACCTATATATGAAGGATAAATTGCACCAATTTAGGTGTTATCAATTAGGGGAATGGCTCGAGTCTTTTTGTGTTACGTTTTGGGCGGTATTATCATTCGATCAATGCATTAGATACTCTAATACATCACAACTTTGCGCTATACTACAATATTCGATCCTGTCAGTCATAACCAACTATTACCTACAAATTCCATGTGTGAATTAGTGCATACATGCATTTCAAAAATGAGCACTTCTCCAATGTTTTAAAGTATTGGTATTTCAAAGTACAACTTGAAGTTTTACCATAACAATAATGGTACAAATTGAACTTGTACCATAAAGGAATTTGACATTTATTTTATGGTACAAATTCAAGTTGTACCATACCATAATGGTACAACTTTAGTTTGTACCATAAAGGGACTTTACAAAAGAATTTAGGTACACCCTGAAGTTGTACCATAACGTTAAAAGTACAACTTCAAGTTGTAGCATAAAGGTAAAAACTAAAGCACCAATGCTTTAAATCATTGTAAAAATTCCTCTACAAAAATATAACTAACGAAACAATAGGGGCTATGAGTATTGTAACTTATCGTAGGTTGGAAGCAAGCAACAAAGCCAAAGAAAAGAAGAGAGACCCCAAGTTTACAGCTCAGTGTCAAAACTCAGTTACAACACTGCACTCTACAGGAGATCATCCAGGTGGCTGAGCTAGGTGGACCCTCGGAGGCCCTGAAACACAACCCCCACGAGAATTTTGAAATTACATACAAAACTTTGTACGTTTTGAAAACATTATTTATAAAATAATTTTTCTCCAAGGATTGAAAAATCATACCATACTAGCAGTTCGACCAGAAAAACCTACTAGCATAAGCGACAACTAGTAAGCGATATAAAATAATTGAACCACGATTAAACCATGATTTCAACAACTTTCCCGATTCAACTTCGCCTACTTTTATTCAACCCTTAATTTTTTCTGAATAATATTGTGAACAATTTTCTTACCCAACGACAATCATTTTTAAACTCATTTCTTTTATTTCACTAAATAGTCAATTTAATCCTTTAAATTCTACATTTTCTTTTATAAGTCCTGTGCTTTTAAATTAGGTAAATTGAGTTTTTCAACTTTTGAATTTGTATGTCAAAGATTTTATAACCTCGTTTAACTTTCACACTTATGTGCTTTCAAACTAGATCAATCAAGTTCTTTGAATTTAAAAAAATTTCTATGTTTAATGATTCTTTCAGTCTACAATTAATTAGCTTTATTCAAACAATAATTTAAGAGGGCCAAATCATGTGTTGTTCATGGGAAGAGAGCGAGTTAAACGCATGACTCATTGGCAAATGAAGTACTAATCCTTTTGCGACGATAAACATTTGTTTTCCCTCTCAAGCAAAGAAGACTAGTTACTTGTCTGATCCAGTAGGAATGGTTGTTCACGATAGATGAAGCTACTTACTATAATTCGTGTATTGAACAAGCAGGGGGCCAACTTAAGTAGGGGAGTGAAAGGATTCTGAATAAATTAGCCAAAGAGTTCTAATTGTAGTATAAGGATGCAGCTAGCTAGCTCTACACCGTGAGGTGAGGATTTCATATTTAAAAATATAATAATTGTTATCTCTACTGGACATTACTTAATGTACAATTATGGTGGGGGGAAATGAGCATATTCATAGTTAACAAAAAAGTGGACCTGTTTCTTAAAAAGAAATACTACAAAATGGGTATTCCAAAGAGTCGAGAATCACGAGTTTCGAATAAATTAGAGAGGTCAAAGGAGGAACCGAGCTAGTTGGGTTGACCAAAGTTACCCAAGACCCGAACCAATCGGCTGGAAAATCAGCCAAAACTAATATTTGTTTGTGGGGGGTTGAAGTGAGAAACCAGTGGGTCCTGGGTCGGTTATAGGTTTAGATATTGAAACCGAGTAAATAAATCGAACCCAACCCACACTACTTTTGGTTCATGTTTAATTAAAGGATTAATACCTTAATTTGACCCGAATTATACACAAACTTTCTACTTTAGCCTGTGGTTTTGAAAATTGCTCTTCTGAATTTCTGTATTTTTTTTTCCTTTCTTATAATAATAATAAATATAATTTTTTTATTTCCTTCCTTATAAAAATTTAGAAATTAAAAAAAATCAATATTTTATTTTCTGCTCGCTGATGTGGCCAAGTGAGCTGGCCATTGACTAACGGTCAACTCTGTTGACCGTCCAATTTAACGGTCAAACCTGCCTTCGGGCCAAATAAGGAAGTATGATACATAGTTCATGCCAGAAAAGCAATTTCCGAAACCACGTGCCAAAATAGAAAATTTATGTATAGTTCGGACCAAACTAAAATATTAACCCTTAATTAAACCATATGCACCCATCAAACAATCACCACCAGCCACTGATGATTTGCTGCACTCGCTTTGAAAGCTATTAGTGTCATGTCGTGTGAGCAGACTTTTATCTTTGGAATAATGATCCAGATTCCACTCCTTGGTCAAACTTAATTGCCCCATTGGTGCATAATATTATATGAGGTACGTATGCCGATTTTTACCTTCATTTTGTAATTTGTTTCTCATTTTTATCTTAATTTCAAGATTTTGGTTCGATTTCATATACTTTTTATTTGTTACACATGCACGTTCTGATATTAGTGAATGAGTTAGGACATGATATTATCAAAACCTAGATATACGAATTGAGTGGCAAACAAAAAAATCGAAAACCAATCCATGAACCGACTCGCATCCTCCGCTACTGCCTTCGACTATTGATATATGTGATAATAGTATCATCATACGTCGTTCCAATATGCTATACCTGATCAGTTCTCCAAGAAGGAAAGGAGTCCACAGATTTGGTATTTTTTTCTTTTCAGAATACATGATTAAGCCACTATAAAAAAATTCCTGCTATACTATATTTGGTAAAATAATTTCAAAATACAAGACGTTGGGCTGGTTCGCTGAAGTGTGTAGCCAACAAGTGCCATAGTTAGTAAAATATGGTACATGAAAGTTATGTAAAAATACGTACAGGTATCTTATTTTATCTTCAAATTTACTTTTAATAGTACATTAAGAGTCATAAATATATAAAATTAATTATTTTAAAAATAAATACAAATAAAAATTTAATTCATTAAATATGGGTTTAAACGTGTTATACAGATTTTATACGTTTTAGTACGGCATAGCCATCAAATGAACAGGGAAATATGAAACGACTTGAAAGTAATACAGATGCAGAAGTTTTAAACGAATAAAATATGTAAGGTCGGATTTTAAAATATTTGGGGGTGACAGCTATTTCAAATATCGGGTTGGGCCGGATTTTAAAATTCCGAATGACCCAAATCTCGCATTATTTGAGAGCTACCGAAACAAGGAAAATGGTTAAAATCCTGGACGGGCCGGGATTCTGGTCCAATCCCTCATCAGATTTCATGATTCAAACCGGCCGTTGAGTTATATGAGCTGGATATGGTTGTAACTCACAACTTGCAATAATATGTACAACAAGTTTATGCTCTATGTTACAACAGTCGATCTGGCTGGTTATAACTAGGGCTGCAAACGAGCCGAGTCGAGTCGAGTTTTTGCTCAGCTCGAACTCGACTCGTTTATAAATTACTCGGCTCGAACTCGACTCGAGCTTGAATGTAGATAATCCAGCTCGAACTCGACTCGGCTTGGAAACAAAATTATCCAACTCGAGTTTGACTCGGCTCGACTCGATAAATGCTTGATAACAAAACTTGTCAAGCTCAACACTAGCTCGACTCGAGATGAACTCGGCTTGAAATCTTTTTTCCTGAAATTGTGCAATATAATGATTTTAATTAAAAAAAGAAACACTAAAAACTACAACAAACTTCAATATCAACAAGAGAATGACCACGTTTATAATGGTACGTTTAATCCTTCCATAGCTTCCACAAAATTACATATCCAGGACTAAATACATGTTCTACGAGAACTCCGACACAATTACATATTCAAGACAAAATATAGGTTAAGGTTGAGCCATCATGCTCTAGGTTAATCGTTCAGTTGATTAACTACCAAAATGTGCTTCCTCCTACCAGATTCTGCAAGGGTAAATAAAAGAAAAAGAAAGAATGATTATCATCGCCCAATCCATAAAAACAATATAATAAAAATATTATCAATCCATCCAAGTCTTACATCACACACTTTTAATTATGATCCATAAGCAACTATTTGACAAGAGTGAACAGATTTTGATGATGATACAATAAGTAATCATGAACATCAACTACACACACCACGTTTGACATACCCAGGAATCAGGATCCTTTTCCCAGTATGAACAAACTTTGATCAAATTGATGTTTTGATTTTCTTCTCCCAACCATTCAAATTAAATTACTCACACCTTCTAATCACCATGTTTCTTTCTTTATTAAAAAGGCAGAGGGAGCACCAGTTTTACTTTGAAGTTCACCAGTTCTAACCATCATGTTTCTTTCATATATATATATATATATATGTATTGTATGCTGCTTTGGTTTTCTCAACATTTTCTATCTTGTTTCTAGCCCGTAAGCAACTTATTTGAATAGGACAGAAGCAATAGCTCCAAGAAACCCATAAATGACCAGCATGCAACTCAATAGAAACACAATACATGGTTCAGAAGGGTGATTGATAATTTACCTTTAGTCAAACCAAAATTCCTAGAAGGTCATGATTATAAGGTCCTATTAAGAAAGGTCGATCTCCACAGCATCTTCCTTTTTGGTCATGGTCTACAAGAAAGGAAAAGAAATTAAGTTAAACCAAATGATTTCGATGAAAAAATATGAAACTTTTGAAAGGAAAATTATATATTTACCTTGACAGTCTTTTTCAAATGATAATGATTCTTCAACCAATCTTGAGTGCAAAGTAGAGCTTGAACGGTCTTTGTCCCCAACGATGTACGATGTTTATCAACCACTCTTCCTCCGGCACTAAAGGCAGCTTCCGAGGCTACTGATGTAATAGGAATAGCCATGATGTCACAAGCCATTGTCGATAAGATCTTGTACCTCATGCTTTGTTCCTTCCACCACTCAATGACATTAAATTCTGCTCCCCCCTTGTGAATATGTAGGCAATCTTGAAGATACACATCAAGTTCAGATCTCATTGTTGAAACACACTCCACATTTTGAACTATGGAATCAAACCTTTCTCTTCCCATTTTTCTCTTCCCTTTCCCAGTTGTGATATTAGCAGCAGAAGAAGTGACTCCACCTTCATTTTCAGATGATTTGCCCACATTCTTAGCTTTGTATTCCTCCACATACTCATCAAATAACTTATGAAGCTTGTCACGGACAGTTGCAATATGAGCCAAATAATCAGCCCCCTCCTTATCATAAAGATCAGGGAAATACAACTCAAGCATTTTGAACTTATTCCTTGGGTCCAAGACACAAGCAATTGAAATTACCAAGTTTGACTGACCCCAATACTTCTCAAACTTCTGTAGCATTTTGGATGCCATAGACCTCATACTTGGTTTCTCTGAATCCAAGGTCTCTTTTAATAACATCTTGATAGCCCACATTTCAGGAAGAAATAAGTTAACAGTTGAATAGCTGCTGCCAGAAATAAGTGTGGTGATGTCATTAAACAACTCCAAAAATTCACAAACATCTAGGACATTGACCCAATCTTCATCAGCAGGCAACCACTTGTACAATGAATCTCTCTCAGCATATCGAGGAAACACCGCTTTCATCTCTGAAGCAGTAGAGATCATATGATATGTGGAGTTCCATCGAGTGCAACAGTCTAAAATAAGCTTCTTTGAAGGCAACTTCAATTGCTTTGCAATATCCCGAAAGATTGTTACTCGACTCGTTGAAGGAGCAATATGCCTAATACTTTCTCTAACACTCTTAATTGTACCTTCAATCTCCTTGAGTCCACATTGCACCAATATATTGATGATATGAGCACAGCAACGAACATGAAACATTTCCCCACCAAGTGGAAGCTCACCTTGATAACTAAGAGTACCTTTCAACGTCCTCACAGCTACATCATTGTAAGATGCATTGTCTAAAGTGATTGTCCATATCTTCTTCTCAATATCCCAATCACTTAAGCATGTATGTAGTGCATCATATATAGATAGACCATTATGCGGTGGTGGAACTTCACAAAAGTTAAGAACACGCTTCTGCAACTTCCAGTCTTTGTCCACGAAGTGGCAAGTGACAACCATGTACTCCACAGTTTGATTAGATCTCCATAGATCGGTCGTCAAACTCATCCTGGTCACATTCTCAAGAAGTTGTTTTATCTTCTTCCTGTGAATATCATATGTGGTAAAAACATCTGCTTGAATACTTGTTCGGCTAACCTTTTGATAAAGTGGAGTAGCACGTCTCATCATTGCATTAAACATTTCATATTCAGCAGTCATGAAAGGCATTTCATGTACTATAAAGCAATGTACCATGGATTCTCGTAACTTTGCTTGGTCATACTTGAAATTCTGCACTGCACTTACGCTTTCACCAAGTTCAAGAGTAGCTTCCAGAGTTAGTTGTTGCTGTCCGTGAGGAATGATGTTTCCAGGCTTCTTTAAACATTGTTTTCCATGTCTTAGCAACGTTGTTGTTACGCCAGAGCCATGTGGTAAGTAATGAACCTTGCAATGTACACACTGGAACTTCTTAGTGGTACCCACAAGAACCTCTTTGAAGTCTGTCCAAGCTGCAGATTTTTTCTGTCGCTTCTTTGGTGCATAAGGATTTGGATTTTCTACTTCTTGACTTTGATTTGGGGCTGCTGTTTCAACATTGCTTTCATCCCCCCTTGCATTAGCATTTGAATCTGCCATTCTAGTAACAGGATTAGGTTGCCCAACTATAGGAGTTGAGCTTGAATGAACTTCTTCTGACATCCTGTAGAGAGAAGAACAAAAATGATTAACACGGAGATGAAGACAAAATTGGAAAAGGTAAAACCCGATCTCCTAAAACACATAGATAAGACCAAAAGAAAAATAGAAGTATCAACTTGTTGGAAGCGAGTTAACTCACCACTTGATTTCTGTTTATAGTTGTCGTCGTCCTCAAGAGCAAACTGAGGAGACAACGACCGAAAATCCCGAAGCGGTTTCAATAAAGTTTGCTCAATGAACGAGCTTGAAGATTAAAAGCGACAGTTGCAGTGTTGCTGAACCCTTCGGAAGAGTTCAGGAGAGGGAACGGCCAAGAAGTAGATTGTCGAGTGGTCTGGCTGCGTTTTGGTGGTTGGGGATGAAGAATAGAAACCCTACGTTTCAGATTTCGGGGCAGAAGCTCAAAAGGCTTCTTTGGTAGAATCGATAAGTGGTGGGATCGAAGGAATATCTGCAAGTCTCACAAAAAAAAGTAATATATGCAATAAAGAAATGGCCAAATGGGTGAAACGTTTGAGTAATGTAGTCTCATCTATTATTATTAAATTGTGGATCAGCCATGGTTTGGTTAGTTAACTAAACCAGATTCAAAAGTTAAACAATGACGGGACATGACATAAGTACTGGGTAAGTGTTCTGCTTTTTCCCACACAAAAAAAATTCAAACGTTAAATATTACAAGGGGTCAAGTTTCAAATTATTTAACTTTTAAGAGTGAAGTCACTTGTCACGTTAGGTGACAAAACACCTAATTTTGAGTTATTAAAACCATATTTGCATGATTCACGCCATATTAGTGTCGTTCACGTCATATTTGTGTTATTCACGTAAGAGTGTTGATTATTCAGGCAACCAATACTGTTATGTCACGCCACTTGATGTTGATTCACGCATATTGTTAATTATTCATGCCGTTGTAAAATACAATATTAAACTTTGAAATATATAAAAAATGGATGTCATTGTGTAGATTATGATCAATGCAACATATTTTTACAGATTAAATTATAATCCAAATTTAATTCCATAAAATATAGCATATACAAATTATTAGGGGGAAAAGGCCGAATTTTTATTTTCGTGAAAAACTTACTCTCTTACGTAAATCACCATAATATTACGTGAATACGCACAAAATTACGTGAATGAGTACAAAGTGGCGTAAATGAACTGATCTTAAGTGTTCTGTCACCTAACATGACGAGGTGTTTTCCATGATTTAATCTTTGTTTCATGAAAATTCTACTCTAAGTGTTAAACGTACAATGCTACTTTTTCTATGCTAAGTTGCTAACTAATATGGGGATCAAATCCACGTAAAATTATAAGAAATACACTAGGTACAAAGATAGAAAAATTCTCATGACAATTATAAGGACAATTTTATAGTAAAAATACCTAAAATAGTGGTGATTCTTGTTAGAACTGATTGGATAATTGACAATGCAAGATTTTTACGTGATTCACTAACATAATGTGGGTTGGTTAGTCCACGGACATGAGAGTCAGTTTCACTATATTTGAGTAGATACAGATTGCAAAGATTGAAAAATTATATATTGTACATTCTCCATACATTGGCAACCTAATCCAACCTTGAAAAGAAAAGGTTACATACCAATCCAAAATAGACAAACAAACATGTATAAACTCAATACTTCTAGACAATTGCAAAATAGACAAACAAATATGTATAATCTGTCTTAAAATCATAGCTACAATTTTATTGACAATTATAGGAATTAATTTATAGTATATAACTGGAGTAGCTAAAGTGAGGAGGAGCTGGAAATGACAATTGATTTATAGGATAATCTATTAACTATCTACTTGATTTATTTCTACAACTAACTATTTACTTTCTATCAAAATAGTCTTAATTTAAAGGTGTCACGATTAGGAGAAACAAATTTTTAATGTTGACATGTGGATGATGTTGATTTGGAGGCTAAGTTGGATGCTAAAGAGCAACAATCAAGTTAAATTGCACATAGAGCTCTATGTGTTAAGTAGTCGAGTCAACTTATGAGATTCGAACAAGTCAATTAGGAAGCTCAATTTAACGAGTATTATAGTCGAGTTAGCTACGAGCTTTAAACGAGCCAGCTCGCGAGCTGAGTACTACGAGCCAACGAGTCAAGTTAGCTCGCGAGTCTGGCAAGCCGAGCATAGTGTAGCTCAAGCTTGGCTTGTTTGCTAACAAGCTAGCTCACGAGCTGGCTTGTTAAATAACGAGTCGAGTGTTGAACGAGTTTTTTTCGATCCGAACGCCGAGCGGCTCGCGAGCAGCTTTGTTCATTTGCAGCCCTAGTTATAACCAGCTATCTTCTAGATTCCGTAGAATTATTGCAATGCATATATATAACTGATGAAGCAATAGGGACGATAAATTCTGTAGCTCAACGTAGGTTGGAAGCAAGCAACAAAGCCAAACAACAGAGAGGCGTACAACAAGTTTACAGCTCAGGCTATCTAGGTGGTAATTGAATTTGAAAGGTTATTATTTATTTGTTTGGTGCGTGTGTCGTTGAATTTCGACGCGAGAGGTCCAACTTTTTTATTTTTATTTTTGGAAATCGGAATTCCAGCTAAACCGCTAGCTGCACCATGCTGGAATCCCTTACAAAAATGGGCAGGGGACAATATTTCTTATCTAGATCTAGGTATGTAAATCCATAAATTTATATTATAGAAGATGTTTTAACTAATTCAATTTTTTCAAAGGACTTCCGGCATTCTTGTACAGTTTTTATGCCCTTCTTAGTAGCAAAAGACCAGCAACTAGGATTGGTTATAGAGCAACCATCTTTGCTCCTCGAGCGAAGAAGACTAATTACATGTCCGATCGATCTGGTACTCAACAAGTTAACCTACTTACTATTAGTTCAGGTATTGAACGACATAAGAAAAGTAGCCCAGTGAAAGCATTTAACTAGAGACCAACCATCATACTAACATCATACTGCTATGATAAGACTTAATAATATCATTCATCATTGTCATACTATGATCTTACCACTAATAATAGTGACGGTAAGATGACGTAAAAAAAATTTCTCCAAAGAATGAATATAATGTTTACAATTTTTTTTATAAATTCAAGTTAAAACGAATATTTTCAAAAGGGATATGAAATGTGCTTTAGCAGCATGCCTGTAAATTTGTGCCAACCCCAAAAATACTGTCCAAATGCCCTAAAAAAATCAGGTAATTGTCCCAAAAATCTCTTATTTACCCCCTTACTCATATATGATGCGAGTCATTAGATTTTTTTAAATTACAACTATTAGACCTGGTTATGTAAATGTGCATATATGAATGTGTTTGTATTGAAATCTAAACTGCTAATAAATAGTGATGTTTCTTACTTGATTTGTGCGACTCGACCTTTTCCAACATGTTTAGGGCAGATATTACCCGGCTCGTAGTAGAATGGGGCGGGACATGAGTATTTTTTCTAACTTGCCTCTTCCTTGACCCGTTCTATCATGATTTTTATTAATATGTACATGTATTTCTCCACTTTTGACATTTCTAAAATAATACATTAAAAAGAAGTTTTAAAATTGTACCTTGAACTATTCTTGCCTCGTCCCGCTCTATTCTTGACCTGTTCTATCATGATTTGTATCAATATGTACATGTATTTCTCCACTTTTGACATTTCTAAAATAATACATTAGAAAGAAGTTTTAAGATTGTATCTTGAACTATTTAGTTGCAATTATTCTTTCCCCTATATATCGCTCATCATTTATAAAGTATTTTCTCTATGTCTTATTGTCAAAGAGTAAAACATCGACATTCTTTTTTTTTCAAATAACATACAAGAATGCGTGTACGCACCCCGCTTCGCTCCGAACCAACACGGGTATTACCCTATCTAATCCGACCTTAATATAGGGCCGGTATCAGGGGCGGATCTAGGTGCCCAATCAGGGGCCACGACCCCCCGAGAATTTTGAAGTTAAGTATAAATTTTTTTTAAAATTTAGAAAAACTCAGTATAAACTAATACAAAAGCAGAGTATAGTCCAGCGGAGAATTTTCACATTTCTGTGCTACAAACCCAGGTTCGAGTGTAATGAAATGCAAAATCTTAATACTTCATAGTTAAATTATCCTTTTCCAAGTCTTAAATTTGTTTGTTTAAAGATTCAATAACCTTATCTAACTTTCACATTTATGACTTTATGTAATTTCAAACTAGTTCACCAACCGCTTTAACTTTTAAATTTGTATGTTTAATTATTCTTTTGGTCATACAATTAATTTTTTATTCAAACTATAATTTAAGAGGAACCAAATTGTGTGTTGTGCAGGCGTACTAAACAAGTTCAACTCGCAAATTATTGGCAAATGAAGGAGCGAACATTTTGTGACGATGTACATTCGTTTTCCAAACATGAAATTATCGAAAAATAGTTGCACATTGAAATACTTGATTGATTTTTATTCATGGTTCTCTCATTAATTTTAAATAGAGCATAGCATAAAATATAGATTAGTTATTAGATTATCTCTAGTAAAATTTTGTGCCCTTATAATCATAAAAAAAAATTAATTTCCTCATATATACTCGGCACAAGGCAGTTCATAGTTCTTATTACGTACGTATGTGTTACAGAATAAGATGGTCTTCTCAACAATATATACTTGGCCAATCTACACTAACCCTAAAGAGTTTAATTACAAAATAGTCCTCTAACTTCTAACATCCTCCCTCAAATTGATGATGCTTACGCAACATTAATTTGTATGCTAGAAACCAATGACGTGAAGAGGACACTGCCTTTGTCAGCAGATCAACCGTCTGATCTTCATAAGTGATATACGCTAACTCCACCGAACCTTCAATCACAAGTTGTCGAATGTAATGAATATGGACTTCAATATGTTTGGTCCGGTCATGGAACACCGGATTTGTGGCTATATGAATCGCACTGGTGTTGTCAACATACAACCGAAAACGGAGATTGAATGACACCCCTTAGCTCAATGAGTAACTGACGACTTAGACACCTGATGCCACATCACTCATAGAGCGATACTCAACCTCTGTAGACGACTTAGACACCTGATCCTGTTTCTTACACCGCCAGGAAATAAAAGAACTGCCGACTTTAACACACCACCCTGAAGTCGATCGGCGTGCATCCAAGCAACCAGTATAATCAGCATCTGCATATGCTTTCAACATTGGTTCGCCCCCTGCAGGAATCCATAATACGACTTCCGGACTCCCATGAAGATATCGCAAAATACGTTGTACAACAGACCAGTGTGTTGTTCTCGGAGAAGACATCAATTGACTCACTATCTGGACAACATAAGAAATATCATGTCGGGTGTGGGTCAGGTAAATCAAGCTGCTGACGATACTGTGATACAGTTTACCATTAGCAAATAGATCACCATCTGCCTGTCGAAGCTTGAGATTTTGTTCCATCGGAGTAGCACATGGAACACACTCATCCATCTGCGCCTCCTCAAGCAAATCGATGACATATTTACGCTACCCAACATGAATTCCTGCAGTTGAACGATGGATCTCTAATCCCAAAAAATAGGAGAGATCGCCAAGCTTTTTCAAGTTAAAGGCTGACCGCAAAGTCTGAGTGACCTCTTGGATTCCCAACTCGTCATCACCACTAACCACCATATCATCAACATAGATCAGGATTACAGTTAATCCTCGTGTAGTAGTTCGCAAAAATAAAGAAGGATCACTATCACTATGCTGAAAACCAACTTGAAAAATGGTATCTTGGAATTTCTCGAACCACACACGGGGAGCTTGTTTCAACCCATACAGCGGCCGACGCAGAAGACATACCATAGAACTATCACACTTCGTATAACCAGAAGGAAGCTCCATATAGATTTCTTCTTTCAGAATACCATGCGCAAAAGCATTCTTCACATCCAGCTGAATCAATTACCATCCCTTCATAGCAACGACAGCTAACAAATTGCGTATAGTTTGCATTTTCGACAACTGGGGCAAATGTCTTAGTATAATTGATACCATATGATTGCAAAAAAACTTGAGCTACCAATCTTTTTTTAAATCGCTTCACGTACCATCGGGATTCATTTTGATAGTAAACGCCCACGGCCCACCGACAGCCAATAACGGAATACTCTGCCAAAAGCAGGACTAAATCCAACGTATGCACTGCTTCGAATGCTTGTGTTTCATCCACCATGGCATTATCCCATTATGCTTTGCCTTTTTCATGTTTGTATGTTGCAAGCACTGATATGATCCAAATTGGCCACTTCTACAAGTCACAATTACTTGCCAAAGAAGCTATCAAGGTTGGAAAGAAGAAGGGCAGCATTTGGCCAAGTCAAAATCCGTGTTCAGGGTACATACTTTGGAGGCATGGTTCTCTCAATTGGCTTGGTGGAAATTCAATTTTAAGGGTTTGTTTTGCAGAAAAAGTTACCATCTTTCCAATGGTATGCTTTATGGATCCAGAAGATGTCATTAAGGTTGTTTTCCAAGTCCTCAAAGTTGCTACCTCAAAACCGGAAAACTGCCAGAAAATGGTTAAGTCTGGAAACTGTTTTGTGAAGCCTACTTTGGAGCTCAGTTCAAGGAGCATGGATCTGATTCGAGACCAAAGGCTTCTATAACATCAAACTAGATATGTTTGTGAACAAAGGGAAGGAATTGGATGACAGATTGAAGTTCTGGAAAGCCTTGAACAAAAGGCGCGAAGTTAGTACGAAAGCTGCTTTTGACTGTTTGCTGGCAGCTTACCTGCACTTGAAGAAAGAGAGTTTAAATCCGGATTTTGAGTCCTTTTTAGAGTAGATTTTTACCTTAATTGTTTCCTAGTTCTATTAGGTTTGTATTAGGTTTATTTGCCTTTAAATATCTTTCTAATTACGTTGTAAAATTAAGACTTTGTGGAATAGAAAAGAAACTGTTTGGTTTGTGCAAGTTGCGACTTGTTTTGGGTTTGGTGGATTCCAAACTTGCTGAGCTTGTGTATCGATTGAATAGTCACTTCAATCGTGGTCGAGCAACTACCCTTTTATACCAATCGAGCTATCCCCAGGTGTGGATTTGTCCTTTTGGTTCCGTTTATTCAAGTTCGTATTAAGAACGCTTCGTTCTTGATTCGAGCTCAATCGATTCTTCGATTCAGTCGTTAGCTGCGTGACTTTGATAAACATACACTCCCCCAGGGGCGTATCAAGTGGTATCAGAGCCCGATTCTACACAAGGGCGAAGAAGAGTACGAAAACCTACTGTTTCGTACAAGCAGATTTCGTCGAGAAACAGGGCAGCCCCTGTTTCATAATTCCAGCTGCTGTTTGTGCTTGAAGTTTTCGATTCTACACCAACAGATGGTGGAGAGCAGTGTAGAGGCAAGGAAGACGCAAATTCGTGTCCAAAAGAAGCAGCCAGCAGTCGTCATTGAACATCGTGAATCTGACGAGCAAAGAGACAATCTGTTTCACAGTCGCTGTTTGATCAATGGAAAAGTGGCTTCGTTGGTGATCGATGGAGGGAGTTGCGCCAATTCGATCAGCGAATATGCCGTAAGAAAGCTTGAATTGAAAACCCAGAAGCATCCTAAACCGTATCATCTCACCTGGCTCAACGAACATGGAGACGTGAAGGTCAACAAACAAGCAGAAATCGAATTCAGCATTGGTAAGTATTCGGATTTTGTGCTTTGTGACGTAGTTCCAATGCAAAACGTCCATATTCTGTTGGGTAGACCATGGCAATTCGACAGAAGGGTGTTACATGATGGCTGGGAGAATTCTTATACATTCAAACACGAAGGCATGAAGATCAAATTGAAGCCTCTATCACCCGATCAAGTTTTTGATGATCTAAAACAGATGGAGGAGAATCGGAACGAAAGAAAAAGTGTTCAAGCTCAGTTGTGGGTTCAAAGGAGTGTTGGGTTCAATTTCATGAGTCTGCGAAAGCTAGCGAGGGGAGTTACAGAATCGAAACCACATGGGTTCAACGACCCCTGTTTTGTTGCTGCTAGACAGAGTTTCGAACTTCCAAACCTTGTCAAGGAAGAAGGAAGTGAGCTAAGGAGCGAGACCACGCCAGATGCCTTCCTTGAGGTTAAGGGAACGAGTAGGAGTCAAGAAGAAGCTCTGGATCGGGCTGGTGATGATCGATTTCCTCCCTCGACGACTCTGCCACCACTCTGCCACTTTCCAGAAGAACAGAGTGTTGCAGAACAGAGCGCCAACGACGACGATCTCGTCATGGTTACGGGAGCAGATTCGAGTGAGTCCGCTGCTACCAAAATGTCCCAACAATGTCCAGGAATTAATTCGACAGATTGGTTAAAGCCGAATCAGGTCAGTTTTCCGAAACCAATTCGCGTGCCAACACCCATGGAAACGCTCAAGAACAAAGCCAAAACTACCGAATGGGTTGGGGAGATCGGGTATGATTCGACACCACAGGCTGCTTCGGAATCAACACACACAGTCCCAGGAAGCTGTAGGATCGCTCAATTGTCCGCGAAGACTCCTGGATTACAAAACCCCAATTTGCAAATCTCCAACAGAAACTTGAAGAAACACGACCAAAAAATTGGTGAATTGGTTGTGGAGTTTGAGGGCTATTCGGAGCCAACCACCACTCGAAGAGTTTGCTAGTGTCCCAAAGAAGGTGTAGGACACGAGAGATCGCGACGAAAGTGCCCGATTTAAAAACGCCCAAATTTTGTTTTGCGTCGCCGGAATCTGGGTTTCCTTCGCCGGATTCTGGAAATTTTGAATTTTCCGACGGCGGGAAACTCGGGAAATTCACTTGGTGTCAAAGCTGGACGATTCAAAGCTTGAAGTGGGGTGAATTCCCTTCCTGTGATCAAGCCGAACATGATGGGGGACTTCAATTGGATCGACATTGTGCAGAGAAGAAACGCTCAAATTCAAGTAAGTCGCCGGAACATTCAGAGTCGCCGGTTTCTGGAAATTGGTCGCCGGAAACTGGAAATATGGAATTTCGCGTTTTGGGTTCGTTTGATCAAGTTGTTTTCATTGGTAAGGTCTATTGGAGCCTCACGAACGTCACGGAACTTGAATCGTGGAAAACAGCCGCAGATTCGCGAGTTAACGAAGGGTTGAAGTTCGACATTGCAAGTTCAAGGTACCTATTTCGTGACTCGATTTGGGAGCAATTTTGTGACGTTTTTGACAAGAAGCAGATTCAAGCTTTGAGGTCAAAGCTTTTTGAAGAGGGGGAGCCTGATATGATCCAAATTGGCCACTTCTACAAGTCAAAATTACTTGCCAAAGAAGCTATCAAGGTTGGGAAGAAGAAGGGCAGCATTTGGCCAAGTCAAAATCCATGTTCAGGGTACATACTTTGGAGGCATGGTTCTCTCAATTGACTTGGTGGAAATTCAATTTTAAGGGTTTTTTTTTGCAGATAAAGTTACCATCTTTCCAATGGTATGCTTTATGGATCCAGAAGATGTCATTAAGGTTGTTTTCCAAGTTCTCAAAGTTGCTACCTCAAAACCGGAAAACTGCCAGAAAATGGTTAAGTCTGGAAACTGTTTTGTGAAGCCTACTTTGGAGCTCAGTTCAAGGAGCATGGATCTTATTCGAGACCAAAGGCTTCTACAACATCAAACTAGGTATGTTTGTGAACAAAGGGAAGGAATTGGATGACAGATTGAAGTTCTGGAAAGCCTTGAACAAAAGGCACGAAGTTAGTACGAAAGCTGCTTTTGACTGTTTGCTGGCAGCTTACTTGCACTTGAAGAAAGAGAGTTTAAATCCGGATTTTGAGTCCTTTTTAGAGTAGATTTTTACCTTAAATGTTTCCTAGTTCTATTAGGTTTGTATTAGGTTTATTTGCCTTTAAATACCTTTCTAATTACGTTGTAAAATTAAGACTTTGTTGAATAGAAAAGAAACCGTTTGGTTTGTGCAAGTTGCGACTTGTTTTGGGTTTGGTGGATTCCAAACTTGCTGAGCTTGTGTATCGATTGAATAGTCACTTCAATCGTGGTCGAGCAACTACCCTTTTATACCAATCGAGCTATCCCCAGGTGTGGATTTGTCCTTTTGGTTCCGTTTATTCAAGTTCGTATTAAGAACGCTTCGTTCTTGATTCGAGCTCAATCGATTCTTCGATTGAGTCGTTAGCTGCGTGACTTTGATAAACTTCAGGTTCCACATTTTGCGCAACCACAGAAGTAGAACTAGAAGATGATCCGGAACTGGAATGGGAGCTAAAACGCAAGCTAATGCCGGGAGAGGAGGGACCAGAGTCGGAAATCGATGTCGAAGATGAGGATGCCAAACTCTCATCACTGCTAGTGGCAAACGTGGAGGGATCCGCAGGATCAATCTCAGGATCCGTGCATGGAAAAGTGAACTCACATGGATCCAAGAAGCTTTAGTCAAGAGGAGATGATGTTGCGGACTATGAAGTACTGTGGTAGAGTTGATGTTAAAAAAAACACATGACATGATACACGAACTCTGCGGGCAGCTACATCATAGTACATATAACCCTTATGTTTCTCTGAGTATCCCAAGAAAACACATTTAATAGACTTTGGAGTAAGCTTATTGTGTTCTCGACGAGTTAAGAGAACATAACAGACACATCCGAATACGCGTAGCCAACCATAATTAGGAACCTGAGAATATAAATCCTGATATGTACTCCGTTGCTGAAGAACAGGTTTAATCTGACAATTAATCAAGTATACCGTTGTATGTACCGCTTCAACACAAAACCCACAAGGAACCAGTGAGTGAAATAGAATAGCCCGAGTCAATTCAAGAACATGACGATGTTTGCGCTCGACCAAGCCGTTCTGCTGTGACACACCCGGACAAGACTGTTGAGAAATTATGCACTGTTCCTTCAACAAATTCTGCAAAGGATGTGATGTAAACTCCCCTCCAGGATCTGATCGCAATATCTTACACAGCCAGATTAAACTAAGTAGAAACCATGGCTAAGAACTCTTGTGCAACTGAATACATCTAAGTTTTTTGACGAAGAAAATATACCCACGTAAATCGGGTAGCATGATCCACAAACAATACAAAGTAGCGATATCCAAGTCTACAAGTACCGAGAGAGGGACCCCACAAATCAGTGTGCACAAGATCAAATGGTTTAGAATAAACGGTAGTACTGGAATTAAAAGAATTATGCGTCATCTTAGCTTGCAAACAATGAACGCATTCATGAATCTGATTATTCAAAACAGAACCGGTAACAATTTATTATAAAACATAGTACGAAGTCTCACAGAATTGGGATGAGCCAATAAAAAATGCCATAAATCTCAGTCAGATAACTTCACTAGGTAAGCCAAACTATAACTACTAACTCCTCCTCCCTACCCGATTAACTCCTCCCTGCCCGATTTTGCTCCATGAAGCTGCCCCCAAATGTGAATAAGAATCTTGCAGGAATGATCGACCCTTCTTACTGCCTCTCCCGAGTTCCTTCCCCGACCTCGTGTCCGACAACCATCATCAGCAAGCTGCCCCACAAAAACAAGATTGGGCACGAGCTTGGGAACATATAAGGTATCTGGGAGAGACAAATGAGGCTAAACAACATGACCCACACCACTAACTGACATAACAGACCCATTGACAGTTGCAACCCAAGACAGGGAACCGAAGTATCAAGAGAGCGAAAGGCACTTCGGAAACTAGTCATATGATTATGTGCGGTGGAATCAACATGCCAAGATGCAGAAGAAGAATCCTTACCTGTGGCAAATGCAGTGGTCAGAGCAGTGGGCAAAGCTTCCCTCAACGCCTCTTGAACCAGACGACGAACATCAGTGGGTGTTAGAGACGAGGAGTTCGCAGAAGCCACGTCAATCGTGGCACATGCCGCACCAGTACCAGAACCCCACGCGGGCCGCTCGGCTTGCCACGGCCACGACGAGCGAGCGTGGGACAGTCAGCAATCACGTGACCTTCATGCTTGCAGTAGTTACACATATTCTTTTTGCGAGGACAGTCTGCAATCAGATGACCCTCCTGGTTACAGTAATTGCAGGCATTCTGCTTCTTACAGTGATACTGAATATGACCGGGTTCTTTGCAATAATGACAAATGATCTCACACTTCATAGTATGATGAAATTGAGGTTTCCCTCCATGAACCGTAAAGGCAGTATGAGAATCACTGGCATGAATATCGAGCTTGGCCTGACTCCTAAGACGAGTTTCCTCACAAAGGAGCTCCCCAAGTATCTCATCCATAGTCTCCACATTGCGATGCAAAAGAGATGCCTTAATCCCTTCGAAATTGGGTCGCAGATTCATCAACAAACACATATTCTGCATGCTCGTATGATCACGGATGACGTCAGCCAACGCCGCACCAGTTAATAAAGAACTCGTCAAATGATCACGCTCAGCCCAGAGAGTAACCGCATCTTGATGGTACGAGCTAATGTCAGAATCACCTTGAGTCAAGCGACCCAGATCACACTCTAGATCAAATTTACGAGAAGCGTTTGGCTTCGAGTAAAGATTAGCTAGATGCTGCCACATCTCAGACGCCGTAGAAAAACCCTGCAAACTCAAAGCAATGCTCGGTTCCATCGTACCAAGCAACAACACATAACCCTCGCATTGGACGCAGCCCAATCCTCCTTGGCTTTGGTGTCGCATCGGCATCGGGTTCCTTGGCCAAACCATCGAGAATAGACAGCAAACGACGACCTTGAACATGAAGTTTGAATTGAAAAGACCACAGAGCATAGTTCTTACCGGTAAAATGAACCACAATTGCATCATTCTTCAAACCCTCCATGATGAAGTAATAAACAAGACGAGGGCACAAGCCAGCCCAAGTCACACTAAAAATAGAAACTATGAAACATCCCACCTCTTTGATTTTGGAAAAAAGACATTTCTACCCCGGGGTATAATAAAAAATCTCAAATAACACAAGTTTAAATAAAATACCAAACTCAAATATCTCAATATCTCAAATCGAAGCCCTAAACACGTGGGCAAAACTCAAATTGTCCAAAAGAAATGAATCTCCAGCCTTTAAGTCTTAACCATAAAGTCTTAATAACTTGAAAAAAAGTTGTCTGGTGCTTACTCTGACGCCTGGCTCGACATCTCTCAGCGACGATGGTGTTGAGCTCCTCTAGCTTGCTGAACACGGACTGGTTGGTTAGGATTTCCTCCTCTACGATTTGTTGAGTGAGTTGGGGTCAGTCTACGCCCTTACGATTTAAATCTATGATATTTCTTACTTAAGGACTTAACTCAAATTTGTGGATGATACATCCATCCTCTAAGATTTTACTCTTAAAACTAAAATCTCAACTGGAAAACTTGACTGACACTGGGATCCCTCACTAGTTAGTCCGGTTGCCAACTCATACGTATGAGAAGCCATTCAGGTTTTCCTTAAACTTAAACTTAGTTAGGGAAGTCGTAACGATTCATCCCCCTAACATCTTAAACTTATCGTGGTGGCTCTTCACCACGATTCTCAAGGGCATAACTGTTGCCCATCTTAAAAGTCTCAAGAGCATAACTGCTGCTCTATCTTAAAATGTCCCAATGGCAACGGACTGGCGCTAGTGACTAAAAACACTTAAAATGACTTCACCTTCTTGAAGGTGAGTACTTCTTAAAAAGAACTTGTTTCTCAACTTCAACGATAACTTATAAACTTAAAGCTCAAATTTAAATAAGAACTCATGCACATTCACATCAAGCATAGCTCAAACAAAATCACATATCATCAACCATAAGCACAATCAAACAACGACATTCACTTCATCAAAATACTCAAGACTTATAACTCTTGAAAGAACACATAAGGCGTAGTATTTACCTCTTTACACTCACCTTAAAAAGCTGACTACTCGATTCTTTACTCGAAGAAATCCCTCCTAGCCGAATTATCTCGGTGAACCTATTAATAAGAAAGTCATCTCCTTAGTCGACCTTTCTCGATTTAGAATTCCCTTTTGGGTCACTAGAAAATCCTCTCCTAGGCCTCTAGCCCTCGAGACCCGCTCCCAAGGTCCCTTAACCCACTTTAAAAATTTTCTAAAAACAATCCCTTCAAAACCGACCACTTTTCCTAATTATTTTAGTCTTGGACGAATTTCCCACCTACCTTGAACCTTCTCAAAAAATTCGGATAATAATTTTCCTACATCAATCATGAGTACTTATGCCCTCGAAAATTATCAAACCCTTATAAACTCCTCGTAATTATTTTATTTAATTAAAAAGAATGTTCAAACAATTTCTAAAATTAGAAATACATCTTCAAAAATACCCAAATTAAATTTCAGCCATCTTCTAGACCTCCCTCAATTTATAAAAATTTTAAACTCAACAATAAACCCCCATTAGGACTCAAACAAATTTAAACCATCTAAAACAAATTTCTGGAAATTCCCAGCAACTTTAGTGACCACCCAAATTCTGTCACTAAAGGCCTGAACGTCTGTTGCTAAAACCTCAGAATTGCACCCTCACAAAAAATCACCAAATCAATTGACCTAACTCAAAGGGATCGAGTTCCCTTACCTCTAGAACGTGCCTAGGCCTAGATTGGATGACCCGGGATGTTGATCTCCTTGCTGATCGAACCCTCAATGGCACCGCTAAAAAGAACGAGCTTCGGATTAGACTATATCGATCAATCGCGTTTAGAAATCACGAAGGGGTTCGTGATCCTTACCAAGAAACACGAGAGGGATGGGATCAGGATCAGGATTGGGTGCCGGAACCAACTCCTTCTTCTCCTCTCGCCCTCGCGGGGTTGGGGATTAGCGGCGGTTGAGGTTTCTCGCGGCCGCTGCGTTGGAAAAGTGGGGCGGGGGTTTGGGAATATTACAGGGCCGAGGGGTTTTTTTTCTTTATCTTTGCTTGGCGGCTGGGGGGGATAGAGAGAGGGCCTGCGGGTCGGCTGGGAAACTCTCTACTGGTCGAGGTTGGAAAAATAATTGGGAGGCGGCTTGAGGTTTCTAATAGGGAAAACTGGCGGCCCGGGAAAAAATAATGGGGAGGCCGCTCGCCCCCCCCCCCCCCCAGGTCGGAATTGCACTTTTTTTTCTTGTAATAATAAAATAATAATTATTATTATTACTACTAATCCGCGTTTGCAACCTTTTAGTACGCAACTGACAACCCAATCGATCACGAATTATGATCGAACCATAACCCAAAATTCGGGGTGTTACAAACCAAAGACAATAGCAGTATCCAGAAAAGGAACGAAGTACCAGGCCAACCAAACTGAGAATGAAAGCCGACGGGAAAGAATAAGAATCCAGCGTTGGTGGAGAAGAAACCGAAGTATGATTATGGAGAGAGCCGGACCAAGTAACCAGCAGAACCGAGAAAGAGAGAGCCGACGGAGATAACCAATAAAAATACCGCCCGCCAACCAGAAGCACACGAACACGGAGCAGCCGAAACCCAACGCGCAGACCAGAACACGAGCTCAAAAATCAAAAGCGCGAGGCTCTGATACCATGTTAAAACTCTAATTGAATCAAAAGAACATGAACACGGGACACGGGATTTACCTGGTTTCCTAAATGATAATCATTGAAACTAGTCCACGGTACAAGGCAGTTCGTAGTTCTTATTACGTACGTATGTGTTACAAAATAAGATGGCCTTCTCAAAATATATACTCGGCCGATCTAGACAAAATAGTCCTCTAACTTCTAACAGTAGGTAGCACTGCAACGTTAAAATTATAATAAGTAGTATCTCTAATAACTTAATAGTGAGATTAATATACAATTATGGTGGGGGAAATAACATTCATTGATACCTTAAAAGTACCTGTTTCTTGAAAATAAATACTACAAAGTGGGTGTTCCAGAGAGTCGAGAATCACGAGTTTGGACGTTAAAGGAGGACGTGAGCTAGTTGAGGTTTGGAAGACAGCAATTAGTGGTTCTGGGTTGGTTATATATTTAGATATTTGAAACGGAGTAAATTAATCCAACCCAACCCACACTATTTTTTCACATTTCCAACAATCTCCACCCATGACTGATTTGCTCCTTTTGCTTTGGGAGCTATTAGTGTCATGGGAGCCAGCTGATTTGTTTATTTTTATTTTTTATTAATGCTTCATATTGCACTCAATGTTTTAATCTCAAGCATTGCCTCATTGGTGCATAATATTTTCTATTACGTATGTCACTACGGGAAAAATGACTTTTTGCAACACTCAGATTGCAACACTATGTGAAAATGTTGTGTCAAATACACACTAGTAACACTTTTTCTTAGAGTTTCGAAAAAGACCCTATTGCAATACTTAAATTAAACACAGTGTAAAATAGTTGCCTTACATATACAATAGCAACACTTTTTTTTGAAGTTGCATATTAAGTAGTTTATGCAACTTTAATCAATTATATGTTGCATTTGCTCTATTATTCGCAACACATATACCCTAATTAATTTTTGAGTTGCCTAGACAAAGAAAGAGTACTTATATAATTATAAATAATATATATCAGATCAACTATTGTCCATTCTTAACAGCTTGCTAACTATAAAAACGATGGAAAATTGGGAATGCAATTCTCCTCACTAATGGACATTCTTTTGCAGACTAGGTTGACTGCATCATTTTATTTTATAATTGACATTATTTCCGGTGAATATGATTAGCATTATTTCTTGCTAAGCCAAACTCCAAACGGAGCATGTATGGCCATCTGGGTAAAATACTAATGCAAGAAAAAAGATCCTGTTGGCTGAAATAAAAATTAAGAGGATAATTATCATTTAACCGTAGATGATATTTAAATCAATGGTGTAGATCGACCTCCCTTTTGGAGTTACCCACAAATTCACACTTTCTATACGAGTATCACAAATGATTTTGGGGATCATCGGGATATCATATTTAATTTTTCATTGATTATTTCTTTTTCTCCTCTTCCCCTTTCCATATACGGTTTGATCTCCTTTCCTCATATACTCCATGGTCCTGGAATTATTTACCGCGGGACCAGTGGCGGACCCAGAAATTTTTTATAGGGGTGTCATCTTTTAAAAATAAATTAAATAAAAATAATTAATAATTAATAAAAATAAAATTGTTAATTTGAAAATACCTTACTTGTACAGGTTAAAAAAGGTTTATATTCGAAAATAATTGTAGAATACACTTGGTTACTATAGTGTTAAAAATAATTGTCTCTATATACCCTACTAGACAATCATTCACGAACTTATCGCATATTCGATTTGTAAACTTGTTCTCGATGTAACCCAAAGCTGAAAGACTCTTTCAACACTTGTTGTATTAAGGGTAGCTTGAAATTAGTTTAATTGTTAGGTTTTTAAAATAATTAGAGATAAGAAATGACATTTTACTATTACATTTTTCAAAATTAAACAACAAATGAGTTGTAGGTCAGCGAAAATTAAGTTTATTAATAAGAATAGCGTTCTCGATTTGAATTACCCAATCTACCACTTGTATTCCTATACACAAACACAAATGACAGTAGGATAATCATGTTTTCAAATTTCAGCGGTGTCCCTCACTATCAATTATATTTTTTTTGTCCGTATATAAATAACCACCGGGAATTGGATAATCGTGTTCGCAAAATTTAGGGGTGTCCGGGGACACCCCTGGAACCCCCTGGGTCCGCCCCTGCGCGGGACTCTCTTTTTTCTTTCTTCCTCCAAAGTCTCCAAAAGAGAAAGGTTGCGCAGATGCCTGCTAAGGGATGATGGAGCTGAAGGAGATTGAAATCTTGTAAGCACCAAGAGATAATGGAGCCACTGATTCGAAAGCTCCGTCCCAAGAACTGTTGAGGGAAGCCACTCAGGATTTTAGAAAGGATTCAAGGTTCTGTAGCAGCGCAACATCAACTCTCTAAAAAGTGACATAGAAACCACTCTTGTGTTCGATGAATAGGCAACGAAGGATTTTAGGATCAATAGACAAGTTTTTTACCATTTTTTCCCCTTGTGTTACATATGTTTATAATAGGTTTTGTACATATTTACTTTGTTGTTTGTTAGATGGTGAGGACTATAATTTTCCGGAGAAATATTGTTCTTAGCAAAGTATATTATCATTGCTGCGTATTATGGTAAAAACCATTCGTATAATACAACAAATTTTCTGTGACAACAAAAACATAACAATAGATGCCTCTTTTGACAATATTGTATACCATATATACCATTGAAGTTGTGACAATTACTTTCTCACAAAAGTATACTATGAGTGACTAAGAAATTGGTCACAAATAGTTACTTTTGTGACACCTACCCGACCCCGAATCATATATTGTATTTTAAAGAATGTATTTGTGATAGAGCTATGGTCATAAATAATAATATTCGTGACAATTAGATATGTCACTCTGGTTATTTTTGTGTCGACACTAACTCGTCACAAAAAGGATTTCTATTGAAGATAATACCATCACAAAAATATTAGTATTAGCTACAAAAAATTTGTCACAATTGGTTAGTCATTTGTGACGATTTGGACTTGCACAGATAAAATTTCAATGTTGCAAAAACTTGTAAAAGATGTTGCATATGTTGGTAAAATGTGTTGCAAAAACTTCGAAATATGTTGTCTAATGTGGTGTTGCGTAAGAGGTAATAATACGCAACCCTTTTTATTTTGGTTGCGAGAAATGAAAAAACAGTTGGCTATTCATTTTGCAACCCCCACTATAAGCAACCCTAGTAAAAGTGTTGCGCTAGTATGTTGCAACTCTTTTAAACCTTTACGCAACACTTTTTTGAGGTTACAAGAGACCATTTTTCCGTCTGTCGGTTTTTACCTCAATTTGTACTTTTTAATCTGATTTGTAATGGTTTGGTTCCATATCATAACCTTTTTATTTGTGAACATATGCCCATACTAAGGAGTTGATTACTTGATTCTGATATTACGTAATTCGAAAACCAACCCACGGCCTGATCCGACCCATATACACTACTACAAGCCAGCCAAGAGCCCAAGACTGATATGATGCAGAATCTTCTATATTTTATACCATACTCTTATACTGTTATTCATTCTATATATAAAATATACTTTTTGTTTTTAGGTTATTCTTTGATTCTTTTCCCCCAAATAATTGTCTGATGTGGAGAAGTACCGAAGTTTTCAGGACCTGAATTATTGGTCAATGGTCACTGCTAGCCACCGGCAGAAAATTCAAATGATTCATTTGAAACCTCCTTCATCTAATGGACTATGTTGTTATTACCTTAAATTAATTGCCTTATTTATTTGATGTTTCAATACAACAAAATTGAAGGAAAATAAACGAAATATTTACTTCTTAAATTAATCCAAACTTAATGCCGGTGGTTAATTTTCCTTTCTTCCCAACATTTCAACTTTCACCAGTAAAAAAAATAATTGTCAACTTTCAACTTCGTGTAAAAGTCAACTGGTACCAAAGACAATACCACTTTCTCTCGTCTTTCTTTCACATACCCACACAGAATCAACTATCAAGCAAATACGCCAACCAACCAAACAAAATTGACCACCACAATAGATTACAATTACATTGTATTTACAGCCCAACACAATTCCTAGTAACAGTAACTCCGCCGTCGACGACGAGGTTGTGCCCGCTGACGTACCTCGACTCGTCGGAAGCCAAGTAAAGCGCCGCCTCCGCTATATCCCTTGCCCTCAATGTCGGCCCTTTCAGATTCGCCAACCCTCTGACGAACGCCTCCATCTCCTCCACCTCTTCCTCGCTCGGCACCGTCCCCCCCAACCCACCACCACATTCCACCTCCTCCTCCTCGTCACCACCGCGTCCCCGCCACGCGTCCACCAGCATCGACGTGGCCACCCCGAAGGGCGAAATGCAGTTGACCCGGATCCCGTACCTCCCCAGCTCGCACGCCGCGTTCTTCGTCAGCCCCACCACCGCGTGCTTCGACGCCGTGTACGCGTGCGGGCCCATCCCGCCCATCACCCCGGCCACGCTCGCCGTCGACACGATGCACCCCCCTCCACGCGCCACCATGGCGCGAGCCGCGTGCTTGATCCCGAGCGCCGCGCCCCGGACGTTGACCCGCATCACCCGCTCGAACTCGTCCGCGTCCAGCTCCAGGATGCTCTTCCTGCTCTTCGTCTGTTCCCCAAGGACCCCGGCGTTGTTGAACATGACGTCCACCCGCCCGTACCGCGACACCGTGGAGGTCACGAGGTCCTCCACGTCGGCCTCCGAGCTGACGTCGCAGTGGACGTAGGACACCGACGCGGACAGCGACTCCGCCAGCGCCGCGCCCAGCTTGTCCTCCACGTCGGCGATCACCACTTTGGCGCCGTGCCGGGCGAAGAGGCGCACCGTCGCCTCGCCTATCCCCCGGGCGCCACCCGTCACGATAGCGATTTTCCCTTCCAATCTATTAAAAAAACAAAAGCAAACCTGATTAGTGAGCTAAAAATTCTCTTGATACATACAATTGTACGTGTGAGAAAATGTGTGTGGATTACCTTCTGGGAGGGAGAGGGGTGGGGTGGGAATCCCTGGGGGAGAGGGAGTGGATGGAAGGTTGTGGCGGATGGGTTTGCTCCGGCATGACTTGAGCACCCATGGCGTGGCGGCGGTGGGAAGAAGCTTAGGGTGGTGGTGGAGTAGAGAGTGGGTTGGGTTGGGACTTGGGATGGGAGGGAGTAACGAGTTGTGGCTATTTATAATAGGAAGGGAGGGAGGGGAAAGAGAGAGAGAGAGCGACAAATATAATAAGTAACACTGACAAAAACAAGTGGACGCTAGCTAGCAAGCTTGCTACTTTGTTCTCTTTCTCTCTCGCACCCTTGTCCTTGTGCCTGCGTAGCTTCCGTTGAAATTGGAGAAGGGAGGGGGAAATGGGGAAAAGAACAAAACAAAGTCGTATGTGTGGACTGGAGTATTAGTTTACTACTTCCGCTTTCTTCTTTTATTGCTGTCTCTGACCAACATCACTTTATGGTCTAATAAAAGAGGGAGCCAAAACTTTGTAGTAATATGTATTTAATTGATGGTTTACCAAAAGGAGAGCTTTAATTGCATACTATTTATAAATATTCCCACTAACGGTACTACACTACTACCAGCATCCATACCACGTCTAGATGGTAGATATCAGTAATAGCTGCAATAAAAATCGAAACCGATAGTTTGATTTATCATAAATTTACTCATGAATTGATTATAACTATTTTTTTAAATGTTCTACCTTGATTTTTTTTTCCTCATAGATGAGTCTCTTGTATTTGTATGTTTTTATTATTATTAAAGGGAGGTTGAAACAGCCAAAGGAATACAAAGGTTAAAGCCTCTAGAATTGGAAACTTTAGCAAAATTGGGCCAAAACAGAGGACTTTAAAACAAATCTACCAGTGATGCAGTATCAGAGTTTGAAGTTCCAAATCCTTGAGATCGAAAGGAACGATGCGAAGAAGAAGACAGAGGAGAAAGGCAGGCTTTCTCTTCAGTTAAGGAAGATTTGGGCTCAAGGAAACCAAGCCCAAGCCGAGAGGAAGAAATGCAAAGTTGAAAAAGAACAAATAGATAATAAAACAAAATTGGGCTTAAGGGACTTAAAGCCCACACGCTGCGTTGCACTCTTCTTCTTCTTCCTTGAACAAAGTTCTTAGAAGCAGAGTCACAACTGAAAGCAGAGCAGGAAAGCCAAACTCAACAAACCAGGAGAATCAGAAGGAATGAAGAACACAGAGATTTTAACGAGGTTCCCCAAGCTACGGGTACGTCCTCGTCCCGGAGATAGCACCTGCTATACTCCGAGAGACACTTTTTATTGATTTTTCCTATTGAACAAAAACCGAACAAATACAGAGAAGAATCTCCCGAATCCAACCCAGATTCGTTGATCATCACCAACAACTGATTCCTATACCATCAATTGCTGAAACCCTCAGAAATACCAATAGTCCTGTGCCACTATTTTTCTAAGTACAGAAACATAGGATAATTCCGCTTAATATAGGAACAGGAAGTAGCCGTTGGAATCCACAATAGGAAGGCGCTCCCAGGCCTTCCATATACAGAGCCTTTGATTCCTCAACAGATACACACAACCTCTAATCCCTCGAGGGTCAGCGGCAAGGAAAATCTTCAACTTCAGCTATGCTGTCAACAATCTCCCCCTAAGTTGGAGATTGAGATTGCCGATGAGTAGTACCTGCAAGAAAAATTCAAGCCACAAGCCACAAGACAGAGAGAGCAAAAAGAATCCAGAACCAAGATTCACAGATCAAAACAGATCACAGAACAACACTCTCTGAGCAAAAATCCAACCCAAACAGAACAGTTCTCGGCAACAATTCTCAAAACAAACCAAATTCAACCAACACATGACGAGTTCACAGCAACAACTCTCAACTAAACCAATCTCCCCCTGAGAAGCAAACACACAGAACTAAAATAGGTCTTCCTCGGAGTCGGGATCTTCCTCAGAATCGGATCCATAGAGCGCTTGAAGTGCAGCTGCAAACGGCTCCAGTATCGCTTCACCAGCATCGTTACCCGAAGAAGAGTCTGAATCAGAGTCGTCGGATATCCAGATCACGTTGACAAGAGGCTCCTCCCCCCCCAATCGCAATCTCCAGCTCATCAAGTACGTCATCAGCAGTGAGCCACAGTGTGGGAGACTCAGTACGGAACCAGGAAAGGGAGATGGGCAAAGCCAATAAAAGCTCGGTGATGCGAGCCGCAAAGGGTAGCGGGGCCAGAAAGCTATGATCGACAAACGGAATGAGGGCGCCGAAAAATAGTTGAGAATAGTCAAGAGGAACAGCTGCAATCGCATGATTCATAATCCAAACATCCAGAGGAGTAATCCGATCAAGCTGGGTTGAGCGAGGTAAGAATACTCGGGAGAGAAAGTAGTGAAAGACTTGCAGAGTGGGAAGCAAGACCAAGGAGGGAATTGTACCATCAGGGCCTGGAAGGAACCCTGAGAGACGTTCAGCTTCCTCGGCGAGGTTGAAGTTGAACAGTCCGAATTCAGAAACAGCAGCCAAATTTTCTCCGATAACAGGAAAGTGGAGAAGATTACCGATGTCAGCAGCCGGGAGCATCATAAGGTGTCCAGCCATGAGGGAAGTCAGAGTACGAGAGTGGAGACCGAAGTGGCGCAGGTTTGAGTAAAATAACCGGACTGCAGCGGGACACACCAACGTGGGTGCATCATCAAGTAACGATCCCCAGCCAAGGTTGTTGACCAGGTGGCGGTAATCAAGTCCAAGAGCAATGAAATCAGGTAAGGGAATGTCCCGAGATGGAGAAATTTGGCGAGAGGCAAAGGACTGGGAATGGCGGTGAAAATTGATGGGAATTGGCTCATGGAAGAGAGTGCCAGAGAAAGTAAGAGCAAATGCATAAGCCATGATGCTTGGAGAGGAGAGGGACAAACGAGAGAAAGGGTTGGATGAGTAAGAACTCGGCAGGAAGAACCTTAAAAAGACTCGACTAAGCAATAAGAAAAGGAAAGAAGCAGAAGATGAAAAGGCAGGAAAAATCAAATCGACACTAACAGCGGGAAACAAAAACACACAAGGAAACAAAAATCAAGGACAGCAAAGAGGGAATCAAAAATACAGAAGGAAACCCACCTAAAAGAGACTAGCAGCGGAGAGCACAGAAATAAAACAAGAAAAAGGAAAGAAAATAACAGTACAACAGGAAAGAATCGAGGACAAGGTTCCTCTACTCTGGCAGGGCTGATAAAGATCGCAATCCTATGTCGTAACAAAGGAAAGTGAAGCGATCAGCTGACAGAGGTTTAGTAAATAAATCAGCGAGTTGTAATTCAGTGTTGATATATTGGAGAGAAATAACACCAGATTGAACCAAGTCACGAATAAAATGGAACTTAACCTCAATATGCTTAGTGCGGGAGTGCTGAACCGGATTTTTCGACATGCAGATCGCACTAGTATTGTCGCAAAACAGAGGTATGGACGAGCATTTATGACTGTAGTCTAATAATTGATAGGACAGCCAGAGCAGTTGAGTACAAGTACTCCCAGCCGCAATGTATTCTGCTTCGGCAGTAGATAACGCAACTGCTCCCTGTTTTTTACACGACCAGGACACTAAGGAGGTACCCACGAATTGACAACTTCCAGTGGTGCTACGACGATCGGTAAGACTACCGGCAAAGTCAGAGTCGCTATAGCCCACTAAGTCGAAATTGTGTTGCTTTGGGTACCATAATCTGACATCTAACGTGCCTTTTAAATAACGAAAAATCCTTTTTACAGCTGATAGATGACTCTCTTTGGGACAAGATTGGAAACGGGCACAAAGACAAACACTAAATTGAATATCTGGCCGACTTGCAATGAGATATAGGAGAGAGCCTATCATACCACGGTACATGGATTCATCAACTGGAGTACCAGTTTCGTCCTTATCTAGCTTTAAGTTGACAGCCATAGGTGTGGGAGAAGTGTTCAAGGACTGGAAGTTGAATTTGTTAAGCATACTAGATATGTACTTCGATTGATTAATGAAGGTGCCATGATGAGTCTGTTTGATTTGGAGACCTAGAAAGAACTGAAGCTCTCCCATCATGCTCATCTCAAACACTTCTTTCATGGCCCCACAGAAATCTGAGCACATCTTAGGATTGGTAGACCCAAACACTATGTCGTCGACATAAATTTGAACAAGAAGAAGACCAGACGATTCATGTTTTATAAACAGAGTTTTGTCCACGGATCCTTGAGAAAAGCCTTGCTCACAAAGAAAAGAGGTAAGACGCTCATACCAAGCACGGGGTGCTTGTTTGAGTCCATACAACGCTTTTCTTAACTTGTAAACATGGTCGGGAAAATTTGGATCAACAAAACCAGGTGGTTGGGAGACGTAAACCTCTTCCTGAATCACACCGTTTAAAAACGCACTTTTGACGTCCATTTGAAAAAGAGGAAAATTCATGAAACATGCAAATGCACACAGCAAACGGATAGACTCAATACGAGCAACTGGAGCAAAAGTCTCGTCATAGTCGACCCCTTCCTCTTGGGAATACCCTTGGGCAACTAGACGAGCCTTATTTCTCGTAATGAACCCATCCTCATCAGATTTGTTCCGGAAAATCCATTTGGTACCAATAATAGATTGATTCAAAGGACGAGGAACAAGATCCCAGACATGTAAATACTCAAATTGATTCATCTCTTCATGCATGGCTAGGTTCCAGTATTCGTCTTTTAAAGCATCTTTATAATTTTTGGGCTCATGCTGAGAAACGAAGGCATACTGACCTGGCTTGTATTTACCTCTGGTACGGAGGCTGTCAGTGAGCTCTCCAATGACTTGATTAACCGGATGGCGTCGCTGAATGTGTGGGGGAGCAGCTGGTGCAGAGTCGACAGTAGGAAGTGCATCATCTGAGTTTGTCTCGGCAGTCAAGGTAGGAGGCAGAGGTGAAGTAGCAGCTGTATTTTGACTAGGGGGTTCATGCTGCATCTCAGATTTGTGAGTTAGTTCCAGCAGATCAAACATAGGAACAAAATCATCTGTAGCACTTTCAGGTAAATCATTGTCATGAAATATAACATGAACAGATTCTTCAACCTTTTTAGTGCGTTTGTTATAGACACGATAAGCTTGTCCCTTGACTGAGTATCCAAGGAAAACAGCTTTATCAGATTTGGAGTCAAATTTCCCTAATTTATCTCTTGTGTTTAGAACATAGCAGCAACATCCAAACGGATGAAAGTAAGAGATGTTAGGAGTTTTTGATTTAAAGATCTCGTAAGGAGTTTTGTTAAGACCCTTGCGAACAAGAACACGATTCAGAACATGACACGCTGTGTTTACAGCCTCCCCCCAAAAGAACTTGGGCAAATTATACTCTACGAGCATAGTACGAGCACACTCAATCAGTGTTCGATTCTTCCTCTCTACTACCCCATTTTGTTGGGGAGTGCGAGGGGCAGAAAACGTGTGCATGATCCCAGCCTCAGTGCAGATAGTCTCGAATTCATCAGATATGAATTCCCCACCATTATCACTACGAATGGATCTAAGTTTCCCAGCAAATAAGGCAACAAAGGTTTTGAAACTACTGATAGTGTCATCTTTATGAGCAAGAAAGTAGACCCAAGTATACCTAGAAAAATCATCGACTAAGACAAACACATAATTCTTACCCCCCAAACTAGTGACATTGCAAGGTCCGAACAGATCCATGTGGATAAGTTCAAACATAGCTTTAGAGGTGATGTCAGATTTGGGTGTAAAACTTTTTTTTCTATGTTTGCCTGAGATGCACGCATCACAAAAGAAGTCACGCTTATCTTTTAAAGGAGGTAACCCTCGAACCAGGTTGGTTTTAGAAAGATGGACTAGCTTTTGGAAGCTGAGATGCCCCATCTTTCTATGCCAAAGGATCTCCTGTTGTGATGATGCTGTTAAACATAGCTCATGAAACTCATCAAGATTATGCAGATCAATAGAGTACATGTTGTTGACCCGGTTACCAACAAACACAACTTGTTTGTCGAGGATTCGTTCAACAATGCAATGGGTAGATTCAAACAGAACTCTATTACCACTTTCACATAACTGACTAATAGACAAAAGATTGTGATGCAGACCATCGACAAGTAGGACATTTCTAATGGTAGGTAAGGGAGGAATTCCAACAGAACCAATTCCAATGATTTTACCAACACCATTATCACCAAATAGCACATTACCACCATGTTTAAAAGTAAGATCTGAGAAAAGTTGACGATTACCGGACATATGATGTGAACACCCACTATCGAGATACCAGACATGATCAGTGTTTGAGTTTTGGATAGACCTAGAAGACAATACCTGATCCTTACCATTTGTCGATGCCATGAATGCCTGCTTGTCAATCGGTTCAGACTCGGACTGGGAGTCGTAATCACTCCATGATGCCTTCATGGCCTTCTCCTTTGCTTTTAGAGTTAATGGGCAGTGTGCTCTTATGTGACCGTGCTTCCCACATTTGTAGCACGCCTGGGATTCTTTCTCAGGATAACCTGTGTCAACATATCTAGTCTGCTGTGGAAGCAGCCTTTCTCGAGAACTATGTTTAGAACGATCATAATTTGACTGTTTCTGACCTTCAGACTTAGCTTGACGATCATTCTTAAACTTCATCATGCGATGAAAACGCTTGCTAACTAAAGCAAATTCTTTATCAAAGTCAGACTCAGATTCACTGCCCGATTCATAAATGACAGCCCTGGATTTAAACGTGAGATTTTTCTTGCGTTTCTCATCCTCAATATTCACTTGTTTTATAACATTTTCATGGCTGAGCAGAGATCCTATCAACTCGTTGATAGGGAGGGTAGCAAGATTTCTTGCTTCCTCAATAGCGGTGCGCTTAGGCAACCACTCTTTAGGGAGAGACCTTAGAATCTTCCTATTTAGGTCTTTAACCAGAAAAGTACGCCCTAAGCCTTTCAATTTGTTAATCAAGATAGTAAAGCGGGAATACATGTCATGAATAGATTCATCAGCAAGCATGTTAAACGCCTCATACTCGTGAACCAATAAATCAATACGAGACTCACGAATGTTAGATGTACCTTCATAGGTGTGCTCTAGAGCAATCCAGATTTGCTGAGCAGTCTCGCAGTCTTCCACTTGATCCGCCTCATCGGGAGTCATCGCGGACTGCAACACATGCATCGCGCGTTGATTAAGCTGGGCGCTTTTCTTCTTTGCTGCCGACCATAGTTCCTGTTCTTCAGCGACCATCGGGATCGGCCCATTTTGGACGATCAGCCACAACTCCTCGTCGATGCCCCACATGAACTGCTTCATTCGTTTTTTCCATGCTGTGTAATTGGCACCAGTAAAAATGGGAGGGTGATTTATGGTGGCTTGGCCGAATGAAGAGGTTTCCATGGATCTTTTCCTTGGCGATGATGAGCCTCGTCAAGGACTGGCTCTGATACCACTTGAAGCCAGGAAATTGATCGGACAAATTAGAGATTTGAAGTTCCAAATCCTTGAGATCGAAAGGAACGATGCGAAGAAGAAGACAGAGGAGAAAGGCAGGCTTTCTCTTCAGTTAAGGAAGATTTGGGCTCAAGGAAACCAAGCCCAAGCCGAGAGGAAGAAATGCAAAGTTGAAAAAGAACAAATAGATAATAAAACAAAATTGGGCTTAAGGGACTTAAAGCCCACACGCTGCGTTGCACTCTTCTTCTTCTTCTTCCTTGAACAAAGTTCTTAGAAGCATAGTCACAACTGAAAGCAGAGCAGGAAAGCCAAACTCAACAAACCAGGAGAATCAGAAGGAATGAAGAACACAGAGATTTTAACAAGGTTCCCCAAGCTACGGGTACGTCCTCGTCCCGGAGATAGCACCTGCTATACTCCGAGAGACACTTTTTATTGATTTTTCCTATTGAACAAAAACCGAACAAATACAGAGAAGAACCTCCCGAATCCAACCCAGATTCGTTGATCACCACCAACAACTGATTCCTATACCATCAATTGCTGAAACCCTCAGAAATACCAATAGTCCTGTGCCACTATTTTTCTAAGTACAGAAACAGAGGATAAATCCGCTTAATATAGGAACAGGAAGTAGCCGTTGGAATCCACAATAGGAAGGCGCTCCCAGGCCTTCCATATACAGAGCCTTTGATTCCTCAACGGATACACACAGCCTCTAATCCCTCGAGGGTCAGCGGCAAGGAAAATCTTCAACTTCAGCTATGCTGTCAACAATAGTGTCCTCCTGCAACATTCTTTCCATGTTCACCGGGTGTTCTTCTAGTTCATGCGTACCAAAGGGATAAACGAGACTCTGCTTCGAAAACTAGTATGCGACTATATTCCCCTCTCTATACGTATGGACCATATGAACCACCCAGCTTTAAGCAAGGAGATGGCAATTAGTCCAAGAATTTTCACATAGGGGTTATTCGAATATGTGTGCTTTTGAATCTAATCAAGCGCTAATTGCGATTCTGATTCAATAATCAATACTCTAGCCCCTTTCCACCAAGCCAGCTGGACTCCCTGTTGGATGCCCCAACACTCTGCCATCAACGCTGTACTTGTACCAAATTTGTTGAAGATCCCCTAGCTAATCTCTATAGCAATTCCGGAGAACTCCCCAAGCCGAAGCTAGTCCTTGGTTAACTTGGGCACCGCCATCAGTATTTATTTTCCACCACTCTGGTTTGGTGGGTGCCAACCAATCAGTTTTTGAATCCGGTCTAGTGATGCAAGCCGAGCTTCCTTGTGGTTTGATGCCTCCCAAACTTTAGTCCATTCCTTGGCCTTGGCGGTAAAGTAGTTGTCAAATACCGATGGAGAGAGCTTGATTCCTTTAAAATCATTGTCGACCTTTCCAGATATACCGGATCAATAAGGCAAAATAGCTAGCCCAATTGCCTATTCAATTTCCTTGAGAGTCCCTAGTTAGGTTGGTCTCTAACCATCTGTTATAACTGCTGCTGAAAAACTCAGCCAGACATTCTGGTGAGACTATCTTATTCCAAAGACCTTTGACTATGTCGCAATCCCTTAGGCAATGGAGACTAGTTTCTGGAGCTACTTTTTTGCTGTTTGGGCACAAATTGTCTTGGGTGAGGTGCCTGACATTCCCGACTGCATTAGTAGTTAACGTCTCCTTCATTGCCATCCAAACAAACATATGCAGCCTTTCAACGACTTGGAGTCTCCATATTTACTTCCAAATAATTTGCATATTTGTGTCCATGGAGGTTATGCATTTATAAGCCGAACTTGTTGAGAATTGTCCTGAAGAAGTTAGGATCCAAAAGGGCCTGTCACCATCGGTTGCAAGGGGGTCGATCAGGATAGCACGAATCTGGTTGACAATCTGAAGCGGCAGTAGGTTTTCAAAATCGTCCATTTTCCAGCCATACTTTGCATCCCAAAGTTCCACTACAAGGTTGTTTCTTTTGTCTTCGGCAGTTTCGCTTGTTGCCATTTCTATGAGCGGTACATGCAACACCCAAGGATCCAACCACAATTTAGCAACCTTACTATTAGTAATATTAAGTGCATAGGCTTTTTTTAAGCACGTTCACGACAGAGGTGAAGTTGCGCTAGGTAAAGGAACTTCCCTTTGTCTTGGTGATGGTTGCTAGTCGTTCTCAAGTAAATTTCTTTGTATCTTGCTTTTGTAACATGGTCGTTAATAACATTAAAGCACCCATACCACGTCTAGATGGTAGATAGACGTGATATCTGCAATAAAAATCAAAACGGATAGTTTGATTTATCATAAATTTAGCCATTAATTGATTATGACTATTTTATAAATGTTTTACGTTGATTTACTTCATAGCATAGTTAGTAAAATACATTACGGGAAAGTTACGTAAAAAATATGTACGGGTATTATACTTCGTCTCTAAGCTAAAGTTACGTTTGATAGTACTAAAAGTAATAGTAAAGTTAACAATTTAATTCGTAAAATATGGATAATAAACGTCTTATACGGGTTTTATACGTGTTTAGTATGGGAGCCATCAAATGAACGGAAAAAAATGAAATGGCTTGACAATAATACGGATATGGAAGTTTTAAACGAATAAAGTACGTACGGGTACATATACGTATATTAAATGGAGTATTTACTAACTATGCTTCATAGGCGAATCCCTTGTATTTGTATGTTTTTTTATTAAAAGGAGGCTGAAACAGCCGAGAGGAATACAAAGGCTAAAGCCTCTAAAACAAATCTACCGAAGCACAAGCCGACGACCCAAACAGTCGTGCTGAAGCCGTATAAGAGTTTGGCGAGGAAAGCTAACTCCGATAATGTCCTCCTCCAACATTCTTTTCTGGTTCATTGGCGGTTCTTCTAGTTCAGGTGTACCGAAGTGATAGACAAAATTGTGCTTTGAGAGCTTTTTCGCGACTCTATTCCCCTCTTTATATGTATGAACCATATGAACCACCCATCTTTGACCAAGGAGACACCGAATTAGTCCAAGAATTGTCACGTAGGAGTGAACCGTATCTGTGTGCTTTTGAATAAGATTAAGCCCTAATTGCGAGTCCGATTCCAGAATCAAGAACTCTACCCCATCCTGCAAAGACAGCAGGAGTCCCTGGTGGATGCCCCAAAAATCTGCCATCAACGTTATATCTGCACCAGTCTTGCTACAAAATCCCCCTTGCCAATCTCCAAAGCAATCTTGGATAACTCCCCAAGCCGAAGCTAGTCCTTGTTTAAATTGGTAGTGCCATCAATATTTATTTTCCACCACCCTAGTTTGGGGGTGACCAACCTATCATTTTTTTAGTACGGTTTGGTGATGCAAGCAGAGCTTCCTTGCAGTTTGCTGCATCTCAAGCTTTAGTCCATTCCTGGGTCTTGACGATAATGTAGTAACATAATGTCAATGGGGAGAGCTTGAAATTCCTTTAAAAGCATTGTCATTTCGACATTTCAAGCTATACCGATCAACATGGCAAAATAGCTAGCGCAACTGCCTACCCAATTTCCTTGAGAGTCCTTGTTAGATTGTCTCTAGCCATATGTTATAATTGTTGCTGTAAAATCAGTCAGACATTCTAGTGGGACTATCTTGTTCCAAAGAGCTATGATCATGTCACAAACCCTGAGGAAATGGAGACTAGTTTCTGAAGCTACTTTGCAATTCATGCACAAATAATTTTTGGTCAGGTGCAGGCTTTCCAGACTGCATTAGTGGTTAAATTCTCCTTCATTTCCATCCAAACGAACATCTTCACCCTTTCAATGACTTGGAGTCTCCATATTTTCTTCCAAATAATTTATTGACTTGTGTTCGTGGAGGTTATGCTTTTGTAAGCCGAACTTGTTGAGAAATGTGCTAAATAAGTTAGGCTCCAAAAGGGCATGTCACATTTGGTTACAAGAGGGTTGACCAGTATAGCACGAATCTGGTTGACTATCTTAAGCGACAGTAGGTTTTCAAACTCATCCATTTTCCAACCATGCTCTGCATCCCAAAGATCCACGACAAGGTTGTTTCTTTGGTCTTCAGCAATTTTGCATGTTGCCATTTCTATGAGCGGTACCTGCGACACCCACGGATCCAACCAGAATTTAGCAACCTTATCATTAGTAATATTAAGTGCATAGCCCTTTTAAGCAAGTTCACGACAGTGGTGAAGCTACGCCAGGTAAAGGAACTTCCCTTTGTCTTAGTGAGGGTTGCTAATCTTTCTCTTGTCCGCTCATATATATTTATCATTACCCTGGTCCACAGGGTCTGGCCGTTAGTAGCTAGTTTCCAGTCTCCCTCAGAAAGCACTACTTGGTTGTTCGCTCTTGTGGGTCTGATCCAAACTCTTCCTTGGATTCGAGGTTGAGTCATTTGATCCCACGCTATCGGGTGAAACTTGGATTTCCCTTCTTCTCCCCACACAAACTGTTTGTTGGTCCTCTGAAGGGAATTGCAGATAGACGTAGAAAGTTCTTTCGTAAACATATGATATATAGCCATAGAAGAAGAGAGAGATCTCACTAGGGTAACCCGCGCTGCTAAAGAAAGATAGGTGGTTTTCCACAAGCTGTGTATTTTCTGTTTTCTCATGCAAATTTCTTTGTATCTTGCTTTTTTAACATAGTCATTAATAGCATTAATGCAAAGGTATTTCCCCAAGTCATTGGTCAGAGTAATGCCTGCATTATCACTTAAAGTTGAGCTTTGTTTCTCGACACATTGGCTGAGACTATCATAACCGATTTGAGAAGGTTCAATCATTGGCCCGAGCTCTCACAAAAATATTCAAGGAAGTTTTTGTTGGTGTCAATCGGGTTTCCTTCTGCTTCGGCGAATAAGACTAAATCGTCTAGAAAGAAAAGATGTGACAAGTTAGGTCCATTCTGTGAAAGTGCTAGGGGCTTCCAAGAACGAGCATCAACAGCTTTCTAAATTTTGTGAGCTAATCTTTCCATGCACAGAACAAATAATTAAGGGGAAAGGGGATCTCCTTGTCGAACTCCTCTGGGTGGATTGATACACTCTGTGAGTTCCCCATTCCAACTAATTTTCAACTTTTTATTCTCGACGTAGTACATAATCCTACTGATCCATGTACTTGGCAGTCCTATTTCCTTCAAAGTATCCCTAATAAAGTCCCATCTTAATCTGGCATAGGCTTTTTCTAGGTCGACTTGATGAAGATTCCCCCTTCTTTCCCTTCTTCTTGCATCATGTTAGAACTTCCTGTAGGATGATGACATTATCGTGTTTTTGTCTTCCCGGAATGAAACCACAATGTGTGGGGGGATGAGCTTTGGAATCAAGGGTTTCAATCTATTAGTAATGGCCTTCGTGATAGCCTTCAGTCCAACATTGTTCAGGCAAATAGGGCGAAGCTGAGTCGGGTCTTTGGAAACTTTGTTTTGGGGATGAGAACAACCGTGGATTCAAGCATGCTGGTTAGTAAAATACCTATGTCAAAAAACAAAGTAGCCATGTTAGTGAGACTCCTACCTATTGACCCCCATAGCTTCTGATCAAAAACAACATGAAATTCATATGGGCCAGGGTTAGAGTAAGGCTTCATGCCAAACACTACTTTGTGAATATCAGTGATGCTAAAGGGAAAAAGTTGATGAAAGAGCTATTATGGATTAAGCATATGGAAAATATTTTTAGGTATAAGACCATGATAGAGAGTGTTCCCCTGAGTATATAAAGTATAATAAATTTTTAAGACAAGCTCCCTTAGTTTCGCGGGATCATTCTCCCAATTGTCGTTGTTGTCCTAAACAAAAAGGATATTGTTTCACCGCCTTCTCCGCGTGGCTTGTTGATGGAAATAAGAGGTGTTTTGCTCGCCCAATTTTACCCATTTCTTTTTAGATCGTTGATACCATATAACTTCTTCTTGAGTGATGAGGGTATCTAGCACGACTTCAAGCTTCTCTTGGAGTTTTGCGAGGCCATTGGAGAAGTTTGTCGCCATCCTTAATTGGATGCATTGTAGCCTTTCCAGAAGTATCTTTGATGATACCGAACACTGCTTTCTACCGGTGCTGCAGTATGGGTGCAATGTCATTTAAGGCTTGCTGCAAATTAGTTCCAGAGTTCAAATTTCCTACAAAAAAGTCAGCAAACTGCTCGTGTAGGAGCCAAATAGCTTTAAACCAAAAGTATTTGTTGCTAATGTTATTGGAAACATAAAAGGAAAGAGATGTAAGGAGTATGAAGTGGTCAGAATGCAGCTTCGACATGTGTTGCACATATGTATTTGGAAATGTCACATTCCATTCATCATTGCAGAGTGATCGGTCACTCCTGCTACCCTTATGAGTTCTCTTTGTATCCCCTTGAACCAAGTGTAGCGAGGCCCTGAAAAACATAAATCGGATAGATTAGCCGATTCAATCCAATCAGCAAACCTTTGATACTGTCAAAGAGCAGAAGGCATGATAGGGCCTCCTTTCTTAGTCGCCAACAGTAAGCATTAAAATCCCCCGTCACCAGCTAGGGAATCTCAAACTCCTTGCTAGTTCTTTCCAGATGATCCCAGAGAAGGTACTGGAATATGTATTTCGAGCACCTATAGACGCCAGTGAGAAACCACTATAGTGAGGTAGGGCTGGATATATTCACAGTGATGTGTTGTTTACTAGTGTCTACGAAATTGAGTTGGAGAGCTTTAGGATTTCATGCCAGCCGAATTCCTCCTTTGCGCCCCTCAGCTTCGACACAGAAGAATTCACCGAAGCCAAGCTTGTCACAACAATGGTGGCTCTATCTCCGCTAATTTGAAGCTCCGTGATTAGAAGACTCTATGGCTTGTAAGTCTCAATGAGAATTCGAATCAACCTTTTGAGCTATTTGCTACCTGTTCTAGAAAATTGCAAGCTAAAACCTTGAAACTAAGGTTGTTAGTAGAAAACATTGACATAGAAATAGACATAATAAGGTAAATTAAAAGAAGGAAACCAGAAGCTCAAAAGCAATTCAACGGGAGGGGATATGCAGTCCTTGATTGACCACAAGATTATCCATAGGTGCCGGCACGTTCAGTGAAGCCGTCAGATGCAACTCCTCGTTTGCCTAAGTATCATCTATCTTCTTCTGAGGAAGGGCAAAAGAATTCTTCAATGGCTTTGATCGTGAGGGGGAACGTAGCCTTCTGTGCTTTGTTTGCCTAATCGCGCTTATTGGAGATCAGATACACGGTTTTTTTATCGAATTGACATTGAATCTGACGCTGACCTCCCTGGCTAATGATCGTTTGGTAGTGTCCTTCACATAGTGTTGGCAGGTTGATGAGCGATTTGAATATGGGTAGTTGGGTACATATTTTCAGTTTGGTGACTAGGGAAGGAACCATGACCAAGTGGATTTTGGTATTGTTCGGGCCCAAGACGACATGACTCTCCTGACTCGAAGAAGGCAAAGGAAAAGCCTCATCAGTTGCCATTGCCTTTCTTTCACTATTTTGTGCTTTGTCTTGGGCTTGGTCTTAGGACATTTCTTTGATGCCAACAGGCCTCCATTCTTTGGTCAATTTGTCTTGGGGTATTTTCACGTTGGAGGCTTACTCCATTGTCAATTTCCCCTTTCTTTTTTGCACCATATTATTGTCCTTTTTGGTCTACGACTTTCCATCCTTCTTCCCTTTCCCTTCAGCCTTAGAGATTGGTCTAGTTGATTCCCCTTTCCCTTTTAGGCTAGTTTTAGTTGTTGGCATCTCAGCATCTGCTCTCGACACATTTGGTAAATTTTCTTGATTGTCCATATTGCACACGATCTTCTTGCTTGGTCTCCATGATTTTCGCGCAACTTGCATCCACGGGCCATACCCTGCTGGCGACTTTGGTGGGACCTTTTCTGGCAAGGTTTGGAGGATAGTAGGGCTCTAGGGCAGGGACAAAGGCTAGAGGTTGTGAATTCTTATTCAGCATGCAGTCCTCTTCCTCTATGTGCCCGCATTCGTAGCAAATTTGAGGGATGTTCTCATACAACACTTTTTGCCAAGCTCCATCAACTCTAACTTGTGTAGGCAAGGGCTTTATCATATCAAGCTCGATTGTCAATCAAGCAAACTTGCCCCTTTCTAGATGCTCTGTATGATAGTTGAACTTCCCTATTCTTCCTATTAGGTTGCCAATTTCAAAAAGTGATTCCCTATGGTAAAAGTGGACTAGGAATTCCGACAGTTGAACCCACGCCACACTTCCCGATGTGGCTTGTCTGTAGTGCAAAATGAAGGAGACCATTGATGGACACCAAGATAATGATCCAAGATTACCATGGTCAGCCAGTGAGAGTCGATAAGTAGTCTTGATCATTGTTGAATGTCACCAAAAAAAGTATCATCGTTCAAATCCAGGATATCGAGTTTTCCCACTTGTTACCATTTTCAACGGAACTGTGAGTAGAGATATGCATAAGATATTTAGCAACCTAGAAGCCTTACCACGAGGGTTTTCTTCCATGGCTCGCATAGTCTCTCCTTAAGTTTGGAAGATATTTCGAGTTCCAGATCACCACCGAATAGGTCGCCTTCTAGATCATGTTCTCCCACAAAGGTCGACTGGCAGATCTGGGAGGGCTTGCCAGCCGTCAGACCAGCGATGACATTCTTGTAGGAGGTAGGGTTGGGTTGGAGATCGTTAAAGACTTATTCGAGGATTTAGGAAGGTTAATTTGAGGGAATAGATCTGGCAGCTATCTAGAAGAATGCATGGTTGTCGCCGGTGGTGAAGAAACAAAGGAGGTAGTCGAAAGCATTTCAGAGACGATGTTTTGATGACGTTCCTTAGATAATTGTAGATACAAACATACAATATCGAATCATGTATTCCTACTAGCTATCCTTGTATTTGTATGTATCATCTAAAACTAGTACCAATACAATCATAATTCAAACTCCAATTATATAGTCTCTAATAGATTACTCCCTTGTGCTTCGACCATACTCAAATTTTAAACTCAATCTTAGGTCTCGTCCTTATCTTTTCTTAGGCTAATGTCCTCAACAAAATGTCTACCAAGTACCAATGATTCGATCCCACTAGGCGACATATATCTGTTTCTCAACGTGTAACATTTGTACAACCCACATTTTCGAGCTTCGATACTAACATTTATACAGATCAGTCCACGGTATACTCTGAACTCACTACCACATCACCTTTTGTAAGCTTAATTCCACTCCAATCCGTTACCACACTCAACCTACAGATTCAACCAGCCCATCATACTATTGGCTCTTCATCCTCTTATGCATCTCCCAGCTTAGTTACTTCATCAACATAGATTTACCCACCTTCACCGCCTCCTCCTCTGGACTTCAAGATCTTTAATACTACATCTATAAAAAATCTTCAAACCCAATAAGTTGTTTCTAACCACGAAGAGCCCATCTCTTAAGCACAAGTCTATCAAAGAAGCACTTAGTATCATGAATGGTACACAACTCTTCGCTCTTGGTTGTTACTGGTACTTGGACTTTAGTACCTCGTTAACCACACTATAATGTTAATGGTAATCACTAGATTTTTCAATAAAAATGTCTTTATGATGGATCCATTGACCGTTATAATGCTTCTTGATCGCCAAAGGGATCTACCAACACTCAGTTAATGCCTTTTAGGATACATTCAGTAATAACACATGAGATATACCATTTTGGATCCATGTATTATCATCAAAAGTGCATTAATTTATCATCTTTATCGTCATAATACCTTGGGTTTGCTATGCGAATGCTCAAAGTGTGTTTTCGGTGACCAGTAACCAGCCAACTTTGGTGTTATCTTGATGCAGCTGTGTGACATGTTGGTTGGTATGGGACTTGATGTCCAAATCTTTAGAAACTACATGGAGTAGGAGTTTACCTCTCTGTTTTCAAGTGTTGAGACAATACAATCATTCTCTAGAATCAGAGGGGGTTGTGGCATAGTTGGAGCCCTCACTTTGACGCTTAAGATGCTTTCTTTAGCTCCCACTCGCCACCAATGCCTCTTCCTCAGGACCCCAGTGCCCAATAGATTGATGCTGATGACGCCACCAGCCATAGAGGTTGATATGTTTATGTTTATGATGATGTATCTTGTAGCTTATGAGGAGTGGTTGCACTTTCACCCTATATTTTAATTTGTTTCTGCTTTCTGGCCAAACATCAAAGAAGTAACTAGTCAATCTGCACGAATGACTTCTGCAAATATGTTAACTTCATTATACTCTACTCTTCATCTCATACTTGATCCAATGAGAACATTGTCCAACTCAAAATTTAAGGATAAGTTCTTAACACAATCTTTTGAAGCTCTCAAACCCTACGTTCGAAGCCCCACCACAACAAGTCTATTTAAGAGAAAATTCCACCATATATAAAATGTTGGGTAAAAATCCAAGTGTGGGGCATCTTATCATTGCACAAAATCAGGTTTTTGAAGAGATACCAGTTGAGTTTTAGTGGGGCAGTCCTAAGAGATGATAATGGTTCCTCTCTAGTACAAGTAAATCTTACAGTCATAGATGGGATAGCCACTTGATGATGTGTTTTCAAGGGCATGAATAAAGATTTTGACACCCCTTGACATCATTAACCCTCCACACCATTGAGAACAAGAAGTTAAATGTAGACAAGTACGAAATTACTCTTACTCGATCAAGCTGCCAAGTACCAATGTATAAGGCAAAGAAAAGGCACTTGAGTCACAAAAGTGCTAAAGGCTAGGCATGCATAGCATGAAAAGAGAGAACACATAATATATCTAATAAAAGATTACCATGAGGTAGGGATGTCTGTAAATGCTTAACCAAGCTGCATATGCTTCCCACCATATCCCTAGAAAGACTTGAGTCGAGGGAAATAAAATCTTGTGAGGGACTATTATGTCATCCTTACGAAGTGCGTTTTGCACTTTATTGCCATGATCATAGATATCTAATTGAGAGGGTTGACCTTGTAAGCTTCTTATCATACACTACCTAAGATTGAACATCATGTGTCATTTTAGAGGTTTAGTGAGTTGTACATTTTTTTTAACTTAGGTTTGCTTGGGAAGAAGCAAAGTACAAGTGTGAGGTTATTTGATGACACGTTAAATTAATTATTTTACATCCTGATATTATTTTTCGAAGTGAATTGATTTATTTTATTTATCGTCCCAATACCTTAGATTTTCTATTTGTATGCTCAAGTGTGTTTGGAGACTGCTTCATTACTAAAATACAATTTCGGACGCGTTTTGTTCATTTTCATGTCAAAGTAAGCTAAAAGCCCACTTAGGAACATTGAGGAATACCTAGGCTTGACTGCTAAAGCCATATTCGGAAAGAATACCAAGGCCCATAATGGCCAATAAAACGGCGTGGTGGCTGCTGTTTTGGGAAGGTTCGATACTTTGTCAAGAAGGCATCCATAAGTTATCCTAAAGTAGTAGTTGCAAGGAGGGGCTCTTCTGACTGACTAGATGACGTATGAAGACCAATTCCTTCTCTCCTAAAATCCTAACCCAAGACCTATGAATTTTTCTCTAGGGATTAGAACTCGGTAGCCAGTGATAGGAGGCAGTTAGAGGGTCATTATTCTGCCGACAAGGTAACTATACCGACTTATAGTGACACCTGTTCCAAGGGAGGAGTGGCAAAACCGGCGACATAAGTCCCAATTTCTCTATTTTGGCCGTTGTGTCTAATGGTATTCTGGGACTTTGTTTGAACGATGACTCCCCAAAATCCCGTCGCAATGGCCGGTTAATTAATTCCCTTAGTTGCATAGGTTTGTGTACCCTAGAAGTTCTAGACATGTAAACTTTATGTTTGGTATTCAATATGATTGATTACATCTTTCTATCCTTTCTATATTATTTTCTCTATTTTGTCTTTAGTTGATTCAATTGAATGCTAAGTCAAGCTTGCATCCCTTCCCGGTGTAAATATGAAAATCCTAGTTACCTAGAACAAGACTAGACGTGGAGGTTTTATTCAATCGACCATCACACAAACAAATGACATAATGCCTCAAAGGAGAAATTCGTAGGGTCTTTGTCCCCCACTAGTTTGAGTAAAAGCTTCGACATAAGGTGGAATTAGATGAAAAAATAAATTAGCAACTCGTATGTTGGCGATATTGAGGGAATGTGAAACGCCTGACCCTCATGTTTTCCTTCACTCACCAGTAGTATAGATTTACCTTTCCTTGAACTTTCTTTATTTTACTTTTTGTTTTGCAGAACCAGAGGCACCCTAAGAGAAATTCGTAGGCTTTTGAGTGTCGCTTTGTTAGCCAACTAGCTAGTGCAGGATGACCCACTTCAAGTTGATCATATCTCGAGTCTCGACCATTCACCAGTTAGTCGACAGTATCACAAAGTCACTACCCACTCCTTAGTTTCTTCTTCTTGGATCCCGGATAGGATTCACTTATCCGACATCAATCTTACGGAGGTGTAATAGAGATAATAAAAATCAAAATAGATAGTTTTAAATAGGGTTAATTGCATCCCTCTACTTTGGAAAATTAACAAATGTACCCCTCTACTAAATTTATGCACAAACATATCCTTCTAATATTAAATTGTAACAAGTTTACCCTTCCATCTAATTATCCGTTAAGTGTTCGTTAAATAGGTTGGGAAATGATCCAATTATCCCTCATTTACTCCTAATTTTAATTATTTTATTATTTATGTCCAAAATCATTTAATTAGAAAAACATAACCCCTAACTAATTCAGAAGCACCCGATCAACTGGGCCTGCGACTGCTACCGCATCTCCTTGCCGACGGCTGGATAGGTGTGGCAGCAAAGTAGATGGATCGATGGGGAAGCTTGCCGTCTGGAGTAGAGGGAGCTCTCTTCCAAGCGCAAGCGCCAGAACCACCCACCCACCCCCCCCCCCCCCCCCTCTCCCGATTGAAGTTCAAATCTTGGTGGCCATTAATGTCCATCGATTCACAATAAAGATGGCATCTTTTGTTTCTGATTTGTTTTGTGGTGTGGGTAATTGGATAGGGATTCGGAAATTACGAGCGCGAAGCTGGGTAATTCCGAGTCTTTACTCCACCTGTCGGCGAGGAGATGAGGGAGCGGCGCCGTCGTCGAGTTGCCAGGGGAGTCTTCAGGGAGACGGGGGATATTGGTATCAGGTGCTAGTTAGTGGTTTTGTTTTTCAAATTAATTTTAGACATAAATAATAAAATAATGGGCCAGACTGGTGTACGGCAGGCGTATACTATACGTCAAGTACTATTAGTGAGATATCTCTATCTAAATCATGAATTAAATCGTGTTTGGGGTATGATACTATACCCTAACCTCAATAGATAAACCCCATGCACCGATTTTCTAAACCTCAACCCGAAATTTGATTTAATGAAAAACAAAAATTGACCGTTGAGATTGCCCGGAGCTCATCTAAGTACATCTAACGGTTAGATCACCTGTTGTATACTATACGTCTAACGTACACCAGTCATTACAATAAAATAGTTAAAATTAAAACGGAAATTAAGAGTAAACTAGGGGCGATTGGGTCATCTTCCATCCTATTTAACCGTCACTTAACGGATAATTGGATGGAAGGGTAAACTTGTTACGATTTAATATTAGAAAGGAATGTTTGTGCAAAAACATTAGTAGAGGGGTACGTTTGTTAAATTTTCAAAATAGAGGGTACAAAATGTTATTAACCCTTTTAAATAACCCAAAATTTTTGGCCAAGAATTGATAGTAATTATTTGTATAAATTGTCCACCTTCATTTACTCCATAGATTTTTTTTTTATGGAATGATTTACTCCATATGACTCCCTTGTATTTCTAAATATCATCCTAGACTGGTATAAATACATTAATACAATCATAATTGAAACTTCAATTATTCTCGAATCCTAATAATAACTAGGCTAATTCTTTGAATATGTACATTTTTCAAAAATTCCGGATAAACCAGCAATCAGTTTGATATTTTTTTTCGTTGAATAATCAGTTTGATATTCATACCGATAATCAAGTAATAGTTTTCAATCAGAATTTTTTTCTTTCCTTTTCTAAGTTCTCTAATATTGTAATTTGAGCGATGATAATTAGTCATGATAGTTGTTGAGAAATTCTTGGGTACATGTACACCAGAACATTCGTGCACTATCCCTGTAGAAATATGTCATGTCTTATAGTTTTTAGTATTAAAAAACCTTAACATTCGGAATAAGGTACGATGAAGTAGTTAGCATAAGACATGGCGTTCCACTAGGTTAAATATTGTTACATACGGAGGTTTTGGACTTTGGCTTCTCAATTGAGTGGTTGGTTAGTGAGACTATACCTAATTAAGACAACAATTAGGTAAGAGGTGGCGTTTCACTAGGTTTAACATTGTTACACAGAGGTTTTGAACTCTGGCTAAGCAGTTGAGATGGTTGGTTAGTGAGATTATTCCTAATTAGGACAATAATTATGGTACGGTACATGGAAGTCAACCATAACCAATCATTGGGAGCGGTTCTCTATTATAACCTAAGGGTGTTCATGTATAATCTAAGGATGCAAAAAATTTCAAAATTCGAATAAAAAATGAAGGTGGTACCAAGTGATGTCAGGGTATTAACGAGTAGGGGTCGCGACAAAACCCGAACACACGGGTAATCTATCCGACCCAACGCGGGTAAAACTCATGTTGATGGGTTTCGGGTTCAAACCAGTTACACTATTCATCGGGTTGCATTTAGGTTTAGTTATACCAGCTCAAACCCATATAATCAATTTTTCTAGAATAAAGTTATTTCAACCACAAAATAAGGTTTCTTTAGTATGGACGGCCTCATGTGATTTTATAGTATGTCTTCAAAATCATTGTAGTATCATCTGTATTTTCTCTTGACTTATTCCTGTTTAAAAAATCGACCAATTCAATTAGTGGTTGACTCCTTGCTAAAGATGCAAACCTGGAAAATTAGGCTTGCTTATTATATCCTTTTGTCATCACACATCTCAAGAATAACAATATATTAAAAAAGCATGTCAAGAGTGGCAATGTGTTTGTGTTTTGGTTCAATTTGGAAGATGAGATGAGATTGTTGATTCATTCATGTTATGTCTTCTAGTAAAGGCTACAAAATTTGGAATGTTGTGGTTGGTAAATGAGTAGATGGTTCTAACTTTTCAATCAATAATAACAATATATTAAAAAAGCATGTTAAGAGTGGCAATGTGTTTGTGTTTTGGTTCAATTTGGAAGATGAGATGAGATTGTTAATTAATTCATGTTATGTCTTCCAGTAAAGGCTACAAAATTTGGAATGTTGTGGTTAGTAAATGAGTAGATGGTTCCAACTTTTCAATCGTTATCCACTATTGGCGTTGTTTGTTTTGCAGAATGAAGCTAAGATGTCAATGTTCAAGTTCTCAATGAGAAAGAAGGTTTCAATTATTATGTTGTTTATGGATGTTTATATTTAATCTTGAACAATTTGTATAGATAATTTGTAGTTTTCTTGTATGTTCTAGATTGATGTTTTTTGTATAGATAATTTGTATGAGTAGATTGATATTAGACTCTTATTTTGGGTTATAGGTATAATATGCCCCTTTACTATGACGTTTTATCAAACATATCCTTCTACTATTTTTTACATCAAACATGCCCCTGTACTTTGACAAAATTATCAAACATGCCCCTTTGCTGAAACTTCCATTGAAAAAATCATCAATCATAGTTGAACCGAGATTTAGACGACCCGGCATCGGCAAATGGGAGGAAAAATATCAGTTTTGTCCCTCGTTTGATTTCTTTGGGTCTCTTCAAAGTGAAATTATTTGAATTATTTGGCTATACAAAATAACCAAAAAAATTCTAAAGTGAAATAATTAGAGATATTTTATACATTTGTGTCGCCCAAACCAAAGTTCGGCGTTGGTTAAGGGTTTTTGGATGAAAATTTTAACAAAATGGCATGTTTGATAATTTTTTACAAAGTTAGACCTGGCAAATTATAACTCGACCCGTTGACCCGAAACCGCCCGAAACCGCCCGAAACTAGAAATTTTAATAACCCGAAATCTGAATGACCCGAACCTGATAACCCATGATTTTTTGGGTTGGTTTGGGTGGGTTAGCGGGTCGACCCGTTGGACCCGTTCCATTTCATATATCACCCCAAAATATAATAAATCACTCATAAATTTGTGAGATGTTTAAAAAGTATCACAAGGATTTGAATGGCATGTTTAGAGTTTAAGGATAATCAAATATCATGTGTTTCTTGTAGTAGTATTACTCTTGTGATTGTTTTTTGACGATTTGCGCAATTTATATTTCGTTTCATTAGCGTGGGAGGATTTGGGAATATGTTAATTGACATGTGTTAGGTAAACTATTGTCATGCATATGTGAAAATTTGTGTTCTTTAAGAAAATATGAAGCATGTTTGATATTGTTTCTGAGAACGCTCATAACCCGAAATGACCTATAACCCGACCCGAAATAAATGAGTTGGGTTAATATTTGCCCCGAAATCAGCCAAGCAAAAATGACCCGACCCGTAACCGAAGTCCCCAACCCAAAATTACCCAACCCGACCCGATTGCCAGGTCTATACAAAGTACATGGGTATGTTTGATGTAAAAAAAAAAATATAAAGAGGCATGTTTGATAAAACATCATAGTAGAAGGGCATATTATACCTATAACCCTTTTATTTTCATATAAACTTGTTATTGCATTATTTATGATAGAATCCATTAGTATCCATGAACTAGTTCCATATGTGAAAACTTTGAAATCCAACAAAGATGATAAAAAGTCAATTAAAAAAATAGAAGAATTAAGAAAACCATTTATTCTATCTGGGCTCACGTAAAACTAAGAGCAATATATAATTATACAAAGGTTATGCAACTTATTCGGGAGCTAATTGTTGAAAACCTGTAGTTGTGCTTGTACTTTGTTTCCCTGAAGATATTTCTGAATTCAAAATTTTGTGGAGTGAGAAAGAATTCAGGATCCCGTGATATATTGGTTCGCAAATGATTTTCGTTGGATTTGATTCCTTTGTATTTATGAATTTAGTTGAAGTTAAAGGCTAGACGGATCCACCTAACCCAGCTGCAACGGATTCGGTAATGAACGGCGGAGAAGATATTGATTGGACTGGATTTCATGACCATAACCTGACTCCCTGATGCGGCAGTCAATACCTCGCTGCAGCTAGCTAGCTACCACCCATAAGGAAGGAAAGAAGGTATACATAATAAAAACAAATATATATTTAACGTAATAATTGTGCAAATCAATCTACAGCCTGTCGACAATCTACGTTACCTTAAAGACTATCTACTTATAGATGTGAGCGAGGGGAATATTCTCAAGTCCCAAAAAAGTCCATAAACAAATGGGCTTTCGGTAGTCGGGGCATTTATGTTCCGTTTCTTTATTCACCAATTGCAATCCCAAATCTCATAACAAGATACGCCATTGCTTATGCTCTCTTATGCAAGCCAGACTGTCCACCTCTTTGAAATACCATAGTACTAGCGGCGATCTTTGGTTTCGTAACAAGGAGGCCGTTGCCATTGGGGGATTAAATCTTTACGAAACCCCACCTCCCCCCCCCCCCCCCCCAACTAGTTATAACAATGGGGTGAACGGGTAACTCAGTACCCATTCTTGTCTAGTGAGTCATTTTGGATAATACTCTTATATGTTCTAGAATATAGTCAAATTTATCTGGTCCTAATACCATAATCGTATCCCTCTAGGATCTTGTGCAGAACACTTACATCGGAAGCGAGGTACGATTCTATTGAAAGACTTTGCGATTTAGAAGGTTTCGTAGGTGCCTCCAATTTTGCATAACGTAAGAGTTCGAAAAGTAATTCGATACATAAAAGTAAATCTACGCCAATTAAATGAGTGAGAAATTAAAGAAGGAAGGTATTGCATAAGCAAGCTCTCCCCAGGTCTCCTAACCATGTGTCCCTCGATGATAAGTGGCATACGAGCTGCCGATTTATCATTTCATTAGATACAACCTTGTGTCGAAGCATATACCCGAACTAATGAGCGATATGAACCCTTCGGATTTCTCTCTTGAGTCATCACGTCGTTCGATCGAATAGGAATGCCATATCTAGTCTCTTGCTAAGCGACTTGGATTTAGATCCTTGCACCTCGAAGGAGTGTAAGGTAGACCAAGCTCTCATTCACATGGACAAATAACGAAATAGATGAAATCAAACATCAAAACATATGAATAAACACAATCATATTAAACCAAACATCGAGTTTTACATGGTTGGAACCCCTAGGTTTCACATACCTACACAACTAAGGAATGTAGCCATCCATGGGCAGGGGTTCCTAGGTGTTCGTCGATTGAAATAAAGACCCCCTGAAGCCCACATAAAAGGCACCGGTAATAGAGAAAATTGGGCCCAGACCACCATTTATGGCGTCGTTTCTTCCTCAAAAGTTGGTCTCATTCTAAGTAAGGACGATTTCTTTGTCGACATACAAACAACCCTTCCTTGATATCTCTTTCCCTGCTCCCGAGTTCAACCTCAAGAGCCCTATTTATAGGTATTTGATTAGGCTTTATATATTAGACTTGATTGCCTGATTTTATTAATTTGTGAACCTAGTTGTACTCAACCATATACCCGCTTTGTTGAAGGGTATAAGTAGCTGTTCTCGTGTTCCCTGTAACCCTAAGCAGTTGTAACCTATTCCATCTCATAGTGAAACTTCAGCTCGAGAGCTATGCTCTCCGTGGATTAGTCCCGGTTTCCGGGGATACCACGTAACTTGTGTGTCATTTACCTTTCCGCAATTCTCAATTCTTTTCATGGTATTAAAGCTGTTCATCGTTCACAGCTAATCGTCGACAATTGTGGAGGGTGAATCTGGTGATACCAAGATGCAAAGCAGCGACAAGAGCCTGATGGGAAGCGCTGATAATGGCGACACGGAAATCCCATCTCCTCACCCTTGTACCTTCATCAGTCCGAGGATCCGCGTCTATTCGTAGCCGATCTCTTATCGGACTCAAACTACGGGAATGGGTCAATGACATGACCGAGACCTTAATATCCAGGAATAAATTGGCGTTTGTTGATGGAACTCTCCCACGTTCAGCAGCAGGATCCGCAGATCGTCGCTACGCTTGGGATCGTTGTGATGCTACTGTAAAGGGATTGTTGAAAATGGCAATGAGTAGAGAGGTCAGGAACAGCGTACGCACTGCGACCACGGCGCGGGCTATACGGCTTGATTTGTAGCAGCGGTTTGGAAAAGGCTCGGCACAAAGAGGCTACGAGCTGCGGCGTAACATTGGCTTTTTGCACAAGAAATGCTCAGCGTATCAACATTTTATACTCGTCTCCAGTCATTATTTGATGAGATGCACATGGTGAGCAGCATCCCTCGCTGTACTTGTGCTGGGGGTACATGCGGTGGCTGCCGCTGTGATTTACCTAAGAAACACCGTGAGAAACAAGAAACTGAACAACTCTTTCAGTTTCTTCTTGGACTGGACGAGTCTTTATCAGTTGGTTTCAGCGGAAGAACAACACTGCAACATGCAAAGCAAGTTGAGGAACGACCACCTAGTTCGCGACGTTCCAAAGCAGCACATGTGGAGCCGGAAGCAGCCGATACATGCCCATACCTGGCCTAACAGCAGCTCATTTCGCTCAACTCAAACAGTTTCTTTCTGGGCCTTCTTCTGACACAAATTCGGAGCCAACGGCACACATAGCGGGTAACTCCTCTGACCTTTATGAATGGCTAATAGATTCTAGGTACAATGAGCACATAGTGCGCGATGCACGTTGGTTGAGTTCCATTGATGTTACCGCTGGGTTTTCTAAGGTTCAGATCCCATATGGCACAGGAATTCCTGTTAAGGGGGTTGGATAAGTCAAGTTGTCCTCTTCTCTAAATCTCAGCCGAGTCTTGCATGTGCCTGAATTCAAGTGTAATTTGCTCTCCGTGAGTCGTTTGACTAGGGATCATAACTTGACAGTGATATTCTTGCATGATTTCTGCGTGATTCAGGCCTTACCTTCCAGGACGCTGATTGGCATCGGTAGCTTACAAGACGGCCTTTACTATCTACGGCGAGTTCCTAGAGAGTGACTTCCTCAAGTTTGCAAGGTGGTTGGTCACGTAGATGGGGCAGATTTATGGCAAAATAGGATGGGTCATCCCTCTTTTGATAAATTGGCTTTGTTGAAGGATTTTGTTGGTTGTACTTTTGGTTCACGCCAACCTTCTCATTGTGACTCTTGTTTGCATGCTAAACAATCACGCACTCCTTTTCCTCAGAGTTCTATTAAGACTTCGGGTTGTTTTGATCTTATACATGTCGACATACGGGGGCCGTATAGGATTCCATCGCTAGATGGTTCTCGTTATTTTCTTACCATTATCGACGATTATAGTCGCGCCACCTGGCTATATTTGATAAAGTTCAAGTCTGATGTAGAACGTTATCTTCGGTTGTATTGTGAGCTAGCCTCCACTCAATATCGCTGTATAGTCCGGCGTATATTTGTGGGGTAACCAAGTACTTAGAAGGGCTATCATATTTTTTATATTAAAAAAAGCGCATCGTGGTGTCACGAGATATACATTTTGTCAAGGAGGTGTTTGCATTTCGTGAGAAGAATAACTCTTCTCAAACAGGAGCTTCACCCACTCAATTGCACCACGTCCCTTGCATGAGTTCTCCATGCATGACGTTGTTGGATCACAACATGAGGAGGAGGTTCCTTTGGCAGATGAAGAATCTGAGGATGATATTGTGGCCTTAAATGATGACTCGGCGGATCAATTGACTTTCAATGTCACATTGTCACCACCACACGGAACTTCCTCTTTGCCCGAGACACGCTCAACGTCATCTACCACTCCCGCCATTGTACCTTTTGAGGATGACCATAACGACGAAGGACCTTTCGTTCTATTGCCATCACCACGTCGCTGCCCGACGCGGGCCAACCGATGACCACCTTCCCGGCTTGATGTTTATGAGGTCGATTTACCAAGTTCCCCTTCTAATCAAGTTCTTTTACCTCTTTCCAACTATGTCAGCTATCATCGTTTTTCGGCTGACAATTGTGCTTATTTGGCTTCCATGACTTCACTCGTTGAGCCTCGGACTTTCCATGAAGCTGTTCAACACAATGTTGGCGGGACGCAATGGAAAAGGAGATCTCAACGCTCATAGCTAACGACACATGGACTATGGAGTTTTTGCCACCTTCCAAGCGAGTCATTGATGCCAAGTGGGTCTACAAAATTAAGTACAAGCCGGATGGTACTATGGAGCGTTATAAGGCTCGCCTTGTTGCTAAGGGCTTTACACAGTTGGAGGGGATCGACTTCCACGACACGTTCACACCTGTTGCTAAACTGGTTACTGTACGATATCTTTTTGTCGTGGCAGCTCAAAAGGGGTGGCCCCTTCATTAGCTCGACGTGAACAATGCTTTCCTCCATGGCGATTTGGACGATGAGGTTTATATGCGAACGCCCCAAGGATTTGCAAAGGATGGTGACTACCGTGTTTGTCGACTTCGCAAATCTCTATATGGACTTCGTCAGGCATCCAACAAGTGGTACACCAAGTTTACTGAGGCCTTAGTAGAGTTTGGTTTCACAGTTTCCCGAGCGGATTACTCTCTCTTCATATATCAGGCTGCAAGGGTTTTTGTTTTGGCGTTAATCTACGTTGATGACATGGTATTGACAGGCAATGATGCCGAGAATATTACACGGCTCAAGGCCTACCTTCATGCTCGATTCAGCATCAAAGACTTAGGTCCTCTGAAGTATTTTCTGGACATTGAAGTTACCCATTCACCAGAAGGAATCGTTCTTTGTCATAGAAAATATACTCTCGATATCTTGACTGACTCCGAGCTCGGTGCAGCACGTCCTAGTGGGTTTTCCATGGAGCAGAACCATTCTCTCACCCATCCTACTGACGAACATGTTGACGTGAGCTTGTATTGTCGTCTTGTCGGTCAGCGTTTGTATCTTACAATTACCAGGCCAGACATAGCTTATTCTGTTAATGTCTTAAGCCACTTTGTGCATGCTCCTAGTCCCGATCATGTAGCAGCACCACATCGGGTACTTCATTACCTCAAGGGCGCGCCTGGGCAAGGGCTCTTCCTGCCGTCTACTAGCGATTTGGAGCTCACTGCTTACTGCGACGCTGATTGGGGTGGTTGTCAGTTCACGCGCCGCTCCATGACAGGTTACTATGTTCAGTAGTGAGGAGCTCCGGTATCTTGGCGTGCTAAGAAACAACGTATGGTCGCTCGTTCATCGGCTGAGGCAAAGTATCGCGCCATGGCGAGTGCCACCAGTGAAGTTCTGTGGCTTCATTTCTTGCTGGGTGAGTTACAGGTTCCGCAGCAAGCATCCATTGTCCTCTACTGTGACAACCAGGCCGCTCTCCACATCGTCGCCAATCTTGTCTTCCACGAACGCACTAAACTTGTTGAGATGGACTGCTACTTCGTTCGTGAAAGCGTGACGTCTGGGGAGATTCAGCCGCGTAAGGTGGACACACGTTGTCAATTAGCGGATATCTTCATTAAGGCTTTGGGAGCGGAGCAGTTTCATGCCTTGTTGTCCAAGCTTGGCATTTGTGACCTTCATGCTTCAGCTTGAGGGGGAGTATTAGACTTGATTGTCTGGTTTTATTAATTTGTGTACCAAGTTGTACTTAACCATATACCTGTATGCTTTGTTGAAGGGTATAAGTAGCTTCTCTTGTGTTCACTATAACCCTAAGCAGCTGTAACCTATTCCATCTCATAGTGAAACTTCAGCTCGACAGCTATGCTCTCCGTGGATTAGTCCCGGATTCCGGGGATACCAAGTAACTTGTGTGTCGTTTACCTTACCGCAATTCTCAATTATTTTCATTATAAGGAGGAAAACTCATAGCTCCAAAGTCACCCAGCCAATCAGAATCCTCCAAACACATGGCCAACGATTCATGACACTCCAAGGTAACTTTCTGACGAAGTTGAGGTGCCACGTAAAACAGCGGCAACGTCGCCATTTAACTTCCTAGGGCTCCATTTTTTTAAGCTCGTCCTCTCTTTGAATCTTGGCTCCAACAACTAGATCTCGATATCCCCCTAAGGTTTTCAAGTGGTCCACTAGTCAGCTTTGCCTTGAAAATGCACAAAACTTTACCAAAAGTGCATCCAACCTGCAAAAGCAATCACAGGGTTGCTAAACACACTTGAAGCATTCAGAGCACATATTCAAGGAATTATGACAATAATGATATGAAATGAATGCACTTTGGATAATGATATAGGGTTCTAAAATAGCTCATTCTACGTGTCATCAAATAACTCCACACTTGAACTTTGTTTGTCCACAAGCAAACTAAACTCAACATCCTCTAAATCACCAGATCTCTACGATGACACGTAGCTTCTTATCTTAGGTAGTGGATCATAAGAAGCTTACAAGGTCAACCCTTGCACTTAGATACTTTTGATTGTTGCCATGATGCTCGAAATTACTTGCTAAGGATAAAATGATTTGTCTCTCACAAGATGGAGTTATCCTTTTCTTTCTTGAGTCTTCTTTTACAAATATTAGGGTGAAGCATATATAGGTTGACTAGGAAGTATTTTTTCCCTTCCCACATAAGTATTTTGAAAAAATTTCGTATTAAAATGATCTTGCCATCGCTTTGCGCTTTTTACTGAAGGGGGTTTATTCTCCTTCGTACTTTGGTACTTAGCAAGCCTTAATCAAGCAAGGGCAATTTTCCCTCCTTTTCCTTGATACACATCCTCAAGTTGGCAATCCTATCATACGAGTGAAAATTGTACTTATACTAGAGAGGAACTAGCATTATCTCGTAGGCCTACCCCACCAAGTCTCGACTAGTATCTCTTCGAAAACCCATTTTTTCCAATTATACGATGCCTCATACTTGGCTTTTAGCCCACACTCTATTTGTGAAGGCATCATCATTTGATGTAGACTTGCCATGGTAGGATTTTCAATGTACGAAGCTACATATCAAACCCATTTTTGCTTTAAGTGCAAAAGACTCATTCCTTTGAGGAGGAGTTTGAGAACTCGAAAAGGATGGTTGGAAGCACATGTCCATACGTTGTTCTTAAGATGAATCAAACTCTAACGACAAGAATATCCTTCATAGCCGCTACAGTTAGCCTCCCTTCAATCACGTATTAACATAGAGACTAGCAATTCAAAGTATGATGAATTTTGAATTTGCGTTGGGGTATGGCTTTACTAGAAAATTTTATATTTCAATGCACGAATGCACACACAAAACCCCTTTCACCATATGCATGAACATAAAAAAATCATGCTATATGACGTGAAAAAGAGTCCACCTAAATCCCACTCCATATTTATAATGGGACAGTGATAGACCATTGATTACACATGTTTTTACCCCTATTCTTGAGTCGTTTGAGATGTCGATTCTCGCGTTTTAGGCCGATTTCACACTAGGTCGTTCTTGTTTGTGATATTTCAGGTCCTAGTACGTGAATGAAGGCTTGGGAATGAGTTCGGGGTCTATTGGACGAAGATTGGACATTTGGCGAGAAGCTGATGGAGCCACACGGGCACGCCTAAAAACCTACATGGCCGTGTGACCTGGCCGTGTGACATCAAATTGCACGGGCAAAATCACACGGGCCATGTAGGGGACCCCTTGTGGCCGTGTGGAAATTCCAGGGAACTCACACGGGCATCCTTGAAATCCACACGGCCATGTGGGTCTGGCCGGGTAGGAAGCCTGAAGTCACTTAACGAAACGCCGCGTTGTGCAACTCACACGGGTAGCTGGGGAAGTCACACGGCCGTGTGGCCTGGCTGTGCGATGCGGGAATTTCTGGTTTTTAACCCAATTTCCAACCAAAGAAGGGGCGTTCCGAGTTTCAGAGAGAAAAAGCGATACCTAGAGAGATAAAGTGACGAACCTGACTCTGCAAGTGTCATAGATCGATATCCATCACCATTGGAGCCCCGCTTGAGCTTGGAGAAGACCTGATTGAGTGCCAGAAGCAGATTATCATCCTTCACAATATGGTTTCCGCATCTGAGCTAGATTTTCCATCTCTCTCTATGGAGTAACTTTCTTATTCACCTGGGTATGAAGAACCCTAGATTTGTATGTTAGGTTTGATTGTATGAACCCAAGTACAGATTCATTGATATGATTATGTTCAATTGAGGTTTGATTTTTTGAATGGCATGAATCTTGATCAAATTCCAGTTGTTTCTGCTTTAACCTAGAAAGAGATTATCTGCCTAGGTTGATAGAGCACCCTTGATTGAAGGTAGTGGATTGACGACTTTAGTCGAGAAGTCAATTCACTATTCCGTATCGAATTCACTTCGGTAGGGGAGGTTTGGTTCCTTAGGGCCTCATTCTATTTACTCCGCTGGAGGTTAGTAGCCCGCTGGAGACTCAGATTGAGAGGGTCCGGAGACCTTTAGTCGAGACTTCAGACTGTTTAAGAACCTCCGCAGTATAACTATCATTGAACTTGAACTTGGTAAATTACAATCCGGCTTAACTGCAGTGTAGGGGGAACCATATACGGGTGACCTCTCTCGACTTGAAAACAACGTTTTTACTTGTTTTGCTTGTTTGCTTGTTTGGACCTTCACTAAATGTTCACTGCTAAATAATAAGAACTCACGGAGTAGTCATCACATCTAGGACCCGGGTTGACATTAAAACCCAAACCCGCTATACTACGCTTTAGGAGGTGGTTACACTTGGCCATTTTCTAGAGTGACAGTAGGCGCGAGTCAAGTTTTTGGCGCCGTTGCCGGGGACGACTAGGTTGTTGAAGAAACGTGAATTCTGTTAGTTTAGCTTTTCTTTTCTGCATTGTTTGCTTTGTCACACTTGTGCCTTCACGGGTTTGCTGCTTGATTGTGTGCAGGTAGTGCATGACCCGTAGCCAGTCAGGAGGTTTACTGTCGTTGGATCCGGAGCTTGAACTCACCTGTCGCCAACTTAGGAGACAACAGTGAGCTAGACTGGCTACGGAGGAGCGCATAGACGGTCACTAGAGCAGTGAGTCAGAGGAAGAGTACGAGATGGAAGGAGACCATAATCCGCCCCAGGGGATACCTCTCCAGGTTCCCCCAGTGAACCAGATCCTGGGGAACAACCCAATGCCCCAGGCAGATGGGGTTCATCATCAACCACCGCCACTGGGTCCCACCTTGGAGTACTACTACACTCCACGGATTGCTGATATCCGCCATGTCGTCCTCTACCCGCCCATTCCAGCGAACAACTTCGAGATCAAGCCATGCTGGATTCAACTCATTACATCCTTTATCCGGTTTCATAGCTTGAAGGATGAGGAGGCAAGGGTGCATCTTTCCCGTTTTGTGCAGCTGACGAACGGGTTCAAGCTAAACGGTATCCCTGATGACGCAATCCGCCTTCACCTCTTCCCCCATTCTCTGGCAGGGAATGCTAAGAGGTGGTTGGAGACCCAACCCCCATTGTCCATCACTTCTTGGGACGATATGGCCGACAAGTTTGTGCATAGGTACTATCCAGCATCGAAGACCACAGAGATCCAGCGGGAGATCACTCACTGTCGCCAAGAGCCAGACGAGTCACTTCGTGATGAATGGGAGCGGTACTCGGGGTATTTCTGGCAGTGCCCCCATCATGGCTTCAGTGATGCATTCACCATGGGGAACTTCTACAGTGTTCTCTCTCCGGAAGCCAGAGGGTGATTGAGTCTCTATGCCCAGGAGGGGATATTCTTATTAAGACTACACCCGAAATGAACTAGATGATCAGTACCTTGGCTGCCAGAGATCATTCCTAGGGGCATAGCACCATAGGCAGGAATTCCTGGGATCGTGGTGTCTACGCCATGGAGGCCAGGTCCGGACTCAAGCAGCAGTTGGCTGAGTTTAGTGCAGACATTGAAGCAGTCCAACAGTCTTATTCCGGGCAGGGGTCTGGGCGGACCTCCAATAGCTCAATGTTAGTGGTGTGAGAGCTCGAACCATCTAGTGGAAGATTTCCAGGCTATGCGGGAGTCTTCTACCCCCCAAGAGCAGTTGGACTTCATCGCCAATGCTCGGCGCCTTGACCCATACAGCAATACATACAATGAGGGGTGGCGCCAGCATACCAACTTCGCTTGGAATAGCAACACCACTAAACCACCTGGTTTCCCAGCACCAGCAGGTGGTTTTCAGCAGAGGCAGCCTTTCCAGGCTAGACAGGGCCAGTCCCACAGCAGCAGCCTTACCAGCCTAGGCAAGGGAAACCATTCCAGCAGCCCCAGCGTTAGTATGTCCAGCCTCCAACAGCTGCAGCTCCAGATAATCAGATGACAGAGCTGAAAAATATTTTTCAGGCATTCATGACCACCAGCCAGGCGAATTTCACGAGGATGGACCATAACATAGCCTCACTAGAGGCAGGCCAGAGGAACCAGGGTGCCATTTTGCAAGATTTACAGAACCAGATTGGTGGCATAGCTTGCCAAAATACTACCAGGGCACCGGGGACTCTGCCTGCCACCACTATTCCGACCCTCGTGAGCCTCACCAGCACCAGCAGCTGGATTCCATCATTACCAAGAGTGGCAAGACCACTTCGGCGATACCTGCCTATGCTGGGGAGGAAGAGCCACTGCCTGCTTTAGCACTTCCAGCCGACGATACAGAAGGTAGAGTGGAGAAGGAAGCCCCTGCTCCCAAGCCATAGCCAGTGGTTAAAGAGCATGTACCCCAGCTTCCCTTCCCCACTCGACTACACAAAGATAAGTTGGAGACTAAGTTTGCCAAGTTCATTGCAATGTTGAAGCAGCTCAATGTCAGCATACCTTTCATGGAGGCACTGTCGAAGATGCCCAAGTACGCCAAGTTCATGAAGGATCTCCTCAGCAACAAGAAGAAACTTGGGGATCTTTTGACAGTGATGCTGAGCGAGGAGTGTTCTGCCATTTTGCAGAACAAGCTGCCCGAAAAGCGCAAGGACCTAGGGAGTTTTACTATCCCCCTTGATATTGGCAGCATGCATGTAGGGAAGTCCTTGGTAGACCTAGGCGCTAGCATAAATGTCATGCCGTACAATTTGTTTAAAAAGCTAGACATAGGTGAACTTAGCCCTACTAGGATGAGCATTCAGTTAGCCGATCGCTCTATTGTGCATCCTAGTGGTATCATAAAAGATATGCTCGTTAAAGTAAGCGCATTCACATATCCTATTGATTTTTTTATTCTGGATATGAATGAGGATGTGGATGTGCCTTTGATTCTGGGTAGACCATTTCTTGCCACCGTCAAGGCAATTATTGATGTGCATAGTGGTAAACTGATCTTGCGTGCTGGGAATGAACAAGCTACTTTTTCTATGGCTGAATTAGATCATTGTGATATGCCTGCTGTCGCACCTAAGCATGCTATTTCTTACCAGGTACATGATAGACCGTTAGTTACACATGTTTTCACCCCTGTTCTTACACCGTTTGAGATGTGGTTTCTCGTGTTTTAGACCGATTTCACGCTAGGTTGTGCTTGTTTGTGATATTTCAGGTCCTAGCAAGTGAATGAAGGTTTAGGAGTGAGTTCGGGGTCGATTGGGTGAAGATCGGGCGCGAGACAAGTCACAAGGGAGGTCATACGGGCTGCCCTGATGTTCGCACGGCCGTGTGAAGTAATGGCCTGGCCGTGCGAGTTTTGCCGAGAGCACACACGGGCAGAGCAGAGGTTCGACACGGCCGTGCAAGTGGCCGGGTTGGCCGTGCCACATTCTGCGAGAGCAAACACGGGCAAGAGGGGATGTCCACACGGCCGTGCCATTCTGGCCGTGCAAAGAGCCTGGAATTCGAACTAAATGAAACGATGCGTTTTGACTCACACGGGCAACTGGGTGAGCTGCACGGCCGTGCCACCCTGGCCGTGTGAGTCGGGATTTTCTCCTTTTAAGCAGAATTTCAGCCACAATTCGGCAGGATTCGAGTTTTGGAGAGAGAGATCAGTTCCTAGAGAGAGAAAGTGACGAGCAAGAGTTCCCAAGTGCCTTAGATTGATCTTCAACACCATTGGAGGCTAGTTTGAGCTTGGAGAAGTGCCGATCAACATCCAGGAGCCGGAATCCGTCCTTCGCAGTATGAATTCCGTGTCTGTTTCTGCTTTTGCTTTCTTCTCCATGGAGTAGTTCTCCCATTCATCTGGGTATGGAGAACCCTAGATTTGTGTGTTAGGCTTTGATTGTATGAACCCAAGTACTGATTCTATGATTGATTATATTCGATTGAGGTTTTAATGATTGAATGACTTGAATCCTGATCAAATTCCTGTTGTTTCTGCTTTAACCTAGAATGAGAATATCTGCCTAGGTTAATAGAGTATCCTTGATTGAAGGTAGGGATTTGGTGACTTTAGTCGAGGAGCCAACTCACTATTCTGTACCGGATTTACTCCGGTCGTGGAGGTTTTGTTCTTAGGGCCTCAATCTGTCTACTCCGGTGGAGGTTAGTCGCCCGCTAGAGAGTCAGATTGAGAGGGTCTGAAGACCTTTAGTCGAGACTTCAGGCTGTTTAAGAACCTTCCGCAGTATCACTGTCATAGAAACTGAACTTGGTAATTACAATCCGGCTTAACTGCAGTCTAGGGGGAACCATATCCGGGTGACCTCTTTAACCTGAATACGACAGTTTGCTTGCTTTGTTTGTTTGATAGTTTAGACTTGCATTCCAGTTTCATTGCTAGATAACAAGAATTCACTGAGTAGTCATCAAATCTAGGACCCGGTTTGATAATTCAACCTAAACCCGCTATACTACGCTTTAGGAAGTGGTTCCACTTGGCCAATTCCTAGGGTGACAGTAGAAGTGAGTCAAGTTTTTGGCGCCGTTGCCGGGGACGGCTAGGTTGTTGAAGAAAAGCGATTTCTGTTAATTTAGCTTTTCTTTTTGCTTTGTTTGCTTTGTCCCACTTATGCCTTCACGGGTTTGCTTGCTTGAGTGTGTGCAGGTAGTGCATGACCCGTAGCCAGTCAGGAGGTTTACTGCCGTTGAATCCAGAGATTGACCGCACCTGTCGCCAGCTCAGGAGACAACAGCGAGCTAGACTGGCTACGGAAGAGCGCATAGACGGCCACCTGGGTAGCGATTCTGAAGAAGAGCACGGGATGGACGGAGACTACAACCAACACCAAGGGAATCCACAGCAGGTTCCCCCGGTGAATCAGGTCCTGGGGAACAACCCCATACCCCAGGACCATGGAGTTCATCATCCCCCGCAGCCGGGCCCCACCTTGGAGTACTACTACCCTCCGCGGATTGCTGACATCCGCCCGGTCATCCTCTACCCGCCTATTCCAGCAAACAATTTCGAGATCAAGCCATGCTGGATTCAGCTCATTACATCATCTATCCAGTTCCATGGCTTGAAGAATGAGGAGGCCAGGGTGCATCTTTCCCGTTTTCTGCAGCTGACGAACGGGTTCAAGCTGAATGGTGTCCCCGATGATGCGATCCGCCTTCATCTCTTCCCCCATTCTCTGGCGGGGAATGCTAAGAGGTGGTTGGAGACCCAGCCCCCATTGTCCATCACCTCTTGGGATGATGTGGCTGACAAGTTCGTGCACCGGTACTATCCGGCATCGAAGACTACAGAGATTCAGCGGGAGATCACTCACTTCCGCCAAGAGCCAGATGAGTCCCTTTGTGATACTTGGGAGCGGTACATGGTCTATTTCTGGCAGTGCCCCCATCATGGCTTCAGTGATGCATTCACAGTGGGGAACTTCTACAGTGCCCTTTCGCCAGATAGCCAGAGGGTGATTGAGTCTCTATGCCCAGGAGGGGATATTCTTACCAAGACTCCACCCGAGCTGAACCAGATGATCAGTACTTTGGCTGCCAGAGATCATTCTTTGGGACAGGGTAGCCGAGGCAGACAGTCCCGGGACCGTGGTGTGCACGCCATGGAGACCAGATCCGGGCTCGAGCAGCAGGTAGCTGAGCTAGTGCAGACATTGAAGCAGCCCAACAGTCTGATTTCGGGCAGAAGTTTGGCTACACCTCCTGTAGCTCAATGTCAGTGGTGTGAGAGCTCCAATCACCTAGTGGAGGACTGCCAGGCTATGAGGGAGTCTACCACACCCCAGGAGCAGTTGGCCTTCATCGCCAATGCGAGGCGCCTCGATCCATACAGCAGCACATATAATGAGGGGTGGCGCCAACATCCCAACTTCGCCTGGAGCAGCAACACCACTAAACCACCTGGTTTCCCAGCACCAGCAGGTGGTTTTCAGCAGAGGCAGCCCTTCTAGGCTCGCCAGGGGCCAGACCCACAGCAACCCTACCAGCCCAGGCAGGGGTAGCCATTCCAGCAGCTCCAGCGCCAGTTCGCCGAGCCAGCAGCAGCTCCGGCCCCAGACGACAGGATGACGAAGCTGGAAAACATTCTAGCTTCATTCATGACTAGCACCCAGGCTGCTATCACATCACTGGAGGCAGGTCAGCGGAACCAGGGTGCCATTTTGCAGGATCTGCAGACCCAGGTGGGCATCTTGGCCCGGCAAAACACTACCAGGGCACCGGGGACTCTGCCTGCCACCACTGTTCCTAATCCTCGAGATCCTCACGAGCATCAGCAGCTGGATGCCATTTTTACCAGGAGCGGTAAGACCATATCTGCTGATCCTGTCCCGGCCAGACAGGAGGAACCACTGCCTGCTCCAGCACTTCCAGCCGAGGATGCCGAAGTGCGGGTGGAGAAGGAAGCCCCTGCTCCCAAGCCACAACCAGTGGTTAAGGAGCATGTACCCCAGCTTCCCTTCCCCACTCGCCTACACAAGGACAAGCTGGAGACTGAGTTTGCCAAGTTCATGGCAATGTTGAAGCAGCTCAACATCAGCATACCATTCATGGAGGCACTGTCGAAGATGCCCAAGTATGCCAAGTTCATGAAAGATATCTGCACCAACAAGAAGAAACTTGGGGATCTCTCGACAGTGATGCTGAGCGAGGAGTGTTCTGCTATCCTGCAGAACAAGCTGCCCGAGAAGTGCAAGGATCCAGGGAGTTTTACTATCCCTCTTACTATTGGCAGCATGCATGTAGGAAAGTCCTTGGCGGACCTAGGCGCTAGCATTAACGTCATGCATATAAGTTGTATAAAATGCTAGACCTAGGTGAACTTAGCCCTACTAGGATGAGCATTCAATTAGCTGATCGTTCTATTGTGCATCCTAGGGGAATCATAGAGGATCTGTTTGTTGGTGTTGGTGCATTCACATATCCTGCTGATTTTGTTATTCTTGATATACATGAGGATGTGGATGTGCCCTTGATTCTAGGTAGGCCATTTCTTGCCATCGCCAAGGCACTAATTGATGTGCATGATGGTAAGTTGATCTTGGGTGCTGGGGGTGAACAGGCTACTTTTTCTGTGACTGAGTTTGATCACTGTGCTATGATTGCTGTCACGCCTGTGAATGCCATTTCTGATCAGGTACACGAGTCTGTCGTGTACCCTTCTGCACCTCCTATTTTGCAGGACCCTCCTATCATTCCTTCGCCGCCACTCCATCCAGCCTCGCCTCCGAACAAAAAGCTCAAGGAGGAGTGGCGGCCGAAGCAGCAGGTTGCTAAGCCTGCACGGAAGAAGAGTGGAGACCACTATGAGCTGGTCCCACCTCCTGCACCACGACCACCCTGGCCGTCTGGGTACTCACTCGCCTGCATCTTACCAGATGGGCAGGTCGAGCTGACTGATGATGGTGGTCGCATCCGTCGGGTGCATGGCCACAACCTGAAGCTGTACCTCAAGAGCAACGTGGATTCGCTCTTGGAGGCACCTGTTCCTGCACCGCCCTGAGTATCCGCCATGGGCGTCCAGCTAATACGACGGTAAAGAAGCGCTTGTGGGGAGGCAACCCCACCACGGTTTGATTTTCTTTCTTGTGTTTTGAGTCGGATTGTAACCCGGTTTGGGTTTGGTTTGTTTTCTTTTGGTTTGGATGATATTTTATTGGGCTAACCATTGAACCTAACATATTGTGTATGAGCTCTTCTGTTTCCCTTCGGCTGTGCTTGCCCCGACTGGCCCGTTTCCAGTCTCCTGCAGTCCATGCATACCGGTAACATCGTTTCCCTTATCCTTCCCTCTTCTCCATTGAGGGCAATGTCGATCTTAAGTGTGGGGGGATGTTTATCTTTTGACTGCATTAGATCTGTTTGTGTGCTTGGAGCCTAGTCCACTGTCCAAATTTTTAAATTTGAGGGCTCCAAGTACGTGTTTCCTTGCAATTGCCTGCTCAGTATGCTTTGAATTGACAGTCTTTATAGTAATATGCAACCTAGGGAGGTAGTGTAGCACTATGGAGGATGTTGATGCATTTAAGAAGTCTCATTTCTTCTTCATATTGTGTTGGTTGATTGAGTGAATTAGTGATCTTAGGACTCTTGAATTGTGTGGTGTTGTGGATTCTCTGCCTGTCATGGACTCTTGTACCATGTTTTGAGTTTAACAGGTGCTCGAAAATGTGCTTCAAATAACGTCTCCCGTGCGAATAGGGCGAAAGTGTGTAAGGGGAGACGGGAATTCGTTCCCAATTTCCACCTACTACCTCCAGCCCCCTTACATGTCTTTCCCCCGCACGAGGCTCGAGACATCTGCTCCTGGCATGGCCGGTAAGAGCAGGTTGGGACCCTTGAAAAGAAAAGAAAAGAAAAATAATAGAAAACAAGCAAAACAGAAAAGAAAAGGGGTCTCAACCATCTTCAAGAAGGAAATAGAGCACCTTGAAAAATGTGAGTCCATGATCCTTTGTTTTTGAGAATCTCTTCATCCACAATTCATTTGTCCTCTGTTCACTGTTTGCCATGATGCCGACTCGATAAGAAGCTTTGAGATGACTTGTGCGTCGGTTGACCTCGTAAGCTGCTAAATGATCTAGGAAGTCCTCTACCTACGATCTGGGTTGTTTGTTGCCATAGAGGTCTGGAGAGTTGCATTGGTTTGAGTTAGGTTTGCTTGGGGACAAGCAAACGGTTAAGTGTGGGGGAGTTTGATAGACCGTTAGCTACACATGTTTTCACCCCTGTTCTTACACCGTTTGAGATGTGGTTTCTCGTGTTTTAGACCGATTTCACGCTAGGTTGTGCTTGTTTGTGATATTTCAGGTCCTGGCAAGTGAATGAAGAGGAGCGAGTTCGGGGTCGATTGGGTGAAGATCGGGCGCGAGACAAGTCACAAGGGAGGTCATACGGGCTGCCCTGATGTTCGCACGGCCGTGTGAAGTAATGGCCTGGCCGTGCGAGTTTTGCCGAGAGCACACACGGGCAGAGCAGAGGATCGACACGGCCGTGCAAGTGGCCGGGTTGGCCGTGCCACATTCTGCGAGAGCAAACACGGGCAAGAGGGGATGTCCACACGGCCGTGCCATTCTGGCCGTGCAAAGAGCCTGGAATTCGAACTAAATGAAACGATGCGTTTTGACTCACACGGGCAACTGGGTGAGCTGCACGGCCGTGCCACCCTGGCCGTGTGAGTCGGGATTTTCTCCTTTTAAGCAAAATTTCAGCCACAATTCGGTAGGATTCGAGTTTTGGAGAGAGAGAAAGTGACGAGCAAGAGTTCCCAAGTGCCTTAGATTGATCTTCAACACCATTGGAGGCCAGTTTGAGCTTGGAAAAGTGCCGATCAACGTCCAGGAGCCGGAATCCGTCCTTCGCAGTATGAATTCCGTGTCTGTTTCTGCTTTTGCTTTCTTCTCCATGGAGTAGTTCTCCCATTCATCTGGGTATGGAGAACCCTAGATTTGTGTGTTAGGCTTTGATTGTATGAACCCAAGTACTGATTCTATGATTGATTATATTCGATTGAGGTTTTAATGATTGAATGACTTGAATCCTGATCAAATTCCTGTTGTTTCTGCTTTAACCTAGAATGAGAATATCTGCCTAGGTTAATAGAGTATCCTTGATTGAAGGTAGGGATTTGGTGACTTTAGTCGAGGAGCCAACTCACTATTCTGTACCGGATTTACTCCGGTCGTGGAGGTTTTGTTCTTAGGGCCTCAATCTATCTACTCCAGTGGAGGTTAGTCGCCCGCTAGAGAGTCAGATTGAGAGGGTTTGAAGACCTTTAGTCGAGACTTCAGGCTGTTTAAGAACCTTCCGCAGTATAACTGTCATAGAAACTGAACTTGGTAATTACAATCCGGCTTAACTGCAGTCTAGGGGGAACCATATCCGGGTGACCTCTTTAACCTGAATACGACAGTTTGCTTGCTTTGTTTGTTTGATAGTTTAGACTTGCATTCCAGTTTCATTGCTAGATAACAAGAATTCACTGAGTAGTCATCAAATCTAGGACCCGGTTTGATAATTAAACCTAAACCCGGTATACTACGCTTTAGGAAGTGGTTCCACTTGGCCAATTCCTAGGGTGACAGTAGAAGTGAGTCAGTACACGAGCCTGTCGTGTACCCCTCTATGCCTCTCGTTTTGCATGACTCCCCTCTGACGCCTTCGCCGCCACTCCCTTCAACCTCACCTCCATCTAAAATGCTCAAGGAGGAGTGGCGGCCGAAGCCGCAGGTGGCTAAGCTTGCTCAGAAGAAAGGTGGAGACCACTATGAGCTGGTCCCACCTCCTGCACCACGACCACCGTGGCCATCCGAGTACTCACTCGCCTGCATCTTGCCGGATGGCCAGATCGAGCTGACCAATGCTGGTGGTCGCACCCGTCGGGTGCATGGCCGCAATCTGAAGCTATACCTCAAGAGCGATGTGGATCCGCTCTTGGAGGCACCTGTTCTTGCACCCCTCTGAGTATCCACCATGGGCGTCCAGCTAAAAGACGGTAAAGAAGCGCTTGTGGGGAGGCAACCCCACCACGGTTTACATTTATTTCTATTGTTTTGGGTGGGATTGTAAACGGGTTTGGTTTTGGTTTGTTTTCTTTTGTTTTGGATGATGTACTATTGGGCTGACCATTGGACCTAACGTATTTTGTTTGAGTTCTTCTGTTCCCTTTAGCTGTGCTTTGTTCCTGACTGGTCCCCTCTCCAGTCCGCTTCACTCAGACTGGTCCGCTTCCAGTCTCATGCAGTCCATGCACACCGGTAACATCGTTCCCCTTATCCTTCCCTCTTCTCCATTGAGGGAAATGTCGATCTTAAGTGTGGGGGATGTTTCTCTTTTGACTGCATTAGATTTGTTTGTGTGCTTGGAGCCTAATCCACTGTCCAAATTTTTAAAATTTGAGGTCTCCAAGTATGTGTTTCCTTGCAAATTGCTTGCTCAGTATGCTTTGAATTGACCGTCTCTATAGTAATGTGTAACCTAGGGAGGTAGTGTAGCAGTATGGAGGATGTTGAAGTATAAGATTTTTCCTATCTAGCCCTCTGCTGTGCCAGTTGATTTTGTGAATTAGTGGAGTTAAGACCGTTGAATTCATGTGATAATGGTGACTCTATTTGGATTGTGTTATGGACTCGTGTATCGAACAGGGTGCTCATGTGAAAAATGAAATGCAGTTGGTCCTCCATGTCAAAATCATTAAATCTTAAACATGGGGTAATCCCAACGTGTGTGGCACCGTTCATTGCACAAAATCGGGTTTTGGAAGAGATTTTAGTGATCCTTAGTGGGGTACTCCTACAAGGTGAAGCTAAGCTGTCTCTAGTACAAGTAAAACTTCCACCCGTTGAACGGTTTGCCTACTCGAGGGTGTGTTTTTAAGGGCACGGATAGAGCATTCGACCCCCTTAATTTCATTGACCCTCCACTCGAGTTGAGGAAAAGGAGTTAAAAGAAGTACTCTGGCGAGCGCCAGATGTACAGAAATTTCTCTTGCTCGACTAATAAGGGTCGACCGTGCAAAAGACTGCAATTAGAACCCCGCCAAATGAAAGAAAATGGAAAAAATGTGTAAAGGAAATTGAGAAAAAGGGGTTCCAACGGTGAAAGGAAGTGAAAGAGCACCCCGGTACCACGAGTCCTTGGTTGTGAATGGTGTGAGTCCCTTTATCCATGAACTGACTGTCTTACTTCCACTTCTTCTCATGATCCTAGTTTGAGTCTAGTACTCGCATTGAGAGAGATAGGGAACGTCTTAGAAGACCAGTTGACCTCGTAAGCTGATATATGATCTAGAAAATCCTCTACCGACGATCGGGGTTGTTTGCTGCTATAGAGGTCTGGAGAGTTGCATTGGTTTGAGTTAGGTTTGCTTGGGGACAAGCAAACGGTTAAGTGTGGGGGAGTTTGATAGACCATTGATTACACATGTTTTTACCCCTATTCTTGAGTCGTTTGAGATGTCGATTGTCGCGTTTTAGGCCGATTTCACGCTAGGTTGTTCTTGTTTGGGATATTTCAGGTCCTAGTACGTGAATGAAGGCTTGGGAACGAGTTCGAGGTCGATTGGACGAAGATTGGACATTTGGTGAGAAGCTGATCGAGCCACACGGGCACGCCTAAAAACCTACACGGCCGTGTGACATCAAATTGCACGGGCAAAATCACACGGGCCGTGTAGGGGACCCCTTGTGGTCGTGTGGAAATTCCAGGGAACTCACACCGGCATCTTGGAAATCCAGACGGCCGTGTGGGTCTGGCCGTGTAGGAAGCCTGAAGTCACTTAACGAAACGCCGCATTGTGCAACTCACACGGGCAGCTGGGGAAGTCACACGGTCGTGTGGCCTGGCTGTGTGACGCGGGAATTTCTGGGTTTTAACCCAATTTCCAGCCAAAGAAGGGGGGTTCCGAGTTTCAAAGTGAAAAAGCGATACCTAGAGAGAGAAAGTGACGAACCTGACTCTCAAGTGTCATAGATCGATCTCCATCACCATTGGAGCCCGACTTGAGCTTGGAGAAGACCTGATTGAGTGCCAGAAGCAGATTATCATCCTTCACAGTATAGTTTCTGCATATGAGCTAGATTTTCCATCTCTCTCTATGGAGTAACTTTCTTATTCACCTGGGTATGAAGAACCCTAGATTTGTATGTTAGGTCTGATTGTATGAACCCAAGTACAGATTCATTGATATGATTATGTTCAATTGAGGTTTGATTTGTTGAATGGCATGAATCCTGATCAAATTCCTGTTGTTTCTGCTTTAACCTAGAAAGAGAATATCTGCCTAGGTTGATAGAGCACCCTTGATTGAAGGTAGTGGATTGACGACTTTAGTCGAGAAGTCAATTCACTATTCTGTACCGAATTCACTTCGGTAGTGGAGGTTTGGTTCGTTAGGGCCTCATTCTGTTTACTCCGGTGGAGGTTAGTCGCCCTCTGGAGACTCGGATTGAGAGGGTCTGGAGACCTTTAGTCGAGACTTCAGACTGTTTAAGAACCTCCTACAGTATAACTATCATTGAACTTGAACTTGGTAAATTACACTCCGGCTTAACTGCAGTCTAGTGGGAACCATATCCGGGTGACCTCTCTCGACTTGAAAACAACCTTTTTACTTGTTTTGCTTGTTTGCTTATTTTTGGACCTTCACTAAAAGTTCACTGCTAAATAATAACTCACGGAGTAGTCATCACATATAGGACCCGGGTTGACATTAAAACCCAAACCCGCTATACTACGCTTTAGGAGGTGGTTACACTTGGCCATTTTCTACAGTGACAGTAGGAGCGAGTCAAACAGCGTCCTCATTGGACCAAACAAGGAGTATGGAGAATGTAGAACGAACTTACTACATTGCCAAAATTCATGCAAATCGGCTAGTTTCTTTTGACGATTGGTTTTTCGAACAACGAAAAAAGTGTAAAATGGAGAGAGAAAGTGTGCCACTCCTCCTATACGGCATAACCTAAGAGGTTCAGCTAAGTGGCTCTCTTGAGGTAATCCAACTCATGAATGAGTGAAGAACCTTCAATGCTAGGAAACATGCTAAAACCAAGGCCATAGTGGCATTGAAATCGTGATGTCATAAGCAACAGACACTTATATGACTAATAATTGAGTCTCTTCATTATCACGTAAGTGTGAAAATCACAATGAATCGTCATGCAATAGTGTACGAAGGCGCAATGGAGACACCCTCACTCCCCCTTAAGAAGAAAAGTGATTGCCAAGGGCTTACCAAGGCACCGATCATGTATCATCATGAGGCGGTCTTGCATAGAGTGTCATTAGATGAATACCAATTGTTCAACCCACACTTTAGTTCTTTCCATGCCAAAGATACGTAGGATCTTAGACATGGGAATCAAAACCAATATTGAGCTAGACATTCATGCATGCTTGTTATGTTTCATGGCAGAAGTAGAGGCCACCCTACCTCGATCCAGGTACACAAACCAAACATCTACTCCACCAAGCAACTATTCATCGTTCACATCCTCCAATCGCAACTCCATCACAACGCATACAAATGAAAGCAAGCTCTAAAGATATAACAAGGGAAGAATAAGAGCTAAACCCTCAAAAGTATACGTCGAATGGACATATGAAGCTCAAAGGTCCGAAATGCAGGAAAACACATGGAACCACTCATGCATTCACAAGGATTAGAATGAAGGACATTAGGAGAAGAGGACACAAAGAAGAGTGATACGAGGTGGTTCGCAAGGGTAAAAATCCGACAATGGTTGTAGAGTAATAAAACGAAGGCTTTGCAATGGTCGACATAGGACGATAATAGGCAAGCATTCGTGATCACATATGGAGGTAAATGAAAGGAGGATGAAAAAATGGTGTAGCAAAACGTTCCCCACATTAAAATCCAACATTAAGACGAGTATGGTTTAAGGTTGGCGGGTATGGTTTTGCTATAAGACTACTTCCACTCCTAAAAGACAACAACCACTCATTATTTTGAAGTGCATATCGATATGGTATGAGGTCTTAGGATTACCTTCACTCACGGAAGTAGTTAATGGTACCATTTTTTCCCTAGCATGGAATTCTAACTCCTTTTTCATGTCAAATGGAAGGGTCGAGTCGACACCTTCCCCATAGTCGGGCATAGGAGCCTCCAATGAGTCACAATCTGATTCTACAAAGGTAGATCTTGATTGTTTATCATATTCTTCCTACTTGGCTTCTGGATTAATCAATTGTACAATGTGCTCGACATTGTCGATTCTCATTGCAAGTTGATGTTTATGAACGTCAATCAAAGAAACGAAAATGGCTAAGAAAGGCCTCCAAAATATGATAGAGTAATATGTATCTTTATGTATGTACTACGAAATCGAGAGAGAACAAGAAGAGTACTATCCTGACCTTGAAATCCCTTGCCATGCCTAATGGTCAGCAAATTGAACTGTCGGCCAAAGAAATGGTCCTATTTGTGCTCTTTGACTTGCATATGCCAAGCGACCTAAAGATATTGAAGGTCATAACATTAATACTAGACCATAGATCAATAAGTGTTTTCATCTCGTGAAGATCATTCAGAACATATGGGATTACGATTGACTCGGATCGGGCAACGTTCGTAGTACCAAGAGTTGCATGTGAGAAGGTATGTTTCCCAATGTGAGCTTGCGAGATAACTCACGATCATACTCAATAAGTTTCCTAATTATTCGTAAGGGCCCAGACATCCCTATAAGAGCTTCCAACAATGTTACTATAGCTTCTTTCCCTCCTAAAGCAGTGATAAATCCATGAAGACCCAGAGTCATCTATAGGAGGACTAAAAAAGGTGCACCGTCCAACAAAATGGGCAGCATTCTGGTCACTAAGGTCACAATTTTCCTATTATTATGACTAGTGCTCGTATAAACCTCTGTGGCTAACTTGAACTCATCATAAAAATGTTCGTAACTATGGTGAGGAGGTGTTATTCCCTAGTAGATAGAGAATTACTTGTCCTTAGGAGGCGTGAAATTCCTCTCCATCTTCTTTTTGTGAAGAAGGTTGTTAGGAGTGTCTTCACGGGTTACGAGTGCCTCCAAATGCTTTTCCCCCCAAAATAGGATTTGGAAGATCGTAGTAACTAGTAAGTAGAGAATACATTTTAAGCATGGGTGAAATCCACCTCTCGTTTCCATTATCATATCTCGTAGGTACAAATGATTTTAGATTCTCCTTCCGCGGCACAAAGGACTCAAGAATTTTCAAATACCTGGCTTTGAGAGTCTTTTCTGGAAGCCTAAAAGCCAGCGCTCTTGGTGCCTTTTTAGCCCAAAAGGGGCGAATGTGGCACCATTTCCAACCCAATGGGAAACGAACACCTTAGCTTACAGCTTCGCATCCTCTAAATTCCTAGCCCTTTCCATGCTCATGACATGTGCAGAATAATATGATTCAGCCTCAAGCGCCTTAACCTCTTCTTTAGGATTGTTCACCATATTGTCTGAAAGAGATCTGGCCATTTCTTGGGTCTTTTGAAGCTCTATAAGGGAAGCTAACTCACGCTTCATGTTCTTAAGAATCACCTCGTGAACTCAAATGTATGCATGTAGCTCGTCAACGGTTAAGCATTCCAAGGAATCAAAACGTGTGTTATTCTCTTTTGACAGGCGGCGTCTATCAAATTCTAGTGGTGATTCGATTTCGTTACCCAATTTGGATTGGGTAGAGCCTTACCATCCCAATGTGTGTCATGAAGATACATCGCATAGGTTGATGTTATCTTTAGGTATTCGACATGATTTGGCTTCCTGTAAGAGGCCATTGTCTCGTGGGTAGTTGGCTGTAAGCTTGATAATCGCTCGAAGTACGATTCTAGAAGCTTATATAGGCATTAGGAGGATATGAAGGTTGCAATTTCTGGTACCAATAGCTAGGGCTATTGAAATCGCGAGCTTGGTAGCAAGTGCTCACAAAGTTGACCTTCTTGATTAAAGGATTTCCTATAACCCCGCAATTGTTCTCATTACGACTATCCATTTCCCCATCGCTCGCAAACAAAGAGTTGTGTAGCAAGGGTGTTTCGACTCATCTTGAGTGCTTGCACCTCCTTAGCAATAGTAGCGATTCCCTCAAATATGTTGGAGAGTGAGTCATCTAATCCTTGTACCATTTTTACTATTGTAGAAGCAGTCCTCCTCGACCAGTTTTGAGACTTTGCAGTCATTGACGCATAATGCTCGATAGCACGGGGAGCGTTCATTTGAGATACGTCACCTTCGCTAGCTTGATTCGCCAAAATTGTGTTGTTTAGGTCGAGGGCCTTGCCAAAGATGTCGGCCCCTTGTTCTTGTGCAAACCCATGATGAGGGCAAGAACGAAAGAACCTTTGATAGCACACCCACATTTCTTACAACAACTCGTGAGGTCGTTGCTTAAATTGAGCAATTTAGTCCCTTAGCTTGTCGGTTTTCTATGGAGGAAAGAATTCCACGATGAAAGCTTGTAGCAATGCCTCTCACGTACGTACTGATCCTTGTGTTTGGCAATATAGATAGCTCTTCGCCTTTTCCCAAGGAGAGAACGGAAAGAGACGTAGCCGTATTGTGCGGGCTCCATACCTAGCTACCGTGAGATATCATATATCTCCATAAATGTTTTTATATGTTCGACTGGATTCTCATTATCACGACCCTCAAAACATCCAACATTCTGGACCATATGGATCATTGAAGTACTCAGGTCAAAGTTTGGTACATTGATATGAGGTAGGAAGAGGTAGGAACTGATGTTCACAGCCTGAGGCCTTGTGTACTCATAGAGAGTTCATTCGGCAATACCTCTAGGTGATGGGGATTCAGAGGGAGAGAAATTGATCTTGACTTTTGAAACTTTTTCAAATAGAGGGTTGGAGTGAAGAGCAGTAAGCAATGCCTCTCACGTACGTACTGATCCTTGTGTTTGGCAATATAGATAGCTCTTCGCCTTTTCCCAAGGAGAGAAAGGAAAGAGACGTAGCCGTATTGTGCGGGCTCCATACCTAGCTACCGTGAGATATCCTATATCTCCATAAATGTTTTTATATGTTTGACTGGATTCTCATTATCACGACCCTCAAAACATCCAACATTCTGGACCATATGGATCATTGAAGTACTCAAGTCAAAGTTTGGTACATTGATATGAGGTAGGAAGATATAAGAACTGATGTTCACAGCCTGAGGCCTTGTGTACTCATAGAGAGTTCAGTCGGCAATACCTCTAGGTGATGGGGATTCAGAGGGAGAGAAATTGATCTTGACTTTTGAACCTTTTTCAAATAGAGGGTTGGAGTGAAGAGCAGTAAGCAACTTCTTCTTTCCCCTTTCTCTTTCTTGGAGGTGGTGTCCTCTGATTTGATGAATCAGAAGTACCACTACTATACTCATGACCTTGGACAACACTTTGTTGTTTAAGATTTTTGATTTTAGCCCTAGTTCTTGAAGGGCTCATGACCACGAAAGAGGTCAAGTTCTAGAAACAGAACGACCCCCTCAAAAATGGACCCTACATGCGACAGAATTCGAAGGATTTTAGTCACTCCGACTGTCATTTTTGGGATCAATGTACCTGATACCTGGAATCCAACCACACACACACACACGACAAAAAAGAAAAAAATTTAAAATTTAAAAATTAAATAGAAAAACGATATACACGTGAAGGCAGAATTGGACCTCCGACCTCTTTATAGAGGAAAAATTATGCACCGCCCATCGTTCTGCCTGCTTAAATTCACTCGAAATAAAAAAAGATTTACACCAACATAAAGGGATTTAGCAGCTTACCTTCTTCCATTTCCTAAATTTGCGAGATGTCCCCAGCAACGGTGCCAAGATTGGATGCGTTATAGAACATACCCAATTTACCTAGCCCTGAGGCCATATCGTATTCCCTTAGGGCTTGTCGCAGTATTCATACTTCAGAAGCGAGGTACGGGTCTATTGAATGAGAGAGTGATTTAGGAGGTTGAAGTGCCTCTGATTTTGCAAAACATAAGAGTTCAAAAAGTGCAAAAAAGTAAATATATGCTAACCAGACGAGTGAGAGATCATAGAAGAAATTTGTTGCATAGGCAAGCGCCCCAAGGTCTCCTAACCATGCTTCCCTCAATGATTGGTAGTATACGATCTTTTTTAATTTCTTATTTGGTTAGATCCCAACTTTTGTCGAAGCATTTACCCGAACTAATCAGCAACAAGGACCCTTCAAATTTCTACTTTGAGGAGTTATCTCGTTCGATCGAATGACGTTCGATCAAAAATAGGACTGCAATTTCTAGTCTCATTTCAGTAACTTGGATTTCAATCCTTGCACCTCTAAGGAGTGCATGGTCGACTAAGCTCTCATTCGAATATAAATATAACAAAATAGAGGAAATCAAACATCAACACATATGAATAAACACAATGGTATTAAACTAAACATCGAGTTTTACATGGTTTGAACCCCTAGGGTTCACATACCTGCGCAACTTAGGAACTTAGCTAGTCATGGGAAGGAGTTCCTGGGTGTTGATCGATTGAAACAAAGACCCCAGAAGCCCACACAAAACATAACCGGCAATAGAAAAAAAGGGGCATAGGCTGCCGTTTCTGACGTTGTTGCTCTATCGGCAGAGTAACAACCCTTCATTGACCTTCCATCTCCTCCTCACGAGTTCTACCTATAGAGCTCTATTTATAGCCCTTAGGTCTCGGGGCAGGTCGGGGCGCACGGGTTAGGTTAGGAATTGCCATCACTAACCCCTATTAAATGCATCACCTATTGAAATTCTATGAATATTTTTTAGATTATCACATGTGAATAGGAATACATAGTTTTATGTAGGTTGATTGCCAAGAATTTGATGCAGAATGATAGTGATGATTTGTAATCGGATGATACTTACAGTCTCAATTCCAAAGGTTGTTACCTTTATCAGCCAAATCTCGTAACTTTCTCTCCCGAGAAATATCGCATATTCCCTATGGGAGAATATGTGTTATCCTAGTGTGTTGGTGACCCTACATCTCACTTTATATAATAGTTCACCAAGAGTGTTTATAAAACCTAACTTTCTCTCACGTAAAACCTATAGTGTATACTTATGTGCCAAACTCTGGAGTAGTTTGTTTTTTTTAGGAAAACGTACAAACTTCACCAGTGACCTTCCTTACAATCTAATCACATGTGCAAATGGCCATGATACCAAAACACAAAAATTAAGACAGACCTAGTATATGAAAATGAAACAAAAATATGGTCCCTTGTTTAATTACCTCTAGGTCATAATGCACAAATCCTGTCATAACTAAGCCCCCATTGAACTAACTTATCTTTCATTGTAAATCTGTCCAAAACAATGAGCCAAACAATAAGTCTATGTTTCAGTCTATGAGGCTTCGCCCATACAACAACACTCTAATCAACACTAGGGGAAGGAGTTCCAATGGATTTTCATACAGTTTTAATAGAGAATCGAGTGAGAATTTTACCATCCTATGCCAAGTCTCTGACATTTGAGGATTCGATGCCAAATCCAAAAACCGAAAGACATCACAAACAATCTCCAAATAGAATGGCGCTTTACTTTGTAATTTTTTATCCACACCACCCACTAAGAAACTGTCTTTGTTAGTAGATTTCAAATATGCCTTATGACACAAGCTTTGTTCCAAGTTTTGAACTCTCGAATCTCAAGCCCACCTTCTGTTTTTGGTAGAACCACCTTTTCCAAGGATACCAATGCTCTTTTCTCTTCTCTGAGCCTCCCACACCCCCAAAGAAATATATTACAAATTCACTCAATCTTCTTCAGAGCCTTCTATGGAACAATAAACAAAAATCACCCAATACTACATAGCACTAGTAATCACAGACAATAAGTTGTAACCGTCTTGTAGAACTCAACATGTTAACCTGCCATGATATAATTCTTGTTGTGATCTTATCAACAAGAGATTTACAGTCACTAGGTGAAGGTTTACCTATGATAGGAGGCACCCCAAGATAACGAACATGCAATTCTGTAAGAGAGAAACTAGTGAGTACTCTTTTCATCCTCAAGTATCCCAAAATAGAAAAATTGACACTTCTCGATATTACACTTAAGACCAGAATCCTTATAAAAACTGTCTAGGAGCATCCTAATTCCTACAACTGCCCTAACAGATCCATTGGTGAAAATTTAAAGATCGTCCACAAAGCACAAATGAGAGATTTCTAAGGCTTTACATCTAGGATGGTATGGCACTTGATCTATAATGAAATCTTGATGCAACATGCAGGATAAATATTCCATTGCAATAGGCAACAAATATGGTGAAACAGGATCCCCTTGACAAATTTCTTCATATTGAAAAATATCCACATAGTCCACCATTGAAACAAACACTTAAAATATGAGTATTGACACAAGTTCAACCAATTAAATATATATATTGTTGGAAACCCCATAGCTAACAGAAGCTTAAACAAGAAATCCCATTAAAATTAATCGAAAGCTCATACCATATGTTCTTAGATTGGCCAAAAGTTTCAACTTCGGAAATGTAAATAATCTTCCATGGGTTTTGTCTTTGGAATATCCACTTGATGAATGTATGACTGAGCACAATTAATATTTTAACTTTCTAGCAATAGTAGACTATCAATTCAATGGCATGCTTGTCACTTAATTGAAAACACGTGTACTCTACACGGACCATTCAAATTGTGAACCATCTTGCTCACCATTACAGATCTTTAGCACTACCAAACAAATGTGAGTCTATTGTGTTATCTGACTATGATAAAACCTTATGTGGAATGAATGAGAGATTGACCTATCCTTGTTTACAACAAAGGGAGATTTTCGGCACAACACTCCATGCACTTAAAGCATCTCAAAAGAGTGAAAGATTTCACATTTAACGAAAAATCCAATAAATAAACATGATTTAGATCTTTATATTATTGGTTCTGATCCACTCCAACAACTTCCTTGTAGAGTACATAGATCTTTATATTATTGGTTCTGACCTCCTCTGTTAAGTAGTCGACCACTTTCCAAGAAAATGTTCTAATGCTTCCACCAAGTGATTGACCTGATGATACACTAACCTTCAAGTGGTCGACCTATTCCATCAAGTGGCCGACCACATTCCAAGAAAATGGTCTACCACTTCCACCAAGTGGTCGACCTGATGACGAACTTACCATCAAGTGGTCGACCTATTCCATTAAGTGGTTCCACCAAATTCCTATGCAGATTATAGGCCAAGACAAAAGAAACAACACCCTCTTTTAACACTTTTGGAATAAAATTCCACAAGAGCAAGATAATATGAGATTTATGAACTTTAAAGATGACACAAATGTATAACAATTATACTCTACTTTTTGAGCATCTTCATAACAACAATAATTGTCAAATAGAAAGTAGTTCTTAAAAAGATTATATAAGAAGTCATTATTAATGCTAGATATAATATTTTCTCGAATACAATAATATTCATTATTCATTTGGGCTTTCTCGAATACAACAATATTTTCTAAAATAGATAGAATTTTAAGAGGTCGACATTGTCCTCTTCTTACCTTCTAACTCTCAGTATGTGTTTTGCTAAATTGGATACATTTCTATGGAGAGAATCACTTCTCTTAAGAATAAGAACCTAGTAGTTTTGTTATTTTAAGGAGGCTGAGGCCAAGCAGGAAGAATTATATGGGAGAATAAGAGAGAGAGAGAGAGAGAGAGAGAGGGAGCAGAGATGACACGACGCTCAATGTAAATAACCACATTTCCGTCATGAATGTTTGTCAGGCCTGGAATAGCAAATTCATGCATACCATAGGGATATACGAGATTATACTTCAAGAGCAAGATTGTCAACCCACGGGTCGATCCGTGGTTTGACCCGAACCCATCCACAAAAACGGACGCCAGCAACCCACTAAAGCATCCAACCGGATTTGGTCAAACCCTATCAAACCAAGACGGTTTGACTGAGATAGTGGGTCAGCAAGCTGGCTTTCTGTGCAGCGTCATTTAAGATTTTGGCTCTTCTTCCCTACTCTTTGCTGTGGATTTGGGAGGCTAAAGACAGGAGCAAAATCGAAACCCTAAAATTCCATCTTGTTTTTTTCTCTCCGCCAGTCTGCCTATCGTCGTCTTAAACCCGGAACTACTTTGCCGGTGGATCGAAGGGTTTGAAGATCTACTGAATCCAACGACTCTATCTCCAAAGACCACTTCAATTAACGCGTTGTGACAGAGTAACAAAAGTGGTTGTGTAAGGTTGTTAAGGGGATTTGATTCGACTGTGTAAGGATCGTCGATGGGGATTTGATTCGGCTGTGTAAGGTTGTTAAGGGGTACAATTGAATTACACAACTTCAATTGGGAGACATGAAACAGAGGGTGGATCTTGGAATGAGCTGACAAAGCCAACCTATAAGCCACAGCTCCAATCTTCGCCACAATATGATAAGGACCAAAATATCAAGTGCCCAACTTGTTTCCATGACGTCCTACCACTTAACCTTGTCGATGCGGTTGAAGACGTAGGTATACCCAATCATGGACCTGGAAAACCCTTTCCGATCGTCTTCTATCAGCATATTGTTTCTGCTTGTTTTGCGCTTTTGAGATACTCTCCGTAAGATACTGCACTAGCACGTGTTTTTTCTTGACCCTTTCCTCCACAACACCCACTAGCGTAACAGATGAAGGGGATAATCCAAAATGCAAGGAAGGAAACCCATATAGGGCCTCAAATGGTGTCATCTACAAACTGAGATGATAATGAATGTTGTAGCACCACTCTGCCAATTTCAACCACTATGTCTAGTCCTGTGAAAAGTCATACAACAGAGATATTCCTCCAAACAACGATTCACCCGTTCTGTTTAACCATCAGTTTGGGGGTGATATGCAGTGGAGTAATGAATATTTGTGTGCTGCAATCTAAAGAACTCCGTCCAAACTTGACTAGTGAAGGTGGCATCCCTATCACAAACGATGGTGGAGGGTATACCATGATACTTGAACACACCATCAAAGAAAACATTGCTACTTCTGCAGCCGAGTATGGATGTTTTAGACTGAAAAAGTGAGCAACTTTAGTGAACTGATTTACTACTACCAGAATAACCTGCTTACCCCTGGAAACAGATAAGCCTTCGACGAAATCCATACATATATCACGTCAGGCTTGAGTGGGGATAGGTAGGGGCTGAAGCAAACCTAGTAAGGCTAATGTTTCCGATTTACAACACTGACACACATTGACTCACTTCTACTGTCACTCTAGGAATTGGCCAAGTGAAACCACTTCCTAAAGTGTAGTATAGCGGGTTTGGGTTTAAATGTCAACCCGGGTCCTAGATTTGATGACTACTCGGTGAATTCTTGTTATCTAGCAATGAAACTTTAATGCAAGTCTAAGCTAACAAACAAGCAAAGCAACTAAACGGTTGTATTCAGGTTAAGAGAGGTCACCCGGATATGGTTCCCCCTAGACTGCAGTTAAGCCGGATTGTAATTACCAAGTTCAGTTTCTATGATAGTTATACTGCGGAAGGTTCTTAAATAGCCTGAAGTCTCGACTAAAGGTCTTCAGACCCTCTCAATCTGAGTCTCTAGCGGGCGACTAACCTCCACCGGAGTAAACAGATTGAGGCCCTAACGAACAAAACCTCCACTACCGAAGTAAATTCGGTACAGAATAGTGAGTTGGCTCCTCGACTAAAGTCACCAACTCCCTACCTTCAATCAATGATGCTCTATCAACCTAGGCAGATATTCTCATTCTAGGTTAAAGCAGAAACAACATGAATTTGATCAGGATTCATGCCATTCAATCATTCAAACCTCAATTGAATATAATCAAATCATAGAATCAGTACTTGGGTTCATACAATCAAACCTAACATACAAATCTAGGGTTCTCCATACCCAGATGAATGGGAGAACTACTCCATGGAGAAAGAAGCAAAAGCAGAATCAGACGCGGAATTCATACTGTGAAGAATGGATTTCTGCTCCTGGACGTTGATCGGCACTTCTCCAAGCTCAAGCCAAGCTACAATGGTGATGAAGATCAAGCTAGGGCACTTGGGAACTCTTGCTCGTCGCTTTCTCTCTCTAGGAATCGCTCTCTAAAACTCGAATCCCCTTCTGTTTTGGCTGAAATCTGCTTAAAAGGGCATCACTGGGCAAAACACGGTCGAGGGCACGGCCGTGTTCTGCTCCAGCCCGCCCGTGTTTTGCCAAGGGTTAATTACACGGCCAGCCTGTTGGTGAAAACACGGGCGTGCTTTTGGTGGGCACGGCCGTGTTTTGTCTCAGTCCTGCCCATGTTTTGAGCTCGTGTTTGCCAAACTCAGATCAAGTCTCGGCAGTGAAAGCACGGTCTAGGAACACGACCGTGTTCTAATTTAGGCGTGCCCGTGTTTTGGCTCCAGCTCGACCGAATGACTTCCGAATATCCTGAAACTCGTGCTTAGCCTTTCCTTCGACGCCTGGGACCTGAAATATGACAAAGTAGCACAACCCGGCGTAAAATAGGCCAAAAATACACGACTATGCCCCTCAAACGGATAAGAACTAGGGGTGCAAATACGTGCAATTACATCGTTATCACACATCGCGATGAGAGGTCCAGGATACCACTGTCAATTTCATTCCCTTCTAGTAGAAATGGGCCTTGACTCTTTGGTAAGTGACCTGCGCCTCTGAATGGCCTCCAACAGGCAAGTGAAACAAATGAATCAAATTGAAATGCATTGAACCCGAGATTCCAACTACTACAGCACCTTTATAACGAAGAATGCCCGAAGAGAAGGACCAAAGAGAGGGTCTAGTAGAATTAACAGCAACAGCAGCTATCAAGTCTCCTACCTCACTATCCCCAGCATAAGTTTCTTCAATCTCAACCAACCATTCAGGTAAAATGGTGGTGAGTGCACTACAACAGCCTTCGACCCTGTCTTCCTCAAAGATACTTGACAAAGCATCAGTTGCCCCGTTGATCCTTCCCTTCCTGTATTTGATTTGGAAATCCAAACCCATAAGTTTCACCAACCCTTTCTTCTGAATAGCTGTGTGAACATTCTGCCCCAAAAGATACTTCAGGCTTTTGTGGTCTATAACGATGGTAAACGGTCGTCGCTCTATATAGTGGCACCAATGATCGACGTCCAGGAGGACCGCCAAATACTCCTTTTCATACGTACTCAATCCTTGGTTTCGCATACTCAAGGACTTGCTGAAATAGGCGAGAGGGAGACCTTTCTGGGACAATACAACACCTACACCAGTCCCACAAGCATCAGTTTCGAGTGTATAAGGAAGAGAATAGTTGAGTAAAGCCAAGACAGGAGCAGAACACATAGCCTGCTGAAGTTCAACAAAAGCAGCTTCGACAGAAAACCCCACTGAAAGCCATTTTTCTTCAACAAATCAGTCAATGGTCTGCTTATGGTACCATAGTTACGGATGAATTTCCTATACTAGCCTTTTAAGCCCAAAAACCTCGTAGTTGTTTAACATTCAGCGGTCTTGGCCAAGTCTTCACTGCTGAGATTTTGCTTGGATCAGTGGCCATACCGTCCTTGCTGAGAATATGCCCCAGGTATCCAACCTTTGGCTGGCCAAAAGCACATTTAGATTCCTTGGAAAACAGTTGATTATCGCGCAGAAGCTATAACGCAATACTCAAATGGTGCAAATGGGATTCCTCTGTTCTGCTGTAAACCAATATATCATTAAAAAAACGAGGATAAATTTCCTCAAGTACTTGCCTAATACGTGGTTCATGAGAGCCTGGAAGGTTGCTGGAGCGTTAGTGAGGCCAAACGGTATCACCCAGAATTCATAGTGACCCTGATGCATCCTGAAAGCTATTTTGTACTGATCATCCGGATGCATCCTAATTTGATGATAACCTGCCCTTAAGTCCAATTTAGAAAATATAACCGCCCATTCAATTCATACAATAGATCTTCTATATGGGAGATGGGAAAATTATCTTTAATAGTGGCTGCATTTAACTCCCTGTGATCTACACAAAATCTCCAAGTCCCATCCTTTTTGCCAATTAGCAATACTGGAGAAGCATAGGGGCTGTGGCTGGGTTGCATAAACTCTGAACGAAGCATTTTAGCCGCCAATTTCTCCTCAACGGCTTTCTGATGATGAGGAAAACGATAGGGACGGATATTTATGGGCTTAGTTTCAGGCAGGAGGGGAATGGTATGATCAAAACTTTGGGATAGAGGAAGGGAAGAAGGAGCAGCAAACATATCTGAATAAGAGGCTAGTAGGGGTTTCAGGAATGGGGGAATGGGACTAGGAACTGATGTGGCATCAATGGTAAACACAACCCCTGTCAAATAAGTTGAAGGCTTCTTAAGAAGCTGCTAGAAGGTACGTCCAGTAAGAATCTTACACTGACCCTCTTTAGAAAGACCCTGAAGACGTTGAGTGCCCCCTTTCCACTCAAATGATAGTTGCCTCTTCTTAAGGTCCATTTGAAACGGACTGATAGTATGAAATATATAAAGATCCCAATTTTCTAATCTTGATATTACGTATTAATATTTGATGGTTTGAAATGGGTGGAGTGATTCATAAGTTTTTTGTGATTAGTTTATTTTTTGTGATTAGGATTCATAAGTTTTTTTGCAAAAAAGTTATATTTCTTTCATGATAAATAGAATGCAAGGATCTGCAATGAAATTCTAGCTGGCAATTTTGTTAAATATTCTTTTTTTATACAAGAAAATCTATAATTTTTATTTAGCTTGGTAAAGTGTCATTACAATCCTTCATTAAAGCATGAAGGATAAAAATTGGGGGTCTCTCCATCTATATTTCAGACTCCTCCCACCTACACCTTATCCTTGCTATTTCGTGGGCAACAGAGTTGTCACCTCTCCCCATAAATCTCCACTTCACTTCACCCATCTCCTTTCGTAGCTCCTTAATTTCGGACAAAATCACTCCCAATTCAGTTTCCATCTCCTCCTCCTTCCCAAGTTTCTGGATTAAAGAAAGTAAATGGGATTCAATCAGAATCGGCTTCACCACGTGTGTTCGAGCCAAACGAAGAGCCCATAGAAAAGTCGGGGCTTCATCAAGTTCATGCTCCCAGTCGACCCTTGTCCTCCTCACCGTCGACAAGATGAAGCGGCCATCCTCTTCCCTGAGCACCATTCCAAATCCAGTGCCCCCCTTCTTTAGTTTTGCCAGCGTCGACATTCAATTTCAGCTACCCCTTGTCTGGTTTCTCCCATTTTGGCTTCCTGCCTGGGCATTCGCATCTGGGTTCCCTTGAGAGCAGCTGCGAAATTCCTCCAAGTACGCATGCAATCTGGTGATTACTTCCTCTAGCTTCTTGTTGTTGAACATATGATTGATGCGCTCTTTCCATAGAAACCATAGGGCCATCACTACCGCACATAACTCCTCATCCGAAACCTTCTCAATTAATTCACATAGCCACTCTTCACTTGATTTCTCCTCCCCTTCCACAAAGAACTTTCCCAGAGCACTTGGCCTCCATATCCATCCCGCCCAGTCACAGTCTCTTAGAATATGTTCTTGCATTTCCTGTAACCCACAAAATGGGCATTCATCACTTTCATCACGTATCCTCTTCATTAAATTCGCTCTTGTGGGCAAGATATTGCTACCCCAACGCCAAAGAAAAACTCTGACCTTTGGGGGTAGGTAGAGGTGCCACATACGCTTCCAATCCACAGGGATGTCTCTTTCCCCTTCATCTGCATTCCATCTTTTCCTCCACTCATGGTAACCTGATTTCACTGAATACTTGCCTAATTTGTCGCGACCCCAGACTTGGGTATCTGATTGGTACCTCCTGGGCAATGGTATCTTGACGATCCTTTCTCTGTCTTTAGGGTCGAAGTTAGATTGTAACACATTGCTTTTCCAACACCTTTCTGACTGATCAATTAAGTGTGAAACCTTTGCTTTTAATGCCAGAGAAGCCACCGGTGATTCGATCTTAAAGTTGGGGCTATTGGGTACCCATCTATCCCACCAAACTCGAACTTGATCCCCTGATCCTATTCTCCACCTTATACTTTGTATCTCATGAATCACACCTTGGGGAATTAGGAAGACAAACATAGCATAAGTACTTTGTGCTTGAGCGATAGACTTGATCAAAACCTCCTTAGCAGCATTTGACAGAATTTCGCTTTTCCACATCTTCACCTTCTTTCTTACTATCAGTTGTGTGAATACTGCCTTCTTTGATCTACCAATGATCGTTGGAAGTCCCAGATACTTGTCATGAATCTGGATAGCCTTCATCCCCAATATAGTAGCCATGGATTCTCTGTCCTCCTCCTTCACATTGCTGCTGAATAAGAGTTCTGATTTAAGTAGGTTAACCCTAGCGCCTCTTTCTCACCTTCATCCTTTCCTATTCCTCTCTTGCCAATTCAAATCTTCCGGCCGCTAAAGGTTTCTATTCTAACCCTGCTGCCATGCCTCTCTTTCTCCCTTCTCTTCTTGTCATGTTGTCCATGGCTACTCTCTCTCTCTCCTCTTTTTCCAGTGTCTGGGCTTGAAAACGCTCCGACCACCATCAAGGATAAATTCGATTACACAATCACTATCATCCACCTCAATCTAGAGATACTTGCTTAAAACCCCACCCTCTCGCTTTCTCATCAAGGAAAGAAACAAATATTACCTCAGATTTGTTCCACGACGGAAATTTTACTTCAACATACTTGTATGCGTATGAGTGGATCTTAAGGTTTGTTTCAATGATTTAGCTTGTGATTTATATTTTTAGGCTTGGATCTACGTGAGTTGTTAATGTAAGATCTATGTTTTAAAGGTTATGACCATTATGCTTCATCTTCTAGGCTTGTTACCGACCAAGCTACAACGGTGCTACAAAAAAAAAACATGAGTGGTGTAGTTCTTGGCGGGTCGGAGTCAGAAGGGTGAAATAGGTTTTGTGAGTAGATGGCGGTGTTAAAGACTACGTCCGCCTCTGAATAGACAAGAAATGAAATTCATTATGTTACTTCGGATGTAAATTTGCCCTTTTTCCTTGTATATTTTATGATTATCTTGAATCTTGATTATTGAATAAAAATATATTGTGTTTGTTATTAAAATATTTGGTGCGATTCATTTAGATGAAAATATGAACATTGATATAACAAATATATTCTTACCAAAATCTGGACGATAAATAAAAAAAAAACACATCGTAGTAAAAAATGGCATTGGTCACAAATATCTTAGTCAAAAAAGAAATCGTTGTATTTGAGGCGACATTCCATTGTCTCAAATTCCAAAAAAAATTGTCACAAAAAGTAATGTTGTTAGCTTTGTCTTTAATATCAAAATTCATTACTGACAGCCTTATTCATATTACATACAACACTCTGCCGTCGTAAATAGCCTATTCTGATGGCTTGTCACGGCTAAAGTATTAGTGACGCTCGTATTTGCGACAGAGAGCGACGACTGTATGTCTTCCCAAAAACACATTTGCCACGGATTTAGAACTTTTGTGACAAAATCCTATGGTCACAAATGACCATCTTTTTTTGTAGTGAACCTTGTTCAAGAGCCAGTTTGTTACTCTTTTTCCATCCCAATATATATGAGTGATGCTTACTCACTAATTTTGGCCTAGCAATGGGTGAAAGAGGAGTCACATAAGGATGCACATGTTCATGTATGTTATTAACGAGTTGAATTTCCAACTTGGAGTCGGATTCTATCTTAAGATTTTGACAACCTCTGCTCCAGGTCAGCTATAGGCCATGGAAGAATGCCCACAGCTCGGAAAGGTTGTTGTTGCTGACTTAATATTCGCCACAAAGCCATCAATACATCTCCCCGTACTGTCTCGAATACACCCTCCCGTTCGGCACGACCCAAGTTACCACAAGAAAATCCATCAATATTAAGGGTGAAGAAATCTGGAGGTGGAGCTTTCCATCCAATATCTGCCACAACTCGCGTGGCCAGCTGATTCCTGCTACAAGGGAGGAGTGTCGAGGCATGCCAAGCCTTGTTTCAGAGAAGAGTCTAATAGTTAAGTTGTATTTGATTAAAGCATACTTCTCAAACACATTTAAATCCCTCAATTAAATATTTAAAGTACGAAATTGTTACCAATATTTCAATCATCGTGAAACCATCAATCAATGATGGAAGTTATATGCTAAATTTATGTGCACTCTCTTATTGTATTAGATATACAAACAATGTTGCTCATAGGAAGACAATTTCATGCTAAAGTTGGGTGCTCCCTATCATATAATGCTCAATGAATGACATATAGGCCGAATTAACTAATATGACTAGGAACTTTGAGGCGTCACTTGAGAAATACATATGGAATGTCTATGACAAGTAAAATATATTATTTGAGATCTTGTTTTATGACATGTTTTGTATAATTTTCACATCTTTTTTGCTATAATGACTTGCAATTGCTTAATAAATTCTTCGAGGTGTGTTTAGTGGCTTCTATGAGTACTTTTATCCTTTTAATGGGCTTTGAGTAGTTTATATGTGTTCTCATACAAAATTATTTTATTGGACACCTAGTACGAGCTAGAGATATTAAGGTCCAGATGCTGGAAGTTAGAAACGAAGCTGGACACTATGTCCAGAAAATAACGCTCAATTGGTCTACCACAGCTCAAATTGGCATCTCGGATACCGACTCCAGAAGGAACAAATCAATCCCCATTTGCACGAATATTTCTTACTTGGAGGCTAAGCTAGATGTATTAGACAAATATGGCCAGAAGAATTTTCTTCATATCAAATCACTCAGAAAAGAGGCTTATATAGACCCTCTCGGCCACATTTGAGCATCAAGTCATACATGAGGTTACTCTAACGAAAGAACAACTCACTAGTTACAGAAAGTAACCAGCATGCTCAATGTAAGAATGGAGGCCAATATGGCGCCTAAGGTGCCATGTTTCCCTTTAGGACACCTATTTTAGGATCTTAGGTATCTCGTCGCTTCCATTGATGTACTCATTATATTCTGTCCCCATGAGTGCCTAGTTCATTAATTGTGTAGGTTGGCGAACACTAGCAATCTCCACCGTCCACGTCCATGGCATCACATTTTCGCAATTTTTGGCATCTTTCCCTCGTGACCAAGAGCGAACGGACATTGCCTTCCCATTCTCAGGCCCGTGTGAGGAACATGATGGTCTGATTCATTGCCTGAGCACCACATCCATCTTGCACTCCTCGTCTCAATGACAATTGGGTTGCCCCACATGTCAGGTACAAAAGAGAGCCAAGATCTCGTGACTCGCTTAAAGGCACGCTATCTCCTCCCCATAAAAGTCCATTAGGAGGAGAGGTGTTTGGGGGGCGGAAGGTAGTGAAAGATGATCATGATGCTACAAACCTATCTAAACCCCAAACACACCCTCAAATGACACTCCAGACTGAGAGAAAAGTCCTTCGACTGCTTAACCCAAACACTATGCCTGGTTGCCTCTCGCGTGAAAACCTTAATGCTGTCAAAATATTTTTCAAATTGCAGAACCTTTTGAAAAAAAATTTGGAGTCCAACATTTTAGAGGCTCACACACATGTCCTAACCTCCATAACAAACACTTTCACACAACTGAGAGAAAATCAAAGTAAAGCCACTCATTATCAAGAATTTTTGTAGCACCACACTATTCCCTATAATTCACACCATCACAATCATCAAACAATTCAAAACACACTGAGCAAGATCATGCTTGAGACAATTGTGATTGGAACCCCTAAAGTTTAAATTCCAATCAATAATATTCTAGATTCCAAAACACATCTCAATATATGCCATTCATCATCCATTCATGTACAAATTCTTGGAGCCCTCAAATTGTAAAAAAAAAAAAAATCATAAGGCTCCAAATCATACAAATCGGCCATTCACACTCATTAGTCACACGCAAAGAAAAATATATGTACACACCCCATACACTAAAGCACGGCATTGTCCTCAATGGAGGAAAGATGAGGGAAGAATAAAGTTATCGGGTTAGTTGTGAATAATGTTGGAGGGACAAGGAGGCTCGGTGAGATCCAAATGAGCAAGGCAACAGCCAAACATCACAAGCTCCCCAGAGGTTGTCTTATTTGAAAGGAAATGAAATGCAAACCGTACTGGTTGGGTTGCCTCCTAATAAGCCCTTCTTTAACGTTCTGAGTCGAATGGTGATTCTCAAGTCTCGGTCTATCCCAAAACCTCCTTGAAGTTGAGGTTATCTTCGATGATGTAGAGTAGCAAGTCATGAGCATTGAATGAGTCCATGATTGAGGGCTCGTGAACTTGAATAGTTTGGAGGCTCCACCTATGAGACCTCTTCTTCTTTTCTTCTTCTCCTTGCCCCATACCATGTAGGACATCATGGATTGACCACCATCGCATCCACCAAGAGAGATCGATGATGGTTTGGCCTTGACTAGGCAAAGAACCACAAACGGGTCCTTCTTGAGTAGCGCATCAAGGTCGGGTGGAAAGCTTTGGTAGCACTTGAAACTTGTGGAAGCTTCATCCACCATGAACTCGTCCTCATCTTGAAGACCATTTTCTTCTTAAACTTCATCCTCAACCTCTCTTCCGTCTTCCAAAATTCTTTCCTCCTCATGGAAACAATCAAGTTCTTCCTCTTCTTTTACGCTCACTTCCTCCTCCTCAACCTCTTCTCTCACCTTCCCATTGATGTCTTCAAGCACAGTTTGGAGGGAAATAGGCCATGAATGTTCATTGAAAGGATTATCTTGCTCCTCTACCTTCATAAATTTTTCTTCAAATTTGGTCTCGTGAAGGGAAAGTTATGAGAGTCTTTAACGAGACTCTCTTGATCATCCTCGCAGTGGGACTTCTCCGGGTGAGTTCCTCTTGCTCCACATAGTCTTCTTTGGTCTCCCTTTACACTTCTGATTCTTGTTCTATTTGCAAGAGGCGATGGCGTGCACAAGAATGCACAACATTCTCTTGTAGTGTCAAATCGGGTGGAGGGAGAGGTTGGAAGTACTTGTCGGAGCGTTTCTTACAAAGTTCTCATGGCTTGCCTCTACAACTTATTCTCCTTCAGATGTTAAGGGTTGATTGTGATCAAGTTTTGCACATGCTGGCTCAACAATCCCTCCTAGTGTATCCAAGTTTCGAATAATATCCTCCCATGTCCGTAGAAAGGATGAGTCTGTAGGGTCATCGATTGGAGGATCCACATTAGAGCTTCCTTCACAGGTGGCCACGCAAATTGCTCTACCTTGAGCTTCAATTCTCTCTTTGGATCCAATTGTCGAGTGCCACATAATCTTGAGAAAAGCCCATGAAAGCCTCCACGGCCATATCCAACTTGGATTTCACCTCGAGTCATGGAGGGAAATCTGCTTGGTATGGGGAAGCTTCTTGATATCCCATGAGTATGTTTGTTCTTCTTGGAAGGGAGGTTGATCATAGAACTTGGTTCGTTGGCTTCCACCCTTTTGATTGATTGTTCCATAAAGCTCTGGGGCAACCACGTTCTGGTGGCGGTGGATAAACCCCCCCCCCCCCCCCCACACACACACACTTAGATAAAATCCTAAGGATCCATGATTCAACTTACAAAAACAAAAACATAAAGAGGAAACCAAACAAACACAAACTACCCTCCAAGAGGAAGAGTGGGTCAACAAAACACAAAGGAAACACACAAACAAAAACAAAATGGTTAAAGTAGGTTTTGTCATATTATGTCTTCCTGAATTGTTTAAATGACAAAGTATTTTGTCACAATAGATAACAATAATCCCACGGGGAGATGACGAAAGGATATGTTCGTCATAATATAATGGTTTCAGTTTTGACAAAAGGCATGTTTTGTTATATTATGCCTTCCCGTGATTTTATCTATGGGCGGGAAAGGAAACTCAAATTGTCGCTCTCCCAGAAAACTTTTGACTATTGAAATTTTTTTAAGTGCCCGGTGGCCCGCCTTTTAATTTTTTGGGGTTTTCTTTTATTTTTCTTCCTGTGTGATTTCGTTTCCATTTTGCTCTCCTTCCCTTCGCTGCAATTTCTGGAGGCTGCAGCAGACAAAAGACGAAGTTTTAACCATATGGCCAAAATCAATCTCGCTCCTTCAATTCTCTCCGCTAGTCCGCCCCTCGTCGTCGTCTCTTGTAGCTAGTTCGACAGATCATCAAAGTCGTTCTCCTTGCAATCGACGGGCGCACTCCAGGTCATCGGACAGAGTAGCCTCCCTCTGCCTCCATCTTTGGCTCGAGTTTGTTCATCGTCTGGGAGAAATCAAGAACATGGAAATCAAGTCTCCCACAACCTCTGGTCACCGTCGCAGGTTGCGAGAAGCCCAACAACCGTCAGAGGCACACATGATTTCCCTCTCTCTCCTCCCTCATGGCGGCAGATCTACTCACCAGCAGAGCTGGGTTTTGGGGTTATGTTTCGTGTTGTGGTTGTCGTTGTTATTCTTATGTTTGGGTTTCTGAATTCACCCTTAATATTTAGTCTAATTCGTGGAGAGAGACGATTCATCTTCTTCGTGTAAGCATTTGATGTTGCTATTTCGCTTATCATCGCAGAAGGTCGCTTTACCGAAACTACTTTTCTCGCCACCAACTACTCACCGCCGGGCTTCCCTCAAACGCTGTCGCCAGCCAGTCCCGTCATTGGACCTCCCACTCAATCCGCCGGTCCGACTCAATTTCTTGGTAGTTCGAAAATCGCAGCTCTGGACCTACGTCGTTCTTCACTCTTACCTAGTCCTCTACGGCCTACTCCTAATCAATTGATTCAGGTAATTTAATAAGGTTAGAAGCATCCTTGTACAATAGAGAGATGTTGAGTTTTCTTTCAAAACATGTTCGTTGCTGCAAGGGATTTTCTGGTTTTTCAGATTTCAATATTGTCTTTTATCTTGAGTTCTAATCTTGTGTTTCCTTTGAGCAGTAGCATCGATCTGGGTACATTTTCTTAATTGTCGTGGCTTTTGGGGTTTTCCCATTTTGACAGAAGGAATTGGTGTCCTATTCTCACGTTCTTTCACTATAATTCCTTATAGCCACCGGTTCGATTCTTTTCATTTTGGTAACGGGAGATTTTGATGCAGGTGAAGAATGCAATGACAATGACTGAGAAAATCTTGGCTAGGGCTTCTGAGAAGACCCATTTGAGTCCCGGTGAAAATGTTTGGGTAGGCATTGATATCTTGATGACTCATGATGTTTGTGGCCCTGGTTCTATTTATATCTTCAAGAAAGAGTTTGGGCAGAATGCCAAGGTTTGCGTTGTCTCAATTTTCAATTTGATGTAGGTTTTCTCTACGGATTGTATGAACATATAAGAGACAGCAACAGTGACAGCAATAGGCCAGCATTGTCGAGGGCTTCAGAATTCCCAGATTAGTTTGTTTAGGACACCAAAAATAGTTAGATGTGTAACTAGTGTTTGTTTCATCGGAGTTTCATGCTACAAGAATATTAATTTTTTCAACTATATATTATTCAATGTATTGATGAATAAATCATATTGGTCACAATATGCAGGTATGACAAGATACGTTCCTCCTAATATAAAGTTATGACAAAATATATTCGTCACACCATACATTTATGACAAAATTTGTTCGTCACAATTATGTGATGTCAAAATATAGTGGTGTAATATGACGAACGATTCTGTCAAAATAAGCAAATTATGACAAAATTAATGACAAACTAAGTGACAACCTTGTTTTAAATTTTTGTCACATTTGACCTATCTTGACGGCGATAAAATGACAAACCTTTGTGACAACACCTGTTGTCATATTATACCTAATATGACTAAAAGTGTATCTAATATGATAAAATTTCCTCGTCATAATAGGCCGAATTTGTTTTAGTGATTTGTTCGAGACCTGAAACTCTATAATAGGGGATGCCTTCCCCCATTCAAGAAAACTTATTTTCATTGAAATTTTAGTTTCTTTGAGAGAGAAAGTAAAGAGATAAGCTGAAGGAAAGAGAAGAAGATAAGGAGGAGAATGAGGAGCTAGAAGGAAGGAGCATTTTCCCCATTAAGCCTTCTCCATTTTCTGCAATGTTTCTTATTCCCTCCTTTATGGAGTAGTCCTCTAAGGTACTAGGGGTTAAAACCCACAAATTCTAGATTAGGTTTATAATCTAGATGTATGAATTATGTTAGGATTTATTAATGGAAAAGTTTTTCTAGTGATTTTATTGCTTTATTTATGCTTGATTATGCTTGGGTAGTCGCCATAGTCTTCCCTATTAGCCTGCAACTAAGACATTGCTAGGCCAGAGTTTTAGGGTTAGAATGGGTAGCAACAACTAGAATATCAAGGGTAGATGAATGTTTTTAGGGTTTTGTAGTGGAAGAGGCAACAATACCCTTTCTACAACAACGCCTTCCTAGACAAATCTTAAAGGAAATGCAAACGTGTATCGATCCGTCTCTTTAGCATGTACGATATGTAGAACCTATTGAAATGAGCTAAATTCGTAATGCCCTAGATACGTGAGCCTTTACTGATATGACAGTGGGTCTTCGGGGGTGTACTCAGCGGTATGGGATAAGGACGAAGGCCCACAAGATTAGAAGCTCAAGCACTATATCGATAAACCTAACATAGTTAGTCATTTGCATGTTACACCTAAGATAGGGCGAGGGAGTTACCCAAAAGTACTTGTTTTTATCTCTGCTTCTACCTCTACCAGTAGTTCAACTTAAACCTCCAAATAAACTTTGAAAATCAATAAGTTAGATAACAATAGAGCGGAAGTAAGCTAGGGTACTGAAACCTGTGGAATACGACCTTGGTCATCACTATAGGTGTCAAAACATAGCCCGACCCGATTAACCCGCCCGATCAACCCAACCCGCAACTCGACCGCAACCCGAATTGACTAAAAGTCAACAACCCGTAACCCGCCCGACCCGCAACCCGATTGACCCGCAACCCAACTAACCGGCAACCCGACTAACCCGCAACCCGATTAACCCAAACCCGAGTGACCCGCAACCCGATTGACCCGAACCCGACGAACCCGGAACCCGACCGACTCAACCCGAATTTCATCTAATCCACTTGAATAATTATAAAAATATACAATACATAGTTTTTCAAAATAAAGTTTTTCATTCTAAACTTAAGTAAAATTATTTTTTCATTTCGTATAAGAAATTTTAAAAATATCAAACTCACTTGATATTACGTATTTTAAGAAAATTACAAAAATTGAAACATGAAGGTCACTTGAGATCATGAAAATATTAATATAATATATAAATTAAAATTTTGGTTAGTTTAACTATTCAATAAAATTATCAATAAATATAAATAAATTAAAATAATGTATTTGGTAAATTGATGTTTTTAAAAGAAGAGGGAAATTTTGATGTATTCAAGTTTTTGGGAAGAGAAAGAAGAGGGAAATTTGGTTCTTTGAATTTTTTAGAAAAGAAACAAGTGGGAATTTTGGTGGTTTTGATATGTGGGAAGAGAAAGAAGTGGGAAAGTTTGATTCTTTTGATTATGAAAGAGAAATAAGGAGGGAAACTTTTGACTTTTCAACTTTTTGTAGAAGGAAAGAAGAGAGTAATTTGGTTCTTTCAATTTTATGGAAGAGAAAGAGGATGGAAAATTGAGTTTTTCTAATGTATGGAAGGAGAAAGAAGGAGGAAAAATTTTAGTATTTTTGTGAAAAGAAAGAAGGAAACAAATTTGGTGTTTTCAATTTTTTGGTTTTTCATAATTTTAGCTTTTGAAATATGAATCTTTAACTTTTATATGGAGGGCATATGACTAGTTAAAATTATTCTTATATGCTTTGAAGGCTAATATGTATATATGTATGTAATTTTTTATGGGCTAATAAATAAATTAACCATTAGTTACAACAATTTATACTAAACTTGATAAGTAATCTTTGACGGTTCGTTCTTTAGGATATAAAGTATATGGTTAGGGTATAAGGTATAAGGTACATATGGTTTAGGGTGTATATGGTTAGGGTATAAGATATTGATGGTTTTGACGGTTCTAAGTTTTTTATTAACATATGTTCACTTGAAGTCATTTGAAGTCTTTAACGGTAGGAGATCCCTTTTTAATTTATGTTTATGGTACGTGGTTAGGGTACAAGGTATGTGGTGTAAAGTATAAGATATATGGTTAGGGTATAAAAATTAGCAAATATCACTTTTTATCTATGTTTTGAAAATCAAAGTATGAATTTCACTTTTAAATTAACTATACTAGCAAAATCACAACTCAAGGACATATGATTAGGGTATAGGTTATGTGGTTAGTGTATAATGTATTGATGGTTTAGGGTATACAATCAACAACATATACTAACTTAATATTGTTGATTGAGGGTAAAGCTAAGTGTATAGGATATATGCTATTGAGTAAGTTATGATTGAAGTCACAATAATTTTACTAAATTTGATAGCTAATCTTTAATGGTTCAATTTTTAGGATAATTCGAACAATTTTACAAATAACTCATTTGGCAACAGTTTACTAAAGTTATTTGGGCAATGAGTTATTTTGAAATAACTCCTTTTATCACTATGCTTTTGCCAAATACCACACGCCAAATACCAGATTTGCATGGTTATACTAAACGAGATACTTTAATCCAATTACTACTGAATTAATATTAAAATACCAAATAAACAATTAACGGTGTCTTTTGGTTGCAAATATTGATATCACCATTACTGTTAGCTATAATACTTTACCAATTATGATTAATTACATAACAAGTTTGCAAGTCATACAAATTGATTTAACATTTTGACTAGTTTTTTCAAAAAAATAAAGTATATAAATACGAGGTAGAAATAAATTGGTTAAAAAGTTGAGAAAATATTTTAAATTAGTGTAATACAATGTGTAAGTTGGTAATGAGTAATGAGTTAAGTTACTTGATGCGCTGGCCCGAACAACCCGAAACCCGACCCGCCCGCAACCCGCCCGACCCAAAACCCGATGAACCCGCAACCCGATTTGCCCGCAACCCAATTGAATCCGAACCCGATGAACCCGCAACCCGACTAACCCGCAACCCGTTTGAACCCAAACCCGATTGAACCCAGCCCGAACCCGCCCGAACCCGCCCGATTGACACCTATAGTCATCACTATATAGCAACGCCATCTCGAGTTAAACTTGGCTCGAGATGGGGTAGATATTTAGACCATGCAAGAACGAGGATGATCAACCTTTTTGGCGCAGTTGCCGGGGAAACCTCGATAACTAGTCGAAAACCGTCAAGTTATTAGTTTAGCCTTTATTTTATTGCTTATATCTATATAGTATTAGTAGTTTTAGGATATTTAATTTTTGTTTTCTAATTTTTTACGTCATGGGTTGTTGAGTTTGTGTTTTGTAGTCTACTTGTATGCGAAGAAGGAACTCTTTTGAAGTGTTACCACTTGATACGAAGATTGGGAGAACCCCACGCAACATAAGGAGTATGACAAGACTTCAACCTTCACGAATGGCGGAACAAGATCCTCCTCAAGTAACACCTATATCTAGGACAATTGGCTCTTACTCTTGTCCAGGAATAAGGGATTTGAGTCACTTGTTCGATATCCGAACATCATGGGGGCAGTCTATGAAATCACCCCAGGTATCATTTCTACAAAACTGACTACCAGTTTAGCGAAACAAAAGAAGAAATTCATCACCATCATGTAGAGGAATTTTTGGTTCTTACGGATGGAATCAATGTGAATGAAGCAGTCAGAGAAGTGTTTCGTCTTCAGCTTTTCCCGCTCTAATTTTTTCGAAGATGGTTTATGAGTCAACCTCATCACTCCATTACCTCATAGGAAGGACTTTGCAATAATTTCTTAAATAGATTTTATACCCCTTCTAAGACCGCCAACATGAGAGCTATCATCAATGCTTTCAAGCAAGAGAAGCAGGAACCTTTGGGAAGGCATGGGAGCGATTTAACTATTTACTCTTAAAATGCCCTCATCATGATGTTGAGGACTGTAGAGAAGTTGAGATCTTCTTCAAAGGAGTCAATAATGGTGAGAGGCAACAAATTTTGATGACGTTGGAAGCAATTTGAAGAATAATGAACATGATTGGAAGGAAGAACAAGATGGGGAAGAAGTCGAGATTCCCAACTCAACCACTTCTACTTCATTCTCACCACTTGGTAATAAGAATGACACAATGGAGGAAGTTAATGACTTACTCGCAACCTCTAAACAAAAGCAAAGAGATGCTCAACCACCATTACCCATCAAGAGTATCGTAAAGATAATCTCAACTGAGGACGAGATAAATTCACAAGATTCAAGCACTCAAAAGGAATCACCTCCCTTAACAAGTGCCTTGTGGTCGACTTTAGAGCCTACTGCTAATAGAGAACACCTGTCATATAGAGAGGCATTCAATCAAATGGAGGGAAGTGAATATGACTTAGAGGATTGCATGATTCATTTTCCGGATGTCATTGATCAAGGCTTCAGCCGAATGAAAGTAGTAGAGGATTTCATGGGGACGGTCATGGACAGAGATTAAGAATTAGATTATTGTATAGAGAATACATATGGAAACATAGAAAATAGAGAAAACATAAAAAGGTAAACACATGGAATATATAAAAAAAACATAGGGAACAGAAGCAACACATGAAAGTGAATACATCAATTAAATATAGGCAACATCCCTAAAAATAAGGAATACATCAAGAAAACATATGGAATAAAACAATACTGCTCTCCTCCATGTCTTGTCCAGAGATGCTCAACCAAATCATTTCTCAATTCGTGGTGTCCTTGGTGATCATGAATCCTATTATGACTTGCCATTTACTCCATTAGAGTCGGGATGTTATGATCGGGTGGATCCCATGTGACATTTGGATTAGTATCATATTCAACATTCTCCACCAACCCATCTCTACTCTCATATTGTTGATCTTCCACTATCATATTGTGCAGAATAATACAAGTTACATAATCTCACCAAGTGTTTGCACGTCCCATAAATAAATTGCACCTCTAACAATGACACATCTTTGTTATAGCATACCAAAGGCCCTCTCAACATAATTGTAGTAAGCCTCTTGGAACTTTGCAAACAACCTCATTTCCTGACTGTTTGGATTACTAACAGTCCTCACAAATGTAGCCCATTTATGGTATATTTCATCAGCCAAGTAATAACATTGATCATATGTCATACCATTTACCTCATAAATGACCTTAGGAAAAAGTCTTTTAACTACTTGATCAAAAAGTGGGGATACTCCAAGAGTATTGATGTCATTGTTTGATCCAGGTGTCTCGAAAAAGGCATGTCAAATCCATGTGTCGTACGATGCTACACTTCGAGAAGGCGAAAAATTCTTCCATTTCAGTGCTTGCAATCAATTGAATCAATCATACCCGAAAACCCACGTTATGCACAATGATCAAGAAAGAGGCAAAGATTTTCAACCATTGGTGCACACAAGTACTGATGACTGTAAATGTTGGTGATGGCAAAGCAAAAATTCATTAGTAACTCTAGTGTGGTGCGCTCACCCATTCGAAAGGTCTCGTCCAAAGAGTTGGCCGAACATTTATATGAAAGCATTCGGAAAACACTAGTAAACTTTTGGTGTGTAGATAATTAATTACGACCAAAAGCATCTTTTTCTTATCTGAAGTATGCATCATGTTGAATAACATCATTCATGATGTGGTTGAATAAGGAAGGGGCATCTGATATCACCTTCTGATTCTACCTAGCAGCGGAAAAAAGGGTGAAACCGTAAAGCGTAGAAGCGAAGCGTAAAAGCGTAAGTATTTTATGCATTCTATAAAATAGTTAAAAATCTGTTAAATACGATATGTACCATGTAAAATGTGAGTGTATAGATGTAAGGGTTACCTTATTTTGACCCGAACTATGACCATATAATCAACTTTGGCCCGTGGTTTCAGAAATTAACATCTGGGCTTCAACTATGCAACATATAGACTCAATTGGCCCGACACATGGTTTGACCGTCAATTTAGATGGTCAAAACCGTTGACCGTTAGTCAACACGCCATGTCATTGCCTCATCAGCCTAAAAATTATTAAAAAAATCAAACTCAAATTATTTTCCTAATTTCTATTATTTATATTTTTCAAATTAACCAAAAATAAAATTTATATTTAATTTTTTGGGATATTTGAAATGATAAATTTTATAAATTAACCAAAAATTATCAAATTAAATTTTATTAATTTAAAAAATATGATATAAATTATATATTTTATTTCTAGGTAATGTTAAATATATAAAATAATTTGATAAATTTTGGTTAATTTATACAATTTATCATTTTCAAATTACACAAAAAAATAAAAAAATAAAAAAAATTTATGTTTTTTTATAAATTATTATTTGTTAATAGGATTATAAATCATAAAAATTAAAAAAATAGTTTGAATTTGAATTTTTTTAATGATTGTTAGGCTGACGAGGCAATGACATGTCGTGATGACTAACGGTCAATGGTGGTGACCATCCAAACTGACGGTCAAACTAGGTGTCGGGCCAATTGAGTCGATATGTTACATAGTTGAGGCCAGGATGTTAATTTCTTAAACCACGAACCAAAATTGATTATATGGTCATAGTTCATGCAAAAATAAGGTATTAACCCATAGATTTAAAATAAGTGAATAAATATATGCAATTCAGTGTTTAAAATGTCATTTCTCACACATAACCTAATTTGTGCATATCTTAATATAGAGCAAACTCATAACATGGTAACGCGAAATCAAAACATACAAATATTATAAAGGATAGACAAAAAAAACTACATTAACTCATCTACTTCAACCGGGATCTTGATGATTTTCTGGTGCATTTTTCTCTATAACTGGGATATAGTATTGTGTGCACTTGCACTAATAGTCTAATACCCCACTCGACATACTGCATATAAAACAATGAACAAATGATTATTACATAAGAACAATTGATTACTCTAATTATGTAAAGCAACTTCGAAATGAAAAGCGATAAAGTGAATAACAATTAAAATAACACAAGAAGACAACAAGCTAAGAATGAATCGACCAAATGTCCAAATCCTAGTTCGGTTCCTTCATAACAAAGAAGACAACAATGATTTTACAAGAAAAGAATGAATCGACCAAATGATTATTGTAATACATTTTTTCATTTCAAAGCTTGATGAGGTAGAGGAAACAGAAGACCAGAGGTGAACCTTGAGATGGCAGGAAGAAGAAGTGGAGGCAACGACGAGCTAATGGCAAATGTTGGTCGGAGCTGGAAGGATGCAACAGTGGAGAAATGGAGGCAGAGCGTTGGAGGTGGCAACGATTGAGGCCTCGCGTCAGCCTCGATGGCGATGGTGGAACTGGAAGCCGCGAGGGAGACGACGATTTGGTGACTCTGTGATTAGGGATTTGGACTTGGAGAGGGTCGACTGTGAACTGCCGCTGCCCGACATCACGTCTTTCAATTTTTTTTTTCAATTTTTAATACCAAACAACATCACTTTAATCAAATTGGAACTTTTCTTGTCATGGACTGAATTCGCACAAAATCACTTCAAAAACACGTTTTCATCCATTTTTACCAATTTTACTGATTCTACAAGCACTTTTACCGATTTTGTGTACAAAACGATTTTAAGTGGAAATTGAATTGTTTTAGTGAGCTAGATACATAAAAACGTACGTTTTTACGATTAAATTTGCGATTGTGACTGCACTAGCTATGTAACAATAATTAACAAATTATACTATAAAGTGATGAAATCTACATTTAACTAAATTATGAGTAAATAGGCAACTTGGACGATTCGGCATTCTAGTCTTTCTAATTGGAGCATTATCACTTATTATGGGGCTAGAATGCCAAAGCTAGTTCCAAATTTTGGCATTATAGTACAATGCATTAGATATGGTCTTATGACCAAAGCATCACATTAAATCATAGAAAGAAAATGCATAAAGCATCAAAAGAATTCACATGCTTAACAATGAATCTGAACTAGAGATACATAAGAAAAACAATGGTACCACCATTGATGATAAAAACATCTCCTTAATTGCACCCTCCTATGAATGCTACTTCGATATCCAGTCGAACCGAGTGGCTCCTTGCTAAGAATCATTTATTAAAGCTTTTAACTTGGTTCTTTTTTTATGAGGGTCTTTAGCTTGGTTCTTGCTCCTATTTTATAGGGTGATAGCTAGGTCGGTTACCGTTTAACCGTTAATAAAAAATGCGGTTAACGGTTACCCGTCAAACTACAAATCATTATCGTTAGCCGGCCCGTCAAGACTTAGCGGTTAAGCGTTAACTGTCGCAATGTCTTCAACTAAAATATTAATATGCTCTTAATGTTAATCACGGTCATTTGATCTTTTTAATTGCTGCACCATTCAAACGGTTGGTTAAAAATAAAACAACCCTTATCGGTTATTAATCGGTTAACCACTAACCGTCGGTTATTAACCTCTTATGACTAGATAACCCGATAAGAGATTTTGAGCTTCCGTTAAATGACCCGCATTCTCCTTAATGGTTAACGGTTTAACAGTTAACTGTCAGTTAGTGGTGCGGTTAGCGGTTAAACCGTTAACGACATAATCATTTATCACCTCTACTGTTTTATTGTGAGTTTATGATCCATCTTATTGGGAATTTGATACACTTATTTTTTGAGTACCTCTTGACCGTACTTTAGACTTTTGTAGGTACATTTACTTTCTTATTTCAACTCTGACTATATTTTAGTCTTTTATGAGCATTCCTAATACCAAGTTCTCCAATGTGGCCACATGAGCCGCATACCGAACATTCCATAAAATGGCGTTTGAAGCCGTGTTGTTATCTCCATTAGATTTAGTTACCTTTGCCTTTATAGATTTGCTTCACTAATCTGTTGCTTCGTAAGGGTGTTCGGGAATGATTTTTTCCTGTTAGCTATAATGTTTCTCTATTTGTTATGGGATAATCCAAGTACCACATCGAAAATACAAGGAGAAAAAACTCTTATATATTAGTGTCCTCCTAGCCCAATTAGTATGAGGTCTTTTGGGGAAGATACCAAAAAGTAAATCCTCGCGGCCTCGGCCTAAAGCCGAAAATATCGTGCTAATTGAGCTGCCCGATTGTGAGAAGTAGTAGTAGAGCATGCTTCGGTTTGGGGTGGTGGACATCAGTTTGGTGGACCTTTATTCGGTGACCTCGGGATTTGAAATCTGCATCTGTTTAGCGGATAAAGGGAGGTTCGCGTTTAGGAAGCAGATCAAAGAGAGTGTTGCGTTTTAAAAAATCCTTGTAACGAAAAGCCCATTAATACAAGGTGTTTGGCAGATCAAGATAATCGTTGAGGTGAGGACACGAGGTTCGTGGTCCTTGTCTTGAGAGAAGGATTGTTATGGGACAATCCAACTACCACAACCGAATTACAAGGGAATGAACCCTTGTATATTAGTGCCACCAAACTCATTAGTACGAGGCCTTTTGGGGAGGATACCCAAGAGTAAAACCATGCGGGCTTGGCCCAAAGAGGACTATATCATACTAATTGAGCTATCTGGTTACGGCAAGTGGTATCATAGCCTGGTTCGGCAGATCCGGGGCGTTGGACGTCAGTTTGGTGGGACCCTCATTCGGTGACCTCAAGATTTGAGATCTGCATCTGTTTGACAGATCAAGGGAGATCTGCGTCTATCTGGCGGATCAAAGGGAGTTCTGTTTGGAAAAATCCTTGTACCGAGAAGGTCATCGATATAAGGTGTCTGCGGATCAAGATGATCGTTGAGGAGAGAACACAAAGTTCATGGTTCTTGTCTTGAGGGGAGGATTGTTAAGGGACAATTCAAGTACCACATCGGAAATACAAGGGAAGGAACCCTTGTATATTAGTGTCGACCTAGCCCAATTGGTAAGAGGCATTTTTGGGAGTATACCCAAAAGTAAATCCGTGCGGGATTTGTTACGCCACGACCTTTGGGTTCAGGTTCGACCATAATACGTGAACGGTTGGATTAACGGTTACGTACGAAGAGTTGCAACCGGGGATTAGGAATAATAATAATAATAATAATAATAATAATAATAATAATAATAATAATAATAATAACAACTATTATTATTATTAGTATAAAAAAAAACTTCCGTCTCCACTCCGCTTCAAATTCTAGGGTTCCTCGTTCTCCCATTCCGCTCCAAGCTTTTCAAGAGATCAATTACGATGGAAGCGAAATCAGTGCATGGCGTTGCGTGGTGATTTCGGATGAGCAAGTGGTGCAGATGACCACCATTAATGATGCGCTGAGGGAGAGGCGCCAATTCCTACAGCTCGAGAGCTGCCTGCTTCCTGGCCAGCTAGCTTGCAGCGGCAATCGCCCTTCCTTCCCGGCCATCACCTGCTTCAGTTAATCGCAAACGTGGGCCTCTACAAGCAAGTAGGACCAAGCAACCAGGACCATTCTTCCATTCGGCGGGATTAGTAATGTCGGTCTGATCGAGCCAGCTGGGTTCTGACTTAAGAGACCAGTTCATGGAATTGGAGCTCCGATCATGGCGGATGCGGGGCTGGTCGAGGAGATGGTGAACGTCGAAGAGGGAGGGAAGGTTGTTCCCAGCTCGTTGGAATCATGAAGTAGCAGTGTGGAGATGGGGAGGAGCTTCGATCATCTTGAACAGGATCATCATGATTTGTCAAATTTTCTCATGGTACTTGGATGCGCCTTCTTCATTGGGGGGATTGTTCATCGTGATAAGAAGGTTCAGGTTTTCAATAAGGCAGTTGCAGTTGTTGATTCTGGATTGTTGCTGGTGGCAGTGATGGGGATCATGATACCAGGTGTGCTTCATTCAACTAACACAGGAGTTCAGCTCGGAAAATCAGAGCTGTTGCTTTCAAGGTTCAGCAGCTGCATGATGCTCCTCGCATATGCTACTTACCTTTTCTTCCAGCTTAAAAGTCACAGCTACTGGGAACTCTACTGCATACGCCGCCACCATAATGGTTGCCACCAAAGATAAGCTTGATTTAACCCTTGGCGTTGCGATTGGATCATCCACTCAGATAGCCATGTTTGCAATCCTTTTTTTATGTGGTGGTTGGGTGGATAGTGAACCAACCAATGGACTTGAACTTCCAACTCTTTGAGACGGCTACCCTTTTGATCATCGTGGTGATTGTTGCATATACACTACAGGGCTTAACGTGAAGCTGGTCTATTCCAAACCCGACCAATACAAGAAAGAGGAAGAACTTGGAACCTCTTAGCACAACCAACAAAACCTACCGAACTTATAGGTGGAGACCTTCAACGATTAAGTAAGGTGAGTGTAAAGGAGGTAAATTCTACGCCTTACGTATTCTTTTAAGTATTATGATTTTAAGTATTTTAGCGATTTGGTTATCGTTGCTTGGTTATGTGTATGATTGATTATTTGTGCTTTGCTTGAGTTAGTTTGAGGTGTTTTTGTTTGAGTTATGACTTGAAGTGAATGGTTATTATTTATCTTGAAAATTTTATGAGTATAAGTTATTGTTAAAGTTTAAGAAACAAGGACTTTTTAAGAAGTAGCTCACCTTCAAGAAGGTGAAGTCGATTTAATTGTTTTTAGTCACTAGCGCCAGTCCGTTGCCATTAAGATTTTCAGATAGAGCAGCAGTTATGCTCTTGAGATCTTTGAGATAGAGCAGCAGTTATGCTCTTGAGACTTTTAAGATGAGAAGCAGTTATGCTCTTGAGAATCGCGGTGAAGAGCCACCACGATAAGTTTAAGATGTTAGGGGGATGAATCGTTACGACTTCCCTAACTAAGTTTAAGTTTAAGGAAAGCCTGAGTGGCTTCTCATACGTATGAGTTGGCAACCGGACTAGCTAGTGAGGGATCCCGTGTCTGTCAAGTTTTTAAGTTAAGATTTGAGCTTTAAGAGAGGAGAGTAACTGCAACTCCCTCAAAGTTTAAGAGTTAAGATTTTAAGATTGGAAGTACAAACAACTTCCCTCAGTTTGAGTTTAAGTGTTTGAGAAGAAGTGCAACATTATTAGAACGTTTAAAACGTAAGGGCGTAGACTAACCCCATCTCACTCACCAATTTGAGGAGTTAGAGGAGCAGTTAGTGAGCAACGAGTTCGAGGGCAGCCAGCTAGAGGAGAGCAGTATAAGTGTCACGGAGGATGCTTAGTCAAAGATTTCAGTAGCAACAACTTCAGGGTATTAGTTATTTACATTTATGATTATGAGTACAGACTTGAGATTATTTTGAGATCAGACTGAGATTTTCAAGTTTGAGTTTAGTTTGCCCACGTGTTAGGGCTTTGCCTTGAACTACAAGTGTGTGTTTTTCAGTATTTTATTTATTAAAATTTTTCTCAGTTGCAATTTAAGATTTGAGTATTTTATTTATCAAGGGCATTTTAGTAAAAGTAGTACCCGGCCGGGTTAGGGTTTTACATTTTGGTATCAGAGCCGGTCTTCCTCTGTTTCTTGGTTCCCAAGAAATACTGGAATATCGGTCCAAGTTTTTAATGGCTTTTGTTTTAAAGGAAAGGAAAACGAGTCAAGGATCTTCTTTTAAGAGTTTATAGGATCTCCAGTCTACTCTAATCATAATAAGGTGAATAACTATTACAGCACGACACTAGAGAAGGTAGCACGAGGGTGCAATTGGGTTAATAATAAGCTAGGACGCAAGTTAAGTCAACACGTCGTGGGATGTTAAATAAGAGATTGAGGCGTACAGCGATCATCAGTAAGAAAGAAAGGATGTAAGAAATGTGACCAACCCAAGTAGAATCTCAAAGGCTCTCAAGATCAAGTACCTCATCGACATGATGGATAGTAGTTTTTTCAATTAGTTAACCAACTACTTGGACGTTAGCGAACAGATCCTCATCATCAACCTAGAGAAGGAAGGAGGAATGTTGCAAAGGTCTGTGGAGGTAGAATCAAATGTGCGAGGACTTCAACTCCAAACACCAGCAAAGAGGTGCCAATTGAAAGGGAATACCTCAAGGATTTTGAAGGAGTTGAGAGAGTAGTACGAGGATTCTACTACTAGGCAGCAGGGCGAGGATCTAATAAGCAAAAGCAAACAAATAGGAGAACTATGAATCTCCGAAGAAAGAGCTACAGTCACTAGATGTCAGTAGCTATAATAATGGGAGGATTTCAGGGTCCTTGACCCTAAGCAGTGGCGAGGAAGCAACGAGCCAAGAAACGAAGAGGTACCACGAGAAGTCCCTCAACTAGTTTTAGTGGTCAACGCTATTACAACATAGTGACAAGGAGCAGTGAAAAGCTTAGACTTCAAGAGAAGCTAGGGTAGTGTAAATGAAGTAAATGAGGAAGTAAGTAGGTTAAAGGGGGTATGAAAGGACGTCAAGAAGTCAATAGATTAAGGAGGAGGGGAGGCATGGTCATTTACATATGACGATGAAGGAACCCTTGTAGATAAATATGTCATCCAGAAGAGGGTACATGACCTGGGCAATTAGGTCGGTAGCAAGCCTTTATAAGAAACCAGACAAGAGTCAAGATGATCGAGGTAGAAAACAAACTTGGATCAAGAATAAAAATGTGCTAGTGAACAAGGTCAAGCTAGAAAGAGGATGTATTGGGATATGAGAGACCCTACAAACTACCCAGATCACAAAAGGTCAGGAGGTCGTTGAGACCATTGAAAGGGGGAATGCAAGAGTTCACGATGATTTGTTATGGGATTGTCCTATCCTAAGTGGAGGGAACACCTAGCCACCTAGGGTACAAGAGGGGTGACAGAAGGAGGAACCTCTCTACTAAGTTGGAACTAGAGGGCTGAGATCTCAGAACTAGCTATAGAGTAAGATCAAAGCTGGTGCCAACCGAGTATAGACAAGTAAATGGAATGCTCAATAAATGTTCTAGTGAATGGCAGAGAATTTGAGGAAACACATGGAAATTCCGATGAAGGATTGAGAATATGTGTAGGTGACTCAGTGTACAAGAAAATGCATAGTGGAGTACGACGAGGAAAAGCATTACCAAGAAGGAGGAAATCATTAAGTTACCTTACCCAAGGTGCCCCACTCTGAGCGAGTACGACATAGTAGGATGTCATCCATAAAGGAAGGCCAGTTAAGGATAAATTAGTGATATTTAGTTAAGCCACTGAAAGCCATGACTAAGAGATTAAGGATATGTACAAGCATCGGTCGAGACAAAAGACGTGGATGAGGTATGTTCAAGCCTACCAGGGGCAAGCCATTATTGGAAGCTTTGACCCAAAACAACAACGAGCAGATACTCAACAGAGTTTGGTGACCGAAAATAGTACAAAGCATCAACAGAAGGGTAGTAAAAGTAAAGAAGCAAGGAGAACATCATAGGACGCTAAAGGAAATAAAATAAAATAAAATAAAATAAAAGAGTGGTTGCCGACCGGACAATGAATGCGTGAAAGATGATAGTTGGGACGTGGTCAAGCACCATCGTGAGTAGAAGTCGTGGGTGTCATCTGTCAAGTCTACCTAGAGAAAGTTTCTAGTGGAAATGTTGGCTCTGACGTATGGCGAGGAGCTACTAAACTGAGTAGATCAAAGCTAGTACCAAGCATCGATGAAGGAGTTGTGGAAGTAAGGAGGAAATCACAAGGCTATAATGAAAGTTATGGTGAAAAGGGTGGTAGTTGATAAAACGACAGATTCAGAGAGAAAGATAGTTAGGAAGAGCCGGTGAAAGAATATGAAGGTCAACAAGGAGGCGTTAAGGTGATTGCCAGTGGAGAATAAGTTGGACCATAGGAAGCCCATCAAGAACTGAGAAGCTCAATGGTCAACTTTAAAGTAGAAGTGGGGTGGTCCAGAACGGTCGAAGAGAAAAGCCTTATGGTCAAGAGTACATATAAGAACTATCGTAAGCTATTCAAGACAAGGTAACGGCACGCCATTGAAGTTCATATAGAAAGAGTGAAATGTTGAGCCAAAGAAGCACGAGAATGAGTGAGTTATCATTCGACCAAGAAGCACACAAATTAGAGGGAAGGAATCATAGCTCGAGGTTGTACAAAGTAAATGAAGTATAAATCCCGATAGTGGAAGGATTACCTCAAGTGGGACTTTGGGTTGTCAAGATGAACAAATTTCGAGGTCGAAATTTTTCTTAAGGAGGGGGGAATGTGATTCCTCGACTTCGATTTAAGGTCCAACAAGTACTGACTGAGCTATACCAATAAATTGAATCGAAAATTTTGTTCCTTCACCCAAATGGTGGAATTTGTAAGGACAAGTAGCCACTCAAAGCTACTCGATGCTAGCGAGCTGGTTGAGAACACCTTTTATGCTGAAGAGGAAATAACTTGAGGTAAGGTAAACTATACGGGACAAGCAACGGACATCATCGAAGTTCATAAAGCGAGAGTAAATTTTTGAGGCAAGGAAGTACCAGAATGGTGTTGGCAAAGGAATGAGATTCAAGCAAATTTCGGGGACGAAATTTTTATAAGGGTGGAGGAAATGTTACACCCCGACCTTTGGGTTCAGCTTCGACCATAATACGTGAACGGTTGGATTAACGGTTACGTACGAAGAGTTGCAACCGGGGATTAGGAATAATAATAATAATAATAATAATAATAATAATAATAATAACTATTATTACTATTATTATTATTAGTATTAGTATAAAAAAAAACTTCCGTCTCCACTCCGCTTCAAATTCTAGGGTTCCTCGTTCTCCCATTCCGCTCCAAGCTTTTCAAGAGATCAATTACGATGGAAGCGAAATCAGTGCATGGCGTTGCGTGGTGATTTCGGATGAGCAAGTGGTGCAGATGACCACCATTAATGATGCGCTGAGGGAGAGGCGCCAATTCCTACAGCTCGAGAGCTGCCTGCTTCCTGACCAGCTAGCTTGCAGCGGCAATCGCCCTTCCTTCCCGGCCATCACCTGCTTCAGTTAATCGCAAACGTGGGCCTCTACAAGCAAGTAGGACAAAGCAACCAGGACCATTGTTCAATTCGGCGGGATTAGTAATGTCGGTCTGATCGAGCCAGCTGGGTTCTGACTTAAGAGACCAGTTCATGGAATTGGAACTCCGATCATGGCGGATGCGGGGCTGGTCGAGGAGATGGTGAACGTCGAAGAGGGAGGGAAGATTGTTCCCAGCTCGTTGGAATCAGGAAGTAGCAGTGTGGAGATGGGGAGGAGCTTCGATCATCTTGAACAGGATCATCATGATTTGTCAAATTTTCTCATGGTACTTGGATGCGCCTTCTTCATTGGGGGGATTGTTCATCGTGATAAGAAGGTTCAGGTTTTCAATAAGGCAGCTCCAGTTGTTGATTCTGGATTGTTGCTGGTGGCAGTGATGGGGATCATGATACCAGGTGTGCTTCATTCAACTAACACAGAAGTTCAGCTCGGAAAATCAGAGTTGTCGCTTTCAAGGTTCAGCAGCTGCATGATGCTCCTCGCATATGCTAGTTACCTTTTCTTCCAGCTTAAAAGTCACAGCTACTGGGAACTCTACTGCATACGCCGCCACCATAATGGTTGCCACCAAAGATAAGCTTGATTTAACCCTTGGCGTTGCGATTGGATCATCCACTCAGATAGCCATGTTTGCGATCCTTTTTTTATGTGGTGGTTGGGTGGATAGTGAACCAACCAATGGACTTGAACTTCCAACTCTTTGAGACGGCTACCCTTTTGATCATCATGGTGATTGTTGCATATACACTACAGGGCTTAACGTGAAGCTGGTCTATTCCAAACCCGACCAATACAAGAAAGAGGAAGAACTTGGAACCTCTGAGCACAACCAACAAAACCTATCGAACTTATAGGTGGAGACCTTCAACGGTTAAGTAAGGTGAGTGTAAAGGGGGTAAATTCTACGCCTTACGTATTCTTTTAAGTATTATGATTTTAAGTATTGTAGCGATTTGGTTATCGTTGCTTGGTTATGTGTATGATTGATTATTTGTGCTTTGCTTGAGTTAGTTTGAGGTGTTTTTGTTTGAGTTATGACTTGAAGTGAATGGTTATTATTTACCTTGAAAATTTTATGAGTATAAGTTATTGTTAAAGTTTAAGAAACAAGGTCTTTTTAAGAAGTAGCTCACCTTCAAGAAAGTGAAGTCGATTTAATTGTTTTTAGTCACTAGCGCCAGTCCGTTGCCATTAAGATTTTCAGATAGAGCAGCAGTTATGCTCTTCAGACTTTTAAGATGAGCAGCAGTTATGCTCTTGAGAATCGTGGTGAAGAGCCACCACGATAAGTTTAAGATGTTAGGGGGATGAATCGTTACGACTTCCCTAACTAAGTTTAAGTTTAAGGAAAGCCTGAGTGGCTTCTCATGCGTATGAGTTGGCAACTAGACTAGCTAGTGAGGGATCCCGTGTCAGTCAAGTTTTTAAGTTAAGATTTGAGCTTTAAGAGAGGAGAGTAACTGCAACTCCCTCAAAGTTTAAGAGTTAAGATTTTAAGATTGGAAGTACAAAAAACTTCCCTCAGTATGAGTTTAAGTGTTTGAGAAGAAGTGCAACATTATTAGAACGTTTAAAACGTAAGGGCGTAGACTGACCCCATCTCACTCACCAATTTGAGGAGTAAGAGGAGCAGTTAGTGAGCAGCGAGTTCGAGGGCAGCCAGCTAGAGGAGAGCAGTATAAGTGTCACGGAGGATGCTTAGTCAAAGATTTCAGTAGCAACAACTTCAGGGTATTAGTTATTTACATTTACGATTATGAGTACAGACTTGAGATTATTTTGAGATCAGACTGAGATTTTCAAGTTTGAGTTTAGTTTGCCCACGTGTTAGGGCTTTGCCTTGAACTACAAGTGTGTGTTTTCAGTATTTTATTTATTAAAAATTTTCTCAGTTGCAATTTAAGATTTGAGTATTTTATTTATCAAGGGCATTTTAGTAAAAGTAGTACCCGGCTGGGTTAGGTTTTTACAGGATTGGCCCAAAGCGAACAATATCGTACACTTGCCTAGGATGGAAAGATTTTGCCTAAGTATTCTGTTAAGCTTGTCTAGCAAACTATCATAACCCTCATCCCTTAGTTGATTGGCATAAGGCTGTTTGGGGTAAACCATATAGCCCAAAGCACAATCTGTTATTATGGCTTGTTGTTCTCAACTGGATTGTTACAAAGGACAAACTATTAAGTTGGGGGTTGGCAGGAGATTCCTTGTGTTTTCTTTTTCCAGATGGAGAGGAATCTCGGGATCACCTATTCTCTGGCTGCCCTTATAGTAGATTTGTTCTGTCCACAGTTCTATCTCGTTTTCTGCAAGTTCCATGTCTTTCACTCATAGCTAGAGGACTTAAGATGGGCAGTAAGGCAGCGGTCCAGTGGTGTAGGGACAAAAAGTGCAGGAAGGTTGCGTTGTTCTTTATGCATTAGTTATGTGTGGTGAGAACGCTGTTATAGAACTCACGATGCTGTGTATTGCTTTGCCAAACTATTTGGCAGAATTGAAGAGGAAGTTAAATGGATACTAGCAGCCAACCCCCTGATGATGTAATGATGCAGAGATAGAAATTTACTTATTCTTATGGGTCATTTGGTTTTGGTGATACTTAAACCAATGCATTGTGGTCAATGCATGCATTGTAATATACACGCAATCAAGAAAAATGAGGTAATTTACTTTACATTGTTTGGTTTTGGTGATAGTTCTTTTAGTATTCACAATGTTATATTACCTTTGTTGAGAAAGATCACTTTTGTCCTTGCTTTTATGAGAACATATATATAAATAGGGGTATACTTGGAACAAAAAATGAATCCAACAATCTCCTCAAAACTATCTCAAAAATCTCAAGTTTTAGTAGAGATAGTACTATCACTCATTTTGCGTGATAGTTTCCATCACATCAAGCAAACAATGCATGTATTGTTTGTGTAGAAAATTCAAAAAAAACAATGCATTGTAGACAATACATGCATTGTTACTATCCCAACCAAACAATCACCAAAACCAAACGACACCTTAATATTTTGTTCATTGAGTAGTTGCTGGTTTTGTATTGTTGGTACTTGGAGAAGGGGTTTTGCGGTTTGCAACCCTAGTGCTTAATAAAAATTTTGATTAACCAGAAAAAAAATTAGGGCAATGTCTATTTTTTACCCAAACTTTTTCAAAATTCTTTTATTTTACCCAAACCTATCAAAATTCTATTTATTATCCAAACGTTAAGTTTCCATTAACAATTCCGTTAGTTAAAACTGAGCGGACAAAAAAAGTGCTGATGTGGCAATAAATTAATTTTTTTATTATGCCACTTTATTCTCTAATAACCATTTATTATTTTAGGGAAAACATAAAAAATTAAACCAACCCTCGTCCTTCTCTCTCAACCACAATCACATCACTGCGGCTACCGTAAGCCCCAAATTACCCATCGACCAAAAAACCCTGCTTCTGGGATTGCCCTCCCCTCAAAAAAGGGCGCATCTGGACGGCGATGAAACAAGAAGCAGCAGTGACGACGGGAAATCAACTTCCGACGGGGGATATAACAACGAAGATTACGGTAATGATCCGTCTGGGTCAGAATCGAAATGCTCGGATGAGGATGAGCCTGAATTGGATCGGGGATACAATAAGGGAGACATCGGTGAAGCTAACAGCGGCGCCTTTTGCGATTCCAGATTGATGAGAAGAGAAGAAGAGGAGCAAATGAGGACGTCGACCTCACACCCTCGCTACCAAACCTGCCGTCGACACCATCGCTGAGAAACCCGCCGTCGACACCATCACCGCAAAACCCGCCGTCGTTGGAGCTTTGTCTCCGACTAGATCTAGATCATCGCTCAGAACCCTCAAGCCCTCCCTGTGAAAACCGCCATCGCCGCCAAAACCGGCATCGCTAGAGCTTCATCTCCGACGAGATCTAGATTGACGCTTCTATGCTTGATTTGGCTTGGCCAGGATCCAGATCGAGCTTTATCGTTTTCTGGAAGAAGAGGAAGGAAAAGGGAAGGCAGAGAGAAGAAGAGAATCGGGAAAAAGAGAGTCGAGAGGCGGAGAGAGTAAAGGAACAAAGAATAAAGAATTGATATTTTTTTATTATTTTTTTTTTTGTAGTTTCAAATTTTTTTATGATTTTTTATTTTATTAATTTCATACGTGTATGCTGATGTGGAGTTCCGTTACGAAATAAGTAACGGTAACAGAACGAATGCTCAGACTTTGATCAGTTACAATAAGTTTGGATAATAAATAGAATTTTGATAGCTTTGGGTAAAATAAAAAAATTTTGAAAAGATTTGGGTAAAAAAGATTAGGTGTTTAGTTGATTGGAAACTTGTACACAAGGCAGCACGTCAGTTGAGCTCAGAAATGGGAATGCGTGATATTCTCAAATCTCAAACCCTAAACCAAACTTGAGACGTAATTATTATAAGTTATTCACAAAAGTGGGGGCAGAGAATCCCCACTGGGCCCTTATTGTGTCCGGCCCGCACCACTGGACCGTCATTTCCACCGATCTCTTCTTTTTGCGTTGGTCGGTAGTAATTATGGTGAGGTCAATCACTGAATGCAAATATGAACCCGAATTTTAATATTCCCGCCAACTTCCAAACTTGTAATTGATCCCATTTGATTGCCTCGCAAAGTATTAATTAAACATGGAGAAGAGAACTTATGGGCCAAGAAAGATTAGGACAAATGAGATGATGAATAACATGGTTGTCACGCCGGCCGGTGTGCAACCTGTCGTACCAGGTTCAATCGGTACCGGTCATAAAATCGGCGTGACACCATCGGTATGACCGGCATGATCGATACACGAATCTCTAAGTAAAATGACCTTATTTTAGCGAATTTAATTGATAAAAATTATTTTATTATTTATTTTATGAGTATAAAAGTTAAATATTGATGTTATTTGTTGGATTCAAGTATAAATGTTAAGGTATTGACATTAAATGTCATGTTTAAATATGAGTATTTATAATTTTATTTGTAATATTGACCGGCATGAACCGGCACAAACCGGCACACTGGCATAAACCGGTTTGACAATCTTGGTGAATAAAGATGAAAGAGGGAGGGAGAGAGGGAGGTTGACCCTCCACGTATAAATAATATAATCATAATTAAGTTTGTAAAAAACAAAATTTTCATCATCATCACAACAACTAGGGCACTGGACTGGAGCAGTGGTGTGGTGCGGGCTTTTCACTTTTGTAATTCCGGCCGGGAGAGTGCATATTTGTGTATGGCACTTTATTTATTCCAATCCCATGTTGATTTTCGTGTGGTTTTCTTTATGACAGAAGAAGAAAAACACTTCTTCGATTTTGAATTTTTAATATTGTTAAGTTATTCACCAAGCCTCCTCAGTCCTCTATTGAATCGCTATTGTGGAGAATTTGAATATGTCTCTGCCTTTTCATCTCATCACTTTCCTTCCTCCCTTTTTGTTCCTATCAAAAGCGCAGCTCTTTTGCCAAAACTTGCATCATATTCCAAAAAATGTAAATGCGATGCGTGGAACGAACAACCCCAGTACCCCACCCCCTTATATTATTCCCCTCCCACCACCATTAACCATGGAATGGAAACCAAACAAAAAGGATTCATCCCATCATTTCTTGGTGGTTGCTTGGTTGCTTGCTATACAATACAATGCAATAATGATATATAAATAAAAAGGAATAATATACATTCCTGCATATTCGTCCAAGAAAAGAAACTCCAGGGTGTTCTTGGACCAGTAGACCCATCAAACCAATAATACTAGTGGTCCGGTTGTTTTGCTTGAACGATTTGGAATGGATCGAACGACGGTTAGACATGAAACCACACAAATAATTCTTGTTTTACTTGTTCACTGGTTCACTATTTTAACGATCCAAAAATTAAGAAATGAATACTTTAACTTAAACTAAGATCAATCAACCTGATACTAATGACTGCCAACCTAAAAAAATTAATGATTTATGTTGTGAGATAGTTTGAATGATTTGCTAAAAAATTTAGATTAATGATATGGATTTGATTGTTCATGGTTAGATTGAAAGTGTCAGTCCTAAATTAGTATATTGTATATGTCTTTCATGTTACTGTGTATGAACGGTTCTACCAACAGTTAACTGTTGAACCATGAATCACTAACTTTTCTGATTCATCACCTAGTCTGGTTCTAAAAACCTAGGTGTACATGAGTCGTTTGGTTTGGATATAGTCATTTTAATCACCTGACCATTACACTTTGATTTTGAAAATACTAAATTCAACCCCACCCAAAAAATGAGAGCCATACGGTTTGTTAATGATTGTATTGAGTCGAGTGAACTATACTTAAAAGTAAAATTTCAACACAGCACTAAAAAAATTATATAACAAAAAAAAATTTCAAGCAAATAAGCCAAAGTGAAAACAAAAAAAAAATGCATAGAAGTTGTTGTGATCTTTTTTGATATGCAATTGCTTCAACATATGTCTATTTTCCATAAATATTTATCGAAATAAGCTAAAGACATTATTCGTTATAAGCTAACGCATTCGTAATACGTCATTCATCTAAAACTGTATACATATAAACAAACAACTTAACTCATATCATATATTAAATGTACGTCTAAATTTATTAGTGGAAGAATGCATTAGGTTAGCGACACCATGAGAGAAAATTTGACAAAATATCCAAATTTTCCACAAATATGCTTATATATGGATAAGTACATTTTGGATATGAATACTTAGTTGTAACATGGGTTGGATCGGAGTAACTCCGCTAGAAAACTCATCAAGAAGCATAATTTCTTCGTACTCTGTGCACATACAACCATTATTCATCACTAATTAGGTATTCTTTTTCATTATGAAATTTTGCAAATTTTTTCGACGAGTTTTTCTGCCACAAAATACAAGGCCAAAAAATTCTGACTACCTAAACCTGGCCAGGCGGGGAAAATGTTTTGGTCATACTTACCCAGCCGACAGAAATTCTCGGCATGGCCAATTGACGGTCTGAATATTGTTTCGCCCCGACCAGGTTCAGGCCGTTGGAATTTTTTGGTCCATGAGTTTTCAGCACCCAAAATTAGGGCTTAGGGTTTGAATTTAGAGTTTAACGTTTGAATTTAGGTTTTAGAATTCATATTTAAATTTTAGAGTTTAGGGTTTGAATGTAATATTGATGTGTTATATTATTATTGTAATTGTAGGAAAAATGTCAGAATGGTTCAACCCAATCTTCGATTACATAATGTACTTTGATGGTGCCACCCACTATTCATCTTAAGCAAGATGCAAGGAGTCATGCATATTGAGCCGTAACTCGTGATAGCTTCCCTTAACATGCTCGACCTCTCGAATTTTGGTTTAGTAGCACAGTATTGGTATACGCAATTCTAGGCTCACCAACCGATGGATTACTATACCAGACCGGCCGGTCAAAACGGGAAATTGGAAACTGACCCAAATTTAGAATTGTATAGACAAGAGAACTCATTCTGGAGTCCTTCCTTGAAACTATTCTCATTTGAATCTGAGTCACTATTACAACTAGGATAGGTAAGCGATATTGTCTCATCGATGGCTATTATTTTATGTCCTTACTATAAGAGTGGTCTTAATTGGTTAGTCGATTAATCATTAGGGTATAGGGTATAAGGTACAGATGGTTTAGGGTGTATATGGTTAGGGTATAAGGTATTGATGGTTTTGAAGGTTCTAAGTTTTTTATTAACATATGTTTACTTGAAGTCATTTGAAGTCTTTAACGGTAGAGATCTCTTTTTAATTTATGTTTATGGTACGTGGATAGGGTATAGGGTATATGGTGTACAATATAGGATATATGGTTAGGATATAGAAAATATCATTTTTTATCTATGTTTTGAAAATCAAAATCTGGCTTTCACTTTGAATTAACTATAGTAGAGAGAGAATTGAGAGAGAGAGTGATTTCTCGATGATTGAGGGTTTTCGTGATTTCTCGTTGACGGCTCCGACATCTGCGCCGCAGGAGCTCCTTTCCCCCTCTTATTATGTTTCTTATGAGTGAGTCGAGTGTTGCGGTACCTGCTTCGGCTTTAAGAGACACTAAATGGCGATTCTCGGGGGATTCCATCGAAACTCTGGGCGTCACTGTTTGGGATCTCTAAGGCCAACCTCCTTACATATATCCCACCAAAGATTATCAATGGAGGATTAAAGATGCCTAAAGCTATTCGTGAGGCAAGTGCAGCTCGCTGGAAGCACAACCTTGTGGGTCAATTCCTTCAGGATCCGCCTCCGTTGTATGTTCTGCGTCGCTGGGTAAATAAACTTTGGGGGCGGGATGGTCTGGTGAGGGTTTCGTTGCTCTATGATAATATGTTGCTCATTCAATTGCCCAACCAGAAGGTTTGTGAGTGGATTCTTGAGAATGGCCCATGGTTTTGGTTCAACAACTTGCTTTATCTTCGACCTTGGGTTCCTGGTATTAGTTTTGAGGATTTGGGAAGGAAGGCTCTGGCGATCTGGATGAATTTGGCGAATGTTCCATTAGAGTATAATGATTTCCAGGGGTTGAGCAGAATAGCGAGCTGGATTGGGGTTCCACTAGGTATGGATCATACTACTCGAATGGGGGATAGACATGGGTTTGCCAAGGTTCTGGTAGAGCTTACAGTTGAAATTGAATATCCTGATCATGTTCTCTTGTGGCCTGATGATGATTCCTCTATTCGCATTGGGATCACCTACTATAACCTGCCTCCCATTTGCCATGTGTGTCATCTCTTTGGCACTACTGGTTCATGTGCTGATCATCAAGGAAAATAGTGGGTGGCAAAGCCAGTGCATAATGAGAAAGTAATTACAGTACAGGGGCAGGATGATAGGACTACTCTAGTGAATCACGAAGTAAATATGAATATGGATAAACAGGTAGTGTCTGATAAAGGTAAGGAGGTGGTGCTCTATGATGATGATCCTCAACCGATGGCCATATTTATTACCCCCGTCCCGGTAGGAGGAAGCAAAGTGGCCCCTCAAAACTTAGAGAAATCTTTCTAGGAGGTGGCTACGTTCTCTTCACCCAAATTGCCCTCTGAAGCTGAATTTCAGAGAGTGGTTAATGGGGCTAGGCCTCGAGTCTGGCTTTCTCAAGACAATTCTAAATGTATTCAAGTTTTGAGCTCATATTTCAGTGTTTTAGGGAAGTTGGGTGATCAAGAAGAAACTAAGGAAGCTAGTAAGACACAAGAAGCACCAAAGAAAAAAGAGATAAGGAAGGATATGAAGAAGGGTGGGGGGAAGCCCCCAACTTTGAAATGATTATTTTGTTCTGGAATGTAAGGGGGTTTAATAAGAACTTGATGCAAGTCCTTCGTAGAAATAAAGTAGATGTAGTTGCAGTTCTTGATACCAGAGTACAGGCAAATAAAGCTAAGGAAGTAGTAGAGGAGGTTTTTTCGGGCTGGCAGAAATGTCTTAATTGTTATGATACTAAGTTAGGGCGGGTGTGGTTGTTTTGGGATCCTGCCATAAAGCTACAGGTGCTCAAGCCGAGAAAAAACTTTATTCATTGCTTGGTGGAGGATATTAACAAGGATACCTTCTTCCTAACAGCGGTCTATGCCTCTAATGATGAGACTGAGAGGTTACATACTTATAAGGAGATTGCACAGATGAAGGTGGTTGGCCATCCTTGGATAATTGGCGGTGATTTTAATACTGTAAGGGCTCCTCATGAGACATCTAATCAGCGATTTGTTACTTCAAGTATGGAGGGTTTTAATCAATGGATTAAGGAGATGGATTTTGTAGATTATAGAACAACGGGGCCACAATTTACATGGACAAATCGGCAAGCTCATCATCCTATTGCTCGGCGTCTTGACAGAGGTTAGTTAATATGAATTGGATTGAGCATTTTAAAGATTATTCTATGAAGGCTCTTCCTGCCCATTTCTCGGACCACTGTGGGGTGCAGCTATGTACGGTTGCCCCTATAAAATCTCTGCCCAAACCTTTTAAATATTTTGAGTTTTGGGCAGAGCACCCGCTCTTTATGGGGATAGTTGAGGATGCTTGGCGTGTTGAGGTTTCAGGGATGCCTTTGCAGGTTATTCAAAGTAAATTGGGTAGGGTCAAGCAAGCTTTAAAGAAATTCAATAGAGAAGTTTATGGAAACTTGCAAGACCAAGTTAAAGAGGCTGAGGGTGAGTTGTTGCGTGCCCAAACAACAGCATACTCAGACCCTACTGTTGAACATTTTGATGCGGTTACACTTACTAAGGATCATTATGATCATATATCGTCGACTTATGAGAGTTTCTGCTGGCAGAAATCGAGGGTATCTTGGCTAAAAGTTGGAGATCGGAGTTCAAACTTCTTCCATCAAGCTGTCAAGATTCATAATTCCAAGTAAGCTATCAGGAAGTTGGTCACAGACTTAGGTGAGGAAATTTTTCAAGCTGACCAGATTATCGAGGAGGTTCTGGGGTTCTATAAGAAACTATTGGGTGAGGTTAATATGGAAATTAACCCGAATAGAGAGGAGGTGGAGCAGCTTGTTCTCAATCGTTTATCTTATCGTGAATGTGATGGCCTTGTTAAGGAAATCACAGCAGAAGAGATAAGAAATGTGGTTTTTAGCTTGAATCCTCAGAAAGCGCTAGGACCGGATGGATTTTTGGCGGGCTTTAACAGAAAGACATGGCCAATTATTGAAAGATATAATCAATGGAGTCCTATTCTTCTTCCAGAAAGGTAATCTCCCTAGTGGAGTAAATGCCACTGTTGTGTCTCTAATTCACAAAATGTCTAATGCTGATACCTTGAAGAATTTTACACCAATATCATGTGTGAATCTTCTCTATAAAATAGTGGCTAAGATTCTTGCTAGGCGTATTAGTGAGGTTATGCCCCTGATCATTAGTAATACTCAGTCAGCATTTGTTAAAGGTCGAAGCATAATGGATAATATCCTATTGGCTCAGGAGCTGGTTAGTGGGTACAAAGAACTCACTTGTCTTCTCGATGTGCAATAAAAATTGACATCATGAAGGCATTTGATTCTGTTAATTGGCAGTATTTGTTTCTTATGATGCATGCCATGGGGTTCTCTGAAAGATTTATGAAGTGGATTAAGGCTTGTTTACAAACTGCCCACTATAGCTTCAATATCAATGGCAGTTTATGTGGATTCTTTAGAGCTAGGAAGGGAGTCAGGCAAGGTGATCCATTATCACCATACTTGTTTACCGTTGCTATGGAAGGTCTCTTGACCATGCTATACTCTGCAAGTCAGCTGGGAAGGATTCCCTTTCATCCTCAATGACAGAGAATCTCCTTAAATCACATGTGCTTTGCCGATGATATTCTGGTATTTACTACTGGCTCAGCCCAATCGATTCTTCAGGTTAAAGAGGTTCTACACAAGTTTTATAAGTTGTCTGGGCTTAAGAGCAACCCTTCTAAATGTGAAATTTATTTTGGAGGAGAGGCTATCAACTATAAGAGCAATGCCCTGAACCTGTCTAGTTTCGAGGAAGGTGAACTGTCTGTTAGATATTTGGGGTTTCCCTTAATATCTGGGAAGCTTTCATCCACAGAGATTGACATCCTTGTCGACAAGGTTACTAAGCGGATAAAATCATGGCGAGCCAAGAAACTAACCTATGCTGGAAGGCTGCAGCTAATTAGCTCAGTGCTTCTTGGAGTAGTACAGTATTGGATGCAGCTTTTTGTGCTTCCAAATAAGGCATTGAAGCGGATTCAGCAGGTATGTTCTCATTTTCTTTGGCATGGAAATGAAGCGGGTAGAGCTAAGGTGACATGGGATTCTGTGGCTTTGCCTAGGAAGGAAGGTGGACTTGGGGTGAAATATTTGATGGCATGGAATCAGGCTTGCTCTATTCGTATGCTCTGGCTATTTCTTATGCAAGCTGGAGCTCTGTGGGTTGCGTGGATGTACGAATACAAATGTAGGCAGGGGGATCTTTGGTCACTTAAAGTGAAGTATAGTAGTTCGTGGACTTGGCGCAGACTTCTTAAATTGCGTGGCATCATTCTACCATGGATACAGCAACAAAATGGTGTCCTCTATTGGGATTCGCAGAAGATGATGGTTTATTCAGTCAGGAAAGTGTGGGAATCATTACGTAGGAGGGCTCCTATTGTCTCATGGCATAAGCTTATATGTAGCAGATATTGCCCCCTAAGATATAGCTTGCTCTCTTGGTTGGTAATGCAAAATGCCATCACCACTAGAGATAAGCTGTTGAAATGGGGGAAAATCAAAGATGCTGCATGTCCACTTTTGTGGTGTTGATGTTGAAAATAGAGAGCATTTGTTTCTCTGCTACAGCTTTTCTCGGAGGCTTTATGCACTACTGCGTTTCCCTCTTCCGAATTTTCAAGGCTGGGATGCAATGATACAGTTTATTACTGCAGCAATTCACAGAGACACTCATTCTGGGCAATGGCATGCACTTCTTTGGTGTCTTACAGTGTCCTTTATCTGGAAAGAACGATGCAGAGTGATTCATGATAATCTCTGTCGAAGTCCTGAGTTCATTGTTGATCTTATTTGAGCGGATCTAATGTACATATCTAATGGAGATAGGGGAATTCGAGATGCTTTTACACGACTTGGATACTTATAGATTTTCCTTTTGAGATTTGTAAGTAGTGCTTATATAGTGAGTGGAAGTGAGGAGTGACTGTTTTTGTGAGCTGTTCTCTCGGAACTCTTACTTGGAGTTCCTCTTCGTTGTATCGGTTATCATTTCTGGAAATAAAAGCAACTGATTCAACGGGAAAAAAAATTAACTATAGTAGCAAAATCACAACTCATAAGGATGTATGGTTATGGTATAGGGTATGTGGTTAGTGTCTAATGTATTGATGGTTTAGGGTATACGATCAACAACATATGCTAACTTAATATTGTCGATTGAGGGTAAGGTTAAGTGTATAGGATATATGTTATTGAGTAAGTTATGATTGAAGTCACAGCAATTTTACTAAATTTGATAGTTAATCTTTTATGATTCAATATTTAGGGTAATTCGAACAATTTTACAAATAACTCGTTTGACAACATTTTACTAAAGTAATTTGAGTAATGAGTTATTTCGAAATAACTTCTTTTACCACTATGCTTTTGCCAAATACCGCATGTCATTGTCAAATATCATATTTGCATGGTTCTACTAAACGAGATACTTTAATCCAATTACTACTGAAACAATACTAAAATACCAAATAAACAATTAATGGTGTCTTTTGGTTGCAAATATTGATATCACCATTACTATTAGCTAGTGTAATTTACTACGATTAATTACATAACAAGTTTGCAAGTAATAAAAATTGATTCAACATTTTGACTATTTTTTTTAATTAAGTTTATATACGAGGTAGAAAGAAATTGATTAAAATTTGAGAATAATAAATTAAATTAGTGTAATAAAACGTATAAGTTGGTAACGAGTAAGGAGTAAATTACTAGATGCGCTGACCCGAACAACCCGCAACTCGATCCGCCTGCAACCTGCCCAACCCAAAATCTAATGAGCCCGCAACTCGATTTGCCCACACCCCGATTGAATTCGAACCCGATAAACCCGCAACCCGTTTGAATCTAAACCTGATGAACTTGCAACTTGATAAACTCGCAACCCAACTAATGCGCAACACTATTGAACCCAACCGAACCTGCTCGGTTGACACCTATATCTAAAACAACAACATTTTTGTAAGTTGTATAATCGTTCGGGTGAGGCTTTTGTGTTGATGAGAAATTTGATGTACCCAACCGAACCTAAAACAAGTCATGGGCTCTTTTATTATTATTATTATTATTATTATTATTATTATTATTATTATTATTATTAGCACTTGTTGGACCGTTAATTCCTCCTAATTGAGGATACTCTTATTGTTCAACAAATTTAAACAACAAAGCAATGACAAGACGGACACTCGATCAGCGGATTCCAAGACAGCCCAATCACGAAAAAGTGAGGTGCGTTGGGCTGGACAAGGCCTGCATGACTAAACAGGTTTGGGATAAATATTAAATTCATATGCCAATGCACTTAACTCCATTCCGATGATTTATAAACAGTTAAAATTCATAACATCACCAAAATATCTAACAAATAATTCAAACCGTTTCCAAAAAAATCATACTTTTTAATTCAAGTTAAAAATTATGGTGCTACTTGGTAGTAAACCACGTAGAGTCAATAATGAAGTTGAAAAATGAGAAGAGGAAGAAGAAATAAAATTAATAATTATGATTTGATGATCTTAATTACATTAAAGTATTTTTTTAAAATATTAGTGATTAAAAACTTAAAATAGTGAATCAGTGGACCAGTTAAACCGTAGTGGTTCATTTGGTTTTATGTTGAATCGTGATAAATCTTTTAGTCCATCAATAACCTTCCAACCAATGGATCATACCGCTATTGTAACTGCTTCGACAGTTCTACTGGCCCATCCATTGATCCGGTTCGATTCTTATAACAATAACTATTTTCGTTTATCCCCCAATTTAGGGTGCAAGAGGTGAGGGTTACAGTTGATATTAGAATTATTATGTGGCAACTATTATTACATTTAATAATTCCAACAAGCCAAGAATCCACGAACGATTCTTAGGGTTCGTTTGGACAATATGAGTTTAAATCTACAGATTATCATCAATCTAAAGATTCCAACTCTTCGAATTGTTGAAAACAGATTTTAAAATGTTTATTGTTTGGTAACTGTGATTGTTAACAATCAAGTAAAATAAAAAATTCAATTTATATTAAATAACATGTTTATCCTTGATAAAAAAATTAGAGTGGTTCGAGAAATATAGAAAAAAAAACTTTGTTGATAAATATATTTCATGTGATAAATAAATAAAAGGAAGAGAAAAAATCTCATAAATCAGGATATAGAATCTCTCTGATTATGAGAGATTTGATATCCGCAGATTTTAGAGATTTGAAATCTTTAAATCTAGAATTCACAATACAAAAAGTAACAAAAAAACATAACTTTCTACAAAATCTACGGACAACCCCTTATATTTGAATCCAAAATTGGATTTTCTTATGACATATGATATAAGAAAATAAAATACATACTCGAATAGCCGGTATTCTTCTTGATGATCAAGGATTATAATAATATCGGATTGCGGCGATACTAACGTATTTAAGTTATTGTCGTTCTGTAAGACCATAATAAAAATGCAATCAAGAAAGAGGGGACTTATTTGTATGATAAAAAAAATTCATTCATGTCAATTGTTTCACAGGAAGAAAATCGCGAAAGCCCTTTTTATATATTGAAAGAATAAGTTTTGTTATTATAGAAAAGGGTAAAAGAATAAATGAAAGAAAAAATCGGCTAGTTATTAATCAAAATTTCTTGATTCAATGACCAGAATTAGATGAGGATATATAGCTCGAAGAAATAGAATAAAACTTTAGTTATTCGCATCAAAATTTCGCGAGGCTCATTCAAGACTTAGTCGAACCACTATTCAAAAAAAAAATAAGAGCTTTAGGTTATGTTTTGAATAAAAATGTGTTATCCGTAATTTTTAGGACTTTGCTACGGTGGCATGCACTTTTCGGTTGACCTCACATAGGATTAGGTCGACCTAATCTGTTGTTTCAGTGTAAAAACAGTTTCATGGTGCCTACTTTGGAGATTCATATCTTATAATTGGCTAGATGGAAATTGGAGATCAATGACTTGTTTTGAAGCTAAAGTGTCTCTCTACACATTAAAGTAATTGGGAGCTCAATAAGAAGTCCAGAACACCATTTTTGGACCTGATCAAAAGGCTATGCCAAAATTGGGAAACTACCTGAAAATGGCCAAGTCTGGGAACGTGTTTGTGAAGCCTACTTTGGAACTCAATTCGAGAAGCATGGATGCAAATCGAGTCCAGGGGCCTCTACCACGTTGAATTGAGTATGTTTTTATACAAAGTCAAGGCATTGGATGAAACATTGGATATCTGTAAGGCTTCAAACAAAAGGTTTGAAGTTGCTACGAAGGCTGTTTTTCTGGCAGCTTGCATGTGCTCGAAGTCTGCCAGAAAAAAAGTCTTCGTAGCAACTTCGACCCTTTTGTTTGAAACCTTACAGATATCCAATCTTTCATCCAATGCCTTGAATTTGTATAAAAACATACGTAATTTAACGTGGTAGAGGCCTCTGGACTCGACTCGCATCCATGCTTCTCGAATTGAGGTCCAAAGTAGGCTTCACAAACACGTTCCCAGACTTGGCCATTTTCAGTCAGTTTCCCAGTTTTGGCATAACCTTTTGATCAGGTTCAAAAATGGTATTATGGACTTCCTATCGAGCTCCCAAGCACTTCATTATGTAGAGGGACACTCCAGCTTCAAAACAAGCCATTAATCTCCAATTTCCATCGAGCCAATTGTAAGATATGAATCTCCAAAGTAGGCACCATGAAACTATTTTTACACTGAAACAACATATTAGGTCGACCTAATCCTAAATGAGGTCGACCTATTCCTAACTGAGGTCGACCGAAAAGTGCAAGTCACCGTGACATGCATGTCACCGTAGGTGCACCCTTTTACTACTAAGATAGCAAGAATAACTATAATAACTATTAAACAATAAATCAGAATTACTATCAAACTGTCTCGAATTGCTGAACGTGTTTGACTAGGGGAGACCAAAATTATCATAACCCAATGCACCTATCCAACGCGACCCAATTCATTCATATTTATTGCTAAAATTAAGGTTTAAAGTTGGATGGGAGTTTTCTTTTTGTGAACCGAATGCAGTCTAAGTCTATCTTTTATGTAAAAGCGAAATGATGTATAAAAGCGGAAGTGCAAGAGCAAAGAGTAAAAGCATAAGTGTTTAAACATTCTACAAATTTGATAGAAATTTCTAATTATAACTTTATTTTACAAACTATACACAAATAAGTGAACTAGCTCATATGTTAAAGATCACTCTTACACACATAAATTTTTAGACTTTTATACAACCATTCATTGTCTTCCTCCTGATTTGGGGGGAAAATAGGAGAAGAGGAATAGACAAATGATGAAGATATAAGGGATGCAGGCAACCTTCACTAATAAGTGAAAGTGGCGGCAAAAAAAAGAAGTTAAAAGGAGACGAGCTTTGACATAGGGTAATCACAAGGGTGGGAGTTGTTGATATGGGAAACGACACTGGAGGAAAAAAAGACGAGAATTGAGGAGTAGTGACAATGAATTAGGGATAAGAAATTCATAAAATGATGTAGCCCGGACACGGAACTCTCTTTAATCTGCCAAATAGACGCATGTCTCAAATCCCGAGGTCACCGAATGAGGGTCCCACCAAACTGGCGTCCACCGCCCCAAATCGAACCAGGCTTTGATACCACTTGTCATAACCGGGCTGCTCAATTAGTACGATATTGTCCGCTTTGGGCCAAGCCCGCATGGTTTTACTTTTGGGTGTCCTCCCCAAAAGGCCTCGTACTAATGAGCTTGGTGGACACTTATATACAAGGGTTCCTTCCCTCGTATTTCCGATGTGGTACTTTGATTGTCCCATAACAATCTTCCCCTCAAGCCAAGGACCACGAACTTCATGTCCTCAACTCAGCAATTATCTTGATCCGCCAGACGCCTTGTATTAGGGATGGCAAAAAAACCCGAACCCACGGGTATCCACCCGACCCAACCCGGTCAACGCGGGTAAAATCCGTGTTGACGGATTTTGGGCCGGGTTTGGGTTTAAACCTGTTCACTATTCACCGGGTTGGGTTGGGTTTGGGTTTAGGTAAACCCGACCCATGGGTACCCGCCCACACCCACGTAATTAATTTTCTCAGAAAATTTAATATTCTAAACAACTAATCTTATTAATGTTTGTGGAGACATGTCTAATTTTTTCTTTCTAGTAGTTGATGTTATCGAGGGGAGAGTGAAAAACTTAATTGAAAGGAAGATGCTTTCAATTAATCACGTTAATTATGGATAATTTGTGATTTGCTTCAATTTTCTTGAGTTTTCTTGATTGGTGTTGAACAATTGTATAGTTAATTTGTGATTTGCTTGGATTTTCTAGAATGGTGTTTTATATATGGATAATTTGTACTGAGAGATTGATATTTGACTTTAATTTTGATAGGAACCTGTTATTGTGAATTTTTTATGACAAAAACCCATGGGTACCCATGAATCCGCGGATACCCAGCGGGTTGGGTTGGGTTTGAGTTTTTCAAACCTAGTGGGTTTTACCCCGGGTTTTTTTCACGGATAAACCCATGGGTTTGGGTTTGGGTTTGGCAAAACCCGACCCAAACCGACCCATTGCCATCCCTACCTTGTATCAATGGGCTTCTCGGTACAATGAATTTACCAAACGCAGAACTCTATTTGATTTGCTTCACAAATGCGGAACTCTCTTTGATCCGCCAAACCCAAACGTGGATCTCACCTTGATCCACCAAACAGACGATCTCAAATCCTGAGGTCCACCAAACTGGCGTCCACCGCCCCGGATCCGCCGAACCAGGCTCGGATACCACATGTCATACTGGGGTGCTCAATTAGTACGATATTTTCCGCTTTGGGCCAAGCCTGCACGGTTTTGCTCTTGGGTGTCCTCCCCAAAAGGCCTCGTACTAATTGGGCTAGGTGGACACTAATATACAAGGGTTCTTTCCCTTGTATTACCGATGTGGTACTTGGATTGTCCCATAACAATTCTCCCCTCAAGCCAAGGATCACGAACTTTGTGTCTCACCTCAGCAATTATCTTGATCTGCCAAACGCCTTGTATCTATGTGCTTCTCGGTACAAGGACTTTACCAGATGCGGAACTTTCATTGATCCGCCAAACAAACGGGGATCTCTCCTAGATCCACCAGACAGACGCGGACCTCCCTTGATCCGCCAAAGCCCAAACATGGATCTCTCCTGGATCCACCAAACAGACGCGAATCACCTTTGGCCCGCCATACAAACGCAGATCTCAAATCTCGCCTTGTATCGATGGGCTTCTCGGTACAAGGACTTTACCAGACGCGGAACTCTCTTTGATCCGCCAAACAAACTTGGATCCTTCCTAGATCCTCTAGACAGACGCGGACCTCCCTTAATCCACCAAAGCCCAAACGTGGATCTCTTGTGGATCCACCAAACAGACGTGAATCACCTTGACCCGCCAGATAAACGCAGATCTCAAATCCAGAGGTCCATCGAATGAGGGTCCCACCAAACTGACGTCCACCACCATGAACCGGAACCAGGGCTTTGATACCACTTGTCATAACTGGGCAGCCCATTAATACGATATTGTCCGGTTTGAGCAAAGCCTGCACGGTTTTACCTTTGGGTATCCTCCCCAAAAGGCCTCGTACTAATGAGCTTGATGGACACTAATATACAAGGGTTCCTTCACTTGTATTACCGATTTGGTACTTGGATTGTCCTCATAAAAGAAAGGATAACTTTACCAAAAACAATCGCGTCATTTTTTCTCTTTTCGCTAGCAAAAATAAACCAATCCTACCCAATATGGTAGGGTGTGCAACGGTTCATTCCAAAGCGAATCGCACCAGGCCAAATCAACATTGAGACCGGATCACACCAGCAGAATATAATGTTGATTATCTTATGAATTTTATAAATAATAAAGAATAATTAAATTAGCCTTATTGATATTTGTAACGTACCAAACCTGACTACACTAGACCAGTTGCAATGTTAGTCTGATCCTTGGTCCTAAATTTTTAAGCTTTTGTTAGGCTTTAGCGCTTTTACTTGGACTTTTGGTGCAAAAAAAATTTCCAATATTTTGGCTTGGGGGAGGGGTGTGGGTGGTGTTAAGCGTTAGAGCTAGCTTTTAACTGCATTATCGAACCACCTCTTTGGGGGTTAGTATTGGGTTTGGGTTATAAGTTGGCAGCAAATAACATGCCTCATAATTAATCGCAATTCACAACTGTATATAATACCATTGTCAACCACATTCTATGGATATATTTCATTAAATATGAAACATTTTTGTTTTGCCAGTTTTCTTAAAACCCAGAACGGAGCGGGGATAATGAAAACTAGTTAATTATTAAGGATACACTAAAGCGATTAAGCGAATTGCTTAATTTGATCCGATATTGTAAAAAAAACAATTAATTTGATCCGAGTTGGGCCATCTGTCTACGCAACGCAACTTGATCTAGCTCGTGGGCACCAAACCGCTCATTGCCAGGGTGATTCGGGTCATTATGAAGAACGCCGAATGCAGAATCCACAAATTGGTAGTGAAGGAACAGTAGTGTATCTTTAGGGATCCAATACCCTTGCTTAGCGTAGGCGCTGCACTTAAATTAAGTACACGGATCCATCATTAGCCGGATCTGCGAGGAAAAAGACAATCGATTGAGTGAGCCGATGGCAACGGCAACGCAACAAATCCCACTACCGCCCAGCCGGCAGCCGGAAGGAATTCAGACAAACGCACTTTGCTTAGCAATCCAGACATATAAAGAGGAAAATAGAGGACCGACAGTTCGTCTGTTTCCTCCACAGTAATAGTAGGGAAAGGAAGCTGCAAATGCTCTGCATGCTGCACCAACATTCACCAAACAGAACCAAACTTGTTGTACTGGCTCTCGTACTCGTATGATATCCTCGGGGTTGCCCAGGATCGGTATATTAATGGAAATTAGGATGCAGTAGCGTCAGTGGCGGATCCAGGAATTCTACGTAGGGGTGTCCTCTATAAAAAATTAAATTAAATTAAATATTAGAATTAAATTAAATAATTATTAAATATGAAAATATCTAACTAATAAAAGTTTCATTAAAAGTTCATACGTGTTTCATCAAATGATAAAATGCATTTGGTGTTTATACTGCTCAACAAATATCTCTTGACATATCTTACTAGGATATCCTGTAATTGAGTTTAATCGTTATGTTTTGAAAATAATTTGAGATAAGAATAGCATCTTACTATTATATTTGGATATAAACAATAACAAATGAGTTGTAGCGTAATTGAAAATATATTAACTAATAGTGGTAGTGTCCCAAATTTAAATCACATAAACTACTACTTAAATATTATTTATACCAATAAGCAAACTACTGCGTGAGATTGGATAATCATTTTCCCAAATTTTAAAGGTGTCCCACTACCACATAAACATTTTTTTTCTCATACACAAATTACTATCGTAGGTTGAATAATCGTGTTTCCAAATTTTAGGGGTGTCCCGGGACACCCCTAACCATGCATGTATCCGCCACTGAGTAGCGTCCGTCTTCATGCCCAAAGAAAATTTAAATAGTTTTAAAGGATGTTATAATTTGGTTATGACGATAACTGTATAGTCAGTTCGCAGTTAACTATCAAATCTTGTACTTACCGTTAACCACACCGTTTATGTTAGTCAGTTAACCGTAATCATATAGTCGGTTATTGATTATATAGTCAATTAGTTGGATAATCGTTAACCAATTGATTCAGCAAGTTTATACCAAAATAATCGATCAGTAGCCTAACTAATTAACGGGAGGCCTCCTCCTTTTTCAATTGTGCATTTTTGTTAATTGTTTCCTCCATACGTATATGTTTTTTTATGTTGTTATCATTGAATAAAAAAATTAGGCAAAATACAGCTGTATATCCACAACTATCAGGTTTGTGACAAATATATGCATAACTATCGAAATACACGAAATATCCATTTTCGTCCACTCCGTTAACTCCGTCAGTTAACTTGATGACTGGACAGACGTTGGATTCTTAGTTGGCATGCTTCTGGCCCCACTAAATGACGTGGATTAAAAGAGAAAAACAAATTAGGCAAAATACAGTTGTATATCCACAACTATCAAGTTTGTGACAAATATATCCACGACTATCGAAATATACCAAATATCCAAAAATCGAAAGGTTGTGTAACAAATCTATCCACTTTCGTCTGAAACTATAACGACATGTCAGACGACGTCAAATTGACTAACAAAATGCTGAATCGATGCCATCTCACCTGCCATAAACCAAAAAGCAACCAAACTTTACACCGTTATCTGTTAGACCTCGATGTTGTAGTCTTCTCTGTTGGCGATTTTGTTAGATTTAAACTTGGTATCACCATGGCACCGACTGCATGGAAGCCGTCGGAGTAAAAGGGAGGAAATGGTTGGGGATTGTGGTTGGAATCAAAATCTGGGCTTGGGATAGGGTTATTTGGGGGTGGAGGCGTCGATCGGAGGAAATCAGTGGTTATCGGGCGTGTTTCTAGGTTGAATGTTTAGTCTCGCTGTCTGTGGTTTTTAGGGTTTTTAATTTTTTTCTCTTTTAATCCACGTCATTCAGTGGGGTCAGAAATACGTCAACTAAGCATCCACCGTTTGTCCAGTCATCAAGTTAACTGACGGAGTTAACGGAGTGGACGAAAATGGATATTTCGTGTATTTCGATAGTTGTGGATATATTTGTCACAAACCTGATAGTGGTGGATATATTTGTCACAAACCTGATAGTTGTGGATATACAGCTATATTTTGTCTTTATTCAACTAGCCTATTTGGCATCTACGTGTAAAGTTTGGTTGCTTTTTGGCTTATGTGTCAGGTGAGCTGGCATCGATTCAACATTCCGTTAGTCAATTTAACGTCGTCTGACACGCCGTTATAGTTTCAGACGGAAGTGGATAGATTTGTCACACAACCTTCCGATTTTTGGATATTTCGTGTATTTCGATAGTTGTGGATATATTTGTCACAAACCTGATAATTGTGGATATATAGCTGTATTTTGCCAAAAAATTAATTAAAATAAATATCAATCTATAATCAACTCAATCCAACACAAATACACAATAACACCATTCTTTCTACCATCAAATTTGATTAAAGAAGCTTACAAAAATAAGAGACCCAACAACAATGAATCAACTCATAAACCCCACCAAACTAAATGGAAGCTTAAATGTTGCTTATTTTGTCGAGCTACGGTGCATAAGCCCAACTTTCTACTGTGGTCCTTCTAAAGCTCTTCCTTAAAATTATTCTCATTTGAACCTACGTTACTATTGTCCAAGAAAAAATAACTACTTCACTATTACAACTAGAGTACGCAAGAGATCTTGTAGTCCTTCAAACAACCCATTATTTTTTCCTATGCCTGCAACTCATCGAGCCCTATTATTTTCGGTCCTAACTATGAGGATATCGTAATTGGTTAGTCGGTTAGTCATTTAATCGTTGATTACTAACTGTTTAATCGTCGATAAATAATTAGCTAAATTTGACTACGAGGAACCGATAATTTACTGTTTACTCAATTAACGATGTAACCATTAACCGATTATCGGTTACGGCGCTAACACTATAACCGTTCACCAGCCATAAATACAATCAGTTGCTACTGCTCCACACTATTATTTTCTTTGTGCAGGGCACTAAACGATATCCTTACATAAATTTAATCTTAGTACGGTCAATGATCGAGTGTGTAAGTCAATAAGTCATAGTTATTTGTTTTAATATAACTTTTGACCCCATGATTTTGAGTGAAGTCAAATCTGAAAGGTGAGATTAAATACCTTTTATTTTTTTAATTGGTTTGTACTTTCTTTGTTTTAACTTGAATTGCAAAAAAAAAAAAATTTGCAAAGAAGGAATGGACTCGTTGTGATCTTCAAATTATATCAATTTCTAATATATTTGGAGAAAACAATTGCATACTACCCGTTACCACACTAGTACCACTTTGTATCACTTTCATTTTTAATTCAAAATTTGAAATTTTTTGCATATGGTGGTATATGGTGATCTACAAATTTTTGGGTGGGAAAATTTTTGGGTGGGAAAATTCTAGGACCAAATATACCACCTTATACTATCCTGGTATATGGTGGTAACGGGTGATAGACTGTGATTAAAAGTGCTAAGTAGTGATTAGTATATTCCTACTATCATCAAGTATATAATCATTCTATACTCTCATGTACACATACTATCATGGTAGACTTTCGTACCACCATAGTGTAATCTTATGTACTACCAAAGATTATCATTATGGTAAAGACTAATAATATATGTCTCAATTTTTTTTATTTTTTTTTTATTTCGAATGATGTCATTTTGAAGAGCACGGTTAATATGATTTTTCTATGCAAAACATTGAATTAGGACTTAAAAGGAATAAATATAGCTCTTTAAAATTAATTGAAAAAACTAATTATTGTACACAATTGAGTTTGACCGGATCTACTCAGAGTTCAGCGAATGTGGTATCAGGATTATTGATAATTATATCAATATATGGCACCTAAAAAATTCATAAATAACAAAGGAGAAAAACAACGAGTACAATTTTTCACAATAAAGTCGAACTAAAACAGGCAGAGGAAGGAAAAGAGTATTGGTTCTGCCTCAACTAATATATCGGAGGCCTAAGCTTTAAGCCAAAGATAACATGATTATATGTCCATTTCATATCCACGTCATCATTTGGTAATTCCTAGGTTTCTACACTCACATCTCAATTCTCATCCCTGCAGGCTATATCACTCCCTGATCTATTATTAATTTTCATTTCATATTTCATCTTCTTCATGTGCGCTGTTTAATGAGGATGAGTTCAGGTGTTAAATCTGAATGTTAAAGAAGTTTTTAAAGTTAATCTCAATCTTAGATTATTAATTTATTGAGATTAATTTTTCGATTAAGTTGATTGTTAAGTAGTTAAGGGTAATAAGATATTTATTTTGTATCACTTTGTGGTTCTTGTTAATGCAAGTTACTTTTTTCGTCAAAAAAATATTTATTTTGTATTTTAAATTAAAATCATTTAATATTCTAATCAATGGAGCCGGCCGTGTAGGGTTTAGTTTTCTTTTCTCATACGAAAGTCGAAACGTAGCTAAAGTGCTAAACCCAAAAGCTCAGCCGTCTGGGAGAGACTAGCGAGAGAGGAAGGTGAAAATATTTCATGTATTCATTAATATTTAGGATAAAAACTATTTATTAGTCAAAATTTTTGAATTTTTTTATTAGTAAAATCAATCGAAATACTAAGAATTAGTTAATTGTTAACTTTTAGTTAGCAATTTTGTTAGTAATATTGACTCGGCAACATGATACTAACTTTGAAGAGACACATGAATGTCAACATTCCAAAATTTTAGTATTTTAACTAAGAAAAGAGTTTCAAAATTATTAATTATAACGTAAGAATGACTAATACTTTGATGCATTACGAAAGATTTGACTAATTAATAGCATTTTAATAGGTTTGGATAATATAAAAGAATCTGAAAAAGATTTGGATAAAAAATTGAAATCCATAGAACGAAGAAAATAAGAACCGATTAATTTATTCACAACCCTTACATCTAGATTTAGTTACTCGTTAATGAATAATCAATGATTACTAACCCTATGTTGGAATGTGAGTTAGAGGTTTCAAGACGATTTGAATGCGGCAAGGAGAGTGATGGATTAGATTGTCATGATTCTACTATTATGTTTACTAATAAATATATTAACCATTAATTTAGAATATCGAGATTGCTTTTTTAGGCATTTCCCCCTTCTCTCTTTTATTAATCTAATGGTTCCCATATCGTAAAAAAAAAACTAATGGTTCCTATGAATTCACTTAATGATCAGACCGAACCGGGTTAATGAATAGAGGATAGCAAACGATCAACATTAGCCAAAGTACATACTAAGCTCTACCTAACATGTCAGAACAGAAGCGTGGCAATCAATAATCCAGATCAACACAAACGAACACAAATTTAACGTGGTTCACTAACACAATGTGTGCTAGCTAATCCACGGGTAGGGGAGAACAAATTTCACTAATTTGAGGAGAGTACAGGTTAGAAACCAAATTCCAAACGGACAAACCAAACAAACTAACCTGAATGACCTTTACTACAGACTAGGGTGATGAAGAGTATTTATAGAACTCTTCTCATAATCTTAAAGAGAAAACCAAACACCTTTTCCACAAACATACAAGGAAAAGGTCAAACAAAGCCCAAACACAAACCCAAACTAAATAGGCCCAAACACAAAACAAACCTAAATCGAATTCAAGTCATATTCTAACAATCTCCACCTTGAGTTGAATTCTCTCTCAAATACCAAATGTACCAGACGCAACCAAAGTTGCCAGATGTATCCAAACGCGATACATATCGCCAGACGTATCCAAATGCGATCGAAACCGCCAAACTCAAAACGCGATGCCAATCGCCAAATTCAGATGCAATCAAAAATTGCCAGACATAACAAACTCTCCAAATCTCCAAATGTGACATAATCTCCTCCAAATCAGCTGTACCAGAATCTCCCCTGCCTCCAAATGCCCCTAAGGGCGATCAACAAATCAAAACATGCAGCAAGTCCAACCCATGTTGGGACTTGCCATGCAGAACCAGCTTGGTGTTATTTCCGTCCATAGCACCAACATCAAATTTACTGCTAACTCCAAGCCTGCAACTCCAAATTGACTTCTCGATCTTCATACTGATAGCAGCCATTCTTACCATCAAACAAACTCCGCAAAACAAAACTTCAGTCAAGCGCCAAACTCCCAAAACCGCAACCAAAGGCTCTGATACCACTTGTCGGAACAGAAGCATGGCAATCGATAATCCAGATCAACACAAACGAACACAAATTTAACGTGGTTCACTAACACAATGTGTGCTAGCTAGCTAATCCACGGGCAGGGGAGAACAAATTTCACTAATTTGAGGCGAGTACAGGTTACAAACCAAATTCCAAACGGACAAACCAAACAAACTAACCTGACTGACCTTTACTACAGACTAGGGCGATGAAGAGTATTTATAGAACTCTTCTCCTAATCCCAAACAAAAAACCAAACACCTTTTTCCCAAAGGAAAAGGTCAAACAAAGCCCAAACACAAACCCAAACTAAATAGGCTCAAACACAAAACAAACCTAAATCAAATTCAAGTCATATTCTAACATAACAATTAATATTTTTATTGAATTCTCAACTATACAAATCAAGTAATGCATGTGCATTATCCTGTCCGAACTCCCTTTTTCTGACTCCCAATTATGCAATAATAATAACAATAACAAAAATATAGTGTGATTAAGTTTAACGGGAACATAAATTGAATTCATATAAAAAAACGACCTAACTCTCTCCTAGATTTTCGATATATTGTAGGGGTGGACCGGAACATAAATTGATGCGTAGTGCATGGTCCATGAAATCGTAACGAAAAAGTCAGCAGTAGGATATTTTATGACAAAATCGTGGTTTAATCATAGTTCAACGGTTAGTATCGTTAAATACCGCTTATCAGTTTAGCCTCCAATACTAATATTTTATGGTTGAACCGCCAGTACAATACGATTTCATAGACCATGGTGTAGTATATCTTCCTTCTTGTTGTTAGATGGTGCTTGTCTATTTGGGGCCCATTTGCCCATATCTCCTGTCCAAGTTTCCGGTTTCCACTCTCAAGTACCAACCTTCATTGTTCTTTTGTGTACACTAATGTTCTCTATCATATTTACACTCAGCGTGATTTTGGTGATTGTTTGGTAGGATAGTTACAATGCATAATGCATGTATTGTTCATAATGTATTTTTTTTATACAAACAATACATGCATTGTAAGCTTGATGTGACATATGAGTGATAATTAAATCTCAAATTTTTTGTGAGATTGTTGAGATTGTTTGATTGAGATTACTTTCTTCCTACTATTTCTACCTTTTAATGTGTGTTGCTTTCTTATATGAAAAACAAAAAGTAAAAGTGACATTTCACCCAAAAAATAATATAACTCATTTAAATACTACAATAACTATCACATAAACAAAACGAAAAAAATTACAATACATCATGCATTGATAACAATACATCAATTTAACTATTACCAAAATCAAACAACTGTTGTGGCAGTTAGTTGTAAAAAAGGGTTGACAGACACAACTTGTGGTGGAATTTGTCACATTGTGTGGGATTTTTCAAGGGCTAGCAGAAGTTCATCTTCATCATCACGTGAACAGACAATTGAGCTAGGATGCTTAATACCTAAATTTCATAGGACATTCTAACATATATTTTTTCTTAAGACATTATTTTTGAAAAAATTCGAAGAATTAACATTGCTTAGAATTTTTTTCAATATAACAAGATCACTATCAATAGTTTTCTGATACATTATTTGAGATAAAGTTGATAACATTCACATAACGTACGTAGTTCCAGTATCCACACCACATACTTCGAATATTTTGTGTAAATATTCAAACCACATTGTGTAAACACTAGAATTGCATTATAAGAGTAACATCAATATTATCTTCAAAAAACGTGTCAAAAAATATTTATATTGGTTTTGTAGATTGGAAAATTAATGCTAAGCGAGTTATATTTTCTTCAAACTTTTTTTTCAAAATTATGACGTCTACCTACGGTAAAATCCAAAAGAAAAAAGAAAAAACATTTTAGCTAAAGGAAACGTAATGAATTCCTCTATACTACGTGAGTTTTTTTTTTTTTTTTTGTTAAATATAAATTCTTCATCACCCTCGATAGCTAGCTAGCTAGCTAGCTTTGGGACATCGTCACATGCTACAAAATCCAAGATTTAATGACCAATTTGATTTCCTTCCACTCTCCCCCTTAGACTAGAGGGACCGAGCACGATAAATTTCCCGCAACTATATATTATAGGTTAGGTTGCGAGGTACATAACAATAATTGGTTTTGGGAGGAGAAGTCAGAAGGCGGAAAATGTACGTACGTAGCTCACTGGAAAAGATGATCAGTTAACATCAGGAGCCCGTTTGGGAAACTCAAGGCCAGCACGAAAAAAGGTGACTTTACATGTAGAACAACAAACCACAGCACGGGTTGAGAGGGAGAAGGCGTTGGAAAGTTTGTGGAATAAGGAAAGGGTGACGAAGAAAGAATCTTATCAATCACATTCTTACCTTTGAAGGCTTTGGAAATAGGGATGATGACAATTTCTAATTTAGATCCGTGCAACTGTCCATCTGTTTGGGGTTGGGCATTATTCAATCGGTACCGGTGTGGAATGGGATATGCGTATTGCTTTCGACTTGTCCTTTTTTAGCCATTTCGTTCGTTCTCTACCCGTTTTATCATAATTTGTATCATGGCTATTGCTTTCGACTTGTCCCTTCCTAGTCATTCCGCCTTTTCTCTACCCGTTCTATCATAATTTGCATCAATATTTATATGTATTCCTCCTATCTTTCTAAAATTATAAAGAATATCATTTTAAAACTATATCTTTCAACTATTTATACTCTATTATTCATTCTAATATATTTTTCATTCATTTTGAAGTATTTTCTCTGTATATTCTTGTAAAATAGTTAGATATCAGCATTTTTCCAAAAAAACAAATATAAGAATGGTTCACTTGCCCTGCACTTTACCCGTACGGATATTACCCAACCTGAATCGTGCTTAATGCATGAAGGGTATGGATATTGAGATACCCGTCCCATTGACATCACTACGTGGAAATAGAGCTATCTTTGTCTCTTACCAAAAAAAAAAAAGGTTATCTTTGTCGCGCAAAAAAATTGAAATATAAACATACAAGCTTGTTCCTTTTTGTATAGTTAGATCGCGAATATGTTGAACTCCACTGCTATACTTGTAAGTATGAGTACTCACCTGTACAAAACAAAACAAAAATGTTAAGCGACAAATTCAACTTTGTGCTACGACCTAAACTTTTTATACAATTTTCTTATGATACAAACTGCATCAATATATTTAACATTGTGCTACAAATTCAGTTTGTACACGTACTACACATATTTTGTAAGGCACAAATGAGATTTGTTGTCGAACTTAAGCAGCTGTGCTTCTGAATGTTTGTAAAATTCCCAAATATGAAAAATGAGACTATGGGTAAAAGGGACGGGCGAGAATCCACCAACGATCAATCCCCATCGCATTTGATTTGGGACCAAGCTAGGCGAGTGGCGTGCTACCGCATCATACATTGAATTGGAATGGATGGTGAGAGAGACGGTGGTGGAGTGGATATTTTTAGCAATGACGGGTGAGGAGTTTGTATTCTTTAATCTTTAGGGTTCATCCGGGAAGAAAAAATAATTGCGCTTGATGTCGTATTGTGTGTCTCAACTCTCAAGTCATAAATCCGTCTGCGGCCACACACACGCAGCCGCTAGAACTTGGACGAATGACCTACCAAAACTACGTACAACATTAATTCATATATGTAGTAACGGATCACAAATCACAATAGCGTAGAACCCAAATTTCCCATTTTTTTTTTCTTTATAACCTGAGACTAAATTTAGCCTTATCACAGTAAACTAAGTTTATATCCAAAAAAAAAAAAAAAACAAGAAGAAGACGTTTATTTGACGTTGTGTTGGGATGAATAGCTTTGAAAAGCTATAAATGAAATTCCTAATTAATTATCCAGTATTTTCCCATAATACATAAATAAGATGGATAATTAATAAAAGGAATATTATGGAGATAATTAGAAACAATTATCTTAATAGATTATATTTTAATTATGAGAGTAATTATCTCCCTAATTAAAATATGTCTTATTCCCAAAGAAAGAGGGAATATTCTGGGTTTTCTGCTCCTATAAATAGGAGACGCCCCAGACCCTCTAAACACACCTCAGAAGAGCAGAAACACGAGAGAGAGTGAATTCATAGAGCTCCGGTTTTTCGCATAAAACCGATGAGCAAGAAAATTAGAATGGATGTTTTATCCTGGAGGCAACCGACTAATAGTCTATTGTGCGCAATACGAGGCAGTACCACGAACGTCTTAAAGAGAGCGATCTAGTCCGCGACTCAGCCAGATCGGTAACCCTAATTTTTTATGTTCGATTTCTAACAATTTTAAGACGTGGGGTTTCTGTCATCATTACCTAACAGGATACCGATATTGGCCTGAACGATTTCTATCACTCCACCCGCTACCTTGCTCTGACCGTTGCCCTTGAGAAACGCTCCGATCGTCGCACGAATCAAACCCTGATCGTACGGAAGCAGACCGAGGAAAGAAGCGCAAAGACGACCCTGTAGCTAATCTTCCGATGGCTGTCAATTGTGTCCCATCACGTGGGAACAAATAATCTGGATGGGAAGCCGCCTGGAAGAAATTTGGCTAGAATTCGTATGCTGAGAACCCTTGGATATTACTATATTAGGGTAAATTCTTTATTTGCGACGGTGCAAGTAATAAAAGGAAGCTGAAGAGAAAAGACGATCAAAGATGTTCTCAACTAATATTGTGGATACTTTTGTCTCGTAATTATTTAATTCCTTTTTCCTGTGGGCTTTTTGTTGTTTATCCGGCTGCTTAAGTGTTAGCAGTTGATTAGCTTAGACCATGGAGCTGACGAAGTCTTAAAGGGAAAGGAAGCAATTAAGTTATTGCACGGAACAAAAGGATAACAACGAAGTTGAAAAGAAGAATTCGAGTGGGCTGCTCTCACTTCTCAAAGCCCAGGAGAAAAACAGTGTCCACCGAGATAAGTATATTGGATTACTACATCAATTAATTAATGAATTCCGCTCTTGTGCCAAATATTGTGGATTTCTTACTCGAACGTATGAATTTAAGGCATGCTCTGGTGTAATTAACGACGGGCTAGAGCCTGAATTTTGGGAAATAATGGAGGCCTCTCATACACATATGGTTCTGGGAGAGGTGATGCCCCCGAAGCATGAAAATGAGTTGTTCCTGTGCGACAAGAGAAATAAAGAGGAACAAAGAAGCTAATTATGTTGTTAGCTATCGGTTGCAAAATCAGAAGGCAATGGTTTCTTGAAATGAGGTAAGAATTGAAACCTTCCTCATGAGTCATTAATGAATGACAAATTTCATTGGGTTTTATGCATGAAATTTAGAAAGGAAGCTTGAATTGATGCATGATAAGTTGACATTGAGATATATTACGTATCTCGATGATTAGAATACATGCTATGGAAAGAATGATTTTGTCTAAATGTGTGCACTGAAGAATATATGGGAATAGAATGGGTTAATTGCCCATAGTGATGGTATTGTAAGAAGTACCGTTGTCAGTACTAGATGAACCATTGGGGTTGCTCTGAAACATTAAAGTTTCAAGAATGAGAGCATCAAGCCGAACCAGATCCACACCAAATAGAATGGTACCCTTTGTGGTAACCATAAGATTGTCACTCAATCCTCTAAGAATGACGTTATGTTTCTCAATTAAATTTGAGAAAAACTAGGTCATATGACACTAAAGTGTTAGAGCAAGTTTAACATAGTATTGTGTTAACTTGATTAAAGAAGAGGATTTGGCAATAACAATCGCTTAGGTGATGACAGAGGTTAGCCTTAATGGTAACTCTGGAGAATGGTTGCTGGATACTAGCGCCCCAAGGCATGTCTGTGATAGACGATTTAAGATGGATTCTTTTTTGGGACGGGTGTGTCCTTGTAAAGAATTAGAATATCTAAAGTCACATTCCCATATTATTCTCGAACGCTTGAGAAATTTTGTATCCACGCAAAATGATCCATAAAATATGTGGTTAGAGAATTAGAATCAATAGATCTGATTTATGTTGATATGGGTAAACTTGATGGAAAAGACAATAAATGGTTTATTGCTCTTTAGAGTGTTGTGATTGTCTAACTAGTTATTCGAAATAGTTTGAAATGCCTAGTTGCATTATGATTGCACTGATTATTCGATATGTGGCATGTATGTGGTAGCGTTAGAGAATCAGTGACATGATAACTAGAACAGCATATGAGTGTTAAATTATTGTAAAACACATAAGCCTATGAAATGAATTACTCATTAGTTTGTGAAAACCATTGATGTCAATAGATTCCATTTATATTAAGAAATAGTGGGGGTGATATCCTGCCTACTATTAGAAATAATGGATAACTAGTGGGGGTGATGAATCTGAGTATGAACTCAGAAGAGACAAATGAACCATAAATCACGAAAGGATTTGGTTATGAGTTTGTTATTTACACCCTAAGAAAGATCCTACAAGTCTGCTAGAAGTTCAAACTTCTGTAAAGTGCAGATTTGTGGGAGAATCCATTATTAACGAAATGGAATTATTTGAGTCTAATAGACTTAGAATCTTGTAGAGTTACGTCTTGGCTGTTAAGCCTTGGGTAATATATCGATGGAATCGAACAAGATTTGGCATCTATGAGAATTACCTATTGCCAATGAAGTCATGGGTAATAAATGGATTCTTAAAAAAAAAAAACTAAAACCTAATGGTTTAGTTTATGAGTATAATGATCGCCTAGTAGTTAAGACTCTAGGCGGGGGGAATGTAGATTTTCTTGATATATATTCACCAATCTGAAATAACATCCATGTATGGTCTGATTGCTAGTGGTGCATTAGATGGATGTTAAAATTGCATTTTGTGAATGGTGATTTAGATAAAGAAATCGAAATTGGGACAACCTAAAAGGTTGTTATTATTGAACATGCTTTTAAAGTCTATGGTGAGACAAATCATGGTATGATTTGAAACAGACTTTAAAGATCATGCATGGATGGATGGTTATCTCTCATGGTTTTGAATGAAAGTGGCAAGTGCATTTGTTACTAACTTGAGAACGACACTTGCACTATAAAAGACATGTTGATCTTTGTTGCAAAGACTCATGACATGAATAAATGTGAAAAACCATGTTGAGTGAGAACCAAATAACTAGGATAGTGAAAGAAATTTTTTATAGATCAATCTAACTGTCTGGTTAAGATCTATAAGAAATACAAGTTGTACACTTGACTAAATGTTTGAAGATGCTAGTACAATTTTTTAAAAGAGCACCAGAGACGGTGTAAGAAAGTAAGAACATACTAGCATCGATAGTCTGCGAGAGGCAGCTGATAAACATGAGACCCGACATAGTGGGATACTTGGGAGGTTTACAGGTTTTCCTAGTATGAAGCATTGAAATGCTATTGAAAGGGGTCATGAGATGCCTTAAGAGAACAGTAGACCTTGATATATGTTATCAACGGTTTCTTGCTGTACTAGTAGGGTATATTGATGCGGATGAGAATACCCTATAGAGGCTCCAAGATAACCAGAAGTTATGTTTTAAACATCGATAGAGAAGTTCTGTCTTGGAAGTCTAAGAAAAATAAGTAAACGATCTTGGCTCAATCAAATATGGAATCAGAAATGATAGAACTAGCAATGGCTAGTAAAGAAGAAAGTTGATTGAGAGGGTCATTACTAGAGATTCCCTTACGGGAAAGACCGTATCCGCCGGTATTGATCCATTGCGATAGCAATTGCTAAATAGAACCGTAACAAATGGTAAGAGGCGACAAGTTCGTCATGAGAACAGTACTGGAAGAGAGAGTCCCTAGGATCACTTAAAAGAGAATCTAGTTTATTCTTTGACGAAAGGATGAACTTGAGATTATAAAAGAATCTAGTTGGTCCTTTGACGAAAGGACTAGCTAGAGAGAAAGTCCAAAATACCACGAAGGGTATGTGACTTATGCCTACCGAACCATGGATTACAAGTGATGGTAACCCGACTCGATTGACTGGAGATCCCAAGAAACGGGTTCAATGGGTAATAACAAGTCATGAGTAATATTGAGAAAAGTTCATGCATAGTGAAGCATGAATCCCAAAGCCTTGGAGGTTGAGTTAAACTCTTAATGAGATCTATACTCTATGTGGAGTGAAGTACTTTACTTTGGGGGTACTTCTGATAGACTCACCTATGTGAATGTGGGAGTGGGGCCGCTCCCTATGGAACTTTGGAGGCACAAAGTTGCTGGAGTGTTCACTAAACCGGGATAACGTGCATGGCCATAAACGCACGGCCTATGAGAGAATATCACTCAATGAAAAGATCTGGTGTGCTACATTGTCTGAGATAGGGTTCAAGACTACGAGTCACCCTTATGAAATCGGAAGTGTAACCACTACGCTAAGGTTCAAATCTTCGCGATACCTTAGCTTATGCCCGATCTTATGGAACTGTTGATGCTCAAGATAGTTTCAAAACTATTCAAGTGGGGGATTGTTGGGATGAATAGCTTTGAAAAGCTATAAATGAAATTCCTAATTAATTATCCAGTATTTTCCCATAATACATAAATAAGATGTATAATTAATAAAAGGAATATTATGGAGATAATTAGAAACAATTATCTTAATAGATTATATTTTAATTATGAGAGTAATTATCTCCCTAATTAAAATATGTCTTATTCCCAAAGAAAGAGGGAATATTCTGGGTTTTCTGCTCCTATAAATAGGAGACGCCCCAGACCCTCTAAACACACATCAGAAGAGCAGAAACACGAGAGAGAGTGAATTCATAGAGCTCCGGTTTTTCGCACAAAACCGATGAGCAAGAAAATTAGAATGGATGTTTTATCCTGGAGGCGACCGACTAATAGTCTGTTGTGCGCAATACGAGGCAGTACCACGAACGTCTTAAAGAGAGCGATCTAGTCCGCGACTCAGCCAGATCGGTAACCCTAATTTTTTATGTTCGATTTCTAACACGTGGTTTATAGTCTATCAACGTTGTCAAACCGGTTTGTGCCAGTGTGCCGGTTTAGCAAGTGTAATGGTTCAACCGGTGGCACATACTGGTTTGTGCCGGTTCATGCCGGTCAATATTATAAATAAAATTATAAAAACTTATATTTAAACATGACATTTAACATCAATAGCTAAACATTTATACTTGAATCCAACAAATAACATCAATATTTAAATTTTATGCTCATAAAATAAATAATAAAAATAATTTTTATCAATTAAATTCACTAAAATAAGGTCATTTTACTTAGAGATTCGTATATCGATCATGCCGGTCATACTGGTGATGTCATACCGGTTTTATGACCGGTACTGGTTGAACCAGGTACAACCGGTGGCACGCCGGCCGGCGTGACAACCATAACTATGGTTTGATACCGACTTCTTCTCCTATCAAACCTTTTTCTTTCAGATGTCGGTCGATGAGGAAAACAACCAAGATTCTCGAAAAAGGTTAGGGTGCTAACACTTTTTTTTGTTAGCATTATGCTAACACTAAATTCAACCAATATGAACATTTCGTTTGGATGACTTTTTAATTTAAATGAGTTGACCACAATTAATGAAGGGAAAGGGGAGGAGGGGCACGCTTGGTATTATGGAAAATTGGAGGAAGGGGTATTTCACGTGTATCTTGTGCAATTAAAGTTGTTTTGAAATTACAATTATCCTTACCATATTTTAATTCTATTTTGGACAATATAACTTTCAAAACAGCTTTTCGTAGAAGCTCCAAATCGAAACTTCTGCTTTTATTTTATACAAAAATAATTTTTGGCTTTTCAAAAGCCGAGCTTTTAGAGGTGTTTGGCCCTACTTCAGCTTTTGCAGCCAAAAAGCACATCTAAAAGCAGGGCCAAACATAGGCATAGTAAAAAACACTTCCAATAGTTTCTCAGCCAAACACTCAACTACTTTTTTTGAAAAGTACTTCTCTAAAAGCTCAAGCTTAAAGTTGCTTCCGCAAAAACTACAACAGGGCCAAACTAGCTTATAATTAGTTTCAGAAATTCGACCAACCAACTCATTACCGCCAAAATTCCTAGAGCGAGAGGTAGAGAGATCAATATGGGGTGGCTGAAGGTGAAATGGAAACAAATTTGCCTTTTTCCATCTTCACAACGGCGGGATTTCCTTCCATCCTAGGAGCTGAACTCGCGCAGCATTAGTCGGAGCGACCCAGATTGCGCTGGCAATCATGCAATCGAAGATGAATGGTCGGGTGAAGCTGTTCACGCGCCGTTGGTGGCAGAAGTCTAGTCCATAAAAAATTTTAGAATGACAAAGGTGTTGTTGGCACAACAGGACCAGGCGAAGGCTACGATCCGACATGCGTCCGTCTCGTAGTAGTAGTGGCGAAGGAGGATTAGGGGTGTCCATTTGGGTTCGGTTTTTCTGGTTTATCCGAAACCGATCCGATTATATACATTTTCGGTTTTTCGGGTTCGGCTTCGTTTTGGGTTTCGGGTTTTTTGGTTTCGGGTTCGGTTTTGCTTATCGATTTTTCGGGTTTCGGCTAAAAACCTTCAATGAATAGAACTCAACCCGTATTCTTAGGCGTTCGGGTTTTCAGGTTTCGGTTTTGCTTTAACCGAACCCGAACCCGATAAGGAATTTTCGGGTTTCGAGTAACTGGAACCCGCAAGTCCTTATCGGGTTCGGGTTCGGTTTTAGTAGTTTTTGTTTTTCGGGTTTTTTGAGTTTTTTCGAGTTTCGGTTCGGATAACCAAACCCGACCCGAACTGACACCCCTAAGGAGGATGCAGCGGAAGTCATTTTTGGACCTGGCGATGGAGACGGATCCGTGTGGGCAGCTGGTGGAAGGGGATGGGATTTGAGGGGACGAGATGCGGAGGGAGAAGGGTATAGTTACGATTATGCACATATAATAAGTGTTAGCAGGGTGCTAACATTATAGGTGTAAAAATGCAAGATTTCAATTTGTGAAGACTGGCGAATTTTTTCAACACACTTTTTGGGAGGGTTGGAGGTACTTTCTTGGCAGCTATCAAAATTAACTGCAATCCTCAAATCTTGAGTTATTAGAAGGAATTCCTGCATTCAGAGTGAAAGTATGAAGGATATTTTGGTCTTCACAAATCACAATTACTTTTTTTTATTCACTAAAAAGGCACGACTAAGATTCAAACCGTGATCACTTTAAAAAGAAACAAAGACCATAACCAATCATACTAAGTACATTTGTTATATCTTTTTAAATTAAAAACATATAATAGCAAAGAGGGAAAAAACATTCCCCCATTTCAAATTCTCTACTCCAAGAGCATTTGTAGGAAGGGTAGAATAGTGAGTGTCAATTATTTCTTTTTTTCATCTGTGGAACAGGCCAACTTACCATACACATGCCGGTTTAAAGGGTTCAGGAGTGTCAATTTTTTTCTTTAACCCCTTTTATCGCTCCGTGGTGGTAAAATATATATTAAAAGACAAAAACAATACTCCTTTTTATTTCTAAAAAGAAAAAAAAATTAACAATAAACTAATGCATGTATTCTAATGGACTAACCGCTAACCATAAAATAAAAGAGTTGAATGGGTCTGACCTACACGGGATTTAGTCATCAAGTAAAACAAATGAACATCATGGGTTTGTCATTCTAAAACAAGCTATTTTCTTTAGCATAACATATATTATGCTATTATTTTATATCTTAGTGGCTAAAATATAATATATTTTAAAGTTATTCAATGGTTCAACCTCGACCAACCCAATTAGTACAATCTTTATCATTTCGAACATATATTATGTAATTATTTGATATCATAATGATTAAATTATAGTGTATTTTATAGGGAATCGTTTGGTATTTGCTAGTCAAAAACTAAACAGAAAGATCTATTTGGTTATTTTTAACATTAAAACGATCCTAAATATTTTCAGTTTCCTTTCAAATTTCTATAGTTTTATTCCCGAATCAGTGATGTGCAAATGGCGAATTGCAGTCATCTCTTTTCTTTTACTATTTTTTTATTTTCAAATAGAAAGTTTAAAAGTAAAAAATAATTAGAGTTTGGCATGGGTCGGTCGAACAGGCTGAATTTCAAGTTTTGGCCCGTTTTGATCAAGTCTAATTTATAATCACATGATTCCCTGATACCCGATAAAAATCTCAATCCAAACCAGTTTGGCAGGTGAGTCCGTGTTTACTACCATTTTCTAGGGATATAGGAACGACGGTTCCTATCCCAAATCGTGTTGTTCATTCTTGATTTCTTTAGATTTTATCATGGCCTGGCAAAAACCGGAAAGCACGATGACGACAAGATGAAAATTTTATAAAGCAAATTAATCGGCCAACGAGCCGAGTAAGAGCAACGATTGTGAGATGCTCATTTCCCGAAAACCGGCGGGATAGGCGATTTTTTATTCGATTTTCTAGATTTCGGTTTCTATAAAACTTACTCCACCTCATCATATTACCAGAAACAATATTGTTTCACAAGGTAACAGGTACTTGATTTTGGTTCATAATGCTGATTTTTGATTCGTTGCATCATTCATGTCTTTTTCCTACTAAAATTCACTATTTTTATCACGTGTTTCCCAAAAAAAAAAACTATACAACAATAAGCTATACACTCCATTACATTATCAAATTTCATACCTCACCTTCCTACGGCCAATTGGCCGGGGCCCAAGCTAGTGAATTAAGGAGAGAGCTAATCGATTTTTTGGACAATTGATCGGATTTTGGGCTAATAATACCACTACAACATCCAAACTATGAACAAAATATCAATTGTGTCATATTCTTTTCAATATGTCATTTTTGTCATGAACTATATTTCTCTTAATGTTGACTCGCGTTGACCGTTAGTATTTAACAGAAATTCTAGTCAGCATTATGTGGCATATGAAGTGGAATTTTTATAAAATTTTTATATTACAAAATAATTAAAAATAAAATAACTCCCCAAAATCTTCTCATTCCTTCTCCTCCGGTTCTCCTCCGTTCGATGCTAGAGGAAAGGGATATGGGTTCCAGACTAGGTTTCAGCCACCACCAACGAGTCAATCGCCACAACCTCCAATCGTTTCAGGTCCATGCACGCATCTAGTCGATTCCCCTATTTCGTGTTCTGAACTCCAAGCCAAATTTGATTTATAGTCCACACCATCTTGCTAGTTCTCTCCTCCGGATCGACGATTCATTAGCCCACCTCCTGACTTCTTGTTGGCATATGGTTCGAAACGATTCCAATATGCACCACCAGTTTCTCCTTCATAAAACGCATGTGCCAAAAATTATTAAAATTTCTTGGTTCTTGTTGTGCCAGTTTCTTGAATTTGACTAAGGCGGAGTCTTTGTAAAGACCCCCACGATGTCGCATCGCCACCATGAGAAACCGCTTCCTCTTCATCGAATTCGTCAAAACCCTAATGTCGTCAATTTAACGAAGTCGAGGATATCCCCGCCGGTTTTTGCAACCGCTTTTGTACCGGTCGTCTCCACCATCCCCGTCGATTCCACGGCCTCAGCAGCAAATCTAAGGAGAGGAGGAATCGAATCGAAGAAGGGAAGATCTTATGATGATATCCCTTTGAAATCGACAGATAGCCATCGGCTACGAGAGAAGGGAAAATGTGGAGAGCAACAAACAACAGGAATCGATGAGCCATTGTTGTAGCTACTTGGAAATTTAGGTTGTTGCTCGCTGGCGACTGCGGAGACTACGTATTTATTCTTAACGGTAAACGGTCAGGGCAAAGGACGGGGAGGGCAGGAGAAATTTGTTTTGTTTTTATAATTTTGGGGTTATTTATAATTATTAATTATTTTTAATCAAAAATATTATGTGTCTGCCGACATGGCATCTACGTGTCCGCCTTGTGATTGCCACATCACCATTGGTCAATATCATTAAGAGGATCGTTAGGTCAACCGTTATCTATTACAGTCTACGAAAGCGTCAGGACATAAATTACCATAACTAAATATGATAGGATATAAGTGGAATATTAAAAAGAATATGACACAAGTAACATTTTATTCATAGTCTGAGTGTCGTAGTGGTATTAGCCCTCAAATTTTTCAAGGGCCGCAGATTCCAAGTGTGTTGTTAAAGTACTTTTCAAATCTTCTTCAAAAATTAAATGGGTCATAGCTCAATCGTTTTACATTGCATTCAGAAAAAATTTGTGTAGAAATATCATATTTTTCGTGCTCTACGAGATGAGATCCATTTTGATAGTTTTAGAGAGAAAAAATTTCACGTCATCTTACCACTGTCATATCACATTATTCATAGTACTATGGTAATATTCTGATATGATAGTGGTATGATGGTGTTGTTAGTCTTACCATAATGATACAATCATGATATGAAAGTAGTGAGATGGTATTATGAAATCTTACCTTAATGGTATGATATTTGTATGTCAGTAATAAGATAATATAAAGTCTTATCTTTGAGAAAAAATTGCCATCATACCACTATCACAATGATATGATAGTATTATTTGTCTTACTGCAGTGATAAGATGGTATTATGAAATCTTACCATAGTGGTATAATGTTGCATGACATTAGTAAGATTAGTATGTGGTGGACCCTAACCTCAAGCATACTCCCTTGAGCCACTTTCGCCACCTCTTGGTCATCTTCGGTCACCTAGTCCACTCCTGGTCTCCTTCTAAGGTTACCTTCGACCACCTAGGTCACTTCCGATCACCTTCTAGTGTCACCTCCGCTAACCCAAGCCACTTTAGGACACCTTCTAGGGTCACATCTGGTCATCTAGGCCATTTACGGTCATTTCTTAGGTCACCTTCGATCACCCTCAGGCAGCTACGACCACCCTTTTGGCTACAATCGTGGTGCCCAACATAAAACTTGACGTCTGCTACAACCCCGACATCAATAATTGATGCCCACCGTGTGGCCCCGGAGCAAAAGGTTGAATAAATCCTAGCTTCAACACTTCACTTGGGATGGAGTCTCAAAGCTCCCTACACACTTAAAGCGACGGCGGAGTTCGAGAAAAAGAGCCAGCCTGTGACATCCCGAACCTTTTCCCGATAAGATATTGTCCGCTTTGGGCCTCTACACCCGCATGAATGTCAACTTGGGATGCAATTCAAGGTGACTTCCCATAAGGTCACCCATCCTTGTTGTGCTCCGCACTGAGCACGTTTAACTTCGGAGTTCTCACAAGAACTCGTCCATTTCACCCCAAAACGCGTCTTGTCAGTTAAGGTCGGTTTCCTACTTATGAACTAGGGATCTCTCTCATGCTTTGTCGATGTGGGATTCGCCTAAGGTGTTACACAGCCCTTCCCCTAACTGTTGAAGATCTTCAAGTCCAAATTGAGCATCTGATTCAAATCCAAACATTGGCGTCAACACCTCCTCCACCCCCATGGGTTACATGCCAACTATAACCACCAAGTGAAGAACATCGGAGGGCCAGCTCACCCCAATGGGACGTCAACCACTCGTCCAACTCCACAACCAGAAAATCTTTCATACCTTGAGGCGCACATTAGACAAAATATATTATATTCTAAGTCTAACTTGCATTGGTTAAGGCATTTGATCATGTATAAAAGTTTGAGCTGGAAGCCAATAAGAGGGTTCTAATTCTCCACCAAATTCAGACAAAAAGAATATATTAGGAAGCTACTTCTCTCCATCAAAAGAAGAAGAAGAAAATAACAAACAGGAAACCAAATAGAATAGCATAGTAATGTCTGAGCTACTTCTCTCCATCAAAAGACTAGGAAACATAAACAATTTCTTCTTGGTTACTAATTCAAAGTTGTTTTCGAGTGAGGACTTATAGAGTTGAGCAACAAGCAAGAAGCAAGAAGCAAAGAGAGGCAGAGGAATTACATAGTAGAGCAGCGAGATTCAGAGTTTGTTGATAGTGGTCGAGCGCCAGCGAGCTCCTCCCAGTTGTTTCTCTATCAGCGGTGGCCAGCTGAACAGTGAAATCCTCCTAACTCACCAACAACTGTGAGGGATAAAGAAGAGAGACTGTTAGAGAAAGAGAAACGAAGGCAACTCCAAATAAAGAAGATTTGGAATTCTTGTTTTATGAGATTTGACCTAGAAAGTCCATTGAAGGAAGAGAGGCCAAGTCTCTTGATATTTTGCAGGTTCTAATTTCTAATTCACATTTAGGGCTGGTAACCGACCAACCAGTTATTGGTATACCAAAATTCCTCAAACCTCTGCCATCTTTTGATACCGGGTTCTTGTCGATTTATCATCTTACCAGATAGTCGGTTAACATTTAGAAATTGGTTAGCCGAATACTGACACGAGAGGGAAGGAAACCCACAGCAAAATGTCGTTGCTCTGCGCTCCAGTTCCCTTCTCCGCTATAGGGACACTTTCTTGAAATTCCAATCATTCTTCCCGAGTTAATTCACCTTATCTCACAATGTGGTCTATTCGGCAGTAGCGGCGAGTGATTGAACTTCTTGGTTGGGATTCAGTGGTGGTGACGGGTGATTGAGCTTCATGGGTTGGGATTTAGCAATAGTGACGATCGGACGGTGATTGAGCTTCTTGAGTCGCCGCTGTCTAGAAAGAAGATCTGGGATAAATTAAGCCTTTATCTATAGTGGAGCTTCAATAAGCACATAAGGCAGTTAAGGAATATCCCTGACAAATCAAGCTTTGATATGCAAAAATCAAGCCTTGATCTGCGGTGGGGATTCAACAAGCGCATAAGGCAGTTAGGAAATAATAGAGAGATGGTTTAGTTGGGGAAATATCTGGGAGAACTAAAAGTGCCATGATTTGTGGTGAGTGGTGACTGGGAGAAGAAAAGAAAAGGGTACGCAGGCAAGGAAGTGATAGGGTTGGAGTGGGTTCTGGTTATTTCGGTATACAACCTGTCGGTTATTAACCGGGCAGAACTCGGTATATCGTTAACTCATTTTGTGATACCGCATATCGATACCTTTGGTTAACGGTATAACCGGTTAACCGAATACCACCCATATTCACATTATTAACCTAGCTAACACTTCACGAGGGTAAGAGATGGGTAACGAAAACGTTGAGTGGAATTGGGAGAACGCTTAGGTGACCGGTTAGGCTCTACTAATCCAAATTAAGTGCACCTAGTGCTTTTCCCAATGCTTATGCCCAAATCAAAGCGTTCTTCCACAACCTAGCGCTTAATCAAGTCTAAGCATGCGCCTAGGCCCACTTTCTTGAACCTTGCATGATATAATTGATTTGTAACATTCAGGCCCTAATTTATTGCACATTGCTTCTCTCCTTGTTGCTACATAAACTCACCATAACAAGAGCATGAGAGTTGTTAGTTAAGGGGTTATTTCACATCTATTTACCCCCATCTTGTAGATCATGAATTGCAATAGAACAAAAGTCAACGAAGATGACGATGAGCGGCGTCGAATAACAAAAATGGCCAAGAAAGTTAGAGTAGGAGCTTCGTTGATATGGCGAGGCAACCAGACGCTAAGTTGAAAAATTCCAGCAAAGAGTGACTTGAAGAAGTGGGAGCTTGCATGTCCCTCCAAAAAACTTGACAGTTGTGGAGATTGATGTTGAATCGATGTCAATTGCTTGACAATGGAGAAGGTGAAGAGATAACCACAATGAAATTTTGCATGACAGTGGTGTTGTAAGGAAAATTGCATATTCGGAGAAATAAGGGGCAACAGAAGATGCAGAAAAGGAGAACAAGATTAAAAGGGTTGGGGTTGTTTTCCTATTTTATTTTGTCTTTTTTTTCTTAAATTGTTTTTTAAACAAATTTTTACGTCAACAACCATTTCATCGGTGACTGTGTTTTCTCTTAACCTCTAACGAAAATTTTAACGGGAACAAAATTTTGGAACACAATTGTCATATTGAAAAGTATGTACTATAAATGAAAATTTAGAAAAATATGAGTATATTTTATTGAATTACCCAAAAAATTATAAAATCGCAATTAGTGGTGGCAATTTCTGACCTGACCCGCTCGACCCTACCCACCCCAACCTGTTTGGGGAAGGTATTACCTGGGCGGGGCATGTTTATTGCTTCAGACCTGCCCCGTGCCCATCCCGACTTGTTTTCAACTCATTCTTTTATTATTTTCATCAAGATCTACCTGTATGTCTCCTCTTTTGACCTTTCCAAAATCATATTTTCATCCCAAACAAATTTTAAAACTCTATTTTCCAACTGTTTATACTTCATTATATTGTTCCTTTTACAATATATCTATCTTATTGTAAAAGAGTTAAATATCGACATTCTTTTTTTATAAATAACATATAATAATATCGGATGGGTCGAATTACCCAAACACACTTAATGCATGATGAGTATTAGTATTGACATACCCGGCCGCTTCATTGCCATCACTAATCGCAGTACCTAACTACATAAATTTTTTTTTTTTTTTTTTGAATAAGTTGTGTATTCATCAAGAAAGAATGGCAACTCACCATTCTAACTGGCACCAATGCAAACTGTCTTTTTACAGAGTAATTACAACCCCCAAGTCACATAGCAACAACTACGTAAATTTAGAAAAAAACTCTAAAACCATAAACCACATAATTAAACACATGGAGTGATTATTATGTGAGGAGCATTCCCAAATAACAATTAAAAAAATAAGACCATGGACTCCTTTGCTTAACATAGAAGCTATAAAATCATAAAAAGGGTCGTCTCTTCATAATTATGATCCCTCACAAGTCACAAGTCCGAGTCCCGAGTCACTGACATATTAGTACACTTTCACGAGCAGCAAAAGTGTCGAATGTGGTCTACGCTGCACCCGAATCCACCTCTCCCCCGATCCATCGAGTCGGGTGGCGCAAGGAATTAACACGATCCAATGTAGGCAGCCCCACCATAAGCGCCACAGGATGCGCGCTGCCCGACCTAACATCGCCTTCCATTGCGTCGATCGCAACCCGCCCTTGCGTAAATGGTGGAAGAAGTATGGTCCATAAAATCGTATTGTATTGGTGGTTCAATCACAAAATATCAATATTGGAGACTAATTGGTAGGCGATATTTAACGGTACTAACGGTTGACCACGGTTTTACCATAAAATTCATACCGCTAACTTTTCCAATACGGTCTCTGGTACGGTTTCATGCACCATGGGAAAGGTGTTCCAAATTATTAAAGAAAATTTTGATTATAGCATATTATATACAATTATTTCCAATTTAGTAAGTGTTAGTTTTTGTCATCGTATACATGTATAATATAATACATGTAATTAAAATAGTTGGTGTATTATATTTTACATTGTTTAATTTTTGTGATAATTATTGTAACACAAATGTAAATAATTCATATTACTTTTGATTGAAAAAATATCAGTTTTTATATCTTTTTAATATAAAAGTAAAATATATAAAGGTTAAGAATATAGATGGAATAAAAAATGTGGCAACGTTAGACCCTTTGGAATCTAATTCCATTTTTTTTGTAGTAAACAGAGCGCAAGAGGGGCGCTCTAACCCTTAATTATTGATAATACGAGGGGTTTGGGCCCCAATAGCATCGAAATACAGCCAGTAGCTAAGCATAGGACTTGGGTTACCAAACATGTGAACCCCAATAGGCATGGAGAGTCCAAGATTTGCTAGAAAGTCAGCAGAGTGGTTGCTTTCACGGTAGACATGTTTAACATTTACCTCCCAGTCCCTCTCCAGTAGTCTTCGCGCCTCATTCACTAGAGTGCGATGAGGGTTCGAACTCCCCGCCGATTGCAATAGTTGTACTGCTGTCAGGGAGTCTGTTTGCAACTCCACCTTTCTCGCTCCACTCTCTCATGCCATCCGTAATCCTTGGACCATACCTGCGAGCTCCGCGTGGGTGATTGATCCGCCACCCAAATTAACCGAGAAAGCTGAGACAAAGCTTCCATCTGCCCGCCTCAGTACTCCTCCTGCCGCTGCTCTCCCCTCCGCCAGGACCACCGACCCGTTCGTGTTAACACTCATCCAGCCCTCAGGTGGGCCATTCCATCCAATCATCCTAGTCTCCCTGTTGTTGTTCGCTCCAGATATCCGCTGCAGGTGATCCTGGCTTTTCGAGACTTGGCTGCGAAGCATTTGTATCCTGGCCACCATCTGCGGAATGGTCGCAAGCTGCTCCTCCAAAACCCAGGCGTTCCTATTCTTCCAAAGTTGCCAACAGAGAAGGGCAAACAGGGTCGGATCTATCCTCAAGCCATGGCCGGTCAGATAGTACGTCATCCATTTAGCCACGTCAACCTCGAAAAATGATGTGTCTGGTTCGTCCTCGAGAAACTCCGCCCACATCATCCTTGCATACGCACAGTCCCGCAACACATGGATCATCGTCTCGGGGCCTCCTCCGCATATAGTACAATCATCCTCCTACGCTAGATGTCGTCGTCGTCTTTCCGTGTTGGTCAGGAGTCTGTGGTGTGCAGCCAACCACAGGAATGATCTCGTCCGCTGCGGCCCAGGGACCTGCCAAATGGATTTCCAGACCGGATTTCGTGGCCCCGCGTTGTCCCCCCCCCCCCCCTCCTAAGAAACTCCCAGGTCGTTTTCAAAGTAAACTGCCCCGTCGGAGAAAAGCGCCAGATAGGGATGTCGGGTTCCTCTTCCTGGGGGACCGGGTGAAGGAGAACCTGCGCAGCCAAGTCCTCGGGGAGAAAGGCTCTAATAAACTCCATGTTCCAGTTTCCATTCAGCACCATCTCAGCCACCGTTAACGTTGAAGCCGCAGCCGGGAGGTGGGGAGAGAACTCTGCAAGCGTGGGACCATCCTGCGGCCAACGGTCAGTCCAGAAAAGCGCCTGCCTGCCACTTCTAACGTTCCACATAAGTCCATCCGGTAATCTGTGTAGGACACGAAGTACTCCCCTCCACAGGTTTGACAATCTTCCCTCACGTCGTGGTCGCCATCCGTCTGCAGTCTGCTTGAGGTATTTTCCTCTAACAACACGAGCCCACAAGCTATCAGATTCTGTAAAAAGGCGCCAAGCAACCTTCAACATGAAAGCCTCATTCATCCCGGTAGCATTACGCAGCCCCAAGCCTCCCTCTCCTTTAGGCTTACAGACTGTATTCCAATCAAGCAGATGAACCTTCCGACCCTGTTCTGAGCTGCCCCACAAGAAACCTTTTATTTTCTTGTCAATATATTCTCTAACAGACGCCGGTAACCAGGATGTCTGCATAGTGTACGCCAGTAATGACTTGAGTACTGCTTGGACCAACGTAATCTGCCCTGCTAACAAGAGGGATCGTACCTTCCAGCCTGCCAACCTAGTATCAATCTTATCAATGAGTTCCGAGTAAGTAGCCTTTGACACCCGGTCAAGAATCACCGGGACACCCAAATACCGACCCAAGTTGCTTGTTTCTGGAATCCCAAGAGCACCACTGATTACAGCTCGGTCCGTCCCGTGGACATTCTGCGAGAAGAAGACTCGAGACTTAGGGCGGCTGATCTGCTGCCCCGAAGCCGCACCAAACTCATCCAAGCAATGTAACTGATATGATCCCAAACCTCTCGAATTACAACCCTCAAAGGATCGATCAAAAAGCAGGATCAATCACGGATAAGGAGGGTGAATTTTGTCTAAGTCATTTTTATGTTGCAGGATACCATCTTTGGAAGCTTGCTACGCTCAAATGGCTCAAAGGAAATACAAGGAAAGAGCTTGGGGCTGGACTAGAGATGTTTCTCTACATGATGGAAGCATTCGATAAGCCAGGAGAAGCCATTTTGATGATTTTCCAAAGCCTCCAAGTTGCTAGCCAGAAACTGGAATTTTGTTCAAAAATGGCTAAGTCTGGGACTGAGTTGGAGGTGACTACTTTAGGGCTTCATTCCAGACAGATGGGGAAGAACCATGGCCAGAGACGAGGACCCCATGAAACTACATTTCACAATCTACAACGTAAGGGCATTGGTTGAAGAATTGGAGTTCGATTGATCCTTGAACAAGGCGGCCAAAGTAACTATGTTAAACTGTTTTATTTCCTTGTAATGTAAGACTTGATTTCCTTGTACCGCAAGGCTTAGTAGTAGTTATTGTTATAGTTGAACTAGGATTAGTATTTATTCCTTTTAAGCGTAGGATGGTGGTTGTAATTGCCTATAAAAGGCTTGGAACGTGAAGGGGTAGAACCGAACATGTTGATTGAATGAATTTTATTCCAATTCCCAAACTTGAGAGTTTGTGAGTTTGATTGGTTTTTGGTTGCGATCAAAGACTTGCTGACCTTGCTTATCAATCGAGAATCGCCATCGATTGCATCGAAAGCTTCCTCATAACGAGTGTGCATCCTTACAGGTGTAAGGGTTCCCGTTCGTTTCCATCCGAAATTGAGTTTGTAAGAGCTTGACCAAGCTAGGGTCGAGTTCTGTTTTCGTTCGAGATCTAATTCCTGACCAAGCTAGCTGTCTGCGCGACTTTGATCCCTTGAGACCTGAGTTTGGGCTCATCAGTAACACAACTTGTACTTGATCCAAGGAGGCCCTGGTAAACAAGATCAAATCATCAACAAAAAAAGAGTGCGACAGTCGAGGGCCGTGTTGAGACAGTTTAACCGGTATCCACTCACCCCCTTTCGACAGCAGCCGAGATTAGGTGACTTAGTCTTTCCATACAGAGGGTGAAGATGTATGGCGAGAGTGGGCATCCCCGTCTCAGCCCCCTTGAAGGTACAAAGGGCCCTGTAAGCCCCCCGTTCCACTGAATCTGCATACTGGTTGATGAGATGCAACTCATAGTCACATCAATGAATTTCTGAGGCACCCCCGCTGCTTCAAGAGTATCTCTCACAAAGCGCCACTTTATACGGTCGTAGGCTTTGGCTAGGTCGATTTTTATTACCATCCAACCAGTTCTTCCCTTCTTTGCCCGCATCGAGTAGACAACTTCCTGCAAAATACAAATATTGTCAGTAATATGTCTCCCTGGTACAAAGCTGGTTTGTGTCTCATGAACCAACTGTGGCATGATTGGCTTGAGTCTCTCCGCTAGGCATTTGGTGATCATCTTGTATGTCACATTGCATAAACTGATTGGCCTGAACTGCTCAATGGAAACTAGTCTCTGGGTCTTGGGGATCAAAACTAAAATTGTTTCATTGACCATTCGGACTCTCCCCGGCTCTGTCCAAACACTCTGCGCAAACTCCACCACTTCCTTTCGAACCGCGTCCCAGCAACGCTGGTAGAACATAGGGTTTAGTCCGTCCTTTCCCGGAGCTTTCAAGGCCCCCATCAGCTTGACTGCGCAGTAAACCTCCTCCTCCGACAACTGACAGTCGAGGGGCAGCCACAGATGTGGCAGAATCTCCTTAAACGCGGTCGGGATCGACGATTCAGGGGAGGTGTCATCCGTGAACAGCTGCTGGTAAAAGACTTTGGCCATATTAAGTAACTCTTCTTGATCTTCGACCCAATCGCCGAGAGAGTTCTTCAAAGCTGTTACCCTGTTGCGCCGGCGTCGCTGGATGGTCTGTTGATGAAAATACTTAGTGTTATGGTCGCCCAAGTTCACCCGATCGTCGCAAGCTTTTTGGCGCCACAAAAGCTCCTCCTGGAGCAGAACCTCCTCAAGCTCGTCTCTCGCTTGACATAACTCGACACAGTCGGATTCCCCTTCATGCCTGAGCTCCAGTCTCTCAATTTTGCTCATGAGTGAGTCTTTCTTTCTTAGTATATTCCCAAACACTTGATAATTCCATCTCCTAGCTTCTGCAGAAAATTCAGCAATCGAGCTCAGGAGGTCTGTTCCCCTAATCCACGCCTGCTCCATCATCTCCTTGAATCCCTCGTGGGTTAGCCAAGGGTGCCATGAACTTGAAAGGTTTCGGGCCCAAAGATTGGAAGCCAGGATTTAACATAACAATGATCGGGCGATGGTCGCTTTTGTTCACACGGGGGAGGTGGCGGACTATGGATTCCGGGAACAGGTTAGACCATGCAAGATTGCTCAGTCCACAATCCAACTTTTCCTTGATACCTGTTCGAAACCAGGTAAACGGGGGCCCGGTAAAACCAAGGTCATTAAGGCCAGCATCGAGGACACACTCCTGGAAGTCTCTGGCCCGACTAGTGTCAAACGGAGCTCCCCCCATCTTGTCCGAAGGGTGCGGAATCGAGTTGAAGTCCCCATCAAGCAGCCAAGGGAGTTCCATATCCTCTGAGATAGTGCGGACTAAGTGCCACAACTCTCTTCGTTGTACCAGAGCAGGGTTGGCGTACACCGCTGTGAGAAACCAAGTATCATTGCCACTTTGTACTTGGACATGCAGGAACTGAGCCGATCGATCCACTTCCGTAATGGTGGCCATCGCTGAGTCCCAAACAAGCCTGATACCACCAGAAAACCCCACCGTGTCAACTATAAATTCCTTGTCATACCCCATCCCGCGTACCACTTCCAAGGCTCTATCTCCGCTGATCTTGGGTGTCATAATAATGCTAATGCAAGGCCTGTATTTTCTTCGATATTCTCTAAACAATCTCAGGAAACGTTGATTTCCCGCACCCCTGCAGTTCCAAGTAAAAATGTTTAACTTCATTAAGACTTGGAGAGGTAGGGTTCGGCTGACGCGAGTTACACTGAGGTCACTGGGGACTCGCAGTTGAGTCTCCCTTTCATTCCCATCGGGCTTGATGCCCGTGCATTCTCGTTGACCAACCCATCTAGACTCTGACCAGTGCTAAACTGGAGACCATCAGGCGGTCGGGAGTGGGGTTCGGGTGTCACCGTCTGGTTTGAATTTGCTGCCGAGGTGGGTATGGGTCTAGGCATGGTCGAGACCCCCGAAAGGCCTTGAAACACCATGGGTGTAGGGGAGGGTCTGACGACTCGATCTTCATGCAAAGTGTTGACTCCCGTTCCTGCATTAAATACTAGTGAACTAGGGTCCATTGGGAGCACCCTTCTTTCACTGTCCACAGTAGGCGAGGCCTTTTGGATCACTTGGGGATCATTTGCCACTGCCTTTCCTTTGTTCGCCTCATTCCGTTTCCGAGACACTGGAGCACTGGATGAGGCCTGCCTGTTTCCCTGGCTGCTGTGCTGCTCATTCAGGCCGCTCTCGGCTGTTTTAACAGCTTCTGTCTCGACAATAACCTCATCACCCAACACAGCAAACCTGGACCCCCTACTCTTTTCCTTGATGTTTCCTTGGTCCTGTGCACTGTTCATCCCAATCGACGAGCCTGGGGCCTCCTGTCGACTCCGCGGTTTCCTTTTTGCGATCATCCAGTCCCCATACACCGCTTTTGGCTCCGCGGTTTGGGGCACTGGGTCGTGTGTCGATTCCTTGGGAGTAGCATGCACGTCAATGGTGCCCGACTCCGTTTCCACTGGACTAGACTTGCAGGAGCAGTGACCACCCGTCGAGTACGTGCCGCACTTGAGACAGGTCCTTTCCAACCCTTCGTACTGGATAAAGTACTTGATCCCATGTATTCTGAACTGAGATAGTAGTGGTTTAGTAAGATCCACCTGAACGCAAACCCTAGCGTAGTCTAGACGAGCCCCTGTCCTTGTTGCTTGATACACTCGAATAGGCTTGCCGATCCGCTGACCTATCTTCATCACAGCCTCCGGGTGGAAATAGTGGGCAGGGATGTCGAGAAGGCGGGCCCACACCAAGGTTATCAGAATTTCGTGGTTGTAGGGGTTCAAATGTTTGTCCCACATGTGCACAGTAATATAATTATCCCCCATCATCCACGGTCCTCCCGTTACTGTGCGTTCATAGTCAATCTCACTCGTGAAACGTACAAGGTAATACCCATTCTTAGTCGATGCCACTTGGATACCACCCGCCTTTGCCCATATGGTATTCAGCCTGTTCGAGACGCCTGTGTATGAGACAGACTTCCCCAGGACCTTCACCACCAGCGCTGACCTATATTCCCTGCAGTACTTTCTTTCCTCGGCTGCCGTGAAGTGTATCGGAGGACAAAGAGGGTCGTCCTCCTCCTCGTCCATTCCATCCTCCGTTCCATCTTGTCTCATAGCTTCAGCCACGTCTTCCGAGTCAGAGTCCGCAACGTACCATTCATTCATGCGCAAGACATCGCTGAAGAGTCGTCTCGCCGTGCCTGACCCAGCGGTCCAAGCTTGCCCTGTTGTATGCTTCTGTTCCTGGTGCGGGGGCACCGTCTCGGTGGCGTCGGTGAAGACTGCATCTTGTAGGTTGTCCATCGGCAGCCTTTGTGAGGACTTGACCCTCTTTTTGCTTTGTTGAGTTTCCTTGTCCCCCTTGGGATTCGGTGACGAAGTTGTCGACGGGAGTCGACGCTGACCAGCAATAGCATCTGAGGAAGGAGGGGATCCAGAGCCCCCCCCCCCCCCCCCCCCCCCCCCCCAAGCCAGAGGTGAAGCCACCGCCGGCATCACGCGATCGGCGAACCCTAACGAGAAAACGAACACGCTATTCTCCTAAACTTTCGGAGCTACCAACTCGTATGTGACGTGATTGGAATCTAATTCCATAATCTCACATAAACAAAATGAGATTGTTTTTATTATAATTTATTTTACATCAAGCACTCAAATTGATGTGATGGTTCGTTCGATGTTGTTGGAATCCAACTAGAGGACTATCCAAAAGGGCTGGTCTAGTGAAATTCAACACCCAAATTTAAGACGTTACAATAATCCAAAACCCTTTTAAAAAAAAATGATACCCCTCAATTAATAGGAAAATATATGTTGAAAAAAAAAAAAAGAGAATAAACGTCCTCTACTTAACCTTAAAAGATATATATTTTTGTGTAATGAAAACTGTCTCACTTGCTCGTGTCACTCTCGCCACGTCTGCTCTGTGCACATTCATTCATTTCACTTCCCAAACAAACACCCAAAGAAAAAAAATAAATAACAAATGAAGAAGTAAACCAAAATAATCCCTCTCCTTCTCCACTCCTTCCCTCTGTTCTCCCCCTTTACCCTGCCGGTTCTTCTTCCTCTTCTCTTCAAGGGTCGCGCCGGCGGGCAATAAATCGAATAACCATCCCGGGAATTGCAGAGAAAGATTTGCTTGCTTCTTTCCAGTTTTCCGAGCAGCAGAGCTAGGCGGAGGTTGGTAAAGAATGCCGTTGACGAGGTACCAGATAAGGAACGAGTATGGTTTGGCCGATCCGGAGTTGTACAAAGCTGCCGACAGAGATGATCCCGAGGCTCTATTGGAGGGCGTCGCCATGGCTGGCCTCGTTGGTGTATTGCGGCAGCTCGGTGACCTTGCTGAGTCAGTCCTCTCTTCTTTTGGTGGATTCTTCTTACATTCTCGCTTGCAGATTCGGTTTGTTTGAGCTTGAATTTTGGGTCATTTTGGTCAATGCTACTTTAATTGTGGCTCATTTCCCCTCCGATTTTGTTGTTATGCTGATGAAAGCTTGACTTCCTTAAGTTTGTTACTTTGGATGGCTGGTTTGGTACATTTTGAGGTTTGAGTTTGCCGGTGGAATTCAATTGATTCCCCTTACCATCGAAGTTGTAGTTCTTGGCTCATTTAATTTGTCCTCGGCTCTCTCTGTGGTGGTCCTTATATTTGGGCTTGTTGGATGTGTTTGAAGGTTTGCCGCTGAGATATTTCATCACTTGCATGAAGAAGTAATGACAACCGCCGCAAGAGGTCACAGTCTAATGGCTCGTGTTCAACAGCTCGAGGCAGAAGTTCCTTCAGTTGAGAAGGCATTTCTGTCTCAAACTGACCACTCGTCGTTCTATGCAAATGGAGGTTAGATATCTATCTGCTGACTTTCTTAAATTTAGGGTTCTAGCTCTTTCCTAATTATCAATTCTCATAGAAAAACTTTTCAAGCGTTGGTATTGTTCACCCATAGGTGTTGATTATAGAGTTTGCTTTGGATCCGTGACTGGAAAATGCTTAACCTTTGCCATTACCCATTTAGCAGCAGGTGTCGATTGGCATCCTAATCTGCACATGGAACAAAATCTGATTACTCAAGGAGACTTGCCCCGCTTTGTAATGGATTCTTATGAGGAATGCAGGGGTCCTCCAAGGCTATTTTTATTGGACAAGTATGGTATTCTGAATATTTCCTTCCTTTGCAATGTTTAATGGGAGCCTACAGTTGCATTAGTTTGTGGGGGAGATCTGATATATTGTATGGCTGGGGTGCCTGCAGATTCGATGTTGCAGGGGCAGGTGCATGTTTGAAGCGTTACACTGATCCCTCAATCTTTAAAATTGACGCAATATCATCTACTACAATGGAAATGCAGAGAGAGAAGAAAGCTCGAAAAGTGAAGGTATGGGGATTATTAGGGCCCTTAGTTTCTTCGCTACATCTTAAGGATTGAGCCTTTGAACGATCCTGGTGTTAGGTGGTCCTGTATCTGAATGATGCTTGATTTAATTAATCTGGTCTGCTATCTTGCAGAAGAAAGGGCGGTGGAGGAATGGAGAAACTCCCGAAGTTACACCAACATCACATGCCAAGTGGGAGCTATATATTTATTTTGTGTATCTTATGTAACTGCTTGAGTGTGTGAATACCTTGCTTGTTCTGTGCTTTATTATTCTTGCAATTTACTGCAGATTACATCAGCTGTTCCTGGAAGAGCGTGTTGCAAATGGACATTCTGATCCAGCTCGTGTAGTAAACTTGAAAAGAAGGCAGTTAACTGGATCTCCATTAGATATGAAATCCGGGAAAAGCTACATGCAGAAATTCCTGGACACTCTTTCACCAGATAACAAAGCAGTGTATGAAGATTCTGTTAATCCACCACTCTCGACTTTAACACAGGATGGCTACAAAGGATCGGGACTTGAGATTGTGGAGATTACAGCTGTTAGTCCTGTGAAGCAGTCATCTCCAGATAAGGGAAGCATACGTTTCTCACCGGAGGCCCAGGTTGATCTACTACAACATGATGAGTTGAATGGGGAGGATACTGATAAACAGGTGGTGAAGGTCTCTGATACCGTCACTGATTGTGAAACCGACGAATCATCTCCTTCTTCTGTTCACAAGATGCCAATTGGAGAGGAATTAGCTATTTATGCAGGCGGTAGGAGAAGTGATAGTTCTGAAGGGGACCAATCTGACGATATGATCAGTGAGGTAGAAAACTACCTGGATGCTCTCACAACCATGGAGTCAGAAATCGAGACCGATACTGAATACAAATCTAAGAAAGATGGCGTCTTAAAGTTTGTGAGACGTGAGGCGGAATCTGATACAAATGAGGAAAGACGGCATGGCATTCAAGTGAAGTTTCTGAATTCTCAGTCGTTTGGAAATTCCTCAGCGTCTGACGATGGAAACAGTTCAATATACAAAGGAGGGTCTAGTATTTCAGTATCCGACTCCCTGAGCCATGCGGCTGAGAATGTACAATCTGATGGGGAAGGGCCGTCGAAAGTTTGCCGTTCTAGGGAAGATAGTATCGCGGAGACTTCCACGTTGCAGTCAGACTCTTCCTCTCCTCATATAGTGCCTTGCACAATTCAAGAATCCCAAGAGCTTGAGGTCTCGACTGATATGTGTTCTGAGGAAGAGAAAATCGACAAGTTAGTGCCAACTTTTTCTGTTGCAAATCCTTTCACGGAGTCTGTAGGAGAAGATTCAGGTAAAAGAACACAGGTAGATGGAGTTGCTACTCCTGGGTTAGAACTTGAAACCATCGGAAATCTAGAGATTTCTTCTGTGGGTTCATCTGAAATCCCATGGCATACGAAGCAGGTTGCTCCTTCGATAGGTCCTTCTGAAGGTAATTCCACGAGTGACCAGCAGCAGGAAGATCCTAAAGCTTTGCCTTCCTATTTGTCATATCTAAATTCTGTACAGAGCAGCCAAGACGATCCCTTACATGACATGTCAAAAATTAATTACTCAGGTTATGCTGCTGGAAATGTGATCCCTCATCAGTTGCCATCTGAACTTGATAACATGGTTGAAGAAGCAATAAAAGTCAACAATGTCAACGATGCACTCATAAAGGCCACCTTACTATCTGGTACGCAGTCCGCTCAAGCAGGCCTTCCAAATGGTGAGCTGGAAACGAAAAATCTTAAAGAAGATATTTCTGTTGTTTCAGACAAGGAGGAAATGTCAAGTGAAGTTAATGCAGGTGGCATTGTTGCAGAAGATTCTTATGAATGTATTGATGAATCTGGTCTACGGGATCTGACTGACTTGAACAGCACTCTAACCGAGGCTGATCAGCCAAATGATATATTTGCTAGTGATGTGCATGGAGACGACACTCTTTGTACATTGTCAAATGTGATTGGTTCTCCATCAAGCCATCCATCATCTGATGACCAACATCAGACACCAGTGGACCTTCATCAGGATATTTCCTCAGATACTGAACCGGAGACGCAAAATGAAGTCATTACGAAAGATAAAGAATTTAGTCAAGGTGAATCCATCTTCGCTTACCCATCTGAAGCAGATGCAATGGCTCGTGTTTATTATGCAGACCCTGTTGGAAAACAAGCGAGTTTTGGTGTAGGTGATGCGAGTAGAGAAGTTGTTTCAGGAGTAAATCACAGTGTGGTGGAATTGCAAGCTCTCTATACTTCAAAAGAGGCATCTGAAGGTGATAGTTGTTTCCATGTAAATGGTCTCCCTGAGCCGGGAATTCCTTCTGAGCAGGCATGGGATTTGCATCCTGATCAAACTGATGAGAGTTGTCCAGAACAAGATAAGGCAGGAGGCTCTACCTCATCAAATCTTCAATTCAAAGACGTGCATACTTTGCCTCCTGGACTGGGCACTCTCTCCACTGGTAAAGAAGTGAATGTAGATGAGGCTCCCCCTTTGCCACCTTTACCTCCTATGCAATGGAGAATGGGAAAGTTTCAGCCTGCTTCACCTTCTTCGCAGACTGCATGGTTTGGCCACTTTAATAATCTACCAATGCAACCTTTTGCAGCTGAAGAGCACACCGAGCCTTCAGGCCCATTCCCAACTAACATTATTGAAGATGGTCAGACGGCTGCTTGCTTACCCATGGATGATTCAATGCGGAATTCCTTGCAGCAGCTAAATCACTCATCATTTGAATTGGCATCAGTTGCTAATGCTGCAAATATTGAACAACATTCATATCAGCCTTCACACACATTCCCAAGCAACATTATTGAGGATAGTCAGATGGTTCCCTGTTCACCTATGGATGATTCAATAGAGGATACCTTGAAGCAGCCAAATTCCTTGTCAGCTGAATTGTCATCAGTTGCTAATGCTGCGAATCTGAAACAGGAATCACACCCATTGGAAGAACTGGATCCTTCAAACCCATTTGTTACCTCGGAAGAAATATCAAATGAGGGACCTGAGCTCAGTGACCTTCCATCAGGAGAATCGAAGCACTATAGTCCAGAGTCCTTCCAATCTGCACCATCCATGGCCAATACACCTCCAGAAGCTGATCCTGTGTCCTCTTCTCAGGAGCATGGAGAAGGTAGCTTCAATGGATTAGTAGCCGAACCAGGTCTAGTAAACCCAGAAAGGGAATCGTTGGAGGAGGCTCCTGAGGAATCTGTACCACCAGAATCTGTGGCAAAGGAGCAACTAGAGCAAAAAATGGTTACATCTTATGGAGGAGGAACATCGTGGCCTCCAACAACATTAGCCCTTCCACCATCCTATGAAGTCGGAAAGGCAGCAAACGGCAGCAAGCTTCCTCGCCCTAGGAATCCTCTTATTGATGCTGTTGCTGCAATTGATAAAAGCAAGGTAAAATTTCAGTTATGGACCTGACTTTGACAAATACTGTTGCAGATTGCAGTCCCTGCCTTTTTTCCTGACGTTTAATATTTGTGGGCATATTCTGCAGTTGAGGAAGGCAGCTGAAAGAGTTCAGCCACAGGTTAGCGCAAATGCAGAAGAAAGGGATTCACTACTGGAACAGATCCGGACAAAGGTTTGTTTCCTTACCACTTGTCCCTTGCCAAAATCCTGTTCCTGTTATTTGTGCTGAATTGGTTTCTCATATTTGGTCTATCTGCAGTCGTTTAACTTGAAGCCCACGGCAGTGAGTAGGCCTAGTATGCGTCCTAGCATGCCCGGAATTCATGGTCCCAAAACCAATTTGAGAGTTGCTGCTATCTTGGAGAAAGCAAATGCTATCCGCCAGGTTCTCTCCCCCTCTCCATAGATTCATGAGTCTCTACATAACATTTGGGGTTTTATTTGGGAGTTACAAAATGCTTTCTAGTTTAAATGATATTAAAGCTTTTCCAATGTGCACACTAATGATGATTGATCTGGGGTTAATAGGCATTTGCTGGGAGCGATGAAGACGATGATGATAGCTGGAGTGATTCTTGAGCATGACTTGCTGAACAAGTTACCATACCATGGTGGTTGTTTCTGTGATATTAGTAACTGTAAAAAGCAATATCAGGCTCTCCGGTACAAGTAAATATATCTCGTTCGTTGTAATGCCTCGGCTTGAGTTTGGGTTTGCCCACTAGTTTAGCTGTATTCATTTTGGCGAGGATGGTTCTCCAGGCACAGCATTCTCTATACAAAGACTACTGTGGAACAGCGTGCAAGCGCTCCCCACCAATCAAATGGTACTCCCATATATAATTGTATCAAATATATCCTGACGGTGTAAATAGCATTGCAATTTGCATAGAGGCTTTTTTGTGTGTATTTTCATAAATTTCTGGCTTAGTTACCCCTCTGTATCTAGTCGTTAAGTTGATGTTTAAACCAAAGTCTGTCATTTCGGATGTTTTGTTTTGGGCGTATGGAGCACACAGACCTTAAAGATATATACAATACTGTAAGTAAAAGGATGATGCGTTGGCTGCTGTAACTATGCAGTAAATGGACTCTTGCCTTCTCGTCTGTCTTTTCTTTATGCTGTTATGCAGTCCAAATCAGATAGCGAGCTTTGATTTGATAACAAACTGGATGGTGGCAAACCCAATTCTTGGGATTTATCATAATAATTATTATTACTATAATTAGAATATTATTAGACATGGTAGTAGTTGTCATATTAGGATAGTCTATTAGATTTTCGAGTCTTTCGTTATAAATATGTACTTAGCGTTTTTATTCAGATCAGTAAAGAAGAATATTAAGAAAACTCTCCTACACCCTAATCTCCCAATCTTCTCAGTTCTAGATCTCAATCCCTCTAAAGGCCTAGACCGATTCTCTATCTTTCTCTTCTCAAATCCCTAATTCTGTTCTTACTCCCTAAATCTCAATTCCCGATAGAACCCTAATCCCAGGTTCTATCATTTGGTATCAGAGTAATGGTCACGAATTTGAGTTCATCACAATTCTCACCAGGGAATTGTTATCAGAACTTCTATCAAGGGATTGAAGCCCTTGAAGCCAGCCTAGCAAAATATGAAGCTAACAGGAAAGCTCATTACAACAATACGATGGCAGGCCTAGAAGAAATTCTAGCCAAACTCGAGAAAATCGCGGCACGCCGCCGCGCGACCAACATCTGTGCAGAATCGGCATCGGCGGATCCGACAAAGGTGACTGCAAATGACGGCTCCGCAGTCACGGAGGAGGTTGCGAACGGCAATGGTGAGAGACGAGCAGAGCAGCCGAGTGTGGAAGAGGTTTTGGCAACCGAGCCACCAGCCAGAGAAGAGCCTCCAATCGCCACCGGCAAAAAGCAGCAGCCTCCGCCAACAAGAGTTTCAAAGACTGCAATAACATCGGTCGAGAAGGAAGAATCATGCAAGAGAAAGGCTGAATCAGAGCTGGTGATGGAGAAGAAAATACATATAAGAGCTAGAGAGCCCGAAACCTCAATTAGTGAGGCGATGGTAAAGGGAGACCAGGTCAATCGGAAGTCACGGAGGCAGAGGAGTTCGGGAGCAGCCTCTGTGACTGTTCCTCTTCCGCCGAACTGGAGATTCAGTAAGAACAAGCCGGTGACGACTGTGGAGGAAGATCGGCTTCGGACGGGGATGCGAGCCCGGATCAACGACGAGTTGTCAGGGTCTGTTGGCAGGCGCACAATTCACGGGAGAGCTGCAGACGACGACCCACGAGGAGACCCCGCTGAACACGCCTGTCTCGGCTCCGGGATCACATTTACCACTCCATCGGGTGTGGGGTTCGTCGCCATGGAAGGAGGTGAAGAAGACGTTGCAGAAGAAAGAGAGAGGGAAGCATCGTCGGGGATCCTCGATGGCGTCTCGATCATGGGGTGCTCCACGTGGGGAGTCGTTGGGCAGATTGGCGACGAGAGGAGGCTGTACTGGCCGCCGCGGAAGGAACTGTTGGAGGCGAAGGCAAAGAATAGGGCTATGAAGGCGCCGCCGATTCAGAGGAAACGAGGAAGAAGGTGGTGGCGGCGGTCGACGAGGAGGAGGAGACGACGGAAGCACGCTGGGCGTCCCGCCGGGTTGTGTCACCGGTGAACAAAGAGAAGAAGGAGGTCGGTGTCGGTGAGCTGTTACTCGCGAAGCTAGGCGGAGGAGGAACGAAATCAAGGGCGGAGCTGGTGAGGGACTTGCCACCGAAGATGGATGCGGAGACAGAAGACGGACGGGCCGATGTTGGGTGTCGAGACGCGGGACGACGGCGGTTGCGGCATTCCTCTTGCAACCCTAGGTCGCACCCGCCAACGTCCTGAGAACGTGGCCCAAGGGATTCAGTCTATGAGATGGGATGGGCCATCCAAAGTGGGCCAAGATATACAGTTCACTTGTGATTTTGGGCCAGGAGGAATGAGTTGGGTAGAGGGCCTTGATGGACCGCAAAGTGTGGGTTGGTTGGTGGAGGAAGGAAGAACAAGTCTTGGTCATGGGCTGGGAAGGAAAGAAGAGGGACATGGGCTAAAATCATGCCTAATGGCTTGGGCGAGCAGGGATTGGGCCAAGTCCGGGTCAAGTTTTGGGCCCAAATTGGGCTGTCTGATGAGTTTTTTGTTGTACGGTTTTGGGCCGAAACTAGAAGAAAGTGGGCTGCGTCTACAGAGAGAAATGGAGCCCAACATGGCTTGTGTTTTAAAGAAGGTGGGCTGGGAGGAAAATGAGTTTAATGAACTGGTAGAGGGGCTTTCAAGAGAGCATGGGCCAAATGCAATTGGAGACACTAATGGGCTAGCTCCAAGAAATATTTTTAAGAGCCTAAATGAGTTGGTGCTTAAGGATGCGTTCTTGTACAAGAAAGCATCTTTGGAGTCCTTAAATTATTGGATAGTGAAGCCAACGAAAGAGGAGCTATTGAAGTTTGAGTTTGTCAAGAAATCAAAGGGTGGGCCCATGGAAATGAAATTGGAAGAGATGGACCAACACGGGGAGACCAGCGCAAGAAGTCTAAGTGAAGAGTTAGAGCATGATTGGAAGAAAAGAAAGCGTGGATTGCGCGGGCGATGTGAAGAAATGGGGCGAGTCGGTCAACCTTGAGGGCAAGGTTGGTCTAAGGGGGCGGGGATGATGGAAACTCAATTCTTGGGATTTATCATAATAATTATTATTACTATAATTAGGATATTATTAGATATGGTAGTAGTCATTGAAGAATATTCTAAGCCAGAGTCAGGACAACAAGTGAACTTAGTGAAATCAGAACTCTCTTTCAGCCAAAATATCAAGAATGAGACTCGAGCATATCTAGCTGCTATCCTGGGGATGAAGGTAGTTGAATCTCACGAGAGATACCTTGGTCTACCTACTAGAGTTGGTCGTGAAAAGAAAGCTGTCTTTGGCTATTTAGTTGATAGAGTTCGCCAGAAGGTGAAGTACTGGAAAAGAAAACTACTATCTGTAGGAGGGAAGGAGACTCTCATAAAGTCTGTACAAGTTTAAATGACTTATGCTATGTCACTGTTCCAGGTTCCAGTGGGGATTTTACAAAAAATTCAAAGGCTAATTGCAAACTTTTGGTGGGGGCAGCAAGAGGAGGAAAGTAGAACCCACTGCTTCGTTGGGGAGAGCTTTGCAAACCAAAAAAGGTTGTAGGTTAGGGTTTCCGAGATCTACAGGGGTTTAACAAAGCTCTCCTAGGAAAGCAAATATGGAGTCTAATATTGAAACCAAACTCTATAGCTTCTAGAGTGCTAAAATCAAAGTACTACCCTAATAGGGATGTTATGGAAGCGGATCAAGGGTATAGAACTCCAGGTTTATTTGAAAAAGTTTGTTGTCTTCTAGAGCACTTGTTGCCAAGGGTTGTAGATGGAAGTTGGGGAATGGTTGCAGTATCGACATTTGGCAAGATAAGTGGGTGCCTGCTTCAAAGGGTTTTAAAGTTAAAACTCTCGTTACCCCTGTCGGAGATACTACATCAGTGGCTGAACTTATCGACTACGAGGAGCATTGTTGAACGATGGATGTGCTTCAAACACATTTTTTACCTGAACATCGAGTTAACATCCTCAAAATACCTATCCCATGGGAGATGGTTAGAGATTAAAGGGTATGGAGTGTGGAAAAATCAGGGGACTACACAGTGAAGTCTACCTATAGACTTTGGTTTAACCGAGATGAAGAAGAGGGGGGGGGGGGAGAGAATCTACTAACCATTAAACTGGGAAAGATATCGAAGCTCAACATTCCACAAAAACTGAAGGTTTTCACCTGAAAATGGGTGCGTAATATACTACCTACGGAAGCAAGAATTGTGGAACAAACTCAAAAAGGAAGTGAATGATGCCTTTTCTGTGACCTTAAAGAAACCCAAGACCACATTATTAAGAAATATGGTTGGGTTCAATGAGTCTGGAGACCTAGTTCGTTCCATTCTATGTTCAATCAGGCCAAGAATCTAAAAAACCTTGGAAGAATGGCTCTACGAGCCGCAAGAGAAAGAGGAGGATGAAAAGATCGGGCGCTTTCTGGTGGCTTAGTGGTTTATCTGTGATCAAAGAAATGCTCAATTATGGAACAAACCAAAGATGGAGTAATGGGAGATAATGGGTAGAGAGAACATATGGATTGCTAAATACTTGGAAGCACAACAAAGAAGGGAACCCATCCTGCTTGAAGCACCTACATGTTGGTCTTCGTCAAGGGAAGCAGATTTCACCATTAATGTCGACGTGATAAGTCTCCCCGATCTTGGAACCGGGATGGGAATGGTGGTCAGTCTCTTTCGCATGGTGGCGGTCAGACGTACGCGACGACAGTGGGAGCCAGAAATTGTAGAACCCTTGGAGGTGGATTTTCGACATGGAAGTGGCTGATCGACATCAATTCTTCCCCAGCGAATTCCACATGGATAGCTAGGTGGTGGAAAGAACGTTGCAAGGAGATCGACAGACAAAACTAGAATTGGGCAAGGTTTGTGCAGAGATAAACAAGCGAGCTTCTGGGTTGGGCTCGGTTTCTTGGTGTTTTGTGGGCAGGATGAACAGGCCCACAGTTTGGCCCATGTTGAATGTGATTGGGAGAGGGAGGAAGTATGGGTAGATAGGTGATAACGATGTAATTGCACATATTTGCACCCCTAGTTCTTATCCGTTTGAGGGGCATAGCCGTGTATTTTGGCCTATTTTACGCCAGGTTGTGCTATTTTGTCATATTTCAGGTCCTAGGCGTCAAAGGAAAGGCTAAGCACGAGTTTCGGGGCATTCAGAAGTCATTTCGTCGAGTTGGAATCAAAACACGGGCACACCTAAAACAGAACACGGCCGTGTTCTGTGGCCGTGCTTTTACTGCCGAGAGCAAATTCGAGTTGGCAAACACTGGCTAAAAACACGGGCAGGGCTTAGACAAAGCACGGTCGTGGCCACCACAAGCACGGCCGTGTCCATCATCAAACACACCCGTGTTTCTCCCAATGCACTGGCCGTGTAATTAACCCTAGCCAAAGCACGGGCGGGCTGAGGCATTACACGGCCGTGCCCTCGACCGTGCTTTGGCCACTGATGCCATTTTAAGCAGATTTTCAGCCAAACAGAAGGGGATTCGAGTTTTGAGAGAGATAGAGCGATTCCTAGAGAGAGAAAGCGACGAACAAGAGTCTCCAAGTGCCCTAGCTTGATCTTCATCACCATTGGAGGCCAGTTTGAGCTTGGAGTAGTGCCGATCAACATCCAGGAGCAGGAATCCATCCTTCACAGTATGAATTCCGCGTCTGATTCTGCTTTTGCTTCTTTCTCCATGGAGTAGTTCTCCCATTCATCTGGGTATGGAGAACCCTAGATTTGTATGTTAGGGTTTGATTGTATGAACCCAAGTACTGATTCTATGATTTGATTATATTCGATTGAGGTTTGAATGATTGAATGACTTGAATCCTGATCAAATTCCTGTTGTTTTTGCTTTAACCTAGAATGAGAATATCTGCCTAGGTTGATAGAGCATCCTTGATTGAAGGTAGGGAGTTGGTGACTTTAGTCGAGGAGCCAACTCACTATTCTGTACCGGATTTACTCCGGTAGTGGAGGTATTGTTTGTTAAGGCCTCAATCTGTTTACTCCGGTGGAGGTTAGTCGCCCGCTAGAGACTCAGATTGAGAGGGTCTGAAGACCTTTAGTCGAGACTTCAGGCTGTTTAAGAACCTTCCGCAGTATAACTATCATAGAAACTGAACTTGGTAATTACAATCCGGCTTAACTGCAGTCTAGGGGGAACCATATCCGGGTGACCTCTCTTAACCTGAATACAACCGTTTACTTGCTTTGTTAGTTTGTTAGTTTAAACCTGCATTAAAGTTTCATTGCTAGATAACAAGAATTCACTGAGTAGTCATCAAATCTAGGACCCGGGTTGACATTAAAACCCAAACTCGCTATACTACGCTTCAGGAAGTGGTTTCACTTGGCCAATTCTTAGAGTGACAGTAGAAGTGAGTCAAGTTTTTGGCGCCGTTGCCGGGGACGGCTAGGTTGTTGAAGAAAAGTGATTTCTGTTAATTTAGCTTTTCTTTTCGCTTTGTTTGCTTTGTCCCACTTGTGCCTTCACGGGTTTGCTTGCTTGAGTGTGTGCAGGTAGTGCATGACCGGTATCCAGTCAGGAGGTTTACTGCCGTTGAATCCAGAGATCGACCGCACCTGTCGCCAGCTCAGGAGACAACAGCGAGCTAGACTGGCTACGGAAGAGTGCATAGACGGCCACCTGAGTAGCGATTCTGAAGGAGAGTACGGGATGGACGGAGACTACAATCAGCACCAGGGGAATCCTCAGCAGGTTCCCCCGGTGAATCAGGTCCTGGGGAACAACCCCATACCCCAGGATCATGGGGTTCATCATCCACCGCAGCCGGGTCCCACCTTGGAGTACTACTACACTCCTCGGATTGCTGACATCCGCCCGGTCATCCTCTACCCGCCTATTCCAGCAAACAACTTCGAGATCAAGCCATGCTGGATTCAGCTCATTACATCCTCTATCCAGTTCCATGGCTTGAAGGATGAGGACGCCAGGGTGCATCTTTCCCGTTTTCTGCAGCTGACGAACGGGTTCAAGCTGAATGGTGTCCCTGATGATGCAATCCGCCTTCATCTCTTCCCCCATTCACTGGCGGGGAATGCTAAGAGGTGGTTGGAGACCCAGCCCCCATTGTCCATCACCTCTTGGGACGATCTTGCTGACAAGTTCGTGCACAGGTACTATCCGGCATCGAAGACTACAGAGATCCAGCGGGAGATCACTCACTTCCGCCAAGAGCCAGATGAGTCGCTTCGTGATGCATGGGAGCGGTATATGGGATACTTCTGGCAGTGTCCCCATCATGGCTTTAGTGATGCTTTCACAGTGGGGAACTTCTACAGTGCTCTCTCTCCAGACAGCCAGAGGGTGATTGAGTCTCTATGCCCAGGAGGGGATATTCTTACTAAGACTCCACCCGAGCTGAACCAAATGATCAATACCTTGGCTGCCAGAGATCATTCTTGGGGACAGAGAAGCAGAGGCAGACATTCCCGGGACCATGGTGTGCACGCCATGGAGACCAGATCCGGGCTCGAGCAGCAGGTAGCTGAGCTAGTGCAGACATTGAAGCAGCCCAACAGTCTCATTCCGGGCAGAGGTTTGGCTACACCTCCAGTAGCTCAATGTCAGTGGTGTGAGAGCTCAAATCACCTTGTGGAAGACTGCCAGGCTATGAGGGAGTCTACTACCCCCCAAGAGCAGTTGGACTTCATCGCCAATGCTCGGCGCCTCGACCCGTACAACAACACATATAATGAGGGGTGGCGCCAGCATCCCAACTTAGCCAGGAGCAGCAACACCACTAAACCTCCTGGTTTCCCAGCACCAGCAGGTGGTTTTCAGCAGAGGCAGCCCTTCCAGGCTCGACAGGGGCCGGCCCCACAGCAGCAACCCTACCAGCCTAGGCAGGGGAAACCATTCCAGCAGCCCCAGCGCCAGTTTACCGAGCCAGCAGCAGCTCCTGCTCCAGATGATCGGATGACGAAGCTGGAAAATATTCTAGCCTCATTCATGACTAGCACTCAGGCTGCTATCACGTCACTGGAGGCAGGTCAGCGGAACCAGGGTGCCATTTTGCAAGATCTGCAGACCCAGGTGGGCATCTTGGCCCGCCAAAACACTACCAGGGCACCGGGGACTCTGCATGCCACCACTATTCCGAATCCTCGTGATCCTCACCAGCATCAGCAACTGGATGCCATTTTTACCATGAGCGGTAGGACCATATCTGCTGATCCTGTCCCGGCCAGACAGGAGGAACCACTACCTGCTTCAGCACTTCCAGCCGACGATGCAGAAGTGCGGGTGGAGAAGGAAGCCCCTGCTCCCAAGCCACAACTAGTGGTTAAGGAGCATGTGCCCCAGCTTTCCTTCCCCACTCGCCTACACAAAGACAAGCTGGAGACTGAGTTTGCCAAGTTTATGGCAATGTTGAAGCAGCTCAACATCAGCATGCCGTTCGTGGAGGCACTGTCAAAGATGCCCAAGTATGCCAAGTTCATGAAGGACCTCCTCACCAACAAGAAGAAACTTGGGGATCTTTCGACAGTGATGCTGAGCGAGGAGTGTTCTGCTATCCTGCAGAACAAGCTGCCCGAAGAAGCGAAAGGATCCAGGGAGTTTTACTATCCCTCTTACTATTGGCAGCATGCATGTAGGCAAGTCGTTGGCGGACCTAGGCGCTAGCATAAATGTCATGCCATATAAGTTGTATAAAAAGCTAGACCTAGGTGAACTTAGCCCTACTAGGATGAGCATTCAGCTAGCTGATCGTTCCATTGTGCATCCTAGGGGTATCATAGAGGATCTGCTTGTTAAAGTAGGTGCATTCACATATCCTGTTGATTTTGTTATTCTTGATATACATGAGGATGTGGATGTGCCTTTGATTCTAGGGAGACCATTTCTTGCCACCGCCAAGGCACTTATTGATGTGCATGATGGTAAACTGATCCTGCGTGCTGGGAATAAACAGGCTACTTTTTCTGTGACTGAATTTGATCACTGTGCTATGATTGCTGTCACACCTGTGCATGCCATTTCTGATCAGGTACACGAGCCTGTCGTGTATCCTTCTGCACCTCTCATTTTGCAGGACCCTCCTATCATTCCTTCGCCGCCACTCCATCCAGCCTCGCCTCCGAACAAAAAGCTCAAGGAGGAGTGGCGGCCGAAGCAGCAGGTTGCTACGCCTGCACGGAAGAAGAGTGGAGACCACTATGAGCTGGTCCCACCTCCCGCACCACGACCACCCTGGTCGTCCGGGTACTCACTCGCCTGCATCTTGCCAGACGGCCAGGTCGAGCTGACCGATGATGGTGGTCGCACCCGTTGGGTGCATGGCCACAACCTGAAGCTGTACCTCAAGAGCGACGTGGATCCGCTCTTGGAGGCACCTGTTCCTGCACCTCCCTGAGTATCCACCATGGGCGTCCAGCTAAAAGATGGTAAAGAAGCGCTTGTGGGGAGGCAACCCCACCACAGTTTGACTTTCTTTCTTGTGTTTTGAGTCGGATTGTAAACCAGTTTGGTTTTGGTTTGTTTTCCTTTGTTTTGGATGATGTCTTATTGGGCTGACATTGGACCTAACATATTGTGTTTGAGCTCTTCTGTTCCCCTTTAGCTGTGCTTTGTTCCAGACTGGTCCCTCCCCAGTCCGCTTCACTCGGCGGGTCCGCTTCCAGTCTAATGTAGTCCGTGCACACCGGTAACATCGTTCCCCTTATCCTTCCCTCTTCTCCATTGAGGGCAATGTCGATCTTAAGTGTGGGGGGATGTTTATCTTTTGACTGCATTAGATCTGTTTGTGTGCTTGGAGCCTAGTCCACTGTCCAAATTTTTAAACTTGAGGGCTCCAAGTACGTGTTTCCATGCAATTGCCTGCTCAGTATGCTTTGAATTGACAGTCTTTATAGTAATATGCAACCTAGGGAGGTAGTGTAGCACTATGGAGGATGTTGATGCATTTAAGAAATCTCATTTCTTCTTCATATTGTGTTGGTTGATTGAGTGAATTAGTGATCTTAGGACCCCCTGAATTGTGTGGTGTTGTGGACTCTCTACCTGTCATGGACTCTTGTTTCATGTTTTGAGTTTAACAGGTGCTCGAAAATGTGCTTCAAAATAACGTCTCCCGTGCGAATAGGGCGAAAGTGTGTAAGGGGAGACGGGAATTCGTTCCCAATTTTCACATACTACCTCCAGCCCCCTTACATGTCTTTCCCCCGCACGAGGCTCGAGACATCCGCTCCTGGCATGGCCGGTAAGAGCAGGTTGGGACCCTTGAAAGAAAAAAAAAGAAAAAAAATAACAGAAAACAAGCAAAACAGAAAGAAAAGGGGTTCCAACCATCTTCAAGAAGAAAATAGAGCACCTTGAAAAATGTGAGTCCATGATCCTTTGTTTTTGGAGAATCTCTTCATCCACAATTCATTTGTCCTCTGTTCACTATTCGCCATGATGCCGACTCGATACTAGTGCTCTCGCCGAAGGAGCTATGAGATGACTTGTGCATCGGTTGACCCCGTAAGCTGCTAAATGATCTAGGAAGTCCTCTACCTACGATCTGGGTTGTTTGTTGCTATAGAGGTCTGGAGAGTTGCATCGGTTTGAGTTAGGTTTGCTTGGGGACAAGCAAACGGTTAAGTGTGGGGGAATTTGATAACGATGTAATTGCACATATTTGCGCCCCTAGTTCTTATCCGTTTGAGGGGCATAGTCGTGTATTTTGGCCTATTTTACGCCGGGTTGTGCTATTTTGTCATATTTCAGGTCCCAGGCGTCAAAGGAAAGGCTAAGCACGAGTTTCGGGGCATTCGGAAGTCATTTCGTCGAGCTGGAGTCAAAACACGGGCACACCTAAAACAGAACACGACCGTGTTCTGTGGCCGTGCTTTTACTGCCGAGAGCAAATTCGAGTTGGCAAACATTGGCTAAAAACACGGGCAGGGCTTAGACAAAGCACGACCGTGGCCACCACAAGCACGGCAGTGTCCATCATCAAACACACCCGTGTTTCTCCCAATGCACTGGCCGTGTAATTAACCCTAGCCAAAGCACGGGCGGGATGAGGCATTACACGGCCGTGCCCTCGACCGTGCTTTGGCCACTGATGCCCTTTTAAGCAGATTTTCAGCCAAACCGAAGGGGATTCGAGTTTTGAGAGAGATAGAGCGATTCCTAGAGAGAGAAAGCGACGAACAAGAGTCTCCAAGTGCCCTAGCTTGATCTTCATCACCATTGGAGGCCAGTTTGAGCTTGGAGAAGTGCCGATCAACATCTAGGAGCAGGAATCCATCCTTCACAGTATGAATTCCGCGTCTGATTCTGCTTTTGCTTCTTTCTCCATGGAGTAGTTCTCCCATTCATCTGGGTATGGAGAACCCTAGATTTGTATGTTAGGGTTTGATTTATGAACCCAAGTACTGATTCTATGATTTGATTATATTCGATTGAGGTTTGAATGATTGAATGACTTGAATCCTGATCAAATTCCTGTTGTTTTTGCTTTAACCTAGAATGAGAATATCTGCCTAGGTTGATAGAGCATCCTTGATTGAAGGTAGGGAGTTGGTGACTTTAGTCGAGGAGCCAACTCACTATTCTGTACCGGATTTACTCCGGTAGTGGAGGTATTGTTTGTTAAGGCCTCAATCTGTTTACTCCGGTGGAGGTTAGTCGCCCGCTAGAGACTCAGATTGAGAGGGTCTGAAGACCTTTAGTCGAGACTTCAGGCTGTTTAAGAACCTTCCGCAGTATAACTATCATAGAAACTGAACTTGGTAATTACAATCCGGCTTAACTGCAGTCTAGGGGGAACCATATCCGGGTGACCTCTCTTAACCTGAATACAACCGTTTACTTGCTTTGTTAGTTTGTTAGTTTAAACCTGCATTAAAGTTTCATTGCTAGATAACAAGAATTCACTGAGTAGTCATCAAATCTAGGACCCGGATTGACATTAAAACCCAAACCCGCTATACTACGCTTCAGGAAGTGGTTTCACTTGGCCAATTCTTAGAGTGACAGTAGAAGTGAGTCAATAGGCCACCATCTTTCACTACAACAAATTTGGCCTGTTATGACGAGGCAATTTTGTCATATTAGATAGCCATTTTGTCATATTATGTATAATATGACAAAATGTGTTGTCACAAAGGTTTGTCATTTTATCGCCGTCAAGATAGGTCAAATATGACAAAAAATTAAAACAAGTTTGTCACATTTGCTTTCAGTATAGCCGAGGTTCTGTATAGTCTATTGTGACAAACAAAGATATTATGACGACATATTTTGTCATTACAGTTGTCATAATCTGGTGATTTTGGTAGAATTTTTCGTCATATTACACTATTATATTTTGTCATAACTTCATATTGTGACGACTGCATTTTGTCACAAGTTTTAATTGTGACGACTCTATTTTGTAATAACTGAATATCATGACAAATATATTTTGTCATAACTGCATATTATGACGAGTATAGGTTGTCAGGAAAGGTGGTTTTAACTTATTGTTTCCTCCATTGCAATCTGATAATGGAAAGATTACCAAAGATCTAAAACATTACAACCATTTCCATAGCAGTCTAACTCCTTGTTCACCATAACCAAACATTTCAAGTTTTCTACCATGACACAAAACATTCTAACTCCTTTGCGGATCTTGGGCTCTCCTTCGGTCCATACTTCACCTTTTTCTTCAGGACCTTCTGAACAATCTCACGGCTTGATACAAGCTTCCCCTCTGCCTGACTGCCTTTGCTTCTATCCAAATGGACTGCATCTCCAGCTAGACATTGAACAAAAATGTTAATGATATAGGTCACATGGTTTGCTATGAACTAATCATATGAAACAAGGCAATTCATGACAATGAATTCACATAGTTTTGCCTAGGTTGCTCGGGAAATCCCTATCTATCATACCCAGCAGCTGAAATCTATCACAAGTTGAGACAACCCTGTTACCACACAATTCGACCAAATGTGTTCCTCGTCACAAATTGCTAAGTCGGCTCATACATTTATCTTCAAGCACCTATAAGCAATTGCTTTAACATCAATTCCTGCACAATCAGTGGTAAGAACACCATAACCCATTTACCTGGAGACCCTTCTTAGCTGCCTTCCCTTCCCTTCTTATCGAACTTTATTTAACTTCAATGATCCCATCCATTGATTAGCACAATTCACACTCTTCACCTCGAACCCAACCTATAATTCCCAACCAACCAAATTAACTTCCACTTACACAAACCTAGTACTTGTTAGAAACCCAAAGTAACTAACCCTCAATTTCCCTTTTGTACATTTGTCTGCATCTCTCCCTATCACCCATCAAGAACCCCACGTATCAAGGGAGAGAAAAGGGACATTTACATCAAAATTGTGACCCATCTTATCTAAATATAATATATTAAATTCACTTATGGAATGGGTAATCTGTGTGTTATTATACAGTGGGGAACTTAAATTCCTTAGCTTCTTGAGGAGCACCAGCTTCTTTCTAGAGATAAAGGCTTAGCATAACACCATTAGTAGTAGTTATCTATCTACTACAGTACTCTTACACATACTGTGCAGAAATGAAAACTGATTCAAGGCACATACCTAATCCTCCACAAACTCAAGCTACTGTTGAGGGAGTTCCAGAACCAAAAGCATTTTAGAATGGTGATTTAAGATGATACCAACCTCTTGGCATCCCTTCAATTGTCATGCTCCTCCACTTCCTCAGATAATTCAATGGCTTCATCTATTTCTGAAGCCATTTTCAATTAACCTGAATAACATAACATACCAATATTACCACTAGTTTATAGACATATGAATAAAGGGATGCACACATCAAGCCACTGTTCACAATTAGCAAATCCAAAATGCAAAAACTCAACACAGAACAAGCCATGCTGCATATAATGACCTCAAAGACTCCTTACAAATCAAGGGCACCGTATCTCTGTCTTCAAAAGCTTGGAAGGATTCAAACAACAAAGAGGTCTAGAAAACCACAATTTAACTCAAGCTATTTTACACTAAAAGATAAGCAAGCAGACTTGAGAAGCCTATTTCCAACCGACTCTGCTATTTGAATTCTAGTTAAAGCAAGATTCCACCACATCTCAGAGAGAAATATACAGAGGGAAACTCAGGCTATTTGACTTCGAATTAAAGCGAGATTCCATTACATTCTTCTATCGTAAACACACCCAATATACAAAAAAAAAATCTCAAGAACCAAAGATGAGACAAGTAAATCAAACCCAGATGAACGAAATCTCAGAGAGCGAGATACAGGGGAAAAGAAGAATCGAGAAAACAGAGAGGGGGCAAGATCTAGAAGAGAAGAAGATGGGGGAACCTAGAGACCAGCACGAGAAGAGCGAGAGGTGGGTTTCTTCTTCTCTCAGTCCTTGTCCTTGTTTTCTATTTCTGAAGGTGGGAGTTTCCAGAGAATCCACAGCCACAGGGTCCGATGGTCGGGAGAAGGAGAAGTTGGCGGCGTCGGGGTCGATGGTCGCTGATCGAGAATCGGGATTGCAGGTAGGCGGCGACGTCGGGATACAATGGTGGAACTGGAGTAGTCATCAAATCTAGATAACAAGAATTCACTGAGTAGTCATCAAATCTAGGACCCGGATTGACATTAAAACCCAAACCCGCTATACTACGCTTCAGGAAGTGGTTTCACTTGGCCAATTCTAAGAGTGACAGTAGAAGTGAGTCAATAGGCCACCATCTTTTCTTACTCCCCTTTACAAAAATATGAGGTTGTACCTTTTCACCTATTGATTAAGTAAAGCAGGAGTCTTGTATAAAAAAAAGCATTGTCACCGTGACAACCTACATCTCCACCCTCCATTTCATCATTTTTAAATTGAATGTCAAGATTGATTAGGATTAGTTTTGGACCAAAAATAATAACCAAATCTACTTACTATGGTTAAAATATGGATTTGCATATATCTCTCCCCAAATCCTAGATAATCCTATTCTCCTCTCTCCCTCCGTCATTCCCTCTTTCTGTTCCACCCGTCTGCAAAATAAAAAATCCTCAAAACGGCCCATGTCGGCTTCCGCTGCTTAGTTGAAAATGTTGAGGCACTCAAAGATGTTGACGAATTTGTCGTGGTCGGTGATAGTGATCCCGAGGACGTAGATCCCATTGACGAGGCGATAGACAACACGGTACTGGCTCTCCATGTTGACGATGAGCTGCCCGCTTGAGGGAGGGGAGGAAACACTCTTCGCCTTCCGCCTTCCAATCCTCCACCTCCTCTTCCTATAATACCAAAACTCTTCTTCCTCTTCCTACTAGCGGTGTTGGTCTTGTCATGGACCACGAGAGCACAACCAACTTTCCGCTGCAGGACTGCGGATCTACTCTGCAATGGTATTGTTTTCTTTCATATTGGTATTGTTTTGTTTCATAGTGGTATTATATTGTTTTTTTAATGATATTGTTTTGTTTTCATAACAGATGTGGTACAGGTTCACATTGAAATGATATTTATTTCTATGGTTTTGATTTGGTTCTAAAAGTGGATTCATTTTGGTATCCATTGATTTTTAATATGGTATTGGTTTGATTCTTGTAATGGTATGGATTTTTCATAGTGGTAATTTTTGTCATGTACTAGTACTATTTTTTTCGTAATGGTATTGGTACATCTTGAACTGGTATAAGTATTTTTGAAATGATATTGTTTTTTAATGATTTGGTACAGTTCTCTTATTTCATTTTTATAATGGTATGGTTCATTTGAACAGAGACAAGAGAAGAATCGAGAAAAAGGCAGAGAGGTGGCTGGAGAATTGCTGAAATGAGAGAGGTAGGGAGTGGGGCTTAATGAGAGAGAAAAATCCAATTGACACATATTTTTAACTTTTGAAAATGGATCTTATTAAAAATGGTAATTAATAAATATTTATTTGTCATGCCCAATTTTTCCTTAGTAGTCACCATATCCGCTCCCCCTGTGATATTCTAATATATGCAAGAGATCCATACTCGCACATGACTAAAATATTTTCCTTGTTGTCACCAGGGATTGCCAAATTCGTCGCGTAAAGATAATTGGTCGTAATTCTCTTGATTCTTCTCTTATGATGGTTGTAGCTTTCGTTTTCAGCAAATATTATTTTCACCTGCTTGCATATGAAGGTAGGAGAAATGAATTAATAAAGGGTAATTGTGTTTTTTTATCCTTGATAAGTTTGTTGCTTTTTTATTTACAAAAGATAACAATCTCCACTTTGAACTGATAAAATTTTCAAATTCATATATTGAAACAATGCATATAATTAGAATTCAAAAATTGATTATATGCATCAATTCAAAGAATCCTGACCTCCTAACATGGCCTAAGTCATCCATCCACTCTCAGAATATTAACAAACGCACCTCTTGTGCATTTTCTATCTTATCCTTGTTAGTGATGAATCTTAATCTTCCACAACGCCCTCAGCTAAGTCAAAGACAAATATATAAAATGCCCTCAACTTATTCACTCTATTGAATAATCAGTTGGATCTCCCTAGCCGTTGATAACCACATCGCACTTATCGCCCATGTTCCCACTAGGAAGTTGTGCTACTTCGACTGCTCATGGAGTTTTCGCCCACTTATAGATAAATCATACAGGACTGCACTCGCTTAGTTGAATGGTTGCAAGGCCAACCAAACCGCAACGTCATTTTTTCATAATCACACCGTAGGTCATACCATTGATCCATGAATTTGGCTCATGGCCCCATGACACCATATTGAAACTTTAGGAAATAACAAGGTTGTCAAACAGGTTTATACCTGTGTGCCGGTTTCACAAATGAAATGGTCCGACCGTGGTATAACCGGTACATGCCAGTTTTTGCCGGTTTCAACAAAATAGGTAAGAAAATGTGAAAAAAAGGAAAAGGAAGAGTGTACTTAAAAAAAGGAAAAGGAAGAACCTTATTATTTGGCCTCTACAAGCAAAAAGGTAATAGTGGGGTCAGCGAGTAAAAAGGTAACTAATTTGGTTTAATGCTGTCTAGAAATTTAGATTGAAAACAAAAGGTACTTCAAATAGAGCACTTCTACTATGCTATATAGTATTGGTGCTTTAATGTACAAGTTAAAGTTGTACCATAATATTAAATGTATAAGTTTAGGTTGTACCATAAAGCAATTTGTACCATTATGTTATGGTACAACTTTACAACTTGAAGTTGTACCATCACATAAAGGTACAAGTTCAAGTTGTACCATAAAAGAATTTGTACAAAAAGTATAGGTACAATCTGAAGTTATACCATAACATAAACGTACAATTTTAAGTTGTACCATAAAGGCAAAATCCTATAGCACCAATACTATATAGCATTGTAAAATTTCTCCTTCAAATAACGACAAAGAGTAGAGTAGAGAAAGGGAAAAGGTGGAGGTGGGTCCTACTGGAGAGGTGGGATGGATGGTACTTGGTAGTATGCGTAGGTCTAGGTCAGGGGGAAGAACCAAAAAAATAGGGCCACTTCAATTACTTCCAGAATTATGCCTCCCGGTTGAACCACACGGCATTTCCGGTTTTGATCGGTATTGACCTATCCCTCTTACCGATGACATTCCAGCCGGTTTTATGACTGATACTGGTTCAACCTGGTTCAACCGGCCAGCATGCCACCAGCATGATAACTATAGGTGTCAATCGGGCGGGTTCGGGCGGGTTCGGGCTGGGTTCAATCGAGTTCGGGTTCAACCGGGTTGCGAGTTCATCGAGTTTGGGTTCAAACGGGTTGCGGGTTAGTCGGGTTGCGGGTTCATCGGGTTCGGATTCAATCGGTTGCGGGCAAATCGGGTTGCGGGTTCATCGGGTTTTGGGTCGGGCGGGTTGCGGGCGGGTCGGGTTTCGGGTTGTTCGGGTCAGTGCATCAAGTAACTTAACTCATTACTCATTACCAACTTACATATTTTATTACACTAATTTAAAATATTTTCTCAACTTTTTAACCAATTTATTTCTATCTCGTATATATATACTTTATTTTTTTGAAAAAAACTAGTCAAAATTTTAAATCAATTTGTATGACTTGCAAACTTGTTATGTAATTAATCATAATTGGTAAAGTATTATAGCTAATAGTAATGGTGATATCAATATTTGCAACCAAAAGACACCGTTAATTGTTTATTTGATATTTTAGCATTAATTCAGTAGTAATTGGATTAAAGTATCTCGTTTAGTATAACCATGCAAATCTGGTATTTGGCGTGTGGTATTTGGCAAAAGCATAGTGATAAAAGGAGTTATTTCAAAATAACTCATTGCCCAAATAACTTTAGTAAACTGTTGCCAAACGAGTTATTTGTAAAATTGTTCGAATTATCCTAAAAACTGAACCATTAAAGATTAGCTATCAAATTTAGTAAAATTATTGTGACTTCAATCATAACTTACTCAATAGCATATATCCTATACACTTAGCTTTACCATCAATCAACAATATTAAGTTAGTATATGTTGTTGATTGTATACCCTAAACCATCAATACATTATACACTAACCACATAAACTATACCCTAACCATATGTCCTTGAGTTGCGATTTTGCTAGTATAGTTAATTTAAAAGTGAAATTCATACTTTGATTTTCAAAACATAGATAAAAAGTGATATTTGCTAATTGTTATACCCTAACCATATATCCTATACTTTACACCACATACCTTGTACCCTAACCACGTACCATAAACATAAATTAAAAAGGGATCTCCTGCCGTTAAAGACTTCAAATGATTTCAAGTGAACATATGTTAATAAAAAACTTAGAACCGTCAAAACCATCAATATCTTATACCCTAACCATATACACCCTAAACCATATGTACCTTATACCTTATACCCTAACCATGTATTTATATCCTAAACAACGAACCGTCAAAGATTACTTATCAAGTTTAGTATAAATTGTTGTAACTAATGGTTAATTTATTTATTAGCCCATAAAATATTACATACATATATACATATTAGCCTTCAAAGCATATAAGAATAATTTTAACTAGTCATGCCCTCCATATAAAAGTTAAAGATTCATATTTCAAAAGCTAAAATTATGAAAACACCAAATTTGTTTCTTTCTTTCTTTTCACAAAAATACTAAAATTTCCCTCATTCTTTCTTCTTCCATACATTAGAAAAACTCAATTTTCACTCCTCTTTTTCTTCCATAAAATTGAAAGAACCAAATTACTCTCTTCTTTCCTTCTACAAAAAGTTGAAAAGTCAAAAGTGTCCCTCCTTATTTCTCTTTCATAATCAAAAGAATCAAACTTTCTCACTTCTTTCTCTTCCCACATATCAAAACCACCAAAATTCCCACTTGTTTCTTTTCTAAAAAATTCAAAGAACCAAATTTCCCTCTTCTTTCTCTTCCCAAAAACTTGAATACACCAAAATTTCCCTCTTCTTTTAAAAAAATCAAATTACCAAATACATTACTTTACTTTATTTATATTTAATTGATAATTTTATTGAATAGTTAAATTAACCAAAATTTTAATTTATATATTATATTAATATTGTCATGATCTCAAGTGACCTTCATGTTTCAATTTTTGTAATTTTCTTAAAATACGTAATATCAAGTGAGTTTCATATTTTTAAAATTTCTTATACGAAATGAAAAATAATTTTACTTAAGTTTAGAATGAAAAACTTTATTTTGAAAAACTATGTATTGTATATTTTTATAATTATTCAAGTGGATTAGATGAAATTCGGGTTGAGTCGGTCGGGTTACGGGTTAGTCGGGTTTGGGTCAATCGGGTTCGGGTTAATCAGGTTGCGGGTCAATCGGGTTCGGGTTAATCAGGTTGCGAGTTAGTCGGGTTACGGGTTAGTTGGGTTGCGGGTCAATCGGGTTGCGGGTCGGGCGGGTTACGGGTTGTTGACTTTCAATTCGGATTGCGGTCGGGTTGCGGGTCGGGTTGATCGGGCGGGTTAATCGGGTCGGGCTATGTTTTGACACCTATAATGACAACCATGGCAAATAATCGCAACATGGTTGGAACAACGATGTTGTCAGGTTGCACTATGAATCCACATTGTTGCATCATGGCTTGCACAACTACATGGTTGGAGTCATAACATTGCAGCTGAGCCAAAGATGTTATTAGGACCATAATTTTTGCTTGTACCATCCTCATAGAACTTCATTCCACGACAATGTTTCTTAAACCGTAAAGTTGTTTATATCACGATAATATTGTTGCAGCTACGTTGTTGCTAGGATTGTGATGTTTTTTCAAGAAAAATATTGTTATTGCACCATGTTGCAAGATGAACCACTAACCACCAAGCCGCAATACGGACCTACAACACTGCAGTTTCATGAGTTAATTGTGCAAGATCACAACGATGTCGTTCAGGAAATCTCAATATTTTATCTGTACGATGTTGTTGGACTCGCAATGTCGTTAACTACCATGATGTCGGTTGACGTGCGACGTCGTTGTATTAATGATGTCGTTGACCACCACAGTGTTGCAACAACGTCGTTGCTTGTGACCTTGAGTACGAGCCAAGCTGGGCTAAACTAAATGGCCTCATTCCCATGTATATGCTAGCCATTATGACCATGTCGCAGCATTGGTGAACCTGTGGCATTGTTCTCGACTAAACAACATTATTTCTCAGTATTGCAGCGATGTTGATAAAAACATCTCCATTGGCACAAATAGAGGGAGTTGCAAGCTAATGTGGCAGCCGTGTGCAATTTAAAAAGACAATGACATTGATATAAGCCCACTTTCAAATGATGTGAGAAGAAGATAAGGTAAGTGTAGCTTTTTCTTAGTTATTTATCTATCAGTTTTCTCTTCTAGTTTTTTTCTTAGTAAATGACGTGGAGGAACTCATGGGTCGGAAAGCCAGTTTTGGTAGGCCTTAGGCCTATGATAAAACAAGCCCCTTTGTCGGACTGACTTTAGGTTAGAAAGTCAGGGTTATGACTACCTTTCACTCACTCACCCCCAAATGCTGGGCATTGACGGGGGAAAAATGTTTGACCGTCAAATATTAAAAGTTAATTTAAGATATGCGACAAATTTGTCTGTTTCTTTCAACGTTTGGTCAAAACTGTATTATTTGATAATACAAGTTCTGATACCAGTTTGGCCCGAAGTTTGGCGTAAGTGGCAGTTCTGACCCCATTTTTCAAATAAGACATTTATGGCCTACTTTTGAAACTATTGGACAGATTTGCCCCAAATTTTTTGTTGACCGTTAAAACTGATAGTCAAACATTATTCTGTCTATGACCTAGCATCAATTGTTGAGGTGGCTTCCATGTGGATGCCACATCATGCATGCCACATCATTAAATAAATTGTTATTTAATTTTTCTTTTTAAATTAATCAATTCATCACAAAAATAAAATAAAGTAATGAAAAGGGTACCATCGTCCTTGCCTCTCTCTTTGCAATTTCCGCACCCACAGCTCCATCGTCTCCATACGCTTCGTCGACTTCGCATCGGATATGCCACCTCTTTATCCCCACAAAACACAATTCGTTCATACAACAGAGTAACCTTCTCAACGGAGATGAAATTCGACAACGCTCGTGTTCTTCCCCTTCACCTGCCTAGAAACAAATCAAAACTTTCGGCTTTCGTAGCACATACAACCAACAAAGCTCAATTGAATCCATAATCCATTTTCACTGACCCTCTTCGTCGATTTCAACCTTCTTCGTCATCGACTAGGCTATAATAGAGAAGGCCTAGGAGAGGGGACGTGTGGCCGTCAATTTCAACCCTTTTCGCCGTCAGCTAGGTTAGAACAAAGGAGGAGCTTCAGTTCGCGGAGGAGGCAGGGGAAGCGTTGCCATCGATTTCGCCGTGCTCGTCTTTGGTGGGGGTGTGTAGTGGGAGGTGGTTGGGTCGAAGGCAGAGGCAACGTGGGAGGGGAAGGGGAAGGGTGAGATTGCGGCGGAGGTAGGGAAAGATGCAAAGGTGAAGCATGGGGAAGAAGAACCGAGGGGGTTTTTGGGAGGAGCTGGAGATGGCAATCATCGCCATGCATGGTCCCGGGCATAGCTGGAGAATGTTGATTATCGTCGGGCCGTAGGATTTTGGAGGAAACGACGGTCAGAGCGGGTGGGGGATTTGCGAGGGTTTAGAGAAGGTAGAGAAAGAGGGCTCAAGATAGGGTGTATAACCCATCAATAATCAAATTTGGACCCTTCATTTAAAAAATTCAGATTTAAGGATGGAGAATTAAAGATTATTTTTATTTTCTCTAGTTTTCTTAATCGGCTCATATCTTTTTCGTTTTAACTCGGATTTTAATTTTTTTGCCCAGGTGGAACGAGTTCATCGTGCTCTACAAAATGAGATCAATTTTCAATATTTTTTTAGAACAAAAAATTCTGGTCTCTCGGCACCACCTGCATACCATATGGTATTTTCTTCATTTTTAATTCGTTTTTGAAAACGTTTGCACAGAAGGGACGAGTTCATCATGATATATTGGATCTACAAATTTCTGGGTGAACAAATTACAGGACAAAAAAATACCACACAATACCATACAATACCACCCTAGTACGGGGTGGTATTGTATGGTATCTTCTTCGTTTTTAATTCGTTTTTGAAAACGTTTGCATAGGAGGGACGAGTTCATCATGATCTATTGGATCTACAAATTTATGGGTGAACAAATTACAAGACCAAAAAATATCACACAATATCATACAATACCACCCTGGTACGGGGTGGTATCTTGTGGTATACAATGTTAAAAGTTGTAAATGACAATTAATATATTTCTACTATCATGTATTCAACCATCCTACAGTCTTGGTTTGTTCATACCACCATGGTACTTTTTTCAAACCATAGGTATGCTTTTATTTCAATACTAGTCAATACCATATGGTATAGACTGGTAAAAAATGACTCAATTTTTTTTTGTTCGAAAAATATATTAAAGTGGATATCATTTTGAAGAGCACAATTAATCTGATCTAACTGTACAAACAAAATTAAATTTCGACTTAAAATGAGTGAGAAATCGTCCGTCAAAGATTAAAGAGGGGAAAATTAAAGGCTTTCCAGGAGAGAGAGGATGTTGATGTCATGCTAATGTGGACGGGTTACTCATGGTTACTCACCACAAGGTTACTCACCAGATCTGCTCCCGAGAAAGAGAAGCAGGAAAGAGTGGCGGATTCGGGGTTAGTTATAATTTTTTTAATTCAATTCTAAAATTAAAATGATATTATCTAATGATGTGACATGCCACATCAGCAGTTCTGAGTCACTAACGGAATAACGTTTGACCGTCAATATTAACGGTCAAAGAAATTTTTCTGCCAAATTTGTCAAATAGTTTCAAAAGTAGACCATAAATGTCTTATTTGAAAAATAAGGCCAGAACTGTCACTTACGCCAAACTTCGGGCCAAACTAGGATACTAACCCTAAAAAAATATTTCACGATACTGTCTAAATACTTTTCACAAAACATGGGACAAATTAGTGAGAGGGACTATCCTCTTTAAGTTAAGCATTCTTTGATAAGTCGTGGAGTTCATTGATAATTTTGCTACAAAAATTGTGTCTTTTGATCCTTAAATTTTTAGAGGGTTTATGAAAATAATGTTAATCTTGAAAGTCTAACATTAGAGCTTCATGTTGAAAACCAACGATGAGATGTTATCCCTGCCACACCAACCCTTCTTTACCTGATTTCCCCTATTTCACTTTTTCCCATTTTGGGGAAATAAAGAAGATCTCGCTCTAGAACAACGTCATAGAGAGCATAAGGTATTAGATTTTTGGATTGAAATAAGATTTCTCTCCTACATGCTTTACTTTCCCTTTCGTTCTCAAAGCTTGTGACATGCTTTTGATTTCCAGTTGGGATCGAAGTTGCAATCGTATTATCGAACTTCTCATACAACGTTTTCATGAACACTAATCTAGTGATTTTACAGGTTAAGTGAGACTATATTGAGGATGCCATCAAGGTGTGCGATGATATTTCCAACAAAAATGTTGTGCCCTAGATTGCTATAATAACTGGGTTTATCAGCGTCGCTAATTGCATGGAGGGGATTGATAAGTTTCAAAAGTTGTTGGGATGGATATGGTCCCTATTAGTTTCACCCTTGTACGGGTTTTTTCTACTTGCGCTCAAATCGGTGATCTCAAGAACGACGAGTGAATAGATAGGTACATATCCTAGATCAGAATGTCGAGAAACGTGTTCGTAACTACTTCCTTGATGGATTTCTACACCAAGCGTGGGAAAATAGAGAGATCAAGGTTAGTGTTTGATGAAATGCATGAGAAAGATCTAGCTTATGGAGCACCATGATTCAGGGCTACAGTTCAAATGGGCTGTCTAAATAGACACTTGAGGTTTTCCACAACATGTTGGATCATGACCTAAAATCATATTGCTATGACATTGTTCGGTCTCTCAGCGTGTGTGCGAGATTAAGAGTCTCAGGATTAGGTGAATGGGTCATCATTCCGATGAACCCAAATGAGTCCTCTCCCAATCCAGTTCAGGGCATGCCCTAATCGACATCTATGTCAAAAGTGGGAGCATGACTTAAACCTATGATATCTTCAAAGCAATCTGAGCTAAGGACATAGTAGTTGGGAATGCTAGAATATTGGGTCTTTGCCTTAAACTACACATCCCTGACACATTTGATGTATTCATGCAGATGCAGAAGTATGGAATTCCACCCGATGACAATACCACCATCGACTTGCTTTGTGTCTGCACTCATGTTGGTCAAGCAAAGGAAGTTCGTCAGTATTTCAACAGTATGGTTACAATATTCTCATTGGCTTCTACAATAGAACACTATGATGCGTATAAACTTTAACACACCGTGCAACAAAAACTTGAGAGGGAGTCGAGGCAGAACAAGTGAAACGTAGGCTCGGCAAAATGAACCGAAACCCGAAAATCCAATCCGAACCCGACCCAACAAAATCAGGAAAAATCCGTTGAGGATGGGCTCCGGGCCGGACTCGGATTAACCCGAGAATAAGAGAAACAGGCTTCGCGCGGGCTTCGGACTCACAACTATCTGCCCCGACTCCACCCCGTACATATATATACCATCTAATCAGAAACCCTAGGCTAGATTTCTCCCCTCAACTAAACTCTTCATCTCCCATTTTCTTCTCTACCTCCAACCCTAGGCTAGATTCTAGCAATCCGATTACTCGGGCTGCATCGAATCCCTAACATATCGGACACATATCTCCCATTGATTATCCGCTTTCCTTAATTCTTTCCGGATGATGATAATCATTTCCCTTTCAATCATGGATTGCCGCATGCAGAGAGAATTTCTCGCAGTGAAGTCGAATACTCGATTCAGCTGGAGACTGGAGTTGGAGTATAAATACGAGGTGGGGTTTATTTTTATTTTTTTTTTGTTCATCCTTCACTCAAGTCTTGATCTCAGTACTCTGTTTCTCAGTTCTCGGACTGACTTCTCATCCTTTTACTGCTTGTTTGGTCTGTGGCCTTGTGCGTTCGAGAATCATCTTCACATCCATTCCCACCCATTGTTCGTGCCTCACTCTATTTGTTCAAGGTAAATATCCACTTTCTTTGTTTCAATTTTGATCATTGATGTTGGCTAATGATTGAGGGAGTTGCTTGATATCCTACTAATCCTTGTTCCTCTATTTTTTCGGGAGGAACAATGTCAACAAAGGGAGTTCAACCCACTCCACAAGATAATGGCAATAATGCAAATCCAGTTCTGTCTGCACCTAGGGATGAACAAACACACCCGCAAACCGACCCACCCGTCCAACCTGACTCGACTCACCCGTATTTATCGCTAAAACAAAGGTTTTTGGTTGGGTGAGGGTTTTCTTTTGTACAACCCGTCTCTTTTGGGTTGGGTTTGGATTTTGGATTACACAACCCGTAAAAAAAATTCAACATCCGAAATTTCAATTTCCGTGTTTGGCACCTAATCCCGGAAGGAACAATGTGGAATGTCCGTTGCAACCCAACCCAACCCATGTTCCAACTATTGGTATGAGTACGTATCCATCAAATATTTATGTCGTATATAGTCATACTTATGAGAAAATTAATATATTTCGTCATGTCTTTCTCTCATGGTCTCCTTAAACTAAGGCATTCTTCGGCTTAAAGTTATGACATAAATTTAATATATCTATGATTCACGTAATCCTTTTTCTTGTGTATAATTTTAATAGATAACATATTATGGATGCATTCGTTTATAACCTTTTTAACCTATTTCAACAAATGTCGTGAAAAAAACTACACATATGTTGAAATAAATCACATTTTATTAAAATTCAAACAACATTTATGAATTTCGATACCTTTCACCTCGATTTATTTGTTTGAACTTTTAATTAGTTATAAAATATTTTTATGGTGTAGAATAATTACATATTTTTTGTTGGGTTGGGTTTTTACTTAAAAATATAGTCAACCCGACCCAACCCAATTAGAAACAAACCGTAGGGTTTAAATTTTTTTGGGTGGGTTTGGATTTAATATTTTCCAAACCGTAGTGTACGGGTCGGGTGATTAAAATGGCTAAACCTGAACCACCCGAACCATGTACACCCCTATCTGCATCTACTGAAAATGGGACTGTCACAAACCCAGCTCCGTAGGCAGCAACTATAAATGAGCAGAATGGCAATGCTGGGAATCGTAATGTTGTCGTGGAATTTCTCGACGTTGGTAAGCTTAAGAGTGTTGTTTGGTTACACTATACCAAAGTTCGAATTAATGGAATTGTCAAGGCTAAATGCAATTATTGTAAGAAGCAATTAGTTGGCGAATCAAATAATGGTACTACCCACCTAAAGAATCACACCACAATCTGTGTTCAGAAGAAAATTAGGGATGGTAGTCAAAAGATTCTCGACCCTCACTATTTGGCTAAAGGAAATCAAGACTTGGTTGCTAGTGCTTTCAACTCTGATTTTTCAAAAAGGGAGCTTGCAATTGCTATTACAATGCATGAATATCCTTTATCGATGGTTCATCATCACTATTTCAAGATATTTGTCTGCTCTCTTCAACCATTGTTCACTGTTCCATCGAGGAATACTAAAAAGAAAGAGGTCTTTAAGATCTATGATACTGAAAGAGCTAAGATTCAAAGTCTGTTTGATAGAAATAGAGGTAGAATTGCAATAACACTGATTTTTGGACTGCCGCCAATCAAAAGAAGGGGTACATGGCTGTTACAGCTAACAACTCATGGGTGCTTAGGATCCATATGGTTAGGTAAGACATGTACTTTGTATCTATTTAAATCATTGGTGTATGTTTCTTAGTTTTTGTCTCATTCCTTATTGCAATTGTTTCTTTGTGTGTTTGTTCTTGTGCAGATTTGCATATGTACCAGCACCTCATACTGCTGAAAGGTTGGGGACAGTGTTGGTTAATTGTTTGCTCGACTAGAATATCGACAGTAAGGTATCCACCATTATTTTAGACAATTGTAGCACTAATGACTCTATGATTCGTGTCATACAATCAAAATTAGTGTCACCTGACTTGATAAGTGATGGTGCTTTGATACATATGAGGTGTGATGCTCACATCTAGAATTTGATTGTGAAAGATGGTCTGGATGTTGTTAAAGAGGGAATTGATAACATCAGGAGCAGTGTTGTTTACTGGTCTGCTACCCCTAAAAGGCTAGAGTTCTTCCTTGAAATTGCAAAGCGGTTAAAGTTCACTTCTGAGAAAAGACTTGTTATGGATTTCCCTACTCGATGGAACTCCACCTTTAAAATGCTATATGTTGCTATTCCTTACAAGGAGGTTTTCACTAGACTGAAGCAACGTGATGCTCAATACAATTTCTTGCCATCGAATGAGCAGTGGCAATTTGATGTACTTGTTCGTGAGAAACTTAAAGTTTTTAGCTCTATCTCTGATTTGTTCTCTGGATCGAAGTATCCAACGACTAATCTGTTCTTCCCTCGTATTTTTGAGTTGAAACTCAAGATTCATGAGTGGTGTGTTGATACCAATGAAGTGATTCAAAAGATGGGTTATTCTATGCTAGAAAAATTCATCAAGTACTGGGACGAGATTCACAAAGTCCTCACTATTGCTGTGATTTTAGATCCACGGTGTTATGGGACAATCCAAGTACCACATCAATAATACAAGGAAGGGACCCTTGTATATTAGAGTCCACCAAGCTCATTAGTACGAGGCCTTTTGGGGAGGACACCCAAAAGTAAAACCGTGCGGGCTTGGCCCAAAGCAGAAAATATGATACTAATGAGCTGTCCAATTTGACAAGTGGTATCAGAGCCTGGTTCGGCGGATCCGGGGCGGTGGACGTCAATTTGGTGGGACCCTCATTCGGTGGCCTCGGGATTTGAGATCTGTGTCTCGTTTGGTGGATCCATGAAAGATCCACGTTTGGGCTACATCTGGTTTAGCGGATCAAGGAAGGTCCGCGTCTGTCTGGTGGATCTAGGAGAGATCCACGTTTGGGTTTGGCGGATCGAGAGAGGTCCGCGTTTTTCTGGTGGAAAAATTCTTGTATCGAGAAGCCCATCGATACAAGGTGTATGACAAGTGGTATCAGAGCCTGGTTCGGGTCTAGGGCGGTGGATGCCAGTTTGGTGGGACCCTCGTTCGGTGGCCTCAGGATTGTGATCCACGTCTGGTTTGGTGGATCCACAAGAGATCCGCTTTTGGGCTACATCTGGTTTGGCGGATCGAGTGAGGTCCGCATTTGTCTGGTGGAGAGATCCACGTTTGTTTGGCTGATCAAAGAGAGTACCGCATCTGGGAAAATCCTTGTACCGAGAAGCCCATCGTACAAGGTGTCTGGCGGATCAAGATAATCGTTGAGGAGAGGACACGAAGTTCGTGGTCCTTGTCTTGAGGGGAGGATTGTTATGGGACAATTCAAGTACCACATCGGTAATACAAGGGAAGGAACCCTTGTATATTGGTGTCCACCTAGCCCAATTAGTACGAGGCATTTTGGGGAGGACATTCAAGAGTAAAAAAGTGAGGGCTTGGCCCAAAGCGGACAATATCGTACTAATGGCCTGCCCGATTCGACAAGTGGTATCAGAGCCTGGTTCGGTTCGGGGAGGTGGACGTTAGTTTGGTGGACCCTCATCGGTGACCTCAGGATTTGCGATCTGCGTCTTGTTTGGTGGATCCACAAGAGATCCACGTTTGGGCTACATCTGGTTTGGCGGATCGAGTGAGGTTCGTGTTTCTCTGGTGGAGAGATCCACGTTTGTTTTGCGGATCAAAGAGAGTTCCGCGTCTAGGAAAATCTTTGTACCGAGAAGCCCATCGTACAAGGTGTCTGGCGAATCAAGATAATCGATGAGGAGAGGACACGAAGTTTGTGGTCCTTGTCTTGAGGGGAGGATTGTTATGGGACAATCCAAGTACCACATCTGTAATACAAGGGAAGGAACCCTTGTATATTAGTGTCCACCTAGCCCAATTAGTACGAGGCCTTTTGGGGAGGACACCCAAGAGTAAAACCGTGCGGGTTTGGCCCAAAGCGGATAATATCGTACTAATGAGCAGCCCCGTTATGACTAGGGATGGCAATGGGTCAGGTTGGGTCGGGTTTTTCCAAACCCAAACCCAAACTCATGGGTTTATCCGTGAAAAAAACCCGGGGTAAAACCCACTGGGTTTGAAAACCTCAAACCCAAATCCGCGGGTTCATGGGTACCCACGGATTTTTGTCGTAAAAAATTCACAATAACAAGTTTCTATCAAAATTAAAGTCAAATATCAATCTCTCAATACAAATTATCCATATATAAAACACCATTCTAGAAAATTCAAGCAAATTACAAATTAACTATACAATTGTATCAAGAAAACTCATGAAAATTGAAACAAATCACAAATTATCCATAAATAACATGATTAATTGAAAGCTTCTTCCTTTCAATTAAGTTTTTTCACTCTCCACTCGATAACATCAACTTCATTCTACATAACTAGAAAGAAAAAATTAAACATGTCTCCACAAACATGAATAAGATTAGTTGTTTAGAATATTAAATATGCCACGAAAATTAATTATGTGGGTGTGGGCGGGTACCCATGGGTCGGGTTTACCTAAACCCAAACCCAACCCGATGAATAGTAAAAGGGTTTAAACCCAAATCCGGCCCAAAACCCGTCAACACGTACGGAATTTACCCGCGTTTACCGGGTTGGGTCGGGTGGGTACTTGTGGGTTCGGGTTTTGTTGCCATCCCTAGTTATGACACACGGTATAAGTTGGATATTGTGGACTACTATGCTGAAAAATTTGGCATTGATGGCTAATGTTTGAAATCTATTAAGGACATATTATCTAATCTGGTACAGGAGTGCCAAAGTAAAATGAATGAGGAGAGGAATCTGAATGTTTCTGGGTATGTGGGAGTTGAGTCCTCTGCTCCTAGTACCACCGATTTGGACTTTGATCGATTTGTGAGTCAAAGAAAAAGGGCAAGGGTTACTTTTGTCCATACTGAGTTGGACAGTTACCTCAATGAGGAAATTCTGCCTCGTTCTGCTGAGTTTGATATTTTAATGTGGTGGAAGCATAATGGTCCAAAATATCCCACATTGCAAGCCATAGCAAGGGATGTTTTAGTTGTTCCTGTAACCTCTGTTGCACCTGAGTGTGCATTCAGCTCTGGAGGTCGTATTTTAGACCCTCATAGGAGCAGGTTGCACCATGCTACTGTGGAAACACTTGTGTGCACAAGAAGTTGGTTGCAAGTTGAGTTGGCTGGAGGTAAACTCTTAACCAGTGTTATTAAAGTTGAACCGAGCCGACCGGAACGTCAAAACCGCCATCCGACCGCAAAATTGGCTCAAATAAGCCATTTAGCCGGAACGACTTTTTGAAGCGGCTGGATGCTGGCCGGAGCGGTTAACCGATTGAGCCAGTTGAGCCGGCCGCTCGATTTTCACCACTTCCGGCTGTTTTGATTTAATAAATTAATAAAAAACAAAAACACAAATTGTCGGGCTAGGTTTCAAAGAAAGAAAGCCCTAGCGACCGATTTCAATTCATCTCCTTCCGTCTTCTTCGCGAACAAAGAGAATAGCGGCTAGGGGTGTTCAAATGGTTACCATGGTTATAACCAAACCAAATAAGGGTAAATTCCATTAACCATGGAATACAATATCATAACCAAGCCGTCCAAACTAATACAACAACCAAATTAACCAAACTAAAGTTTAATCGGTTTGGTTAATTGGTTAACCAGATTTACCAATATAAAATCACATTATCATTGACGATGTAAATTTTCCCGTTAATGCAACAATTCGCAATTTATATAATGAATAAAACATAACAATCAACACGTAGTTATAGTTGACCCTTAACAAAAATACATGCAACTAAGACAATTATCTTACGATTTGTATAGAAGTATTCACCTAACAAAAAATTATGACAATGGTATGGGTTAATGAATTGTTGTGTTTGTGTAAATTGACTTAGTCTCTAAGCAATTATCATAGGCTGGAAATGACCTTCCTTTCAAGTTTTCATTCATCATAATGTATGAAATTTATCTAAATTAGGCGTCCATATGTTGTGGTCTAGACTTTACATATACAAATATACACTATATGAGCAATATTGAGCTTTATATTTTATGAGTCTAAAAGGGATAAACGTTAACTCTTCCAGTGGTTATGCAAAGTATTATGTGTATATAATATATGTTAGATATATGACTAATTACTTAACTGGTTAATTTGGTTTGACTGTTTAGGAGTGTCTGAAACCAAACCAAACCACCTAAACCAAACAAGCTAAAAACTTTAACCAAACCAAACCAATTATTCAAATTAACCAAACCAAATTATCCAAATAGTACCGGTTAAAACGGTTACCACGGTAACCAAACTGTTTGCACACCCCTAATAGCGGCGACATCATCATCGCCATTGCTTCCCAGTCGGCGCTCCCGTCGGCATCGCTTCCCAGTCGGCGTCGTCATCTCTCGTCGTCATCGCCATCGCTTCGTCTCGTCATCTCACATTCGTAGCAGCTCTTCGCCCCGCTCGCCATCGTCGCCATCCCCAGTCCCCGTAGGCCGTAGCAGCTCCCCACCTCGCTCGCCATCGCTATCCCGTAGCAGCTCCTCCCCATCTTCTTGCTCCTGTTCCAGCTGTCTCACCTCCGCATAATCTCCGCCGGCCACTGCCCTACTCGACGACGGCGAGGTAAGGTATTGAACTGTTGATTCCTTCTTTTAACTTTCGTGTGGGTTCTTGTTTCAACATTAACATTTGGAAAACTCAAAATCTGTAAGAAATGATGTTGTTGGTTGATTTTAACAGGAGGCAGGGAGTTGGGTTTTTTGCATTTTAATTTGCATTTGTTTGGTAGAGACTAGAGAATCAGCCCACTTCATTTGTCTGATTTGGTGTTTCTTTTGAAAATGAGTAATCCAAATCCAGATAGTGGTACCCATCAACAACACCGAGCTCTACTACTTCAACTCTTGTTTCATGTTTAGACTCGTGTGAGATTGCTTTTATTTTGGAATAATGTGGTGATTTGTAATTGAATTTTAGAACTTTCGGTTCTCATGTTCTAGAATTGTTAAGGGTGTAATTTACTAATTTAGTCATGGTTTACTCTAATTAAGAAATGTCCAATATTTATTGATTGTTATTAGGTATCGGTTCTCTAACGATTTTTACACGGTCTAATATCGGTTGGACCACTAAAGACCAAGCCATTCATATTATCGGGTCATAGTCCAGTTCGCTTCTAACAACATTGCTCTTAACCCTGTTAAGTTAATCTTTTTGTTCAATTTCATTGTTGTTTTAGCATGTTATGTAACTATTTTGACTTGGCTTGCATTCGTAGATGCTGCTGCTGGAGTAGGAGTGTTGAAAGGATGTTTCTCCCCTACAAGTGAAGCCAATCTGGTCTTTCTCCAACCTGATGCTGAAACTACTGAAGGTAATAAGCAAAAACCCTGTTTCAGTTGTGTGATTTCTTCCAGCCTTTGATATATGTCAATGAGATTGAGATAGTTTGTTTAAATGTGTAGAGCAAGCCCGTCGTTTCAAGCTTCTTGAAGATTAATCAAGATTTTTGATTTGATACTTAGCAGCAAGATGTAAGTAAGAACTTTTGAGTTCTCTTAGTACTTTAGTTGATTTCATGATTTGTGAATTTGGATCCTTAATACCGGTTGTTTTTGCTCGTTTTCAGGTTTTGTTTGAGTTTTGTTGCCTTGACTACTGGGTGGAACCAAGGAATGCAGAATGCTGCATTGTTGTTGCTGTTGCTGCTGGAAAGTGGAGTATGGAGGCCCGAAGTGAAGTCTTTATCTTGCTGTTGTGATGCTGGTGCTATCGAAGTTGTTCTCGAGTAGTAGAGATGTTTTGCTAGTCATTTAAACTTGCTGATACAATGGTCTTGGTCATTTTGGATTTGATGGTATTTTATGATTGGATGTTTTATGTTGAATGTTTTGATCTTTTGCTACTTCTCCAGTGCATTCTGGTTTCTGGATTCGATGTTATGAAGTTCATGCTTCAGCTTCACGTAAGAATTGGTTTTTTAATGGAAATGGAACACTTAATTATGTTTATCTCACTGAGTTTCTGTCATTTGGTTTAACTAATGAACTGGTCGGATAATTTCGGATCCCCGACAAACCCGACATCCGACAACGGGCGAGACTGGTTGCTATTTTACATCCAATAACACAGTTCGGTAGGGGATTCCTCGAACCCGAAGTTTCGGCGGGCAGGTAACGGATTCATATACATCCGGCCCCGATCCGCCCGATTGTCATTCCTAGTGAAACGAGGGATGAACAAGAAGAATGAGAAATAACGAGGAAGAAAACAAGAAAAATAACTAAATTGGATTCCTATTCAACGATTAAACTGAAGAGAAAACACATATATGAATAGTAACCTGAAACCCTAGACTCTACCTAATCCTACTAGGACTAGGTAACTCAATCCTAAAGAAACTACATAACATTGAATCATAATCGTAATCTGACTCGACAATTAAGTAAATAGTAATTGTTAGCCAAAATAACAATCAACAAATGATAATAATTAAGCCAAGTTTCGATCTGCATCACACTACGAATGCATGGTGGATCTTCTCGATTGAGTAGGGTTACTCGAAGAAACACATCGTTTCGTCAAAAGCATGCCGATGGAGGAAAATGTAGTCATTTGGGGATCCTTACTGAGCGGATGCAAGATACACCACACCATGACACCCAATTGGTAGAGCATGTTCTAAAGAAGCTCTTGAAATTAGAGCTCCAGAATGTGGGGAACTATGTCCGGTTGTCGAACATATATTCGGCAAGCCACAAGTTTGACGATGCCGAAAATGTGAGGTTGCTGATGAGCGAGAGGCTTTTAAAACTACGAAGGTGCAATTGGATCAAAGTGAAGGTGTTGTCCGCGAGTTTCTCATGGGCGACACATGTATCCGTTATTGGAAGCTATTTACTCCAAGCTTTCCAACTGGACAAGGATTTTGAAGCAGCGTCATATGTTCCCACGACGAAGTATGTGTTGTTTGTTATTGAAGAGGAGGATCTACATTTCCTCTGATGCCATAGTGAGAAGCTTGTTATTGCCTTCGCGGATGTTAAGTACAGCTCCGACGGAGATTGTTCGATTAATGGTGAAGAACTTGAGGGCATGTGGTGATTGTCATTGAGCTTATTTCTAAGATTACTGGTGGGGAGATCATCGTTAGGGATACTAATTGGTTTTCCGGGGGACGTGATTATTGGTGTATTACAAAATTTGATCTCTTATGTTACTATCTCAAACATTTGTTAATCAGAAACCACAGACAGGCAATTGTAAGCTATCATGTTCCCTAGCTGGTGTGTGAACAAGACAATGGTCGTCCGCAGATTTCTTTTAGAATGAGGTTTGTTTTGTTTGTTCGTTCGTTGGTTCTGAACCTGATCTTGTTGTGGACTTTTTGCCCCAACTTGGAAGTTGGAAAGGTGCAAAATTGAGAACATCCCATCCTTATCCCCTTATCTTGTGATTTAAATAAACAGAAACCGAAATTGTGGCTGCCCACTAACACTGGCTGTAGCTTGTAGTATATATTAGGTCAGCCGTTTCTCTTTATGAAAATTAATCATGCGAGCAACGAAGAAACAAACATTATCGCGGGAGTTGCAGTTCGTTCTTGTTTACTACTATCCAAGTCGAACCAAAAATGAAAAGTAGAAGTGAAGTCAGCAAACTTGTTACCGCAGAGCTGCGAAGGAAAGGAGTACGAACTTAGCTGTGTTTATCAGTGTCTCTGTTCGTGCTCAACGATGTCGTTTTATGGTCTCTCCTGTTGGCTGCATATTCCTCTCTCTCCTGGCTGGGCCTCTAATCTATTATTTGATTTCCTGTTAGGGGAAGGGAGCTGCTTCGAAATCTCCGCTGCCTTTTTAGGTGAAAAATCTGAAAACCCTCCTTAATTCTCAACCCTTTCTACTCTCTTCTTCCTTCCTTCGCCAGGGCAAGGGCAACGCACTGGGCGAAGAGTAAGATACACCAATCAGCCAGCCACATGCCCAGAGGAAGATTTTGACCCTAAACGTCTCTAAAGTAGCGAACTTTCGGTCTCAATCGGAAAGGGCGGCATCCTCCTATTTTTGGGATTTTCGGCTTTCATATGCGCCCAATCCCCTTCTTAGGTCTTCGACTTTTATGGGAAAATCGCCTGCCGCGATATCAAGGCTTCCCAATCTCGTCGCCCAGTGCGTAAACCACTCGAAACAAGCGAAACCCACCTCCCGATTCCAGAGCATAGCTGCTGGAGAAGCAGACAAGTCGAGGAGAAGGTGGAAGGAGAAGAAGACGATGGAGAGTAGCAGCTCTGATATAGACGCCGCCAACAGAAGTCACAACGTCAGCAGCAGCAGCAGCAGCGCGAGCGCCGTCAGCAACTTTCGGGTGCCGCTGTCGGAGGTTGTGTCGGATTGCGTGAAGCGGTGGTTCAAGGACACGCTCAAAGAAGCCAAAGCTGGAGATATTAACATGCAGGTCTTGGTCAGTCAAATGTATTTCAGCGGCTATGGCGTCCCTCAAGACGGCCAAAAGGTTTGTGGCCTGTTTTGCTCTCCCATTGAAAATTGTTGGCCTATTTCGTGGGTTGAATTGCCTGGATTTGTGTTTTGTTTTCTGCTTTCTCTTGAATCGGATCGATTTTGGGGGATTAGGGGTTTTAGGGTTTGGAGTGGATTACTTTGTATTTGCTGTCTCCCAATACCTTGAAAAGTTTCGAACTTTTAATTGTGGTTATATTTGGCAAAGCAATCAGATGCTTTCAAAGTCTACAATTCTGTTGGTCTTGTTATTACGAAAGCCCTCATCTTGAGTCTCTGTGATTTATAATGTTCAGGCAAGGATTTGGATGGCAAGAGCGGCAAGGACTCGGTCATCGGTTTGGAGAGTTAGTGATAAACGCCCTGGTGTGTGCCTCTCTCCCTACTGTAAACTGTCATACGCTCTCAAGGTTTTGATTGTTCTTTGTTGCTAGCTGTAACCCTTGCAATTCTTCAACTCAGGTTATAATGCCAGTGATTCCGACTCGGATGAATTGAAGGGTGATTCTTGATTTGGGGACTCATCGAAACGAGTGAGTTGGCTGTTCTTCTGAGTTTCTCTTTGGTACTTACAGTTGCACCTTGAATTATCCCCGACGATGTTCATTAATTTGTTTGGTCTTGAAGAATTCGTCTTTCTTCTCTTCATTTGTTCTTGCTATTGTCCACAATCAATCCTATGTTTCTGTGATTACTCGAAATGAATGCGGCCAACTGTTAGCTAGCATTTTCGTTTAAGCTATCTGTGCCGTTCTCTTTGATTGATTGTCATACTGACCAGTCTCCCAAGTAGTGATTAACTGAAGTTTGCTAGCTCTTTCCAGCTAAATACTCTGTGATGCTGCTAGATTTCATTCTTATTATTACATTCCTTTGATATTGCTGCTGAACAATCAGCCATCGTTAAGGAAGCAGTTATTGATGAAATGAATTAGAGAAGCGAAGTACCAAAACCCTACCAAGTGAAAAAGCCATTGTAAGAAAGGGTGGGGATTATGTGTGAATTGACTGAAGAAGTAATGACTTGATACCATTTCTTTTTCCTTGATGTAGTAGCTACCAAGTAGTTGGGGAACAAACACTCTACTTGAATTTCACCGCTCATCACGATGACCGCGATGATGTAGGTTGAAGCTCTCATATTAAGCTTGTCCTCATTTTCCATGGTGTGTAGGGGAAGGAAGGGTTGCCGGTGTTTTGTTGCTGCTGTTTTCATCGCCGGATTTTATTCTGGGTGGTTTCTGGCTGATAATCTCACCCGTGGTTTGTTTTTCATCTTTGGGTATCTTGTCCAATTGGTTTTCTGTTTTCACGTCTTCAGCACGCTGTTAGAGACAGAATGTAACTTTTGTGTTTAGAGATTTTCACTTTGGTATCAGTATCCATTGCTGTCAATCTTCACTTGGGTCATATTTGATTACCAACTGATCTCCATTCTGCAGCAGCAGTATTTCCTCCTTTCATAATTGAAGTTTGGAGATAAATATCCATCTATCGCAATTCCGTTGCAGACTGCATTCATCATTCCGCCGACATTTTGGCCATAGACGTCTCTCCTGGTGGAGCTGGTTTTCCTCTGCAACATTTCCAAATCATGCATTGTTTTAAAATCGTGGCATAAGTCAACCCGTATGTGATTTGGGAAACCCATTCGCACCATCACCGAACAGTTATAGGAAGTTCTTGATATAATCTAAAACTTTTCTTAAAATAATAAAATGTCAATATTAATTGAAATTTATTTGTCGAAAGAAATGTGCTAAAGGTTTGAGTTCTTAAGAGATAAGTAACTTTTTGTGAGATATGAACGAACAAAGGATTTAAGTGAATGGGTGTAAAACATAGTTATAACACACTCGGGTTGGTCGGTACATAAAATTAATATATAAAATCGCAACAAACATGTTACCTTTTTTGTCACGTTCATTAATAATCCATTCAAAAAATAATATCGATCAGATTTCACCGACAAAATTAATTTGAATTCAATTGAATACCCATGATAATAGGTTATTTTGACATCCTGCTTTACTAGGGTCATAGAATCTGGCTTCCACGTTAGTTTGGTTCGATGTTTTTTTTTTACAAGAGGACAGTGCATTTCCATTACTTGTTGAGAAAGCCAAGTGTTACAAAAGGGATGAAACAACATCCCGAACCTGAACCCATTCAGGGGGTAAAGAGTTCTTGGCACATGATCTAGCTACCCAGTTTGCTTTCGCGTTATTCTTACGACCAATGTGCTTGATCTGGATCAAAGGATTGGAATCCAACATTTGTCTGATCGTGCCAATCCACGTAGCCGCTCGCCATGGTCACGATCTCGGATGATCCTGAATTGCCTTAACAAGCTGCAGGCAGTCAGAGCGGACAAGGCATGGGGAGAGGAGACCAGCAGCCAAACGAGAGCCTTCCAAGAGGGCCTTGGCTTAAGCTTCAAGTGGGGAAAAGCAATGTAAGATCTCAGCTTACCGTCACAAACTTGACCATGATTGTTCGAAACAACGATGACATAAGCCGCCTCCTGGGAGTCGCTGAAAAAAAGACCCGTCGCAGTGTATCTCAAAGTCATGAGTACTTGGCGGTGATGAAGTATGATTCGGTGGTGAGATAGGCTGAGCTGGAGAAGTGGAAGTGGGGGGTTTCTTGGCACAGGATGTCCATTGGTGATGTGCAAGAGATGCCTTTGAAATCGTAGATGGAGGCCAAGGAGATGTGTTCTTGAAGATTCGTTCATTCCTTGATTTCCATATTTGCCAAAGGAGGAAGACAATCTTCTGAACATAGCAGTTCGAGTACCTGCAAGTCAAAGAACTCAGCCAATCCAGGAAAGGTGTGTTGGGAGCAGGTGTAGGTAGAGAGGGCCATTCATGTTTCCATCTTTCTGCTGCATGAGGGCAGGTGAAAAGGCAGTGGTGAATCGATTCAGAAGGGTGAGCACAAAGGGGACATGTCATGGAAGGCGAGCACTTCCTTGCATGAAGGTTCTCTTTCGAGGCCAGCGCTCCTTTGGAGATCCTCCAAATAAAGAATTTGAGCTTCGATGGGATGGATAGGTTCCACAACCATTTCCATCTATCCTTGCAAGCTTCGGTGACAATTTCCACATGCCCTTGTGACGTTCTGAACCGGTGGTGGAAGTGATAGAAAGCTGACTTCACCGTGAAGGAACGTTGATTAGTGAATCTCCAGGCCCAGAAGTCTTCCAGGTGATCCGGGCCAACTGGAATGGCCGCCACTTGTCTCAAGTCATGTGGGCTAAGAAAGTCTTCAAGGAGATTAAACTTCCATTCTCTGGTGATGCCATCAATCCAGCTATCCACAGTAGATTGGTCAGGCCAATCAAAATCAAGGAGGGTCCCAGTACGATCTCTTCTCCATGGGTCCTAGAAAAGTTTGGTCGATTTACCACTCCCAATAACCTTGATGATACCAAGTTCCATCCATTTCTTTGCCTCGCACAAGCTAGACCATATCCAGGATGCCTTTCCTCCTTTCTTGGCGCTAAGTCAGAATTAGGGAAGTAGATGCTTTTGAGAACCTTGACCCACAGTGCATCTTTGTTTGTGAGGATTCTCCAGGCCTGTTTGGCAAGCAAGGCCAAATTGAAAATATGGAAAGGACGGAATCCAAGATCCCCCTCATTCTTTGGGGCATAGAGGACATGACCTGCCCTCCAATGGATCGTTCTCTTGGTCATCGATCCACCCCAGAAGAAATTTTTCAGCATGGTATCCATCGTTTTTGTTGTTGCTTTTGGCATGAGGAAAAGGCACATAATGTATTAGGGGATAGCTTGGAAGACAGCTTTAAGTAGAACTTCTTTCTCCCCTGGTGATAGGAGAAGACTTTTCCATGCTTCACCTCTATTTTCCATCCGTTGTAAGAGAAAGTTGAAGGTCTCCTTTTTGGATCTTCCCCATTCAGTAGGAACTCCAAGATAGTTGGAGTGGCAGTTTGATGGAGCAAAACCAGAGTCCTGGATAATCCTGTCATGTTCAATACTGGGGACGTTGAAGCTAAAAAACATTGAGGATTTCTCTTTGTTAACCTCTTGGCCAGTCATAGCCCCATAATCCTTAATGATTTCCAAAATCTTCCCAGCTTCTTCAGACGAGGCTTCCCCGAAGATGACTGTGTCATCCGCGAATAAGCAGTGGGACAGAGTAGGGCAGGATCTGTTGAGCTTGATACCTTTGATCTCATTGGTCATAACTGATTTTTCAATCAGGAAGGACAGGGCATTCGACATCAGAATGAAGAGGAGGGGAGAGATTGAATCCCCTTGTCGGATGCCTCTTGATGGTTTGAATTCAGCAGATGCTTCCCCGTTGAAAAGAAGTCTAAAGCTAACTGTTGAGATGCACGATTGGATCCAGTTACACCAGACCCCATTGAAACCATATGCCTGGAGAAGAATGATAAGAAGGTCCCATTCAACCAAATCATAGGCCTTTCTCATATCCAGTTTCATCATCATCTCCTTTCTGTTACCCGTTTTGTGCTTCTTGAAGTGGTTGAGAACCTCATGGACAATAATAATATTATCTTGAATCTGTCTCTCCCCTGTGAAGGCTGACTGAAGCTCATTGACCATATCAGGAAACCATGGTTGAAGTCTGTTAGACATGATCTTAGTAATGAATTTGTATCTGAAATTACAGCAACTAATGGACCGGAATTGGCCAATCATTTCTGTTGCTTCAACCTTGGGGATGATGGTGATGAAGGTATCATTCCAACATGTTGGCATAATACCTGTCAGAAAGAAGTTTGAAATCTCCTGGCTGAAGGCATCACCGAGGGTGGTCCAAAATTTCCCGAAGAACAGCCCTGGGAACCCATCAAGTCCCCGAGCTTTGTTAGCCCCAAGCTGAAAGACAGCCCTTCAAATCTCCTCCTTTTCAACTGGTGCACAGAGAACGTTGTTCATTTCTTCTGAAACAAGGCTGGGGAAGCCTTCCAGAATACCTGGGTCAGACTGTTCATTCTTGCTGCTGAAGAGATTGTGATAGAACTTGTTGACATGATCATCAAGGTCCTGAGGATTGGTAATCCAGTTCCCCTTTGTGTCCCTAAGTTTCAAAATGTGATTTCGATTTTTCCTTTTGATTGTGCTAGTATGGAAGAAGCCAGAATTCTGGTCCCCTTCCTGCAGCCACGAAATCCTGGACCTCTGGGCCCAGAATGATTCTTCTGAGCTCCACAGAGCTTCCAGTTCCAGCTGGAGGTTCTTCTCCTCAGTGACTACACTCGGGGATCGGAAGGTCCCCTGAAGGATTTGCAATCTGCTTCTTATTTCCTTTTTACTCTTCTACTTGGTCAATCTGTCATTCTTAGCCCAGCTCCTCAGAGCATCTTGGCAGTCGTTGATAACGATGTAAATGCACATGTTTGCGCCCCTAGTTCTTATCCGTTTGAGGAGTATAGTCGTGTGTTTTGGCCTATTTTACGCCGGGTTGTGCTATTTTGTCATGTTTCAGGTCCCAAGCGTTAAAGGGAAGGCTAACCGCGAGTTTCGGGGCATTCGGAAGTCATTTCGGTGAGCTGGAGCCAAAACACGGGCAGACCCAAGGCATTACACGGCCGTGTACTGCTGGCCGTGCTTTTTATGCCGAGAGCAAATTTGGTTTGGCCAATTCAGTTGCAAACACGGGCACTGAAGCACGGCCGTGTTCAGTCAAAGCACGGCCGTGTCCATCGCGAAGCACGGCCGTGTTTCCACCAGCTGCTGGCCGTGTAATTAAGCCCTGGCCGAGGCACGGGCGGAGTCAGGCAAAGCACGGCCGTGCCCTCGACCGTGCTTTGGCCACTGATGCTTTTAAGCAGATTTTCAACCACAATTCAAGGGGGATTCGAGTTTTTGAGAGAGAGATCAGTTCCTAGAGAGAGAAAGTGACGAGCAAGAGTTCCCAAGTGCCCTAGATTGATCTTCAACACCATTGGAGGCCAGCTTGAGCTTGGAGAAGTGCCAATCAATGTCCAGAAGCAGGAATCCATCCTTCGCAGTATGAATTCCGTGTCTGAATCTGCTTTTGCTTTCTTCTGTATGGAGTAGTTCTCCCATTCATCTGGGTATGGAGAACCCTAGATTTGTATGTTAGGCTTTGATTGTATGAACCCAAGTACTGATTCTGTGATTGATTATATTCGATTGAGGTTTTAATGATTGAATGACTTGAATCCTGATCAAATTCCTGTTGTTTCTGCTTTAACCTAGAATGAGAATATCTGACTAGGTTAATAGAGTATCCTTGATTGAAGGTAGGGAGTTGGTGACTTTAGTCGAGGAGCCAACTCACTATTCTGTACCGGATTTACTCCGGTAGTGGAGGTTTTGTTCTTAGGGCCTCAATCTGTCGACTCCGGTGGAGGTTAGTCACCCGCTAGAGAGTCAGATTGAGAGGGTCTGAAGACCTTTAGTCGAGACTTCAGGCTGTTTAAGAACCTTCCGCAGTATAACTTTCATAGAAACTGAACTTGGTAATTACAATCCGGCTTAACTGCAGTCTAGGGGGAACCATATCCGGGTGACCTCTTTAACCTGAATACAACCAGTTTACTTGCTTTGTTAGTTTGTTAGTTAGACTTGCATTCCAGTTTCATTGCTAGATAACAAGAATTCACTGAGTAGTCATCACATCTAGGACCCGGGTTGATAATTAAACCCAAACCCGCTATACTACGCTTTAGGAAGTGATTACACTTGGACAATTCCTAGGGTGACAGTAG